TTGCTCAAGATTCTGGTGCGAACAACAAACTCTTGAACCAGACCCGACACATTGCTACAGCTCAAAGTGGACCATCAACAGTCTCGAGTAGGATATGCTACAATCCAGCGTGTATTGCATGATGGTTTACTTATTTATCTTGCATTCAATCTCATCCATTCAATAACATCATTCATTACCAATACAATGACACGACACGACATGGCATGCTTGAATTGATCATATTGCACTAATCACTACTATACACTGAATTGATCTACCGGACCCATCAAAACCCATATATTTGTGATTGATCAACATTACGATATTCAAAATGTACTGTTAAAAACAGCTGATTTTGTGCAACAGCAACCAATACAACTAGGTTTACTCATCATGTTCAACATCACTGTTTGTGTTTTTGTCGTCCGATTTACAGCTACCAGCAGTGTGTGATTCAATGATGATCCCAATATACTTGTAGCAACGTGAACAATAGTGCTGTTTTTGTTCCATATCAAGCGTGTTGTGCATTTTGAATGTAGCGGTATTCATGTTGGAAATCAAAGACTATTGTGAAACTAGAGACTCGACAGGTGTAGTAACAAAGCTGGTTATTTATTACAAAGGTATGCATTGATCCATTTATAGCCGATATGATGTACGTCATTGCGCACATCATCCAACTTTGTGTCGTACATTGCAATGGTTCCATAATGCAATGTTCTCAATATACACTACTTGAAACACCAAAACTGTCAATTATAACAGTGTAGACAAGGCACCAAATGATACCAGTTTTGTTGGCCAATAATTACTATTAGATTTGTCCAAGCTTGTCAAAAACAGCAATCTACCAAAAATGGGTCATTATGGACAAAAGTCTCGAGGTGCAACAGTGGATAGTCTGTAGTTTGAATGATGGATAGTTTTGTGCAGTATTCATACTCGATAGCACAATGAACACAATGAACACGATTGGATTGTTGTATATCTTGCCCATAATTGTAACAATATCCTTGAAACTGGATAGATTGTTAAATGATTGTGTAATCATTACTGATATTTATCCAAAAACAACCTGCTCAATTCGATCGAGTTATTATAGATTTGTACAAATTAATAAATATATTTATTGGAAGGAAATATCAATGCTCATTAAATAATAAGCTTGTCATTGATCTCAAAGAAAATAACAACTCCATCCATATCAGGCTGGTCGCACGGAAGACCCTCGATTGGTTCAAGCAAAGTCTTGGGCTTTGAAGCGTCAATCTTGTAGTAAGCCTTTTTCAGAACATGGCTTCTTTGGAATTGAACTTCAAACGATGGAGCTGGAGGATTAAAGTACGAATCTTGAAGTTTTCGTGTAAAAACTAGTTCCACCTTTGCTGCTTCAGGAATCCTACCAATGATATTCACCATTGTTTCAAGGCTGATTACACCTTTGTGATCTTTGGATTCTCCAAAAAGTCCACAGGAAGTCTTCAAATCAATACTTTCCGAGTTTCGAGCTCTTGATAACCAATCAAAGTTCAAACCAGGTATTTGAACAAAATCGGGCCACTTTTGGTTTGGCGGTGAAAGAAAAGGTACAGTAAATTTTATGCCATCGAGTTTGTTCAGATCGAGTATAGAGACGTCTTCGGAATCAGGTTTATCAATCTGAAGCTGGTATACCAAATTCAACAGAAACGGTTTTAGATCAATTCCCTTGACGCCATTAGAATGTGAGGCCAAACAGACTGTCGAACATAGCAAAGACTCGAGAAACATTCCATCATTGCTATCCTGTACAGCATTCGAAAAGTATAGAATATGGCTGCGATAATCCGGATTACTCTTGGCTTTCATCAAAAAATGTGCATATGGCACCTGCTTGCCATCCCCTGCATAACAGGCGGAAAATCCCTTTCCACCCATCAACAGCAGGTAAAGCAAAATGTCGTTCTTTAGCTCTGGAAACACCGAAGACGGTCTCCAAGAAGCAGAATGGTCTTGAATACATCCATCATTCATCAATATAAAGTTTTTTTCTCCATTTAGCTGGGCAAAGTGTGAGTGAATCAATGGAGTCGATTGGTTTTCCAGATTGGTCGATTGGCTTTCCAAATCGGTCAGTTGACAGTGAGCGTTATGAAGCAGCCGAACCTGTCCAAGTTGTCCGTAAAGATTTCCAAATATCTTTTTGACTGATTTCAGTTTAATAAACGCTGCTTTCATCAATTCGTCAAAATCTGAAACCTTGTTTGCGATTTCTTCTGCGACAAGCTGCGCAAAAAGTGGCCTTGAGTTGAGTATGATAGATTTGAGATATCTTGGTAGTGTTTGTGGCAATCCTGTTAGTTCTAGTTTTACTGCTGGAAATTCCCCAAACACATGACACCACGGTCTTGGAGTCGCACTTCGACTGCTGCTTCCAATGTTGAGCTGCAGTTTGGCTGCTCTGGAATCTGTTCCCATCATAACGAGTCCCAGACCCAATGAGCGGAAGCAATTTCGCACAAATCGCACTTTTTTTAAGGACTGGTCTGAAATAGCAATACACTCGTCCAGAATAAACACTGGTCTGTGTTGATGGATTCCTTTGGAAGTCATCAGCTCTTGGACATCTTTGCCAGTCTTTGGGCCAATACTGACTGTGGGTGACTGAATTTTGTTGGATAGCAGTTCAAAAATAAATCCATACATATATAGACTTTCTTTGAACAGCGAACCACAGCTTGGAGATGAAGCTTCAGGGCTATACATTTGCTCATCTTCTACATAACATTTGCTGAACAACTTTGAAATGTTTTCAAAGTTGCGGTAGATTCTTTGTGATGTCGAACCGGGAGGATCGAACAGGAGATAATGCACTCTCCTCCGATCACCAATATTGGCTTTGATATTAAAGCCCATCTGACTCTTTCCTGAGCCAGATGAGCCCTCGAGAAATGTAAACGGTAAATTTTTGAAGCTTGACCCCGAAAATTCTCCAGCTGTGACTGCAAGGATAATTTTTACAATTTGCACAACACAGTTGTCATCTTTTAAAGAATCGGCAATGTGATGATACTTTAAAAGTGACACAGTGGTTTCGGTATCTGCAGTTTCTTCAAATGTTCCTGAAACCATTCCGGTATTCGAACCTACTGGAGCTCCTGGCACTGAGCTAGCGACGCCTTGCCCGGTACCACTGCGTGATTTAATGATGAGTGGACTGGACCCAACAGTCCCATTTGTTCCGAGAGCAGCAATGGGGTCCCAGGAGTTGTAGTTGGTCTCCACCCCATTCACCACATAATGGATGGTGAGCTCGTCAGGGTCTATAGCACCAAGTTTCGATGGAAGTGCTTGTTTGACTGCTGCAACCAGGCCACCAACGTCAGTCAGTGGCCTTCTTCTTTCTAGTTCTCCATTGAAGTGGGTTTCAATTTTCACTGGCTGGTTGTGGAGGTATTGAATGTAGAATGGTATGTTTTCCATTAGAGTTTACTGAAGAGAAAGGAATAGAGTAGAAGAAAGAGCAAAAGGAAATGTAATAGAATAGAGTGGAATGAAATGTAATGAAGAAAAGAAAGGAAAAAATTCGACTTTAAATCCAAAATTTAATGTCATGTGAAACAAATTCACACACTGAATATTGTTTAAATTAAGCAATTTTGTGTGAAATTAAAACTGTCAAATTAAGCATTTTTGTGAAATTAAAACTGTCAAATTGTATTAATTTGTCATGTATTCAAATTCACATTTTGAAGTGCTTAAATTAAGCAATTTTGTGTGAAATTAAAATCAAATTAAACATTTGTCATGTGTTTATTTGTATTGTTCAATCGAGTGTCAATTCAACTCGACAATTGATTACGTCATTCATATAATGACTCGAGTCTTTTATTCAACATTTTAATATTCAATTATTGTTAATCAGTCAATTGTTGGATTAGTAAATATGTTACAAAACATGCATTTACATGCTGAATCTGACAAGTGAATAATGATTGTTCCAATCAACAATTGGATTGGATCGACTGCAATATTGTCATTGATCTCAGTCACTGTTGACCAATACATTGTAATACATTGACAGTCTCAACATCAACATTGTATTCATGTCAAGTTGTGCGTAGTTGCTAATATTACACCACAGCAATACTGTCAACTTTCAAGTCCTGTGATACACTGTTTCAACCATGACCGGATCGATGTTGATCACTTGTCAATACACGGGTCAGTTGTATAATCGTACAACTGTTGGTTAACCAATGTTTGACTGTCGATATTTGAATCATGAATATTGTCCAACATAATTGTCGCTAACATTGTCGTTTGATTGCCTTGTTCTATGAATAATCATTGCAATGTCATTTGTTCAGTTGTTGCTGGTTTATTGAAACCATATCACAATTCTTGATATATTGGCATTCCGCCTATATAGTCTACGCTAACCAAAAACGATCGTGAAACTTTACCAACCAAAAACTTTTGTTTTCAAAATGCTGCAACAGCTGCTTGTTTGATGCCATTAGAATGTTTTCAAAACACAATGAAGGTGGGTTGAAATAAATACTTTTTCATTTTCACGCCCTTTGTCGTCAACTGTAAAACCAAGCTGCATGATGGAGGCAATGAGTTTATTGTGAATAATTGTATCAAAAATCGTAATTGCAAAACAGCTGATGCACTCCAACACCAGCCTTGGTTTATGCAAGTATCTTTGAATTTAATTATAATGTTGATGAACTGCTACGACATTTTGAAACGTCAGAAATTCTCATGCTTGACAAATGAAATTGCCACTTGAACATGAAACCAAACTCGAGTTTACCGTGATTGCCACACATTCAAGTGCAATGTATTTGATTTTCAAAAACAGGAAACCCCGCCATCGATCTGATACATTTCATTCAACCTGCTATACCTAAGCCACTTTCTGGATATAAATTCAAATGAATTTCCCAATCTACCCAGCTCAAAAATAACTCAACCTTTGTACCTTTGCACATATTTAGCAGTAATATTTTCAAAAACATTCATTCTCCATGAAACTTTACATTCTTGCAACTGTATGTACGTTTGTGGCAGCAGCCACTGCTGCTGTTATTCCATCAACCGATCCATTGTCTACTCTCAAACTAAGTAAGCGGTCTATTGCTGACAAGGGCGATGCGTCGGACGATAGCAATGCTACAGCTGAACCCAAGAACAACTTTAGCATTGGGGACATTTTCAGTGGAGTCAAAACCATTATCGACAAGATTGGAAAAAAAGGCGGTAAAGGCATCGAGGCTGATCCCGCTAGTGGTGATGGTGTTGGTAACGCTGATCCAAATACAGATGGAAATGCTGATCCAGCTTCTACCGGTGATGGTACCGGCGACACTCCCGCTCCAGCCGATGGAAATGTTGATCCAGCTTCTACCGGTGATGGTACCGGCGACACTCCCGCTCCAACCGATGGGAATACCGACTCATCTCCTTCAAAAACTGGAAAAAAGATAATCGATACCATTGGTGGAATCTTTGGGGGTAAAGATGGCGGTGGTCTAGGTGGAATCTTTGGGGGTAAAGGTGGCGGTGGTCTAGGTGGAATCTTTGGGGGTGTCTAATGATACCCATTGTTATTTCCAAGCCCAATGTATTTTAAAAATGTCGATATTATTTATTTCAAAGCAAAATAAAATTAGTACAAAATAAACTACAAGCGTTGCACTTTACATGAATACAACTGCAAATGTGATGTTTAAGAGTTTAAACATTCGTTGCACTTTTTTATTACAAATTGACTTTAATAAACACAATTCTTTAACCTACAGCATCCATATGATACACACAATCAAACTCTAGTTTTGAATCTGAGATTGACCTCACTTGGCATAACCATGTATTACGCGATCACCAAGTTTGAATCTGAATAGGTTTGAACTAAAAAAATTAAAGCTATTTTGGCTGATTAAACAGTAGTTTGTACGTAATTTCAAAAGTTGGTTATAAACTCTTGCCCAATTCTCAATAGTCGACTATTCAAAATTTTGCCGTGTTTTGTATAGTTGCAGCACAAGATATTTTCAAGTGTATGAATATTCGAAATTGTATTTTGAATATCAAATTTTGCATGGTATGATAACCGTATTTAGTAAAATGCAACACTAATCAAAAAGGATAAAATACATGATAAACAACCAGTCATGTTTAATTGGTGTCGGATTTACTGGACAATATATGGCTATTCAAACAAGAGAAAAAGTGCAGTTTAAGCAGTTTAAAACTATAGTCTAGTAGTGTATGATTCATGACAATCGCTGTTCAAGGAAACTGTCAATGCTGCAATATTAACCTTCTAGACGGCATGCATCATTTCCAAACTGCCATCTCACTCAACAAGACAACTCTAATTGGACATGGTTTACCAACTATTCAACAAGCAGCATGAGGATTAGAACTCTAATACTATCGATTCTTGAACCCTACTAAAAATAACTCGAGTATAATAAAAAATAAATTCGTTTGAACTCCAGACACAGATAATTGGAAATGTTTATTGAAAAGGCAATCCATTTCTAGTAGGAAACAACGAATATTCAGTCCTTGTCTATTTTGAAGCAAGAGGCTCCAATTGCAAGATAAACTCATGTTTCATTTTACGTGAATACGGCTGTTGAATAAACTTCAGCCACTTGAGTAGCTGCTACAAGTATACAAACTTTTTAAACCGATTTCCTAAAACGCTTGTTTTGTTAGTATAGCAGTTGTGTCTATGTTTAGTATCTACACCGATATATTCAAATAGATTATCAATGATGACATGAATCTTGGTGCCATCATAATATAAATAAACTTCAAAAGCCTTTACAACCTCGATTTTTTGAAAATGCGGCACTTGAGAGTGGTGGCCTTGTAGTTTCCAAAGTAATGTTTTGCACCTTTGTATGATATTGATGAGTAGGGGTCAATGCTTCAAGCCCAAGTTTTATGGTGGCTGATTAGTCTGCTCTTCAAATAAATGTGAATAGGCTTGATTATCGCGTTGTTGATTGTTGATGCTGCGCACCACTTTGTACGGTAATGCTTATAGAGGTGTAATTTTGTGTAGTCTATACTTCCTGATCGATTTGTATATAAACCCGGTGGATAATTCTCTCTGCATACCGCTTCAGGCTTCCAATCCCCAGTTCAACTATTTATTGTCTTTACACCTTTTTAGCTTTTTAAGCTCGTAGATTCTTCCACCATACATACATTACTTTTTAAGTACATAGCTGTCTTTCATTATCAGTCACTCTTGTTTTAAAACGTCCAATATGCAAACTTCAATTATATTTGTTTTATTCTCTGCGCTTTCGCTCGCAATGGCCAATCCTATGCCCAATCCGGCTCCCAACCCAGTCCCCAATCCGGCTCCCAATCCAGAGCCTGCACCACAATGGACCTGGGGACGCAAATCCGTCAGATGCTATGATTCAAGCGACTGCGACGGTGGTTTCTGCCGGCGAGCGTGGTATAGCCCCGGAGCTGGAACATGTGCTTAAACACTTGGCTTATACCGAGAGTGCTGCTCGTCGCTATAGGCTGCAGCATTGGGCAATCTCGACTATTATTGTTTCTTTCGCCTTGTTGCCAGGATTTTTAAAATATTGCACTCATCATCTGTTACCTTGCATCCATGATTATTTTTGTGTAGACCTTTTCTGAATAAACACGTTTTGAAATGTCCTGCATGCTTTGTTTATTATAACTGGTGTCTAAGCATGAGAATGGGAGAATATTATTTGGTAATAAAACTATTTTCACCATGTTTTGGGAACATTCTGATAGTATCAAACAAGCGGCTGTTACGGCATTTCAAAACGAATTTTTGTAAAACTGCACGATTGTTTTGGATCTATAGACTAGATGGAAAGCAGCTGTACGAGTACAAAAACTGCTGTAAATCTCCTGATCCAATTCTTTTCTAGATGAATGGACGATAGCTTTCACACGACTATTGCAATGTTGAAGCGGTTTCAGATTGCCGGCAAAGGAAAGAAGCAGTTGCAACAGCGGAAACCAAAAGCCGTAGGTTTAATATTGCTCATCATACAATCGTCTCTGATATTGAAATAAAACATTTGTCACAATTCCCTGCTACATATGCGCTGGTTGTGGTCGCAACAAGGGGAGTTGGCGAACGTCCTTTTATTGTTGCTGTTATGCCAGCTATCATTTCTCCGAAAAACTGACAAGCGTAAAGCCAATTTTTCAAACTCTCTTGTTGACCTCCAAACAGATACGTGCGCAGGTGGTGGTGAAAGTCGCAGTTACCAAAACAAACAAGCCCGACTACACACAAGTGTGATCAAGTAAAATTTGCGAGTGCTTTTCAGATACATGATATACACTGGTGATGGCTATTGACAAAAGGAATAAAGAAATCAAATGAAAATTGTCGATGGCCATAGATCGCTCTTGTATTTTGTCATTTGTCTGTTTTAATGTTTGGTTTACTGTTTTTAGTTCTGCCTTGAAGTGTTTAGTATACGCTATTTCCATAACACTGGTGACATAGATTGAGATGCTTTCCTTTTAATGAGATTACATGGTTCAACAGTATGGCCAAACTGGTTACTTGATCTATATACTGCTGTATGGATGGTTTTACTACTGTATTACAATATTGCATTAAGAAATGAATGGAGCCATTAGATCGTGCATGGCACTCTTCGGAAAGATGTTTGATGTTTTGTTCAGTTTGCTCGATTATCAAAGCATCTATCTGTGAAACATGAGTGTTTTTGATAGGTTATAGATATACAATAATGCAATGCAGCCACCTGTCAATTTTAAAATTAAATGGGCAGAGCCGTGAAAATTCATAAATTGTGCCACATTGAAATGTAACAAGTGAAGCTTGGACACCAAAAATCTGTTTCCAACTCTAAAAGATTCCGAATTGTCTTCACCGCATACCAAAAGCAGTGGCAGAGGGAATATATGCAAGACTAGAGTAAGCCGCACATTGCTACCAGTGTAAGGGGCTCCGATGTGGATACCGACTCAGTGCGGCAGACAATACGATCAAATCAATCAATTTGCTGTCTTCTCCATCACCATATTGCCACTATAGATTCGGGGATGTATTGTTCTACACAGCTTTGTATTATTTACAAATTGTATCATAGTTCAACTCAAATATATACTTGATCTGCTCACGCCACCACAAAAACTATAAAATCTAGACTCGACTCTTTGTTCTCAATGCTCATCCCAGACATATCTTGTCAAATAACTCTTGTTTTGAATTGGTCAACTGTCAACATACTTTTTGTGCCTTGTTTATTTTTACATTTTCCAGTTTGTCAATTATGAAATTTTCTGTACTTTCGCTGCTTTCTATTTTAATTGCTGCCTCTCAGGCCGTCATTGCTCAGGCCGATACTGATTTTACCCTCGAAAAACGGTCCCCACAAGGAGGTAGATTCGATGGCGGGCTCGAAGGATTTATTAAAAGGTTAGAGCAGGGAGCTAATGGTTCAGGAGGTCGTGGTGGAGGTTCAGGTTTCCCCGGTGGAGGTCCACGTTTCCCTGGTGGAGGTTCAGGTTTCCCTGGTGGAGGTCCACGTTTCCCTGGTGGAGGTACAGGTTTCCCTGGTGGAGGTACAGGCTTCCCTGGTGGAGGTCCAGAAGGTCCAGAAAATCCACGTTTCCCTGGTGGAGGTTCAAGTTTCCCTGGTGGAGGTTCAGGAGGTTCAGAAGATCCAAGTTTCCCTGGTACCGAAGCTAGCGAGCCTTCGTCTACGACCGGATTCCCAACACCAGACAGTAGTATTTCGACTACAACTACGACCGGATTCCCAACACCAGCCAGTAGCATTTCGACTACAACTACAACCGGACTCCCAACACCAGACAGTAGTATTTCGACTACAACTACGACCGGATTCCCAACACCAGCCAGTAGTATTTCGACTACAACTACGACCGGATTCCCAACACCAGCCAGTAGTATTTCGACTACAACTACGACCGGATTCCCAACACCAGCCAGTAGTATTTCGACTACAACTACGACCGGATTCCCAACACCAGACAGTAGTATTTCGACTACAACTACGACCGGATTCCCAACACCAGCCAGTAGTATTTCGACTACAACTACGACCGGATTCCCAACACCAGCCAGTAGTATTTCGACTACAACTACGACCGGATTCCCAACACCAGCCAGTAGCATTTCGACTACAACTACGACTAGTAGCACCTCAACTAAAACTAGACGTCCTAGTCCAAGACGCTCAAGATTACCCAGACAAAGAGGTGGTCGAACTGCACGTCGACCATCTCGTCGAACTACTTCTGTTAAAACTACCACTACATTCTCACCAGTCGGTACTACTACATTCTCACCAGTCGGTACTACTACACTCTCACCAGTCGGTACTACTACACTCTCACCAGTCGGCACTACTACATTCTCACCAAGCAGTACTACTACACTCTCACCAAGCAGTACCACTACATTCTCACCAAGCAGTGAATCACCCAGCGGAGGAGCTCGACCAAAAATTCAAGGTAGATTCTGATTGCTCTTTAATCAGCGACTACCTGACTGATTACCACATTACCAGAGCCAATACCACCTCATCATTTATTGTATACCTTGACAAAGGTAGCTGAATTTTACCTACTGTATTTTGAAACAACATCCGTGTTGATTCATTCAACCCAACTTGATTTTTTAGGATAAAGCTTATTTTTCAACCTCGAATAAATAAGTTTTTTTTGGTGATTGTTTGGACATTTTGAAAGAATTGAGATGGGATGCTTTTTTAAACATCAAATGTGCTAGGTATAAACTGGGTGACAGCTTTCATATCTGTCAAGAGTATACATATTGAGCTAGACAATCAGTGGTTGTACATGAATTAGATCAGGATCCATCACTTCAAAAAACAGACATTGAATGATCTGCATAAAAACAACAGCTGCATTTCCAAGACTGTTTTTGAACTAGAGCGCAAATGTATCCAAGTTTATAGAGTTTTGTAACATCAGAATAGTCAACTTCAATATCTGGGTTGTAATGGAAAGTATAAAGATGGTACAATGTATGACTACCAAAAGTGCGTAATTCCAGTTCAAAACTAGTTTGATTTTTCATGAACATTGTCTATTAAAGTCAATGTGTAGTAGAAAAGTACACTGAATATTCAACTATTGTCTGTTTCGGAGACAATCATTGATAAATTACAAAAGAATATTTTATTTACTGAATATAGCTGTAAATCACAATAACCTTGTTGCTTTTATCCAATCGGTGTCAAATAACTCATCAGTGTTGGATCATTACGTAATGCCTTGCTATCTGTGACTAAATTAAAACAGTGCAGTAAAAGTCCTGGAAATTTGCTCTCAAGATTCACTACAAACTCTTCTGGCAATACTCCGAGTGAGTTTCTAGATTCAATCGATAGTTCCTGATAATGGTGTTTGGTGTTACGGACTGCTCGCAACAAATCTTGCACACTACTTCCATCATACCTGCGACGCAGTCGCAAATCATCCATCACATTTCGAGTGAATCGACGACACCAATCTCCTCCTGTTATTTTTGTTGTTCCTCTTTCCAAATGCTTGATAAGTGCTGATGGCGGGTCTCTGCTTTCTATTTCAATACGATCTGACAACTCTTGCATAAACGCCAGCTTCTGTGTCGACGTCCAAAAGTATGGATGAAACATTAATGATACTGCATCTGGTCTGCGCAGACATAAATGCCATTTCAAATAAATCAAGTTAAAATCAGTATAAAAGCAGACAGGATCAATAATCACATGGAAATTGAATACTAAACGAATTACCGTTTGGAAGGATCTTTGGCAATCATGCGTTTGATCATGTCTTTGGCCAACAGACTTTCATGTTTCAAGGCATCCAACGCATCCAATCGATAGTTTCCACGAAGAACATTGGATTCTCGAACAAATTTATCTCCAAATGGATGTCCGCCTTGAGTTAGAATATAAAAAAATATACACCCGACCGAGAAAATGTCCATAGAACGAGTGATTCGTATTAAAGAGTCCTGTGTCGACATAGACGCAATACCAGCAATAGAGTCTTGATTTTTTGAACCAACTGAGTTTGCAAGTTCAAGCAAACACTCGGGTGCTCTCCAACCCACTGTTCCACCTCCAAACCCAGCTGTGTTGTGAAATGATGATTGATCGTCTGCCAGCCGCTTTCCTAATCCAAAATCAGAAATCAAAATACGCGGCTTCAAACTTTTCTTGCTGTTAGACTTGCTAATAAGAATATTCTGAGGTTTTAAATCCCGATGCACAATCTTCATCGAGTGCAAATGCTGAACACCAGCCATGATTTCACGTAGTAGATGGTTGGGTTTAAGCTGACGTCTCATTTCATCATACTGTGGTATGCTACATCGCTCAATAATATCTTGCAATGTGGCCGAGCACAACTCGAGCGCTATATACATAAATCCATCACATTTTTCTCGATAATAATACCGTACCACGTTGGGATGATGATCCGACTCTTGCAATATCTTGACTTCATGATCTGCAATCTCATAAAAGTCCACCAATAAGCGCTTGATGGCCACCTCTCGTCCTTCAAATTGTCCTTTATATACTATTGTGCCATGACTACCATAGCCAAGGATGGTATCTGAAACCGACAAAACTTTTAATGCACTTGGATTAGCTTGTGATATTGACCATGATGAGCTTTTGCTAGATGTTTCTGACAATGGGTAGTGCTCATACTCGGCTGGATTTGAGCTGGTTTCATCACCAGCAAGTAATGCATCATCGTCTCTATTGTCGCTGATACTATCCAAAATCGCTCCGGCTTTATGCAACTCGCTAGACTTTGATATGGTAAAACCCAGATCTGGAATTAAAATAAAAAGTTCATCAGTCATTATTGTAAAAGTGGCATGAACATGTTTAAAATTTTAATCTCTATAGATGTTTGACTGATAGTTGCCTTACCATCAAGTGCGACGTATGTTGAAGAGCTTTGTGTATTTGAATCTGTTGAATTGGAAACATCTTTCAGTGAATTGATCAAAGAGTCAGGTATACTGGAACTCAATGATTGACGATGGGTAGATGTGTATGACCAAATACCGGCAATCAAATTCAAATATTGCTTGTGAAAGATGTATGCAGCAGCAATTAAGCCTATTGCAGTGGTGATTCCAGAAAATAATAGAAACTGAAACAAGTGGGTGGATGAACTCGCATTAGAGAATTTGCCATCATGAACATTGAAGCAACGAGCAAAATTTGATTCAAGAGTGCAATCCAGATCTTTATCGTCACTCTTGGCACTAGAGGGCTGATCTAAAGCATAGCCATCATATTGGTCTTGGTGGTTATCAGATATGATATCATTCAAGTCATCAACATTATCAAAATGATGTTTATCTGGAGATTCGTTGCCTGATTTTTTCAAGCCAGGACTGATACGATTGTGGTAAGAGTGTGGCAGTGGTAAACTGACTTTGGAGATATGTGTATCGCCACTTTTACCAGTAGAAATCTGAAACACAGACACTGGTTGAGTTTTAAATTTAGTCTCCACAGTATCTGATGTATCTAGATGATCAATATATGGTTCATATAAAATGTAAGTTACAACTTTAAATAAAAGACGATCGTAATTAAAGCCGTATTCATGTAAAACAACATTCAATAAGGATGCCAAAATACATGATAAACAGTCGTGAAATAACGGGTGTTGGATTGACTGGACAATATTCTTTTGATGAATGACATGAAAACAACAATTGTATTCCAAAAATTGTTCTTTTGAACTAGAGCATATCTGTGAGATTCTAGGATACATGAGTTTGTAGAGTTGTATTGAAAACAGTCAAACACCATGAATTACAATGAATGGATCAGGTAATTGTACAATGTATGTCAAAAAAGAATCTCCGTTCAAAAATATAGGTTGATTGTGTATGCATCGTATGGTGAACATTGTTTCTATTAAAGAAACAATGCATCCAATTTTTAGTAGGAAAACGCAATACATATTTAACCACTGTGTATTCTCAAGCAGGTATCGCGAGATAATGGTCCATTTTATATGAATACGACTGAATAAAAATGAATAAACGTACCAGATGATTGGTTTTCAATCAAAAGAAAACCGTCTGCATCAACTTGAATTTGAAGTGGTTTTGGGTTAGTAGTTGACGAGTCTGAACCACCATCTATAAAACCCTCATCGTCATATTCATCATTCACGTCAGATCCGGGCATTGTTGCAGTACCAAATTCACTAAACGAAACATTTCCTAGCATTTTGAATGATTGTTGGTCAAATATGCTCAATGAATACTTTGTACAAGTCAAATACAGAGCGTTGGACGGTATACGATTAGGTAGACTGTTTGATCCTGATTGTGAGTCGAGTGTTTGATAAATACTTCCAGTAAAAGGATCCAATGCAATGATTTGCGAGTATTTGCTACTGGTGAATGCATAGTTGCGATAGACAAAGGATGGACGTTGATCGACAACGTCTTTAAGAGATAATCTGAATTTCTGAATAATCAAACGTTTCAGTATGAGATGAATTTACAAATTGAATGAATCAAACGAATTACCTCGATGCCATCACTGCTGGTAAACAAGAACATGTCACTAATTCCCGATGATTTGATAATAAAACCATTGCAAGCCTTTACATTGCTGTATGCAGGCACAGGTCTAATAGCAGATTCTTCATGGCCATTGTGTTGGTTGATAGTGTCCGACACAGAAGCATCAGCGTTTTCATGAGAATGATCCATGGCATTGCAATGTTTTGAGCTGCACACCGAGTCAGTAGTAGTTGAAGTGCTGACATGAACCAATGGACCCCAACCAAGGGAAGTGGTCCAGACTTTGATTCCGGTAGACTTTTGAATGCCATGCAACTCTCCATCGAGAGTGGTTACGATCACAAGGTCATTCGAGTCCTGTTTGATGTTGGTGATGGATGGCTGGTCAGTGTCCTTGAACCAATGAGGAACCAAAGTGTCTGCAGAGACTCCTTTGTATGAATTGAATAGAGTTGCAGTATTAAATAAAATAATGAATGCAATGACAGTAACAGTTGATTGAATGGCAGAAGCCATTGTTTGGAATGTTTTCATTCAACTTGCGAGTTTAAACTTTTATAAAGAATAAAATCATTATAAAGAATCGATTCAATTGTTTTAAACAACTTTGTCGTGATTATTACTTTACATAAAATGTTCTTACTCAAGTCTTTGGGGAATATTGTGTTTGGAGAAAACGAAAGTAGTTTGATTGAACTCAAGTCTGGTCAGTTGTTTTATCTTGATCCCAGCAGTACAAAGTCATCTCGCTTGCTGATATTTAGAGATGCATCGCTGAGTGTTCGTCGTACTACTACCAAGTTCAATTATCAATTGGTTGTTACTCGCATTTATGAAGAAGGTGAAGCTGAACTGGATGCTGCGGATCAAGACGATTTAGACGATGAACATTCGTTTTTATTGGACAGTCTACTGCAGTTTAGACTGGTTTCAAAAGGAACGACTGCTGCAGTGTCCGGTAAACCGAAAAAGGCTGCACAGAACTCAACTTCTACGTCTGGACTGCCGCCTGGTTTGATTTGGGCCGATCCGGACGATGAAACCGGTACTTGTGGATGGGAGTTTGTACCAGACGCAACTCAAGTCAATGATGTTTCCTGTAAACTACTGGAAGAGATTGCTTACACTTGCATGTTTGAACGAGCCATGAACAAACCCAAGTCGCAGTCTACTGAACAAGAGTTGCAGGACTACGTTGCAGATGTCAAGAAACTTGCTGAAGAGTCAAGCATTGGAGTCTGGAAAGCTCCTTTAAAGGTAATTCATATCAATTCAACTATTCTATGCATGATTCGGACTCTATAGTGTCTAGTATCCCTTCAAGATTAGACTAGTATTTATTTTTCTAATCGTCTTTGCATATTAAATTCAATCCAGACTCCTGTCAAAAAAAGTGTTCTTGCAAGTGCTCATCTCCGCAATACTGAATCTACATTCTCTCCACAGCCCATGTCTACTGGCCCTTCTTCTCCTGCAACTCCCTCTCCTGCCATGATTGTCAAGGCTGAGTCGGATAAAAACTCTGTTAAAGCTGCAGACGACAAAAATCCCTTTTTGTCAACTTTACCACAAATTCCTGCCGTAGAAATCCCAGTTGGCAAAACTTTGGCTGTTGTTCGCACTGATTTATATCTTTATAGTGTTTCTGATTTACAATTCGAATTGGCATCTTCCAATGTTACTGCCTCGATTGTAGAAACTGGCGCGTACGAGTTTCAATTGGTTGTCACTGTAAACAATCAGCCCTATATTGTACAAGCCATAAATGCAAGCATGAACCCTATTTTTAACAACGAACATCTGTCATTTGTCTGGGTTTGGCTTGATCTGACGACTGGCACTCCATTGATTTCGTGGTCTCTCAAGTTTGAACCTAATAATGCTCAGGATTTAAACCACTTTATGCAAATCTTTTCCCAATGCATGAACGAAACCAGTCATAAGCGTGATTTTTCAAAACTCACCGAATCAGATCAGAAATACATCACTCGTGCGTTTCAAGAAGATGTGGAAATGACCGATGCACGCGATGATGAGCGCGAGGCAGAGGCTGCGGAGGAAGATTTACTAGAAGAGGGTGAAGATGAGGAGGAAGACAACCCAAATTCTTGTGCTAGATTTGAATCGGCTGATACTTCAACTCAAAGCAAAAACAGTCTACTTGCTGTGGGATATAAGCATGACAGATCTTTTGTCGTTCGAGGCAACCGCATTGGAGTTTTTAAACACACTGATGACCAAGGACTCGAGTTTTCCACTACCATCAACAATGTTGGCACAATGGATGGTACACTCTTTTCCCCGCGTCGAGTCATGCTTCACGAACAAGAATCGTCTATGCTGCTTATGAATCCCGATGATAAACGCAAGATATTTCGTATGGATCTTGAGCGTGGTAAAGTCATTGAAGAATGGAAAGTGGACGATGACATGGACGTGAATGAAATTATCCCTGACAAAAAATACGCTCAGTTGACTCAAGAAAAAACTGTCATTGGTATCAACAGCAATGCTATTTTCAGAATTGATCCTCGCTTGGCTGGCAACAAGCGCGTCGAAGCACAGTCCAACGTGTACAAGACTTCTAACCAGTTTAGCGTTGCATCTACTACAGGAAACGGTGAACTAGCTGTTGCATCTGACAAGGGCGATATTCGTCTTTACAATAAGCTCAATATTCGTGCCAAAACTTTACTTCCAGGTCTTGGTGACCCCATTATTGGCATTGACTCTACAGAGAATGGCAAGTATTTGCTCGCTACATGCAGTACATATCTACTGTTAGTGGATACTGAGATTGAAGGCGAAGCTGGAGGTAAAAATGGCTATCAAAAAGGCATGGGTGATAAAAAACCAGTACCAAAGCGACTTCAACTTCGTCCTGAGCATGTAGCATGGATGGGCGAGAATGTTTCCTTTACTCCTGCGCGTTTCAATACCGGCGACTCTTTGGAAAAAACCATCATTACTTCCACTGGTCCGTATGTGATTACATGGAACTTTCGCCAGGTTAAACTCAGTAGAAGTGGAAAGCAACCCGAATACTCCATCAAAAGATATTCAGAAAATGTTGTTGCGGATAACTTCAAGTATGGCGGTGATCGCTCAATTATTGTTGCACTTCCCGAAAATGTCGAAATGGTTTCCAAGGTAATTATGTGTGTGTAAATTAGTATAGAGTTGATTCGTAGATTTGCTAATCAACAATTTTGAAATCCGTGCACCACTATGACTGATTAGCGTACACTTCAAACGCCCACAAAAACACTCAAATCAAGATCCAATATTGTCAATTCTCCCTATTGATTCGATTTTCTCCCATATTTTTTGATTTGTTTGATTGCATTTATTCAAATAGGTTTGGAGTTGCTTCTATTGTCAGCTTTAAATAAAGACAATGCATACTATCTTGATTTCAGTGTTGTGACCATGAATTCTGATCCAATTTTAAATACTATCAAATGATGGACTGGTTGACAACGTGTCTTGGCTGTATTCGTGTAAAATGAAATGTTTTACTATGCAGTGATGATTTTTGGAATAAACAATGGCTGAATGCTGATTGCAATTTGCTGCTAAAAATTTAATGAGTTTAAAAAACAATTCTGTTTAGTAAATTGGCACTCATTTCATGAGACTGGCAGTTTTTCTGCAGACACTCTTATTTAGCGATTCGTTTTACAAATGGCTGACTGATTCAACAATGCAATATGAAAGAACGTAGACGATCCAATTTTCAAGTATACGTCACGTGAATTTGCTTCTTTAATACAATTTTTTTTCTTCTTCATCAAGCCATCCATTCGGTTTATTTTTCTAATCATGACCCAAATACTCGATGCTGCCATGTTCCAAAAGCAGGCTTTAGAGCCAATGAAATTAGATGCTCCAGTTGTTTCAGAAAAGCCAGACTTTCCTGCTCTTTCACGAAAGGATTTAATGGTATATATGGTTTTGTTGCCGAATTTTACAAAATATGTTGGTTCAACTGTTGTATATATTCCTATTGTGTTTGGTTTTCAGTGATGATTACTATATAGAGTCAAGCCCTGAAGTTTTGGCTTCATCCTTTTTAAATAAGTGGGGATGATGTCGTGATGCATGATCTTTATACCTGAGAAAACTACTTTTTTTTAATTGATGTTGCAGCCGCAGATTTTAATCCACTTTTGTTTTGATATACTTTGAATGGTTTGTGACTATAGACCACTAAAGCAGATGCTCGCAAAATTCCGATTCCACCTCACAGAATGACTCCATTAAGAAAAGATTGGTTAAAGATTTACACACCGCTTGTAGAGCACATGAAACTGCAAGTTCGTATGAATCCAAAAGCGAAAGCAGTAGAGATTCGGGTATGTATATGCCTGGTTGTTGTTGCTGATCAAAACTGCTTTTTGACACCTTTTGTATTTTTAGTCGTGCTCTGAAACTGAAGATATTGGTGCAGTTCAAAAAGGGGCAGACTTTGTCAAGGCATACGGTCTTGGTTTTGAAGTAGATGATGCACTTGCACTGTTGCGTTTGGAGGATCTTTATGTCGACACATTTGAAATCAAGGATGTCAAGACATTGCATGGCGAAAATCTTTCCCGAGCCATTGGTCGAATTGTTGGCAAGGATGGCAAAACTCGATTCACCATTGAGAATGTATCTCGAACACGCATTGTTGTTGCTGATTGCAAGATACATATTCTTGGATCATTTCAAAACATCAAGATTGCACGAGATGCCATAGTGTCACTTATTTTGGGATCGTCTCCTGGAAAGGTTTATTCCCAGTTGCGTTCCATTAGCTCACGTATGAAGGAGCGATTCTGATTCAAACGCATCATCTTTATACACCACATTTCTCTGTACAATCAATAAACTGACTAATTTTATTTTTATAATTTTTCTATTTGGACAAGTGAAATATGATGTTTTTCCAAAGTTTGCATCCAACTTTCAGACGAATTTGAGAATGTCGGACTCCAACTTTTCTCTTAACCTACATGGGAATGCCAAGCTGGTGGATATAGTTGATAGGGATTGGCAACTAGAACAGTTGGGATGCGATGGTAATTTACTTTCCATCACAAGTATGCAATCGTATGAATTTCCATAATACAGCACTCACCCAAACTTGGCTGGTTTAGAAAAAATCATCGAGAGTCGAATGCCGCCCATAGGATCCAGCGATACTCAAGATGAGGGTATGTTGTTTCTAGAGTTTGAGTCAGACTGGATGGTGTTTTAGAGTAGCGATTTATTCCAGTCTGTATTGCTTGTAGTGTATGGAACCGATGAGCAACCCATTATCGAATCTGGAAAATGGCAGGATTTGGATGCAACTTTTTTGGACGATTATCACATCAACGATGCAGTCGAAGATGCTTCTGCGGCTCTTCAACATGCTGCAACAGTTTCAAGAGCCAACCTATAATTTTATTACGACTGTCTCAGTTGTCGCTTTTTTGATCTAGCATATCTCACAATACAACAATGACAGACTAGATATATTTTAGACCAAGAATGGGGTTTCAAGTGAGGATGTATTAGAAAATCTTTGAAAAGAGGGATTGTTTTTTGGTAGATGTAGAGGGCTTTGAGGTGGATACAGGATGAGAGTCGATCACTTTGCGCTGCTTGAAAGATCTACGAACAAGCAGAGTGTCTGGTATGGGATGGGTAGCAGGCTGAGAAGCCACAATGGCAGAAGAAGCCTGGCTAGCTTTGGTTTCATCATCGTTTGCCTCACGATCTCTTTTTAGACTCTTTTTGGCTTCCATTGCTTGAATCATCTTTGCCTTGCTTACGTTTTTGAGATAAACTTTATTCTCTCGTTTGGCCTGTGCCATTTCCGTCTGGACCCGTTGCTCTTTAACCTTGAGTTCGTATGCCAGTTGCTCTGTCAAATGATTCCACTTGAATCTTGGCAAGTATTTGATATTCCAGATATCATCATAGAACCGACTTCGTTTTTTGCCGCCTATGATGGTATTATTCAATGTTGCAGCAGTACGTTTTGCCTGATCTTTATCTAGAAATTCAATCCATCCTTCTTTAAAGTTTTGTCGCTTGTTGTGTTTGTATTTACGACGTCTTGCTGCTACTTTTGCATCTTCTGGATTGAGAAAGATACGACCAATTTGTCCATATCGGGCAAGGAGAGAGCGCATCTTGGTAGCCTTCATAAATGGAGGAATACGAGAAAGATAGACTACACCAGTACGATTGATTTTGTCCTGAAACTTTTTGAGAGAATCGAGTGTAAGCGGTTTGGCAGTTTGAGATTGTTTGATGAGTTGGATGGCATCCGTTTCGGTGTCATTCGCTTCCTCTTCCTCTTCGTCATCCGTTTCCCCTTGATCGACCGACCCTTCGTCATCCGTCTCTTCATCGTTGCTTTCATCACTCTTGCCATGGCTATTGTTTTCATCATCTTGACATTCACTAGTCAAGATAAACCGAGAATCAACAGCAAATGTGGGTTTGGTGGATTGGGAATCGGATTGTACAGCTACTTTGACCGAGCGTTTAAAGTCTGCCTTGCTTTGTGTCCTCTCATCAATACTAGAATTTTTGTCACCCAAATCATTGTCTTTGAGTCCCATTCTTATCAATGTCTAGTAACGATGGATTACAATATCTAATGTTGGCGACAATCGGGATGAGAACAAAAGAATTTTTTTTTGGTTATATGAAAAATTCAATTTCGACATTTGAACCCATTCTGATTATAGACTGCTGTTACAATCTTTTGTAAAACTACACAATTGCCTTGGGATGACCCAAAATCAAGACTCTTTATTCCCATTGTCGCAAACTAATAAACATACAAAAACCATTCATGATTAGACACTCGATCGTTTATTGTCAGATGTTATACAAGGACATTCCCAGCAAGATGTTGTCAATGATGCGAGTATTTCCAACACGGATTGCTCCAGAAAGAATTGCTCCTTGTTCTACAGTGTCCACTTCTTCCAAACCTATGGGTTCAACGAGACTAATATATTCCAGTTTGACAGCAGGAGTTTGCGCTATCACAGATTCGGCAGCAGCTAGAAGCTTATTGCGATTACGCTCTCCCAATTCATACTCTTTTGATGCAGCAAAAAGAGCTTGGTACAGAACAGGTGCAATAGCACGCTCATTTTGAGAAAGATAGCGATTACGAGAACTCTTGGCAAGGCCATCATGTTCACGCACTGTGGGAACCACCACTATTTCAGTTGGAAACATCAGATCGCGGACCATAGTGCGGACGACCGAACACTGTTGAATGTCCTTTTGTCCGAAAAATGCATGTGTGGGCTGGATAATGTTGAATAGCTTGGAGACCACTGTAGCCACACCACGGAAAAAGTGTGGGCGGATTGATCCTTCCCTAAATGCATCAAGTAAGGATTCGAGATCATGACATAGAAATGGATAGAATTCACTTGATATACATTACATTTGATGAGATTTGCCCATGACATGAACAAACGTGCCAACCTGTTCTTTTACATTGAGTGAAATACCAGCAGGATACATTTCGGTGACGGATGGAGCAAATACCACATCAACACCCTCGGCAGCAAGCAAAGCAATGTCATCTTTTTCAGTACGAGGATACTTGTCTAGATCCTCAGTAGGAGCAAACTGAGCTGGGTTTACAAAAACACTGGCAACCACTTGATCACAAACAATGCGAGCTTCTTTGGCTGCATTAGATATTACAAGATGGCATGTATAAGTAAGGGACGATGCTTGTGTTCACATGGTGGCATTTACCTAGTGATGCATGTCCACTGTGCAGTGCACCCTAAATAGATTTCATAGCATCTCATGTGAATAAAACTACTCGGCCCATCTGTTAGGGTTACTGATGCTATTATTGTGGCTGCATCTGTGCTACAAGCAATCACTGAGTAAGATCGAGATATGACCAACTCACCATAGTTGGAACAAATCCAACAAGAGCTCCTTGCTTGAACCATTCTTGGCGCAACTGTCGATACTCTGAAATAGTTCGAACCACTCTTGGGCTACTCTTGGAGTGTTGCATCCTTACACCATGCACCAACGGACGATGGATAGAGAAACACTGCCCGGGAAACGAGGGCCCAGACGGCAGCGCACGCTTGCTGAGTGCTATTGAGCCTCGCATAGCGTTGTATGAGCAATGAACAAGGACGATAGCTTTTTGTTTGTCAATGCAGCAGTCTGTGAGAATGATGCTGATACAGAGTATCTACAAGCTGCCATTGCTGAACCTCTCAAAGTCTGTAAACTTTTCAACATCTTCCGATTCAGATTGGTTTCGAATCAAATTTGATTTCACCGCCGTATTCATGTAAAATAAAACACTGGATAAAAACTAGCCGAATGTTTAAAGTGATATTCACACCACATTCCCAGTCCATATCCTTTCCTACAAGTAAACATTGAGTGATTGGTGTGTATGGTTGCATTTCTAAAACATGCAGTCTTGAAGTGCGAGCGTATCAAGTTTTAAATGCACGAATTTGTACAGATTTAAAGTCGAATTCAATATCTGGATTGCAATCAATGAATCTGGTAGTGTACAATGCATGACTACTAAAAAATGAATAATTCCAGTTTAAAGTTATAGATTGGTTGTGTTTATTGAGCCCAGACTTTCTATCCCAGTGAATTTGTAGTGAGAAAACAACAGTCATTTAACCATTGTATAATCTGAAGCAATCACCACAAGATAGTGTTTCATTTTACGTGAATACGACTGTGAAATATCAGTAATTGACCGAGGGTTTGATGGAACATTCGTTGTTTTGCACGCACTTGACGTATCGAGGCGATTTTCCAGTACGTTCTTGCATAGGTCGTTATAGGAAAAGGTGCATTAATTGCCTTCAGTCGATTATTTTGCGTCATGTGGAAGAAATGAACAACGTTTTCAGACTATTGTTGAGTGATGGCAATGCAGCTGTCAAATGTCTCAATCAGCCCAGCAGTTTCACGGTACAACAGTTCCACTTGTTGCAAACGGCTACGCAACCGAGTGTTTTGTTTTGCAAATGTAAGCCTTTTCCTTGGTGATGCCAAGATCGACTCTGATAAACGCGCTTTCAATACTCTAGATCTATACTTGCCATGAATGTTGCGATTATCAAAAGGCTGGAAAATGGTTTGTCCAACTGTTGTTGATCGAGTCAACCATATTTGAGTGTCTACTGTCCACTATATTTCGCAACTGATACATTGAAAAGCATTTCACATATGTGTTGATTTAGTCTGGTTCGACAAACATGACTATAGTGGCACTATCCATTTACTCAAGCGACTTGCTGTTGACATGTAACGTACTGCATGGAAGGTATTGAAGCAGTTGTTTTACCCTTTGACGGATGTTTCAAACAGACAGGACAACACCTAATCTGTTGTTACTTGTTGCGTAAACATACATTTACAGAATCAGTTTGCTGTTTTTTTCAAAATCAAGGCAATTGGCCAAACAGCTGCACCCAGTCGTATAGATGCGCGGATTTTAAGCAATCCTGTTATACCAAACTTGTCTAGATAGTCCGTCCACGCGTGAGCATCAGCTGCTCTGGTGCACATGATGTGGCCAGGAATGTTGTCAGTAATCGGAAACACATTGTGCATCGCTATTCTGTATTTGAGATCTTGTGCAAGTGTTACCGCCCACAAGAGCGGTCGTTGCTTGTTTTTGTTCAGCATTAACCTGCATAACGTGTAGACGCTTTAAAAGCGCAAACAACCATTCACGTTTGTAAGCAACAAACGCTATTGGACGTTTTTGGCTCGAGTTGTCGTTTGCTTCAACGTCCACGAATGCCATATATTCATATCTAGCCATCATCCCATCATGATACTAGCATCCAGTTGGAAAAAGGTGCACTTTATACTGGTACTCAACAAGCGTTTGGTTGATGATCCACTGACCTGCTTTCTTCTTGATGCACATGTGTTGATTGATCATGTTGATACACACGTCCTTTTGTGAGTTCATACACTCAACCATGAAACAGGCATGTGGTGATCCACAAGATGCTGCAGTTCTACTCACTTGTCCACTCATTTCACCAAGAATTGTTTCTTGCCAACCATACTTTTTCTCCATGTCCATCTTGATTGCCCTTGGAGCACAAGATAAACCAAACGCGACAAATGCATTTTGAAAGCAGATGTATTGACAGACGTATGGATACTTGCATATTTTTTCAGCAAGCCTATACCAAACTAAAGGGCCATGGCTGCGTTGATAAAAGCTGCAAGACATTTGCGCCAAGATATCTCAAAGCCTACACTGCATCTGGATCTGGATCCCTTCTCTTGCTGCGCTTTTTGTTTAGCGGTGGTTCAAATGTGTTTCATAGTGGGGAAGACCAATGAAAAAATTATAGAAAGTAGGGAGTGAAGGCGTCAAATAAGCTCATTAGAACAGCAACCCTGCAGTGTCACTTTTCGGAACCGGCTTCATTCCGAACTGCATCATGACATTTGACAGATTAATAGGGAGTCAGGGCTAAACTCGAGTCATTGGACCATTATTACATGACTATATTATGGCATGCAACGAGTGGTTAGACTAGGCCGTTTCGGAATTAAATCAAGCCGCATATACCAAAGGAGTGTATCCAAAAAAAAGAGCCTGCATGAATCAAACCTCATCACTGGATATCAATGCAAATACCTAGATCGGCTATATTACAAAAGAGAGTAGAGTATCAATATGGGACCATGTTTCAATGAACATTTATCCAAAATACTGATTCCAGAATATGGACAAACGATATACAGTATTCTAGCAAGAACGGCATCTGTTGTTTCCGCTAATGTCCAAAGCGCCACTATTGTATTCGTCAGATTTCCAAGTCGTTATGATCGATTAACTCTATTGCAAGGGGCAATCTATTGATATCCTGCATCAGTGGTAGAGTATGGTTCAAGAGTTGACTAGATCAATCAGCTTGCAAGTCAAATGATTGTGGTATATGGGGTTGAATCATGTATCAAACACATCTAATTAACCAGATGGGGCTTTACAATATACTGTCGATTTCATATATTGAGTGGACCAAACTCACTATTTTTACGCGTGCTTGAAGTTTGCACTTCCAAGCGGTACCTGCCTTTACAGTCGTGTTGACGTAAAATGAAGCAGTTGTATTACCTTGCAGTCACTGCTTTGGGATAAGCAATGATTGAGTACTTGTTCATTTTTCTATTAGCGATCAATTTTTTCATCGACCACTTTACTTCTTGAATAGCATAGCTTCCTATTAGTACAAACTATAGTTTGAATTGAGATTGTCATTTGATATGATCATTGTACGATCACTAGATCCATCCATTACAATCTAAACATTGGATTCGACTGTTCTCGATACAACTTGACAAACCTCGCTTTCTATTTTAAAATCACACATGCGTATGCTCTAATTCAAGAGAACAAGATCGCATTTTCCAGAATCCAATTCACCTCTATATCAATCGCTGTGAGAAAGACCAGAAAACTAAAAAGTTCACAACAGTATTGACTAGCAAATTTGGTGGAAATTATCACTCTATGATGAGACTGGCTGCTTATTCTGCAGACACCCTTATTTAGTGATTCATTCGACGTGAATACGGCTGTAATGAAATCCATGACGGATATTTCTTTTTGCCAGCCAATTACTGTCTACTCGTCCTGAACGGTGCGGCTATCTAAACATTGGATTTGATACTGTTGGTAGAGAGAATTGAACTACAAGACGATGCAGCAATCAATCAGACTGTTGAAACAAGGAGTAGGTTGAGTGAATGGGAAGTGCAGCGTTGGATGCATGCAGCCAATCAGCTACAATGCCCAACCACTTACATCAGACCATAGAGCGTGTGGCTTGGTTATCGAGCTTTGCACGAGTGTGATTGACTGGTCACAATATAATTCAGGCTGAATAAAACTTTAAGGGACTGTGAAAAATACAGTCGACCTGTGATTAGCAGAATGAAATGTTTAGTTTGCTATGGACTGCTCCTCAACCAATCAATATCTGAACAGTCCTGTGCTTTGCCACGTTGTCAATCCTTCCTGCACTAATCCGCACTTTGTTATTGCTGTGTTGCCCCACCTCCGCCTCGGACCATCACTAGTCCCGTGAATACTTTCCACTTGATAGGCTTCTGTATAGCAAACAATAATTCGAAACATTCTCATCTGACACAGACCTCCTCCCTTCCCTACCCCGAGCTATTTCCAAGCGGGACCATTTACTACATCCTATTTAAACTGCAGCTTTCACCCGCTTTCTGCGCGCTTCTACAGCTTCTAATCTAACCTGTACTCGATCTGTCTGCTACTCAGTGACTGCTGTCTCGGTTGCTACCTGCCATCTGTCAAATAATTCTACAAGGTTTCCAACTCGCTCATCTGATTCCTGCAGTCGCTAGTCTTTTGTAATAGTCGATATCTTTCTTTGCCTGTAAACACTTCCAGAATGAGTCTCGACCTGGATTGGTGCATGAATGGATGTGGCAAAAGATGCCAGCTAGTAAGTTTTTATTTTTACGACTGCCAACACTCGATACCATTTGTCTAATCAATTGAATCAACAGGGGTCATTGTACTGCTCATCTTACTGTCTACACTCGGCTCATTCACAATGCGACCACTCTACACAGGATGTATCGCATGCATTCGAATCGCTTAGTCTCGGCCATCATACCAACTCTACTCACAGCCATTGCAGTAGCACTCTTGGCGCAACCTCCAATACACTACCAGTTTCACCAGCCCTCTCGGCCACATCTTCAACTGGCACCTTGTCTCCTCCTTCACCCATGTTACTTGCCGCCAACATTACACAGAACTCTTCCTATTCGCTTGAATTCAGGAACCGCTCCTATACCCATGGCAATAAGCGTCACCATTTACATTCGCAACAGCCTGTTCCTTATTTTGTGCTGTGAGGAAAACTGCTAAAGCATCCGTCTAGTCATTGCGCATTTTTGGAATCTGACACCCAGATAGAGCCTTTTGATCCGTCTTATGGATGGTCTCTTTCGAGTCTTCATCCCCTTGTAAATGAAATAAATCTTCGGCACATTGCTTTTGATTGGTTTGGACTATACATATATTGGCTCTTTGGATCTACTCCCATTGAGGTGCGTTTGAATCGCCAGTTGGCTTTATGTTGTGGTCAGGTTTGTTCATTCCAATTTTCAAGCACCCATATCTAGGCTTTGTAAACACCTGTTTTGAACGAAATTGGAATGGAGTACTTGATCCAGTATTGTTTTTATTAATGCCCTCCTTCTGTATCATCGTATCGATGCTTGGTGAGCAATGCTCTGCGTTCCTCCTGTTTGTGTTATACATGTGACCAGAGTTTGCAATTAATTCATCGTCATTGCATACGCCTAATTTAAAATAAATTACATTTTCCAACCTGACATCATAGCACACCAACTTACCAATGACACTGTATCCACATACACGAGACGAGTCGGCTTGTCTGTAGCCTTTTTAGGTGCCTGAGTTGAAGCCACGGCAGGGACAGGATTGAGGGGTGTGACTAGTGTTGAGATCGATGCTGCTGATGTTGTATCTGCAAGAGTATTGCCATCAAACGTCATATTTCCAGTAGAGACAGCAAGCGCTTGCTGCAAAGGAGCCGTGACTTGTCCAAGAGCTCCTGACGGAGGAGCAGCACTAGAAAAATCGGAAAGTTTATTTGGCGGTGCGTTGGACATTGATCCTACAGTTGGTGCATTGGATACAGAGTGTGTAATGCCGCTTGAGTATGCACCACTAAACTGTTGTGGTGGTGGAGGCAAACCACCTGGAAAAGGTTGCATAGGCATTCCTTGAGGCATACCTTGAGGCATACCGGGCATAGGCATTCCTTGAGGCATTCCAGCCATAGGGGGCCACGGTAGTGGCATTACATTGCTCCCAAATGGCATACTAATTGGTATCAGATTCAAAAACAGATTACGGTTAGATCCAATCTATGCTTAATCTGCATTCTTGCCACATCATACTGCCTTACAATGGTGGACCGCCAGGATACTGTGATGGTCCTCGACCTTGTGGAAAAGGCATACTTGCAGGAAAATTAGGTGGCATTCCATTTGGATTAAACATGCCTGGTGGCATCCTGGGCGGCATACCGTGAGGAGCTCTTAGATGCATTCCTGGAGGCATATTTGGCGGCATTCCTGGAGGGAGTAGTTGTGGCATACCAGGTTGCATCTGTAGATTAGGAGGCACATGGTGGACCATATTATGCTGCTGAGGTCTCATTCCATGAGCTATTTCAGGAGGCATGCCTGGCATCATTCCTGCTTGCATACCATGAGACATCATCCCACCAGATACTCCACCATGTACCATGACTTGCGATGCTTGCTGTTTCTGCCTAAATTCTTCCAGTTGCCTTGTTAATGCATCCTGATCTACTACCATGTCAACCTTTGTACGCTTTGTCTGTTGCTCACTGTGCACTTCTACCTCTGCAATATGGGCTTGCAGATCTGCTTCAGGCACTCCTTCCATACCAAATATCTCGATTGCAACCGAGTCTCGTCCTGGAAGCGCATTCGCAACTCTGGCCATTCAAAGTAAATCATGAGTAAATGATCAACGTGCATCTAGTAGCACTCTAGATTATATACTTTTTAAAAACCTCCTTGTGCACTTGTTGACCATGAATTACCATCCCACCAGCGGTATTTAGTCTTTTTGTGCAGAGATCGCACTTGAAATGCTTGGCTTTTTGATGGTTAATAAGCACCTTTTCATCCTCAAATTCGCGATCACAATACCTATTGTCAGCCAGCATGATTGATTTCAAAAAGATTAGCGATTTCAAAAGAGGACTAAAATGGCTGCTTCCAAATTTAGACCGCCATATACACCACAAAAACATACATTCACATATTCAAGTTTGAAACTAGCCTTCAAGTAATTGTAAGCGAAGCCATCCATTGTAGGAAATACAAAAGCCAACAAGAGTTTTAGCAAAAACAAACATCAGGATGGAAATGTCATGGTTGAATCAAATCGTAAAACTAGCACCATCATTGGTATACTGAATAGTGCCTCCAGTGCAATTAATTAAACAATTACACTAAAAGTTTTAAACATGATATGGCTGGGAAAGTGAATCTGTAATCATGTATGTAATTGTGGTGTATGAGGGAATAAAAAGTGGTGCAGATATCTACAAATCTATTCTTTATAGTTCCTAGTGGTGTACTGTCCAACTAATATAGTGGACTTTAAAAAATACGCACCAGCACCATGGCTTGAGTTCCTTCCTTTTTTTCTATAAAATAAACCATAGCAAGTCCAGTGTATTCAAAGTGCCAGTTCATCATGATTGATGCCGACCGATAAAAAAGACATGTCCAATATCCAACCAAAAAACAACCGCCCAGTATAGACAACGATTCAAGTGCAGCAATAGCAGATATCCAGTTGGAGTATGAATGTATTATAATGTTAAATCAATGATTGGACAGGCCAGAGCAGCCAGAGTCGATGGGATCAGAAAAAGTTTGGTATTCATGACAGCATCCAAGTTGGTCAAGTGGTCACTGAGTTAGCACACACAATAACCAATAAAATAAAGAAAGCAGGCCGAGTTGTACCTTTCCCATTATAAATAGATTCTCAATAGCCACAGGTTGGCTATTTCTTTTATTCAGCCAGAATCCTATAAAAGTTTATGCGAGTCAAGAAAAGTGATTTGTGCCGGCTCTGCAAATTTACAATAAATGTCAAACAACTGATTGATCCGTACTAGAGCGAATAAAATCTATTTCCCTATATATTTTATATAAAAGCATATATATATCTACCGTTTGGAATCAAGATCTGTAGTAGTCTTGATTGCTGCTACTGTCCAGATCTGGCTAGTCGACACTGTCCAGACACGTGCATATGATTTCACTTTCTCAAGGTAAAACCAATCAAACCCTTGCTATTGGTTTCCAGTGTTTGCTATACATCCAACTACTGTCAAATGGTTGGTGCATTGCTCTTCACTTTATTCATGCTTGATTCTTTTGAATGGTTTAGGATTGTAAATCTGTTTTAGAAACTAGCTGCTGCTTAAACCTCGAGTCTATTCATGTTGAACACTAGTAGATATAAAACAATACCAACTTACACTTACTTTCACGCTCATATATTAGTCACTTCGACTGGTACCTGCTTCCTTGCCCAACAAACCTCCTCAAAGCTTGGGAGAGAACACCGAGTTTGGCACTCATGATACTTTCCGCCATGGATTCAACGTAATGCGTGCCAATATCACCCAAGGACATCCACTTGAATCTCATTTGGAACAGGTACACTTGTTTAATGGCAATCTTCATACCGGAATCTGCTCTTGTGATGCAGTGTCATGTCTATATTGTCCTCTTTGGTTGAATACTATGAGGCTTACAGAAGGTGTCGTATGCCTATTTTACTCAACTGCGTATCTACTGTAGTGGGACCAAACCCAAGAACAACTCAAGACCACTGTTCTCCGTAATACATTTGGCATCCATATGCCTTTGCGCTTGAAAATGGAACAGGCTTTGATTAAAGAGGTATATTTTGTCGAGTCCAAGATCCAATGTGTTTTTGTATTGGCAAGATCTTGGGTCTAGTTGCTGACCACCCAGATTTGATTGATTTGATATCTGACTACATCTACAGCATATTCATGTAATTCCAGTGATGCCCAGTCGCAATCTTGCTCTCGATGTGCTGAGTGGTAGAAACGATACGATTGAATTTGAAGATTTCCTTGGAGGTATACTAGTTTTTGCACTGAGTAATGAGGTTATCAAGACACTGACCAATCTGAATGTGTAATGCTGCTAATAGAAACCAGAGCTCCAATCAACGATTTGAGCCCTCATACTGCTATGGAACGTGTACTTCATCTTTAAAAACGATACGATTTGGTCGTATTGAAATAAACTTGGTTTGAACCTTTCTACATGGCAATTTATAAGCTGGATCCAGTTGTATGGCTACATTTGGTCTTGTTGGGCTAGATTTGCCATCAAATCAATGATCTGATCGTGTTCGTTCTTTCTCGAATTATATTCAAGTTTGCACTCAACCTTTGCTTACAATTAAAACTGGATGAAGGGGGCCGTTGGCTTAAAACGGAATTACGAGAAAGACTATCAAGACAGACCTGCTAGAAAGCAGGTAACCGTATCTTAATCTTGACTACTTTTCAATACGAGTGCTATTTTGCTAATCATGAACATGTAATGGGTTTCAACTAGGTCGAATATGCACAAAGTCAGTCCATTGAGAATACTGGAACATATAATATCTGGTATAGTCGATTTTCTGGAGATGGCAATCGGTTTGGAAAAGGGTAAACAGTTGCTTTGTTAATTGCCAATAGGCGGTCTTGGGAATTACTTTTTATTTTAACCAACAGTGTAATCCTGTTGGCAGATCATGCAACATCTGCTGAATAGAATTCTAGTTGTAACACTTGGGTTCTGCATGATCTGTTCAAAATACTGCATTATTTTCCAGTCCAACACTACTAGATACGCATAGTTCATTATATTAACTATGTTTTGTAATCTTGAAGACTCGAAAAGGCAGCACATCGATGCATTTTGGAGCGAGATGCTGGTAAAACCAAGGCTGGAAAGAAGGGATTGTTTTGCCTGCACTTTGCTCGCGGATGCTGCTCAAAAGGAAATGATTGCACTGTGAGTATTCTGTGTACTATGCTTGATGCACTCAGCTATAATGAGCCTTTTAAATACCAATATTGTTTTCTTTGATCTGTAGTTTTTACACCGGATTCCAATGCCAGGAGATCGTACAGAAACAACATTGGACTGCTTTGGACGAGACAAACATCGGTGAGTTGTGCTGTCATGTTATAAACATGGCAAATACTCGAAAGGTGTTGAACAGATTTGTCGACTAACTAATTATTTTTACGGTCTAATTTGATTAGTCTGGACCGTGATGATATGGGCGGCATCGGATCTTTTGATCGTTTAAACTCGACTCTTTATGTTGGCCATGTCAGCATTGACGATGATATGCAGGTTTGCTGACTGTTGACCATATCTGCTGTAAATGCTATTCCAACTGTATTTTTAACAATTTGAAAATGCAACACCATCAATTAGGGATCAGTCTCTAGACATTTTAGTGAATGGGGTGATGTTGAGCACAGTAAGTTTGGCTTATTATCTGATCATCCACTTGTTGGTATTTGTAAAAAACCGTATCAACTCATTTTGTTGCAACTCTTTGGTTTTTGTCAATCTCTAGTCAATATTTTACAAGACAAGGGCGTGGCTTTTGTTCGATATGTTGATATTCCAAATGCCGAGTTTGCCAAGGAGGCCATGAATGCACAGTCACTCGATTCTGGAGAGGTAGATTGTATCTACTCGATTCAAAACCAATTTTAGTTGATTGCTGCTAACCAACTGACATGTTGTTTGACATGAATCAGGTTTTGAATGTTCGATGGGCGACCGATGATCCTAACCCAGGAGTGATTGCTCGTAACAAACGCAAGGCAGAGGCTATGGTAGAAAAGGCAATTAAAGCCCGTCTCCCCACAATTGGACCTAACGGCACGATTGCTGATTACGAAAGATCATTCAATAACCAGCGTCTTGATACATCTGCTCCTACTGCAGGCCAAGTTGCAGCATATCAAAATGCACAAGCGATGCAGATACAAGGTGTTCCACAGTTTACAACCGATATGCAGGCTAACCAAGCTACAATATATTATGCTTATTATGCTCAGTATGGGTACTTTCCTTCTGCTGATGGCAAGTCGTTTGTATATGATCCTTCGCGTATAGGATCTACCGCGACTCCTGCTGCACCGGTTTTGGAACAGAGCGGTAGTTCTGCATATGCAATTCCATTGAAAAAAAAAGTTGCTACAGAAGGCCTTGTAGATTCGTTAGAACAAGTCAAAAATGGCTCTAATCATGACATAGAGAAACCAAAAACTGCGCCGGCCGCTGCCGCTGTTTCTGCACTTGTATCTGGGTATGCAAGTAGTGACGACGACACATGAGCAAAGTGCTTTTATTCGTAATCTGGGCTGTTGTGTGACTTTATGCGGCAACATTTCAGCGGTTTTCTCGTCCGATTGTTCTTGATTTAACTAGCCTAGATCGAGTTTGAAGAAAGCGAATAAATTTTAAAATATTGTGGTTAAACTACACATGAGTTATATTTGAGCTTTTATAGTTTCTTTGGGTTCTTTTGGGCTGCTATTGGAATCCTATACAAACTATTCATTTTCGTGACATTGAAATGTATCACCCGGGCATTGTGCTATTAAATCATCATAGTCTGCATACACTGACCCGCACCACAGACAATAGTAATACTGCGTTCGTAGATACTCGTTAACAAGTCGTAACCGTTCGTGGATCTACAATATTTAAAAGGTAAATCACACATGTATAGAAATTGAATAGAGATCAGTAAATTCGCCACTTGATCAAAAAATGATATTAAACCTACATCGAGACCATCGAAAATGGATTCTGGGGTTTCAACATCGCAGAGATTGGGTTGATCAGGATCAGTCAAGACACGATCAAACTCTTCATCCTTCAACTCTACACATGTCTCCTTTTGCACAGGCCAATACGCATGATATGGTACTTTGGCACGTTCATCCATTGTCATGACACTCATGCGAGCCTTTTTCAAATCAGATTCAATCCGTTTTAAATCAAACTGCTCATTCATTTTGCTCCTAAACGAGTTTCGTGCGTGGGTTTGCTCCTGATCTATCTGCAATGCTTCCGCATCTGTTCGTTTTCGTTTTGTTGCTACTTCATCTTCGGTTCCTAAACCGGATTTATCTAAGTACAGATGCAATATGGATTGGTTGCTTTTTAGTATCCAAACATAATGATTTCAATTCAACATATAAATAGCTCAAGTAAAAAGTCGACATACTTGCTTTGATTGCTACTTGGATGGGCTCAACTAGTCCATTTTCTGATGTACCCAGAGATTCTCCCTTTCTAGCAGACAAATACATGTTACAACACCGCCAATCAAATAAACTGTTAGACATGGCGTGCACTCAACTGGTATCCCATTTTAAGAAGCATCTTGTAGCCGACATTGGATTCTGGAATATGAGTTTGCAGACCTAGCTCAAACTGTTGTTGTGCTAAAAGTTTATTCATCAAACATGTTGAATTTGTTCCAAAAATCACCATCAGATTTGTATAAATCAATAGTTGGCCATCAAGACTGGATTGGCTGATAAATATACTGTAAAGTCTACCTTGCTCCTTGACAGGCATATTATATCCTTTAGTTTTTTGTCGAGCAAGCGCTTCCCTTCGTCGCTCAGAATATGTCAGAGCAGAAGAGTCTAGACTTCTTTTTTTAGATCCAGATGGTTCTTGAAGCGATTTTAAAAATGCTTCTGACATATAGTCGTCTTCATCCAAATCACAGCCTTTATCACTCATTTGACTGGTATGGCTATTACAATTAGAGAGTACGTTCAATTCCAAGCCAAACATCATTTTCCCAAATTATTTAGCCATAAATTCATACAATTGGCCATAAATTCACTTGACCGAAATTATATTTTTTTTGCGATCGTTTTGAATTCAACTCTTGAACATTTGCTGGACTATTCGTTTATACATCTCGACATGGCTGGACTTTTTGGATTTGGATCTTCAAATTCTACTGCAACGACTGAATCTGCTGCTCCAGTATCTGAATTCTTGCCTGATACCCCTGAGCCGTCCGAACCTTCACTCTCGCAATATGCCGAGACATCTGCCTTTTTACCACCAGCACAATCTATCAGTCATAGCAATGCGACAGTTAAACCTGAGCATGAGCCTATCGAGCTGATATTTATTGATGAACATCCACACATGAAAAATCCTACTCCTCGTCAGCGAGGCTATTTCGGACCTATTCCAATGCGCACTGGATATGACAAGTTGCTGTATGGAACTGGTGTATCATATTTGTCTGGTGAGTGGTCTGAAATATTTACTATTGATCACTTTCAGGTCATTATAATTGTAGGATTGAACCGCCATTTTATTTTGGAGCTAACACATTGACTGTTTTTTAACCATGTCGCTCTTATTAATGCCATGCAGGTCTCTCGTATGGTGCTGTATATGGTGTGATCCGTGGTCTTCAAACAGCACAAGTTCCCAATTTTAAAGTTAGAATGAATAGCATTGTCAATCAAACTACCAGATATGGTCCATGGGCAGCCAATTCACTCGGTGTCATGAGTAGGTTTTCAAATTGCTCTTGCAGATCAACTTTATTCAAAATCTAACTTTGTCATTTTTTACCAGCAATGACATGGGCAATCATGGACAACACATTATCCATGATCCGTGGCAAGTCTGATTACTTTAATCACATTTCAGCTGCTTTTGCATCTGGTATTTTATTCAAATCCACTGCTGGTATCCGTCCTGCTGTTATTACTGGATCCATTCTTGCTTCCATTGTGTCGGGTTATGGTATATTTGAATATGCTATGGCAAGCAAAACTCATGACAGTACATTATCCACCTCAAAGCAAAGCAATGAGTTGAAACTCCCAGCTCTTCAACTAAGAAAAGCTGCTACTGCATAATCTTTTCGACTGGCTTGGACAAGATGAATTACAGCCGTATTCACGTAAAATGGAACACTTTGTATTTATCTTGCATTGACTGACTCTATTTTGCTTTGGAATAAATAATGGTTAAATACTTGTGCTTTTCTAATGAGATGGATTTCTCTCTCAATTCTTTCAAACACAACATCAAACTATAGTTTTGAACTTGGTTTTCTCCACTTTTGGTAGTCATGCATTGCGCGATCTGCATATGCTGTCCATTACAATCCAAATATTGGGTTTGACTGCTACCAACCTTTTTATTGTATCCTAAAAATCCGTGTCTATATTATAGTCCAAAAAACTGATTGCACATTTTAGAAATGCAACTCGACATGCCAATCACCAAAAAACCAGCCAACTAGGCTGTTAGTTTGCATTCGAATCAACACCATTTTTTAGTCGATACCAAAGCAATTATAGTTTATTTAATTCCTAAATCAGTTACTGATAGAAAGTAATCCAACATTATAATTTCCCTGTCAAGATTTCTACACCAGTTTCCGTAACTAGCAAAGACTCCTCAAATTGTGCTGATCGTTTTCCATCTCTTGTTACAGCAGTCCATCCATCAGGCCATTGATCGTCCTGCCAAACACCTTCCGAAATCATGGGTTCGATAGTAAATGTGTGTCCAGGTTTCATACTTCCAACAGCCTTGTTTCGTGCATAATGAGGAATGCTTGGAGCGCAATGAAAGAGTTGATTGATTCCGTGTCCACAGTATGTTCGAACAACAGAAAACCCATCTTCAGTAGCAATTTTTTGGATTGTGTTTCCCAAATCGCGATAGAGTGTGCCAGGTCGAACCATTTTGATTGCCTCGTCCAAACACTTTCGAGCGCTGGCTACAAGCTTTCGACCTTGAGAATCTACGTTTCCTACTAAAACGGTGTCATTCAAATCACCGTGAAAGCCATGCTTGTACGCAGTCACATCCAAATTAACAATATCGCCATCTTGAAGCTCATATTTGTCAGGGATGCCTAATCAGCAGATTCAAACCATCTGGTTAGCATCATAATCATGTATTGGGCCAAGACATTCAATGTCTATACTCGGTAATGATATAAGCATAAGTAACCAACCGTGGCAAATGACTTCGTTGACAGAAGTGCAGACTGATTTGGGAAAGTTGTAGTAGTTCAATGGCGATGGATACACGTCTCTCTCTACCACAAAATAAAGTCAGTATACTGAGATGATAGAAATCAGCCAGCCACAGAATTTACAATCGTTAAATTATCCTTACCCATGCATGCTTCATGAATGACACGATCAATCTCATCGGTAGTAACACCAACCTTGACTGCCTTTTTTCCCTCCTCTAAAATTTCTCGACCCAGCTAAACCAAGTGTGAAACCATGTCAGACCAGTCAAGCAATATGAAAAAAACAGTGTAGTGTTGAAATCAGGTATCTTACCTTGCATACAATCCTCATCTTTTCAATCTCGTCAGGTTTAAGGATCTGAATTGTTGTGCTTCCACGCGTGCTCATCTCACTGTATGGATATCCTACAAGTTTAATTTTCAATAAGCCAGCCATCATCAAATAGAAGTCGAGTATAAACCGCATGTGCGATAATAGTAACAAGTCTAATCAAGACACTAAACACCGAGTCTTGATTTACAAAACAACTTGAAAACTACCTTTGAGATCATCAGCATAATCTGGACGTTGAATATGTTCTGGAACAAATCGTTTTGGGGAGATGGGATAAACTGGACGCAATGATCCAGTATATTTGTGATTCGGCCAAGGGTTGAACGGACCTAACAAAATATTTGATTAAAATGGGCGAATTGAGGTTTAGTTTGATGGCTTGTAATACAGAGTCAATTTATATAGTACAGACTAATATTTATAGACTTTGGTCAATGGATATCTATCAACAGATATTGATGTGTATGTATTGACTGCCTGCAATGTAGTAGTTGTTTATACCAAGCCAACAGCCAATTCAATTGAAAGCTTTTGAAAACTTGAATAAACAGCCTTCAGATTGCTTTTACGAGGCAAATATCAGACTCAAATCAATGCTTATTTACCAGTATTGGTGGCAGTTGAGTGGACAGCTTTATGCAAAGTCCAATTTAGTTTGAAGCAATCCTGAGAGCAAAAGTGAGCATCAGGCAAACCCTTCTTGATGCAAGTAGGACACTTGAGTTTTGCAGGGTTTCCACACACTTTGCACACGGACATTGGCCAGATAGAATGCCGTATTGATGGTTGGAATATAAAAATAAATCCAAATTGTCAAGCGCATTTGTAGGCAAAAAGCAAACCAACTACACGTGATCTGTCATATGATTTCAATTTCAATTTCAATCCAAACTTTGAATCGCAAATGCCAGACATTGCACCGCAACCATCTGCGAATGAATCTGCGAATGCATCTGTGAATGAATCTGTGGATGCATCTGTTCCAGCTACACTGACACACATCTCGTTTCCTTTTGCCTCGCCTCCAGATATTATTCGTGCAACTCAAAAGGATTTGTATTATCTCTACCAATTACAATCCACTCTTAACGAAATTATTGCTAGTCTATGGGGTAAATCTACTGTTATTCCTGCTTGAATTACCACTGTACTGGTCAAAGTTTCTTATATTCTTGATTAACCCGTCTCAATATTTTATGTTAGGAAGCAGATTTCAAAACAAGCTTTCTCATGAAATTCAACTGACAAGCCAAGCCTTGTATTATGGATTAACTACTGTTGCTGGTATTTCATTCAAATTCATCAATCGATTGTGTTGAATCGCTTAGTTTGAATCTGGAGTCTTGACATTTTATGAATTCATGTTTGATAGGAACTCAGACGCTTGGAGAAGAGTATTGCGATATTGTCCAAGTGTTGAATGGTGCAACTGTACCATCTCATGCAAGTCGATATTACTCTTGTATTGGATCAACTACAATCGGGATTATGAGTGGTGTATCTAACCCTTTTCATGTTTCTTACTAAAATTGCCATTAAACTAGTGGAGAGTAGTGAGTGTATTGATGTATGTACTCGGTCCATACTTTTTACATTTGTCTGTGAAGCGGATCAAGAAATCAGAAACAGGTAATATTGACCTCGCTATTTTATTCGAGTCTGCATAGTCTAACGAGTTTATTTTGCTGCATAGATGGATCATTACAGCAGATTTCACCAAGACTCAAAAGTAAATTGATTCAAATATCAAAAGCCATCAAAGGACCACTTACTTCTCTTCATCTTGCCAGTTTTTATATATTTGGAACCTACTATCATTTGGCAAAACGGTTCACAGGGATCCGGTATACTCTGTTGAAACGGCTACGTGATGGAGAACAAGAAGGTGGATACGAGGTTCTTGGGTTTCTAATTTATATCCAATTGATCATTCAAGCTTATCATGGATGGAAAAAACGTAAAGAAATCGTATCTGACGAATTGGAATACAAGTACGCATTTTTGAAACTTGCTTGAATCTAGTTTTAACAGCCAATAGGTTTACAGATCTGAGTTGGCTGAGTAGATCATATTGCTGATACCTTGTATGCATCCAATCATGAATTGTAGAGATGACGATTTGGACACTCTGGACGATCATGTCGTAGGTCAGTTGCAAAAATGTACATTGTGTTTAGGTGAGCGAAAGCAAACTACGGCTACACCATGTGGACACTTGTTTTGTTGGAAGTGCATCGGAGATTGGTGTCGTAATAAGCCAGAATGCCCATTATGCAGACAAGCAGTGATGCATAACCAACTCTATCCTATTATAAACTTTTAAAACAGTAATGATTGTCATGGTTTTGAAAATGAGTGTGTCCTTTATTTCCGAGTTGGTTTAGATTGGTTTCAAAATGAATAAACTATAATGAGTATAAATGCTATATCAAGACAAACGATCCTAAACAAGACTGAGCTCAGCAGAATTTCCATTTGTTTCCACAGTGACAGCAGGTTACAAATGTAGTCTGGAGCGTGTAAAAAGGTTAGACAAGTTGATCTACTTGACATTAGAAGCAATCAAATCAGCTCACCATCGGTTCATCCGCAGAGCGAGTCTGCATTTGATAATATGTGGCTTTACGCTGTTTACAGCGACCGCATCTAAACATGTCTGTCTCGGCCTCCTGGTTAGCAGCAGACACTGCATCTGCCATGCTATTCTTTTTTGCCTTTTCAACCTCCAAAACACGCTCTTCGGACATCATTTCCTACCATTGCAATGGAATTAGTACATGCTTGCATAATACTTGAGCATATATGTGTAGTACCTCTGCAGTCATCATGGCAAATCGGTCCGTAGAGATTTTCCCACCCAGAACCTGTGATCTTAACGAAGCATTTAGTTTTAAATTGGATGTCAGCGTGCGAATTCTGCTCTTGTACTTGGCATCTGTACATTCACAGGCAGCAAATATATGTTTTTCAATCGAGGATGCAATCTTGGCAACTACGCTTGCAACTATCAAAAATTAAAGTGTTGGGGTTAGACAAGACTTGACGGCGGAGAATAAAAACAGAAACACAATAGTTTGAAAACCATCTGGCTTTATCGGCAGATTGAGCCGAGTAGTGATAAAAGATGTACCTGCATCTGTACCAGAAGCCAACGAAGAGTACAACATTCCAGCACATCCATCTCTGATTTTATCTCGAGTAGAGCTCAACGTAACATTATCTGATGCCAGCGTTCTTGGTGCAGTATGAGTGGTTGATGTTGGAGTAGATACACTTGAAGATGTAGATGTTTTTGGAGTATCTATCTGTTTTTTTTCCGATTCTGACGATTCTGACATGGATACTCGACCAATGTCTGTTTTCCATTTGTATACAAGTTCCCGAGAGAGCTGCTTGATTTTTTCAGTTGCATTTGGATGCTTTCTTAATTCCGTTGCAAATACTCCAATGCGTGTGCTCTATTAAATGTCCATCAAGTATACACATCAATGCAAAGGTTAAATCATGTTTTATAGGTGGCCATTTTGCAAGATTCCAACGATAAGATGGAGGACTTTGCAGACGCTGACATGTAGCACAGATTCACACTGGTGATTCGGTCTAGACCTAGTGTATGAATGGACATGGAATATAATGTGCAGGATAAACAGCACATTAGCTCCAAGATTTCACCAACCCCAAATACGATAAAAAGTCGAGAGTTTTGAACACAAGAGTAGAATTCACCTTGAGTGTTTCTGTTGTTGCTTTGAATGTGCGTAGTGTGGTAAGAAGCTGAATAACAATCTATTCAACACAATTAGTTCAATATTCATTGGGTTTGAACATCAAATGGCAGGAATTCAGCTTATCCGAATAAAAAAACAGCATACCTGCTCTTTGTTATCAGCCAATGCCTTTGTCAAGTGTTCCTTGAGTTTAGGAATTTGAGTAATAAGTAATCCAGGTCCGTCCATGATGATGTAAAGTCGAATTGATTTGGTTTTGCAAATTATATTTATTGTCATGTGATGAAGCGATAATTCATTTTGGTTTTCTTGGTCTGCATTTAGCCCATTTTATCTGTTTAAACAATGGTTGCTGTCAGTGAAAGGTATTGCCAATCAAAATTGACTGAGCATGGACAGTGTTTGACATGTAGTCAACTAACCAGTGGCTTTTGATTTTAAACCCATTCAACTATTTCTAGAGATTATATTACTAAAGGAATTCAATGCGGTATTCGAGCAGACGGCAGAGGATCATTCGATTCTCGTCCGGTATTTCTGGAAACAGGAATGATCACTCAAGCATCTGGATCATGTAGAGTCACTATTGACCACGGCACGGATGTGCTTGCTGGAGTCAAAGTACAGGTTGCAGATGTTGAAGGTCGAGTCGAGCAATATACAGGTGATATTGTAGAACAAACTGGTACAGAAGTCGCTGACGATTTAAACACCAGTCTTGCTGATGGAAATGGATTTTCCAACAGGGGAAATGTAGGACGCATTGTGTGCTCAGTAGAATGGTAAGCAGTTATTTTGATGTTGCAAAAACACGTTCAGTGCAAGGCGGTGGATCTACAAACTAGTCTTGGATGATTTCCTAATTGACATTTTTGAAACGACTTGTTTTTCATACAGCTCGCCTGCAGCAAGTATTATTTTAGATTCAAGGGCAATCGAAGACATGTGCAATGAATACACTCAGGTTCTTAATCGAACACTCAATGGTCCTCATGGCGGTATTGATCTCCAAAAACTATGCATTATTCCTGGATCAACCTGCTGGGTTGTTAGTGTTGATGTGCTTATCATGGACTATGGCGGAAATGTGCTTGACACTGTCCTTATGGCTGTTCGTGGTGCTTTACACAATACCCGACTTCCCAAAACCAAAGTGGAAGAAACGGATGGTCATTTTGAATTTGATATTGCAGATGACGAGACAGAGGTATTATGTGGAAGGGAGAATATTCCCGTTGCATTGACGCTGAGTCGTATCGGATCTGGACATATTGTTGATGCATCGCCATTGGAAGACATGTGTTCTTCTTCCAAGATCACGGTATTTGTGAATGCATCTGGCTGTATCTGTGGAGTACAAAAAACTGGAAAGGGTAGTTTGGAGCCCAGCACATTGATTGATATGATCGAGGTAATAACTACTGCTTGCATATGTGATGAAATACGTTGTAGTAGTTGGATACACAAAACTGACGATTCAAGCTATGACTGCTTTTAAAATCATTCAATACTGTCTGCATTGCCAAAAAATCATAGACTGCAAGTAGATTAGGATCAGAATCATTGGTATCGTTGGATAGTATACTACTATCTGAAGAGCGAGATCGGCTGAATAGAGTAGAACCCATTGGGTTCAGATAGCTTTTTATAAATCAACCCGACTTTATCATGATTAAATTTTATTTATCTCGACATCCAGTTTGCTCAGATTTAACTAGCCAAGCACGATATGTCAGATCTACTTTGGAAATGGCTTCCAGTACGGATCTAGAAACTGCTGTTGAATCGGTGTTGTCTGCTGCAACGTAGGACACCATGACCATTTTGCTTTCAAAAGATACCCGAACGTCATGAATATAAGCAAGTTTACTGATAGAGTTTTTGACTAGTCCAGCACATCCTTCACATTTTAATCCTACAATTTGAAAGCTGAGCGTCAGAATGGGCTGACAGGGGACATCAAAGTTACTGTCTTGATGGTGTGTCAGTGAAACCACCGAGTTTAATGGGTTATAGTTTGAATAGATCATGCTTGACCAGTGTGAGTTGATCTGATTAATCCATTCAGATAGTCTGCCATCATTGTGAGCTGAGACTAGGTCTTGGCTGACGACAAGTGTGATGGAAATGCAGAAAGTGATGAGAGTCCGCCACGACCAACCAGCAAGCCAGATGGTGATTGCCATGAGAACAGCACATGTTGATGTAAACAGGGATCTATAGGGTGTAAACACTGCAAATCTTTACAAGAACTAGGTTAGAGCATCCATGATTGAATCCATGATTGAATCCATGCGGATATCTAACATGAAATAGCATCAACTCACCCAGCACAACCCAACGAAAGGTAATTTAAAACCAGCTGGATCACACAGCATGAGCTTGATAGTAGACTTGCTATGGTGGTGAGCAGTGGTAACAACACTGTCTGGATCCATCTGGACTTGAATTGCTTCATTTACTAGGACTTGACTGTTGTATTCACGTAAACGGATCACTAAATAAGGATACTAAAATACAGTTTTGTAAAGAGTATGTCAAAGACAATCTCAGTTTAAAACCATAGTTTGTATTACACGATAAACACTAAAAGATTGAACATGCTGAACGAGTGCAACAAATATTCAATCATTATTTATTTGAAACAGCTACAAAAGTGATCCATTTTACATGAATACTGTAGTAAATCTGATGGAATAAAAGTGATCAGTGCGATTCGTGATGAGGTGCATGTTCAGCCAGCATGGCAATTATACCGTCAACTAACAGTACATGCTCAGATGCGTGTATCCGAGTTTGAAGAGATTCGACAGTATCGGATTCTAGGATTGGTACTTGTTTCTGCAGTACAACTTGACCTCGATCAACCTCTGCAATAACCTTGTGGACCATGATGCCTGTATGCTGGATTTCTCCTTTTTGAAAACTATCGAATGCTCGTTCAATGGCATGTGCACCGTCAAACTGACCTGGCAGTGCAGGATGTAAGTTGATGATCCTTCCTGGATAAAAGTGTGACAAAAACTCTGGAGAGAGAATATGCATAAACCCAGCAAGAACAATCAGGTCAGGCATCAAAGAGTCTTGACTGGTATTCGGTTTCTGAGAAGCAAGAGTCGACTTGATATCCAATGCAAGATCATGATCATATTGAATACGAGTCTTGCCAGCATCTCTGTATGGTTTCAATGTTTTAATCATGGTTGGGATTCCTGCTTGAGCTGCTCTCTCCAAACCGTAGGCTTTAGTTTTGTTGGATACCACCAGTGAAATCTGTGCCTGAATATGACCAGCAGCCACTGCATCTATGATGGCTTGCAGATTCGATCCATTTCCCGAGATCAGCACTACGATTCTAGGACATGCAATAGTAGGAGTCGACATGATTTTTAGTTGTGATAAAGTATTGAACCAATGCGACACTCGAGCAAAAGTAGACAAAACTCGAAATAGAAATCATTGAATAACAGCTATTTGGTAATGTACAAAAATCAGGTTTCACACTACCAATGTCTAACAGCGATGAATGACTTTATTCAAAGTATACTTATTTCATAATTGATAGTATTCAAGAAACCAAGTTGGATGAGTGTAAACAATCAAGATTCAAGCATGCCATCAATACTAGAACCTGACTTTGTATTCACGTAAACGGATCACTAAATAAGGATACTAAAATACAGTTTTGTAAAGAGTATATCAAAGACAATCTCAGTTTAAAGCCATAATTTGTATTACACGATAAACACTAAAGAATTGAACATGCTGAACGAGTGTTTGAGAATTATTCATTCTGAAGCAAAATAACATTTTATGTGAATCTGGTTTCAAGACTCGTTGGACTTGACTGGATAGTTTTAAATTTGGACTACATTTCTGCTTTTTGAGTTATTGCATAGTTGACTTGCCTTGATGGATCAGTCTATTCTATTAGATATTCTGGATGCTGGAACAGAACTACTGGACTTTTCAAAGACTCTGGCTGGGCCCGCATGTGCCAAACCAGCAATATCTATCACTCTGCCCACAGACACTTCAACTACCATCGTTGCACATAATATCATCAACTCTGTTAATCAATGTGTGCAGCCTTTACATGTAAATTACTCTTCATTTGATAGTATTGACATTGCTGTAACCAATGTTGTGTCAGCTATAGTAATATTTTGGACTTATTTCAAGTATTGTTTTGTTGAATATATTTAGACACTTACCACCGAATCACTAGAAGCAGAGAGCAAACATTGCATTGCTTCTATTGCAGATAGTTCAAGCAAATCGAATGCTATATCTCCAACTCAGTCTGCCATCACTTTGTCCTTTACAAGCAATCCCGTTACCGCAACTCCAATCCATACACGTCTGAATTTGAACTCAAAACCACCTGCAACTTCATCAGCTACCACACTCCCTGATTCAATGTTAACTTGCACTGATGCTAATCTATTGAACCAAGTACCTGTTTTTTCAGATTCAGTCTCTGTGCTCAAATCTCCTCGAAATTCACTTGGAACCGAATTTTCTTTGCAGACTAATCCTGATCCTTTATTGTCCATATCAGACTGCACATCTATACATGCACCAACTCAACTCTTGGAAAATGTGTCAAATGAGGAACTTTTGAATCCTGTAAATATGCAGTCCAAAGAGGATGTTGATATGGCAGATCTAGAAACGCCAAAACTCGACTCGTTCAAAGCTAGTACTGGTATTGAAATACCACCCCTGAAAAGCTCTTTTTTGTCAGATGCTTCTTCAGTAACTGGAATTTCTAGTACATCTGAGCTAAAAGGAACACATGATGTTGATAGATTAGCAAAGGGCAGTACACAGAATCAGCCAAATGTAGAACACATAGAAGCAAATCCAATCAACATGAATACCAGGAAAAAAGCAAAAAAAGACTTGACCGATGACCAACTGATGTATCGCATCTACAGTAAAAGTACTGCATCAGACAGGGTTACGCGAAAGTCGTTTGGATCTACTGCTATTTCTAAACAGACAGGTCAAAACTCTCACAATATGCCATCTAATTTTTCGACAAAACTTACTGGCAAGCACACATCTACTAACACAGTATCATCCAGTTTAGGCGAAAAATCTGCAATCACTACCAGATCCACACCTACAAGTTTGTCAAATAATTCGACTTTGAGTGTGACTGTCGATGCGCAAGTGTTTGATTCCGATGACTCAAATATGGCCACTACAAATAATTCTGAGCAATCTTTTCCTGAACAAGACCCATGCACCACATTGCCTGCTCATGCATCTGTAAATAAGTCAAAGCATAGATCAATTGAAAATACTAATCTTGGGTCTGGCAAAAGGCATTTATCTAGGCTTAAAAAAACAACCGTGAATAAAACTAGGAATGTGTCTAGTGGGACTTTATCAGCAAAGTCTGGTAGAGTAACCACCAGGCTTTTAGCTAGAACTCGAAACATGGATAAATCTTTGACGGCTGCAGCATCAACTTCAAAACACAACAACAAAAAGTCTGATGATTTGGATTCAGAGTATCAGCAGCTATCTGACTTGACTTTACATCACAAATTATTTGAAGATCCATCACCTTTGACAAATCCAACTGCAGATCAAGCATTGTCAGAGTCTCGTTCGTCTTCTGTACCAATTGACACTCCAGTAAGAGTTTTATCCTCTGATGTGACAACCCATCACAACTCTGATCTTTTTGACACTCAGACTACCGCTACTGAAAAACCAATAAGAAATAATAACCAAAGGGATACCATTTCATCTCATCAAGCATTCAAGGATAGTATTTCCGAAAATGAATCAGATAAAGACTTGACAGATCATAATGTACTTTCAAGTAAACGCCTTCGCGTTCGACCACATTTGCGGTATCAAGATGTATCGTCACGAACTACTCCCAAACTCAATTCTGCCAACGGATCGCCTATTAGCGGCTCTGAATCGCTTTCAAGTGTAAATTTTGAAGTTGCTAACAACTCCATTACGGCCATAACTTCTACAATTGGTGATGATAATCAAGCATTTGATGCTGTTGAAGCTCAAGGGGCTAAAGCATCCGAGGATATAGTTTCCACAGTCAATACTGATCAAACCACCTCTGGTTTGTTGACTTCCGAAGCTGGCGCAGATATACCTGGTATAGTACAATCTACTCCAACCACAGATAATCAACTTGCTACATCTACCACTGCAATTCTTTCGTCGCCCGTTACGCGCAATTCCACTTTATCTGGATCAAGAGCAGCATCTCAAGTTACATACTCTATAGCAGATTCGTCAGTAAAAGACAAATTACAAGCAATCAAGCGGTCTCGAATTATGAATAAGCATTATCATTCTTCATCTGCTATTCATGCAGATCACATTGAAGCTGCTGTTGCCTCTAGACTACCACCCAATGAAATCACGACTGAAGAAGCAGCTTCATTTCCAATCTATGGCAATAATATCAGACTTAGTCAGCGCTATTTGCGTGCACGAAATTGGATTTTGTCTATATGGCTATTCAATCCACAAATCTTTCTAACAATCGAAAACGTGCTTGATACAGGACAAGTCTTTATGAACTACAACATTTTTGACAAAACTGTAGTATCCAATGCATTCAAGTTTTTACATCGTTATAGATACATCAACTTTGGGTTGATGTCTGGGCTGCCAGAACATCTTGTTAATCCACCTGTTACCGATTGTCGCCGGCCCAAGATTGTTGTCATTGGAGCTGGTATAGCTGGACTAACTGCTGCTAGAGAAATTATCAATATTTATGGAGAATCGCCAACTTTGAGTATTCCCGAGATTGTAGTGTTGGAGGCATCGGATTACGTTGGCGGTCGGATTGCATCCCATCCATTGAGTTCGTCCAGAGGAGCCGACTTTCCTCATGCGACTGTAGATCTTGGTGCACAGGTTGTGGCTGGGTTTAAAAGTGGCAATCCTCTTGATGTCATTATTAATTCGCAGTTAAAACTTCCGATTCATCATTTGTATCATTCTGACAACTGTCACCTGTATGATATTGACGGATATCAAATGGAGGAGCTTCCCGACAAGTTTGCGCAAGATCTTTTCAACGAGATTTTTGATCGTGCGTGCTCTACCGTAATCATTGATGGTGAAAAACGAGTATTGAACTCGAAGAACTTGCAGAAATGGCAGGACGAACAGCGGCGGTCTCGTCGCACTGATGCACCATCGCTCGAAAAACTCCTCAATCATCATCTTTTATCTCATCCCGTCTATCCCCAGCTTGGCAAGAATTATTTGAGAATGATTCACTGGCACATTGCACATTTGGAGTTTGCAAATGCTGCTCCTTTAGCAAACGTTTCTGCCAATTTTTTGAATCAGGGTGATGGGCACGAGTTTACAGGAACTCATGCTTTGGTTTCTGGTGGGTTGAATCAGGTACCGTATGCGTATGCGTACGGAGCATCTCCTGAACATTTTAAGCTGCCTATTTTGCTTGATAAAAAAGTATGCAAGGTAACTTTTCCAGTTTCTTGGGATGGCTCTAAACCTCAAGAGTCGGTATTTTCCAATGCTCAAACTACACACTATGGAAAAGTTCAATGCGAAGATGGGTCAGTGTACGAATGTGATGCTGTTGTGATGGCTCTCCCACTTGGCGTTATAAAAGCCAATACCATCCAGTTTGAGCCACCATTGCCGACCTGGAAGCAAGAGTCGATTGATGCGTTGGGTATGGGCATTTTAAACAAGATTATTCTCGTCTTTCCTAATCGATTCTGGGATGAACATATGGATCTCTTTGGCGCGCTTGTTGATCCATCTTCACCTGTTTGGCCACCACATAGTTCCATGAATCAAACCAAAAACGATATCAATAGCGACGAATATTCGGATGTGAGAGGGCAGTGCTTTATGTTTTGGAACCTGTATCAAACAACCAAGCTTCCAGTTCTTTCAGCGTTTGTGTCAGGTCAAGCCGCTTTGGATATGGCAATGCATACCGATGAAGAGTTGGTAAATGGAGCTGTCAAGGTGCTTATGCGTATATTTGCTAATGTGTCACCGTTTCCTCAACCCATCGAGTATTTTGTAACTCGGTGGGAGGATCAGCCAAATATCAAAGGCAGCTACTCGTTTATTGGAAAAAATGCTACCAACATGGATTATGATCGACTGGCAGAGACTTGTTTTGAACGGATGTTTTGGGCTGGTGAGGCTACGTGTAAAGACTATCCAGCGACTGTTCCAGGTACAGTTCCTTAGTACAACTCTTTGATTTTTTTAAATAAGCTACGGTAGTAGTATCTGACATATCTATGTGATGATATTGCTTATTTTTTGTATAGGTGCAATAATTAGTGGATTTCGTGCTGCTACGCAGGTTACAAATTTGTTTATGGGGCAAACGAGATTTCCAGAAATTCCTAATCCTCAAGGATTTAAATTGACTAAATTTGGATCACAATCAAATGGATGTCATTACTCTGACTGCCATATCTCCATCCCTGCCACGATTTCACTGTTTGATCATATCTATGAAACACATTTGATCCACCGCCAAAAATTGCTTAGAAAGTCTAAACAAGCTCCGAAATCTCGCGCACTGTCGTACACAATTGGGGATGATGGATTTGATGTGTTTTGTGAGGAGCATCTTGCTAATGCCTTGGCTCTCTGTCAAAAGTATCCCAACATGTCCTCTAATGACGTTGTGAAAATGTGGTGGGATGGATTGGTCAGTGCAGATAGGCGTACCTATATGGAAGCTGCTGCTGCCAGGAACACGTTGGCAGAATCATCTCATTCTGAACACACTCCACTTGCCTCGTCAACACTACAAGAGTCTATACCTCTTGTAGAAGCTACAGGTACATCTGAGAATTATTCAAATAATATGGACACGCTTCATATGCGCCATTCACCACCAGCATCGTCTGTGAAAAGAACTATTGATGCGGATCAAATAGAGAAATCTTTGGCTGGACAGGACGCTTCAACACCGATGCCATTATCTAACAATGATACATTTGTTAGTTCTTTGCCTATTTTGGATGGGCATCACAATCAGCATTTGATTCCAGTTTATAGGCCAGACACGACATTGCTTCATGAGCGTCCAGCTATACCAAGAGATGAGTTGGATACTCAATCCATTCAGTATATCAACTCTCGTCCTACTACCTATAATCAAAACGAGCCATTATCAAAGCATGCATCAAGGATATCTTCTGCACAACCAAACGATATGATTCCAACACTCGAGCGCATAAATCCTGATGGGGCCGCAAATCTTGATTTCCCAATGAAGGTTCTAAAACGAAAAGCCGATCATGCTGAGCTTTATTTACCAAGGAGTTTGCATTCAAACAAGCCTTTTAGACCTTTGAGTTCAAGCGGATCACTCTATGGATCTGATGTGGATAGCCACCGACATGCAAAGATGCACAATTACGAACAAATCCCGCATGTTGGTCCAATGTATCCTCATGCACTGGACCAACACGCAGACGTGCACTTGAATGAATACAAGTATGCAGGCGGGTATCATGGACATGAATCTACCAATTCGGATGCCTCTTTAAACCCTTATTTTCAACCAAAACGTGAGCCTGTGTATATACACGAAGATAACACTCGTATGAGGCCAAGATATTCTTCAGTAGAACCAGGACCGGCTCCTTATGCATTCAATTATCATCCAACTCAAGCCTTGCATTATACAAATCAGTTTCCCAACGAGTATATGAGGGTGCGATCTCAGAAGCAACCTTTATTATCTGGTACAGATCCTTATCGCCATGAATTGCCTGTGCATGACAACCGATTGTTTTCTAGTAACAGTTATACACCAAGTGATATGAGCCTCATATCTGAGCAGCCTAGTCATCATCATGCAAGTGGATCGACGCACTCTGGCTATATGCAACAACATACCAATACTTTGCATACGAAACCCAATCCATCTTTGCAAGCCTATTATGATCCGAGTAGTCCATCAGGGTTTTCACATCGCCAGCCACAAGAATACTATGACCAACCTATACAAGATGCTGCTGGTGGTTTTTATGACTATCCCCTTCGACGTCGACCAGGCAGATATCAGCATGAAAATGAACATGCTCCTACGCCCTATGCACCACCTCGTCACCCAGCGGAGCTTCGCGATGGTACGCCGTCACGACAAGGCGAACACGGACATCAGATGTATTATCCTCAATTGAATCATCACCACTCATGGCAAGAAACACCACCTCCAGGGTCTTTGAAACCACCATTGCAACGTACGCAAGAATTTCGATCTATTGGATCTGTATTTTCACCATCTAAACAGCAATCAAGAGCACATGTTTTACCATTGTACAACACTCATGAAGATGCGAGTATACATCCGACACGATCCAGTCAAGGAAGTATTGATGAACAACAATCTTTAAAAGATACAAGTGAGTGGATGATGGACAAACAATATCCAGGAATGCGACAACTGGGGTCGATTCCATTAATTCCATTAGTTCCACCACCACAAAACCATTCACCTTCACAAATAGGAGAAAGATACTACCAACCCACGCAGCAAGGTTATTTGCAAGAAACATACCCATATCGAGAGTATTCACAAGAAGATCGAAACAGTAATGCCAATGAAATAGGCTCGCCTCAACCAGGAACACCTCACGGATACTTGCAACGTCGCGTTAGTTCCGAGTTTAAAGAATACCAATATGGCATGAACACTCACAACAGGAAATAAACTGTTTTTTAATAGTCAAAATTCTTCCTTCTGTGTGCTTTGAGTAAAACATTCTGCCATCTAGGCAACATAATAAACAGGAATTTGTGCAAATTTACTTTGTCCGTCTGTCAACTTTTATCAACCAAATCTACACATGGTTGGTCTTTACTGTTCATGTCAGAGTGTACAAGCAGAACATAGTGTCTATTAAATGAATACTAACTTTGAATTCAACTGTTTCTCACAACAACCCTGGTTCAACTGTGGTGTTGTGCATTCTACTGCTATAGGGTCAGAATCAGTCTGGAATGGGAGGTCCTCCCGGTGGTCCTGGAGACCAGAAAAAGGACGAAAAGGTTAGACTATCGAATGACCATCAATGAGTGGTTGATGCTCACTGTTGTTACTGGAGAGTTTGTGATATCGAGTTGTTACTGGAGTTTGATATCGAGTTGTTACTGGAGTTTGTAATATCAAGTTGTTGCTATAATTCCATGTTGCTGTTCTTGGCATAAACACTGAGATTTCATCTAGCTTTTGTTCATCAACCATTTCAATACACTCGACTGGTCTGCTTTATACCAAATTGCTCGGTCACGTCAACTAATCCTTCACTATTGAATTCAATCTAGAAAACTAAAAAGTGGGAACCTCCTCTTCCTACTAGAGTTGGAAAGAAGAAGAAGGGTCCTGATGCTACTACAAAATTACCTGCAGGTAAATATGGGTTTGAATGACTAGGATATGTCTTGGTATACCATTTGTTTATGACTTGTCCTTTTGGTATCAAGGATCTTGGGTTTTAAGATTTATATGCATACTTGATTTCTTGTATTCAACATTTTTTGGTTTATAATTCAGTGTTTCCAACCACTCGTTGCAAGCTCAAGCTTCTTAAAAATGACCGTATCAAAGATTATTTATTACTCGAGGAAGAATTTGTGCAGAATCAAGAGCGTTTGAAGCCTCAAGAAGCAAAGAACCAGGTACTTGTCTAATCCATTCAATCTAGTCTTTTTGAAATAGTGTTAACAGCATTGATCAACAAATAGGCTGAGCGATCTAATGTAGATGATTTGCGTGGAACTCCTATGAATGTTGGGAGTCTCGAAGAAATTATCGATGATGACCACGCTATTGTATCCATCTCGACTGGACCTGATCATTATGTGAGCATCATGTCATTTGTAGACAAAGATTTGCTAGAACCTGGATGTGCTGTCCTGCTTCACCATAAGGTATACTGTTGATCTTGGTAGTTGATGCTTCCTTAATGTAGTAAATATATGGCTTACTTTTATATTGTTTAGACCATGGCTGTTGTTGGTGTTTTACAAGATGATGCAGATCCCATGGTCAGTGTAATGAAACTAGAAAAGGCTCCTACCGAGTCTTATGCAGATGTCGGTGGTCTTGAGCAACAGATTCAAGAAATCAAGGTGTGTTGATGATCCCATGCTTTGGCTATGTGATTATACAGTAAATCTCAATCTATGCAATACTTTCGTGTAAATAGGAAGCTGTCGAGCTTCCACTTACTCATCCCGAACTCTACGAGGAAATGGGCATCAAACCTCCCAAAGGCGTTATTTTATATGGTGTTCCTGGAACAGGTAAATTCTATCCAGTCTTTGACTTTACAACTATTTTTATTGTTGCTGATTTTTATACATATAGGCAAAACCCTTCTTGCCAAGGCTGTTGCAAACCAAACATCTGCCACCTTTTTGCGTGTTGTTGGCTCCGAACTTATCCAAAAATACCTCGGCGATGGTCCTAAACTTGTTCGTGAGCTTTTCCGTGTAGCTGAAGATCATGCACCATCTATTGTTTTTATTGATGAAATCGATGCTATTGGTACCAAGCGGTAAGTGAGCTGCTCACTCTGTTTTTATCATGTCGTGCTAATAAATCATTGATGGCTTGTTTTAAATAGATACGATTCAACTTCAGGTGGCGAGCGTGAAATTCAACGAACCATGCTGGAGCTTCTTAACCAACTGGACGGTTTTGATTCTCGTGGTGATGTTAAAGTGATTATGGCTACAAATCGAATCGAATCTCTTGATCCTGCCTTGATTAGACCAGGCAAGTTTATCATTCTATAATGATTGACAAGAAATGTATACTGACCCTTGCATTGTGTCGGGTTTGTCATTTCTGTTTCTAGGTCGTATTGATCGTAAGATTGAGTTTCCACTACCCGATGTCAAGACTAAACGTCGTATTTTCAATATCCATACTGGGCGTATGACTCTTTCATCAGATGTAGACCTGGAGGAATTTGTCATGGCAAAGGACGATCTCTCTGGCGCTGATATCAAGGTATATTGATGACTGGCTACTGCTAAATATTGTACTTGGCTAAATAGTTTTTACTGTAACATACAGGCTGTGTGCACTGAGGCGGGTCTGCTGGCACTTCGTGAGCGTCGTATGAAGGTGCAAGCAGATGATTTTCGCAAGGCAAAGGAGAAGGTGCTGTACCGCAAAAACGAGGGGACTCCAGAGGGTCTTTATCTTTAACTTTGAATGGTGTTTCTATTGACAAACAATATTCTACAGCATGCTTTTGATTTATTGAAATGGAGCACTTGCATAAGACGACGATTATTAATGAAACAGGTTCATACTGCTACAATCTTTATTTTAAACAGCTTTTTAGTTGGGTTGATTGTGTCTTTTTGGCACTGGACAATCGTGTTCATTTGACAGATGGTTAGCAAAATGGAAGCCATCCGCGCCATGCACGACCAAGAATATTTGGGTCAGTCGCTTGATCAATCAGACACCGAACTTGCTCTCTGACATCAGCACATTGCTGACCAACCTGAGAACGCATAGCAAGGGTATCATTTCCAACAAGGATATCGCGTGCTCTGCCAAGATAAGGCTTGTCTGTATGTCCCCACAAAAGCTCTGTCAACTGAATATAACTCGGATGCTCTCCGCAGAGTTTCCTTGCTGCCACATCAAGCTTTTGTTGCGGATACCATTTAGGAGTATTCAATGAGTTGGTATCAATATCGGATGATTCTGTCAATGCACCAAATCGGTTTACTTGTGGCCAATATCGATATGTTAGAATCTGGCAATATTATACTCGAAATATTTGAATACGCTCAACAACTCACTATTTCGTTTATACTGAGAAATTGCAAACTTGCGCCATTCCATCAACGGCTCCTTTACAAATATATCTAGCGACGTCATGATCATGTCCTTCTTTTCTTGGAGCACTGTTTTGCACAATATTAATATTATCATGCAGTGGATGAGTGAGTAGATTAAAAGCCAATGGCAGCTGCATTAGATTTGCTGGGCAATAGTTACCTGTCATGACATCTACCATAGGTGGTTCGAGCAAAACATGTATACCAAGCGGACCCATAAACTCTTTGATTTGTCGAGTAAGTCTAAATGGAACCAGTTCAGGTACTGGAAGCACTTCCGTGGCAGATCCAAATGCATACCCAAAATCAATTCCTATAACATGTCCACTAGTAAAATCCAAAAAATAGTTCAAAGGCTATCCAAATGATATGGGATGCAAGCACAGTAAAATACCTTTTTAAATCCACCAGAAAATTCTCTGTGTGTCGATCGCCAATACCTGTCAATAAGTTCATAAACAAGCATATCTATTAATGGACCCACTCAACTCAATATAAAGCATTGAGATTTACCCATAATATACGATGCAATGCTCAATGATGCCCAGCTCTTTGCAAACCCTGATCGAATAAGTATATACGCTTCAGCCGATGCAGCCAGGTTTTGTATAAACAGCTTTAAAAAAGGTTTTTCCATGATCATCCAAAGCGATTGTATCATATGTGCAACATCATCTGCATTTGCGTACATGAGCACATTTCCGTACACTGATTGTGGAGTCGAGCAAAGATTAGAATCTCAGTTGACACGGATTGTAGTAGCAATGAAAATACATGACATCAAAATATAGCAACTACTTGCGTTCTCCTATTGTTTTAGTGCCATTTCGATAAGATTCAATAAATTGACTGTACTGCTTGTCTGCATTCGCGAATGCAGTTTGAAAGCCCGTCACATCGGACATGCATTCACGCAATGGTTTGGTATTGTTTACCCATTCCAACATTCCCAGTGTTCTTGTCATTGGTACTACCTATTTTTAACCATTTAAAAGACATTAGCTTGTATGCTAAACTTTATCTAATACCCCATTATGATACTTGCAATACTTGAAACTAACACGCAACTTACCGAATAAACACGGATGGACAAGTCCAATTTTTTTGATCGTGGATTACTCGTTAGAATGCTGTTTAGCATAGCAAACATGTGTTCAACTCTCTGATCCAGTCGCAAATCATCACCTCCCTATTTTCAGCAGAGATGAATAACCAAAATATAGGCACTAGTAACATGCTTACGGCTTACTCAACCATAATAGTGTACCTTGACCAAAAACGGATACTCTTTTCCATTAGATCCAACACATGTCAAGCGCTTGGGTCGTCGAAGAGATCCTAAAGCAAGAATTGAAGTTTGGAAAAACAAAATCTTGGTGCAATTCGATGTCAATACCGGTCCGTCTGCACGCTCAAGCTGTCCCGGCATCATCAGTCCTTCTTCAAGATAATGATCAAGACCATACATGGCCAACCACGGCGAATAGTACTTCAACTGAGTAGAACCTTGAGGAAAATGCTCTTTACCATGAATAAACTGCGTATAATATAGTTTAATTTCTCTCCATGTTTCAGTGCGTTTGAGTAAAAACTGCTCGCCGTTTAAACCACATATCTCGAGAATTCTTATGGAATGCTTTTTGGAAAATTCTTTTGCACCTGTACACGAATTGGAATGAGACTCGATGCAGTATTCTTTCATTTCCAAGAATGCAGATTGAAGCTGTGTTTGACGTTTTTCAGCTTTCAAATTTAAAATTAACTGCAGTGTAGAAATTATTAGTTACAACTAAATATCCAAAACTGCTTAATTTTCAAGGCAGTCTGAAACATTATATAGTTGGTACTATGATACTTTAAAAGAAATCTGCACTAACCTCGGTGTGATCCATCCAATCTTTAAAAATATGAGCAGGCTCAGTGAGACGACGTAGTTCTTGAATGAATGTTGTTGTAAGAGGCGATGACACAAAACTAAGTAGCCCGTTTACTTTTTCCATAGTGACTGTCGAGGCTGCAGTAAATAAATATTGCGTGGCACTGATTTGAAGGGGAAACACAATTGCACTGGGAAAAATGGATGACAACTGTAGAAAAATGTTAGATTTACAAGATAGGCCATTTATAAACAACCCATTTGGATTACCCTTTGTAACAGTAAAAAAACAGCGTCTCCATACGGTTTGTCTAGCACTGCTGTCAACTGTGAGATCCATCGGAGAAGCATCCAAGGAGCGAGTCCGTCACACTATTCATCCATTCAATTCAAAAAATATTAACCACCACATGTATGGAATTAAATAGAATACAAGGCAACATCACCATACCAAGACAGCAAACTCCTTTTTAGTATCTGGAAACAATTCAACAAGCTGCAATAATCTAGGAAATAATTCGCGTGACGATCTATTCCCATACATCATGCTTGATATAACTAAGCGTATCACGAGAAAGGCGTACTCATATTTTGACACTGACCAGTTCTATATATAAAGTAGTGAATAAAATGTGTAATTTTCATCAAACAGCATGTAAACATCGTTCAAACATACCAATACATTTGGATCTTGAGCCTCGATCCACCGCAAAACTTGATCGCATTGCTCAGCAATTGCAACTGTAGCTTGGCGTCTCAACTATAAATACATTTAACAATTAGCTAAAGTCAAGTTTTTGAAATCTAAAAACAACATGGATTTCTTTCAGTTTTTCATCGTGCAGTGCTTACATTCTGATCCATGATTTGTTTTGCTGTATTCAAGCCATCAAATGCCAGCATGTTTAACAAACTTCCCAAGCTAGCTGTATTTTCTGGAAATGTGTTGCATTTTTCAGCCAAAACACGCAGTAGTTTTTTGTTGCCAAGTAGGCGCGGACCAACAATGTCAGCATGATTTACCACTTGCTTGAGAATTGACCAAATGCACCTTGATTCTGCTATTATAAACTCAGTCTTGACTGGATCATCAAGTGAAAGTATTTGTTTCTGAAACACAGTGTTAAAATACAATTGCATATTTTGCATTTTTACAAAAAAACATGAATTCGATTTAAAAGTACACAAGGTTACCTGATAATGATGTGCATTAGCAAATAAATTGCAAAAAATATCCGCCTTGTCAAAACTTGAAATATGCACGCTGTTTAAACGAGCAGCATTGAGTAAAAATCCATCAAGAATGCTTGGAGCGTGGAATGACATAGTTTGAGGCATCATTCGAGAAATGCTCAAAGTAGCCAGCTGGAAATTTTGTTGATTATATGCATGCCTAATCATTTCCCTGTGAGATTTCTCTACTGCTATTTGAATGGATTCCGTATCTTTATCCCCAGTTTTGGGCCATCGACTCATAACAATTTCTCGAGATAAAAGCAAATCTCCCCAAATATCAATGTCATCTTCTGGATTTGGAAATCTAAATACTCCGTTACAAAAAATAAGGGTTAGGGTTATACTAAAATCATCAACTATGGTATCCAACCTCATATCAATCAAGCATACCTTGAACTCCATTGTTTCAATATTTCAAATTGAGAATTGTCACGTAATCGAGTCAAAGCATCATAAACTTCTGTAATCTAGTTTCCATTATTTAAAAGTTTAGTCAAATCTGCACAAAATAATGCAGATTATTAATGATTTAAAAATTAAATTTTAATACCATTTGGAGAGAACTGAGAAGCTTTAGTTTTCCGAGTTTAGAGTACATTCCAAGAGCTGAAAAGCAATCAGAAAATCTTGAAAAGGAAGAATTGACATAATGCCAAGCCTGATCATAGTCGTCTTTCAATATTGAAACAAGTCCTAGTTCTGTTAAAAACTTTGATAAGTACGCAGTACTATAAAATAAACATACACAGTGTAAAATGCATTCAATAATCAGACATCAGTTATTTAATACCAAAAGAATGATGCAACTCGAGATAATCTTGCTGCAGCTCCGTTGTTGGACTAAAAATCCTTTCAGTCTCACAGGCAAATCCTTGCACTGAAATGACAATAAATTAAAAATCCAGTTGTTAGGAAAATCAAAATAGCTTTTAAAACAATATAAAAACAATACAAAATTTTACAGGCACACAAGTGAAGCCAAGATCTTATAAATTGATGAATGTATGTGGGTTGAGCCTCGGTATCAATAGATTTTATCGGGTTGCCAGAATCCTTTAATATAAACTCTTGTATATTTTCCCATTCAAACAGTTTGCTATAGCACTCAAGAACACCTTGTTTCCACACAGATACCTTTAAATTTGATGCTTAGTTCAAGTATGCGACATGACTAAATCTTCAATTCAAACACTACTTGCCTCTTCTGCAGAAATCCTATCAAATGGCCCACTCAATGCTGTCTCATATATGTTTTTTGCCGCATTATAGTCACTAATTGAAGAAAAATAAAGCGCATCTATAAATAAATCATGAAAACCAAAAGAATTTTAAAGGTTAAATCTAAACCATTAATTTGTACATTTAGACAGATAGTTTGAATAGTACGTACCTTGTGTGTTTTTTGTAAAATCAAAATGAGCTTCATAAACTCCGTGATATACACTTAAATCCCCAATTGACCTGTACAGGGTAGCGATTCCAGTCCATATGGCTGAATATCCATTACATTGATATGTAGTTGTAAAAAACACAAATGAGGGTCAGTAACCAATCTAATAAAGCGTAGTCTATGATACTAGGCAAGATCTAACATTTTTTTGCAACATTTTTTTGAATGCTTTTTTCTAAAATCATGATCCCAAGATTCTCATTTCCGGTTTTAATACTGGCAGAAACAATCAATAGTGGGTCAATATGGGTGCATGGAGTCTCATACAATATACGAAGCATGGTTCCAACAAATGTAGCCGACGTGAATTTGGAACGAATCAAAAGTTTAGACACGACGCTTTGCAGATCCTTTTTCACAACGTCGGTAGATTGCATTTGATTGCTAGGGGTTCGAGGCAAACTTTTTTTCCTGTCAGATGTGGTCCATATAGACGTCACCAGTTTGGAGAATACAAATCGAGATACTTCATGGTCACTCTGTACAAGCTGCTCAAGTGGCTTGATAATAGAGCTGCATTTAATCTGCACATCAGGATACTTTCCAGTTCGGTAGTTGCATAGTATTTTTACTTTACGATTTTGCGCAAGCTTTCGGAGACTTTCCGCTTTAATCAGATTTTGCTTTAAACAAGCAGTCTCTTTGGAAAAATATGCACGTTCTTCAGCAACAGTCCGCTCCTCATGCTTGCGCTTTAATGATTTTAATGCTGCCCTAGTAGATTGACTGACGGAACCATTTCAGAAAAGCAATCAAGGCTTATGTAAATATACTCGTGCTGCTAGCATTCAAAAACAATCAAGTATCATTACACTTACCAGTCAATGGTTGATTTTACTTGATTTAGCTTATGTAAAAATAAACTATTCATCTGAAAATTTGAACTTGAAAAGAATTGACGCCTGGAATTTGTATCTACATTCAAATCACACTCAGATTAAATATATTTAAAAGCATAAAATGCAATCTCCTAATCCCATTAAACCACTTGCCTTGAATGAAAAGCCAATGAGTATCATCATCACTTTTAGTAGTCGAATCCACGCCATATGCCTCAGTAACTTTGTCCATCTAAACTCGGCCAAACAACACATGTCAAATGATTGAGCTGATGCTTATATTGATTAAATTGGCAGTTTCAAAATACTTACTAGATCATCTGAATTTTCTTGAGATAAAAACAATGGCTGTATAGTAGTATTGTTTATCCATGACGTGTCTATAGGCATATCAACAAAATAACCATCTTTCAAACTTTTGGAAAACAGATCTGTATCATATCCAGCGGAATGTTGTGAAGGGCCAAGCAAAAAGCGAGTAGCATATGAAACAAAAGAGTTTTCAGTGTCTGAGGAATACAGTGATCTAAACACATCTGTTAGTAAGATACAAGTGAAATATAAAATATACAGATAAATCACCACCAAAAACTCACTCGAACAGTATGCTAGTTCGATCAAACAAATTGACTTTTCCAATTATATTTTTTTCAACATAATTAGCAATCTCACTACAAATGTCATCACAAGTATCATCAAGTCCTTGGAGAAGGCACATATGTAGATGATTGAGCAGATCTGCTACACGGAAAGTTAAAGTTTTGGCAGTCGTTTGTTCTGAAACCAAATCTCGCCTAATCTTTTTTGTTCTGTGAAAGTCTGGTAAAAAAGAATCGTTTTCTTGGATCGAGCTAGAAAGCTTTTGAATAATGACTAGAATTAATAAAAAATAGGCCTGGCGACACTTTTGGTCTGGATGAGTACTAAAGGTTGGTACTATTGTTTTTAAAAAGTACTCCATGTCATCAACAGACAAATCGGGAATCAGTTCGATTAGAATTAGCAGAGTAAATTTTTGGCATTCATCGTCTCTGTGCGACAAAAGTCCAAGTAGATCCCTAGCACAGAGCTCTATAAACATCGACGGTATACTGGACGCACATGATACCAATGTTTCCAAACATAATGCCTTTGTAGATCCAAATAGCTGTGGAAGTATAAATAAAAGCGATTGGCCAAAATCTGTCAAGATTGGCGGATACTTTAAACTAATGCGGTTGAGAATCACCACAAATTTGTCAATGTCGCGAGCTTCGCCAAGATATGTTTTTTGGAGCTCTTTATGTACCACACAAGCCACATAGTTTAAAAGCGTATGCGATTCTTGTTTGAAATTTTCCAGTGTGTGACCAATCAACTCTGCAGCTACTATAAAAATATCTTTTCTTGCACTGCTTAGCTGAGTAACAATACTTTTATAAAATAGACCTTCGCTTAAACCAGGAGTCTGAATATCTACGCCAGAGTAAATAGGTAGACCATTGGATGAAAATGCAAAGCAGAGATAGAGTGCACTCAATGCGTCGTACTTTGTAGCAGTATCCTTGGGCAATTGAAGTTGATCATAAATGATATCCTAAACAAAATGTCAGGGTTAGCAGTACATTTAAGCTAGTCTAGGTGTCAGTATTGACAAACATGAAAAATGTACTTACTGTTGGTGTCACAATACGCTTGCTGAAACACTGAATGAGATGAGAAATCAAAGCTACATTTCGCAGCATCTCAAACCTGACTTGATTTCCACAATGCAAACATACGACTCGCTATTCAAACAGCAAAAATCAGCGAGTGTAGTTTCCAGATATAATCTTCAAATATCAGTTTGAAATAACTCACCATCATTTTTATAATAATGTAACGACTCTCTAAAGAGTCGTCATATAAATCAACTTTGCTTCCATCCATATTAGTACTCCACAAAACCAGCTGTGAAATAATATCCTATTAACCCAATATTAACAAGATCCAAAATTGAATTTTAATTTTCAAAATTCAGTATCTTTATACATTTTGACAGTCATACCTTAACCAAAGAGTTGAATCCGCCAAAAAACGTCGTTTCATCAGCCAACATTTGTGCCAATGGTTTCCAAAACTCGGTCTTGAACTTTTCAAAATAGTCAGAATGCATCAGAATAACCTTGACAATAAACGCCCTGATGTGGAACGACGTCTCTAATAGATTGATCATTCAAATCATGGTCTAGTCAAAAACGAAAAGTAGTATGCGCTATGTTTGGACATACAAATTACCTTGATTAAAAGTTTCAAGTAGTTGTGCTGCACAAACGTGCATAGACCCAACATCCACCAAAGCGGTTGTGGATATACGCGCAGCTCCATCTAGTGACCGGATTACACAATCCAGTAAATCGCGCTTAAACAAAGGAAAACCCTTTAAAAAGTATTAGTGTCAATACTGATCAATTGTGAATATAAATATAATAGATAAATTACATTTTGGAAATTGCTGACATCTTGATTGTTTGAAGTCTGGCTGAAATTCAATTTGTCCGATTGAAAATCAACATCCTTGGAAAATTCACATAAAAACGACACTTGCTGATGAAGATCAATCAAATTACTCCAATGGCGCTCTTGTTTATGTGGATTTTCTGAAAACAAAAACACTCGATACATTTCAGACTTGAAACAAGTATATCAGTACAAAACATACAATATAGGCTATACGTCATGTAAGGATCCAATGTAAAACCTACTTTAAACTGTGTTTTACAAATTACAGCAGAGAGAGCTCCGTATGCAGCACGATGATACATTAGACGTATCGGAGCTAAATCTACAGGGTCAAGTATTGGTACATCTTCAGATTTTGCAGAGTGAGCAGATTTGATTAGTGCAAGCGAAAGGGCTTTTTCATTCGCCGCCGGAAACGGATGCGTGTATGCGTTGATCACTTTTCCAGATATATGGTGCAGCTCCTTGTGTGGGATATGCAAATATGCAACTTCCATAAGACTAAAACACGATGCCTTAATGACAAGATCCCGGGTTATATCACCCATTATAAGCGTAACATCGCTTGTAATAGACTGCATGATTGATTTAACGTGCTTGGTAAAAAATGCAATTAGTTTTGCCTCGCTCATTCCCAATAGCACTGGTATTAAAACATCTTTAACAACATTTCCTCGAAGATTGTACATGATGCTATTATCAAATAAATATCTTGAATCGTTGAAAAATATGTTAACAATTCGATTGAAAAGCAATGGTGACTTTGCACATGTTCATAAAAGACACGATATAATATCTATGATGCTGAATTCATTGATACTTACTGCATACACATATCAGTAAATTCATGTGCTTTTACATCAGAAAGATGCGTTCCCATGTGATTCATTCCTTGCTGAATCTTGTAGGTAAATATACTGTTATCATCTCGACATAAATGGGAAAAAAGCACTTTTGCAATCAAAACAGATCCATGCATTTCAATCCCTTGCAAAAGATTTTCTACAACTGCAACATATTGTAAATACTGATCCGTTCCTTCAAGCGCTTTTATACCATTGGGTGAAACTGGAAATTGAATTTGAATAATATTTTCTATACATTGAGTCATCTGCATTCAATGGTTATTAATGGCTAGCAAGTTGATTGCATTCACTTGATGATACTTTTAATAATAGTTGAAAGCATGATACACGTACAAGATTCTCGGTTGCTTTGTCAATGCTGGAAAACCTAGCCAAGTGTCGTATTGTATCGCGTTTCTCTGCCAAAGAAAACCGAGTTTCAAGTAAAAAAGCAAGCTCCGCTGTCATTAGTTTTAAAAAATCCGGATGATTCATAACTGTATCGTTTGATATGCTATTGATACGGTTAAAAAATAATCGTGCAATGCCTGTCTGCTCATGATTTCTGTGAGAAAATAAACTTTCCAAAAGCGGAATACACTGTGGTAGCACCTTGTTCAGTAATTGAATAGCATCCACATGGTCTGTAGGTGCGCTCAATAATGAGTCTAGCATTCCTAATACAACCATATGAACCTGAGGGCTTGCCCAAAATTCCTTGACGAATGGTGCATATTCATCAAACTTGGTTGCAAATGATTGGTCAAGAACGGGTTGGAACCAGTGGTAAAAATGTTGAGCTTTTTTTGAAACGTCCAAATCCGTAAACATCTATTGTAATCAATACCATATATTCAACCCGTTAAAATGATGTTTTCAAAAACAAACTATAGAATCACTATTAGATACACTTGCCAACAAATTAAAGCAAACAAACGATCTGTAAGTACTGATTGAAAGACACACAGACAAAAAATTCTGGGTTATTTCAATGATCCCAGGATCAGTTTTAACAGAGTAAAATACAAGTGATTCTAGTCCACGTTGAAGTGGATGAAGAGCCCCAATATTTGAAAGCTCAGACATCCAAAGTGTTCGAGTCAGCAAACTTAGTCCACGAAATTGCATCCTATAATGAGCAAAGCTTTGACACTCGTGCAGATTTAAGAGTTCAAGTGCAAGTGGGTCAATTCCAGATGCGATACTAAGAAGCATCTTTACGCGATTTTCCATAGGAAGCCGGCGATAAAACACATCAAGGGTGCTTTCAACTATTGATTCTAATCTGATTGAAACACCAATATCAGTATGATCAAATGAGTTGGGTATACTGTCCGTAAGTAGATCCAAACCAAGAACAGCGGGATTAAACACTGCCAACGTGAGTATTTTAAACATAGGCTCTTCTACAAGGGCCCATATATCAGATGTCATGTGCATCTCTATACTGCCTTGCAATGAAAATACAATGTTCATCAATCCAAACAATTTTACGACAGACAAAGCAATCGCATCTACATAAGATTGATCTCCATGAGTAATGTTTCGAAGGTCAGACAGCGTTTGAAATCTAGAGCATACGTTTACAAATTGCAATAATGGATTGATCAACATGGGTTGACAGGTCACAAGTTGGGGTTTCAAAAGATCATTTTTCAATAAAAAGGTAAATGAGTCTAGTGATACAGAAAGTTGCTGAATCCATTTTCTTCCAAGAGCACTATCATGTCGCCAATTTCCTTGAAGAATAGGAGAAAGTAACTGATCCGTAAGGTAGTTTGGGGAAGCGTATATCAAGCTATCAAACATTGTGTTTTTATCTAATAATGGTTGCAGGACAAATTTAAAGTGTAAAATCCGTGTTTTCATTAGTGTCAGATTATTTAAACTAAAAATAACAAGGCAAAGTCACTCACTAGATATCAGGTTTGTAAAACGAATAAATAAATCCCTACACGCTTGAGCGAATGCATACTCAACGGATCCAAACTGGCCAAATAACCACTTTATCAATGATAAAAGATCTGAAGATTCAAGTCCTGGAAATAAGCGTCGCAGATCATCAACATTTTTAAATAAATCAACTCGCGTCACTATAATATAAGCAATTGATTCGACAGCCTTTTGAGCAGAAACAACCGTTTCATCAGACACTTCGTCGCGATCAGAAATACGAAGCGCATACAGTGAATGATATAGCATTTCAAATGTAAACATAGTAGCAGCTTGAGTGTTGAACTGAAGTATATGCTTAATTTTACCAACAATCATGCAGGCTCCGAGTCGTTTATGTGGCTCGTGGTGATCAAGCAAATGATATATTCGAATAAATATTGTACTGACATCAGAATAATCTTTAGAATCCTCATCCATATCATCTGTCGGATTTTTCAAAAAATGAAACAAAAACTCGGCAATGGATTTGCTGCCAAAATCACGTTGAGTAGCACTATCACTTGTGGCTGCATCCATGCAAGCGAAAAAAAGCACGGCCGTCTCACTGGCTTTTCTATTTTCAGGAATGGATAGCCATCGAATGATCTGTAGCAGCAAAGGTTGAAACAAACTGCGTGAAATAGGTTCCACGTCCACTGCAATTCTCAATATACATGGAAACACCTTTTCAAATATATCATGAAATTTACACCGGGTGTCAGACACATGTCCCAATCCAAATGCAATCCGACCTAGCATAAGAAGTATCAACGAATAGAGTAACTCTAATGCTGCAACTTTGACTTTTCGATTTGGCGAGAATTCTGCAAGATATGAAATTCGGGGTATTATATCATCTAAACATCCAAATACATATTAGCCAAACGCATACAGTATTGGATTAAACAGCCAAAGCAATGCAATCCGATAGTTTTGAAATAGGATTAAAATACAAAAAAAGTTACCAAAGTATATTCGAGCAATTGTCTCGCGATAAGGTACATCAAAGAACAACAGAGGAGGTTTCTCCCTGTTCCATGAAATGGCCACATCAAAATTCTTTCCATCAAGCAAAAGTCGATTGTATTGCCCAATTCTTCCCAACAGCAAAACAACCCTCCTTTTAATTTTGTTTAAATCAATATGATCTATAGTGGATGTTTCAAGAGAGCTATCAAGTTTATCGCGCTGTATTGCTCCCATGCCAAGTTTAAACTTTTTTGAAAAAAAATGAGAATTGGACGTGTTTTGCACTGTTCCATTTGGAGATGTTGAGAGATATTCTACGAGTGAAGGCAAAACATGAGATAGTACTGATTGCCAACTTTCAACATTTGAGTTTTTGATCCAACGCTCGAGTGCATCAAGACCGACAACAGCCATGGGAAAATAACTTGTGCCCATGGAAAACGCTGTTTGCATTGCATCTTGCATTTTGGAAATGTCTAGAATAGAAAACGGAGCAGACAGCACAAGTGACAAACACGAGCATAGTAAATCATCCTTGAATGCCCACATACGCCTTAATACATGAGCAACGTAATTACAAAACATTTTTTTACAGTCCAATGCATGCTGCCGAGTTTGGTCTGTATCGCTGAAAAAGTCGGTATCAATGCAAATTTTGAGACAAAGAGTAAACATGTTGTAGTATCCACTAATCAATGGATGCTTTCTGGAATGTTTAATCCATGTTTCAGCAAATACAAGCATCCATTGAGAAAGTCGATGTTTAGGCTTTCCAAGGAAAAATACTTTGCAGAATTGAACAAGATTGATTAAAACTTGATGATCTTTTGGATGTGTTGCAACCGCCACTACTTTGGTTTCAATTTGAAAAGTATCTGTTTCTGCACATGCTTCATTGTCAGAAAGTTGGGATTGTGAATTTTGCAAAGTTCTTTGGGTTTCAAATATATATTCGGCGTCTGCATGCTTGATTGGAGATTTCATTGTTGTGTCTTTGATAGATAGATCTAGTTTTTGTGGAATGGCAATCACCGCGTGTATGATTTCGTCAATCATCAAATCTATAAACTGCTCAATCGATTTTGGATCTATGTTGTTTTCAAGCATTAGGCTGCGTGTATTTAGTATCTCATTCCAAAACAGCAAATACTCCTTGTACGCTTCTTGCTTCAGCGTTCCAGTGGCAGAAAGCAAACTTGTCTTGATCTGCAACGAACCATCTGATAAAGTAAATGCGATTGCTCGTGATACACAATGCCTCCAAATAGTGAAAAGCGATTCGTGGGTAGAATAAAGATTCCACAAAAAAGTCAACAATGCTTTACAGCATTGGTTACGAACCACGGCACCAATGCTAGGAAAATATACAAGCATGACTTCAACAATCATTCCAACAACATGCACAAACTCGGAATCAATTGTATCCATTTCTACACAAATATGACTAAATGCTTGCAAAAAAGACGGAATGTGTAACAAATGGGCTTCGTTGATACTTTCGACATTGCTATAGAATTGAACACCGTGCTGCATAATAACTTTTGTAAGCGAGGTAAATTCATCTGCACCCCAAAAGAATTTGCATGCGTGACTCAACATTCCAAATCCATAAATGGCAAGTGATACTTCAGATACGGATAGATTGGGCGTAGTGAGTTTGTAGTTGAATTTAGAGAGAATAGAAACAAAACACAATTTTTCGTCTGCTCCCTCACAGTTTTGCAGAAGTGCTTTTGAGATATTCTTGAAAAATTGCACAAATGCTGCCAACCCCAATCTCGACAGGTCACGATTTTTGTGTATTGACATGCATTCGAAGCAATTATATAGAACAAGCCAGTCTTTAAGAAAAATATCTGCAAACATTTCCGAATGATTAATCAATATCTGAAGGCCGGCTTTAGGCAGATCGTAACGAGTTAGGTTGTCGATGGGATGAATCACAAATTTGATGCATTTATAAACCAAATTCAAATCCTCTTGTTTGATAAATTCAAACTGAAACAAGTAAAAATTCAAACCAGTCATTGCTCCAACTATATGTTGTGTATCTATTCCGGCTCGTTTTGTGCTAAAAAGTTTTTCGATAGTTTTGAGCAGATGACGCTGCAGTTGTTCAACCCAATCTTCCATGATGGAATGTGGGTACTGTTTACTAATCAGACCTAAAATGCTGAGAATAGCTCCTTTGACTAAACGTATATAATTCAATACACCAATGAAAATGCCAAATTAATCTATAAAAATTCAATTGGGTTTAGGTAATACTAACAGCTGTATTCACGTAAAATGGAGCGCTAAATAAACGAATGCCTGCATCCCAGTTTAGTAAATTCCACACTTGTTTGATTTCCAACTCTCTTTTTTTTCAAACATTGGGTGATTGACATGGAAACAACAATTACAGTTTTGAGACTATAATTTTGTTCAATTAAAACGCGAATGAGGTCAAGATACAAGTGGAATTTAACAGTAATCGGACTCAGTATCTGGATTACAATGGATGAATTTGGAAATCGTAGAATACATGATTATATCAAAAATGGAGCAAAACGATAATCAGTTTAAAACTATAGTCTGGTTTTGTGGCATTATATGATGAACGTTATGCTTTAAAAATTGAGATGCCAATTGAAGTGGTTAATTTGTAGTAGAAAATCACAACGAATATGCAACCGTTGTCTATTTCAAGCCAAGAGACAATTGCTGGAAAGCAAACGTTCCATTTTACGTGAATATGGCTCTAAAAAGAATGTCATTTAAAAACTCGACAAATGTAATACCTGACAAAGAGATTTTTGTATACTGTTGAATATAAGTCATATAATACTGTTCAAATAGTCTATCAACACTTAGATCCACAGTACTGTGTGGTATTCCAAGATCTAAGATCTGCTCGACAGGTCTAAATGACGCTAATTTGACTCGACTCGAGTCTTGTGAGCGAAATATAGCCATGCATGTGGTGATTATTTGAACGGCATATGGCAGGATAGATGATGCACCTAGTTTTGGTATAAATGCAGTCAGTGTGTTAAATATAAACACCTTTGCTCTATCATGCCGAGATATTCCTTTAGAGGATCTGAGAATACGCAATACTCCTGTTTTGGGATCAAACAGAAGTGAACTTGCAAGTGCTAAAATAGACAATCAAATGGCAAGTAGTTTATCAGTAGATTGTTAGTTATAACTTTTATATATGAATGGATTGGTTTTTATCCAAGAATCAATTCATTTGGTTCAAGATCAAGTCTGGGAAAAACTATCAATAAACTTGCCGTGATGATCTGAGGTGAGCTCGGTGGTAACAATAGTCAAGATTTCGGCAGCCAGCGATGTCGAGTCCTGCTGAAAAGTAAAGTGGATCGCAGATTCATCAGGTTCAATGGCCTGTGATAAAGCTTGCAATAGTTTTTTCAGAGTCTGTAGCTGGTTTGAAATCATTAGAAAGTAGTGGATAAAACAAGCGTGCGATTTCATTCACATTGAAATTGCAGCTCATGACAAAAGGAATGAAAACGCAGAAATGTTTATATTTCAACTCATTTTCATTAGTTTCAAACCGTTCTAATAGCATCAGACAGACTACTGTTTCAGCAGACGATAAAGCAGATCGTTCAGCAAGCTGGCCGTGTCAACAAGTCATACTGTCACCGCGGTACACGAGGCACGATCGATAGATGCTCTTGCCATTCAAATCAACAATCTATAGATATTTGCAAAAAAGCATTGCCAAGAGCGATAGTTGCTGGAAATCATGCAATGCATGATCATCAAAAGTGGATAATTAGTTCAAAGCTATAGTCTGGTTGTATTTTATGATAAACGGTGTGTTTATTGAAAATATCAATTAAAACAAATCCATGACAAGAACCTACAGCACATATTCAAACATTGTCTTTCAAAAAACGGTCATCGCAAAACAAATATTTCACTTTACGTCGATAATCTCCACATCTGGTGTAATTAAATCTAAAAATGTATCTACAAAACTATTCAATCAAACAGTCTCGGATTTATTTGTTGGATCCATCCTGTGGAAAGCAGTTGTTTTGCAAAGATGACAGCTTATTGAGCAAATCTTGTGCAATGTTTTGTGCCGGCTGTTGGTTTGTCTGAATAGCTGCCGTTTGAAAGCCATTCGGTTTTTGATAAAGGATATCTTGAAGCTGCTGAGCACCATAGTATGGTAAGAAAGGCTTGCTATCTGACCCAGATGGAGGCATTTCAGTAGATGGATACGATCCATTGATGAACGGAGCAGGCGGTGAATAGCTCATGGGCATAAATTGAGGATTAAAATATACTTGTCTTTGAGGATATTGTGGAAAATGGGGAGATTGCAAAGGTCTAAATGGCATCTGTGAAAAATGTGGCGGAAAGGCAGGACGAAACAGCTGGTTGGGTGGCATATGTAACTGCGGTCCCTGTTGTAATCTATTACCATTGTGTTGATTTTGATAATGTGGTCTAAAAGCGTGTCCAGATGGATGGTAGCCAGGTTGAGATTGAAAACTTGCATTAGGATCAATTTGTCGATCTGAGCGAACTTGTACAGCGCCATTGTAGCCGAATCTCTCTGAACCAGAGCTCATGCCACGACCTCTCATTCTGCCACGACCATTCCCACGATCGCCACCTCGATACCTTCCTCGCTCATTGGTCTGTCGCGATTGCAAAGTGTCGCTTTCTGCAATCGCACCTTCCTCTTCTGAACTGGCATTATCCGCATTTCTTTGAGACTTTTGAGCATCTCCGCGACTTTTTTTTGCATTTTTCTTGAGTCGACGATGCTCGATTTCCTTTTCATCATCAGAGTATTCAATCTCATCTGCAGCGACCTCTTCATCATATAGATTTGAAGCATCCGATCCTTTTAGTAAACGCAACGGTTGGGTGAGCACTATTTTTGCCAAATTCTCGATAAAATAGACAGAGGTGCCAACTGCAGCTTGTGTTGCAGCAATATCGGCTGCAGAGTTGAAGCGAACGGTATATAACGGTTCGTTTACCGGACCGAATGTGTCAAAAATTCGACCGAGGATACTCCGATCTTGAAAAAAAAGAATACTGTCCGCATCTAGCACTTGAACCTCGCCTCCAACAGATGCTTTGATTACTACAAGAGTATCTACGATTGCTGAGATGGCACCTATTGCAACTATTGGAAGATGGGTTGGAATCTCAAAAGTGATGGGTTCTACAGGAAGTAAATTCTAAATCATATAGATAAAAGCATTAGACATTAGCAAGCAATGATCACTTGGACAACACCATCATCTTTAATCGAGTTGTAATCTTTGGATGGTCAAGCCTTACCACTGCCTCATTTTTTGTTGCAATTACTCCCGTTGTTGCATCGTCATCATCGTCATCACTAAATGCTCGACTGGTGTTTGCACGACGCTTTTTATTTCCATCTACTACTTGCTTGTTATCGTCAGAACTCTCACTAGAACAATCACTTGAACTGGAATAATGATTTGAATGCAGTACAAGACAAATTAGTATTTTGTGAATAAATGACTAGCTAAATTATTTGTATATACCTATCGCTAAACGTTACTTTACTTGCGTCAGACTCGGATCCATCACCGCCTGCTACTTCAATGCTTGATTCAGGCCCATCCAATAAAACACTGTTTGTTTCATTGTTGGCTTCAGTAACTGTTGGGTGAGTGGAAGCAGTTGGTATATTCAAAGCGGGCTCGACTGGTATCATGATTTGATCCACAACTATACTGGAATCATGCTTTGCTTGCGTATCATTTGCGGTGGACAAATCAATTGTATTTGCGATCATCTCAGTGCATGTTTCTGGCTCAGCAGTGTGATCCACACTAACTGAATGTTTTGCAGCTTCCTCTAGTTCCAATGGTTGAGTGGATGGCGGACTATCATAGTCTGAAGCCTGTTCCGAATGGAGCATGTACGATTGCTGTAATGCACCTTCGGTTGGTGTAGTATCGAGATAGAATGACATGGTTTCTGTATAAAACAATCAATATTGATCAAGCGAATGGATATCGACAAGATGCTTTATCAATTTTTTATAAAAAAAAAGTTTGAAATGTGTTGTAAAAACCCTCATTTCAGTATGACGGTCATTTGGAGTATTCATCATGGCAATGTCGAGTTCATTTTTTTACACTCTTGACAATGATACCATTTTATCAGCAATGCAGTTGCTGACCTAGCAGGAGATTACAGGAAATCATCAAGTTTCAAGTACTCAAACAAGGCTTGATACGGATGAAAGCAGCCAACTATAGATTAAGACTAGATAGTATCAGCTTTTATTGCTTAGTGTCAAGAAACAGAAGCAATGAAAGTTTTTAACTGATTCGACCAAGTCGAATCATCCCCGTCAGCAAATATGGGGGGTGCATGTGGAATTATGTTTCAAACAGCAGTTGATGGCATGGTACAGTAAAGCATCTAGCGGGTCGGATCCGTTGCTGAAGAGGTAAAATATTAGTTGTAGGCCTAGATTCAGTGTCATTGATGGAGTGGACAGGAAGCTTGCGGGTTGCGGGTGGAGAGCATGTGTCTGCTCAGCATTACAACAGTTGTTTTGACAACAGTTCATTCAGTTTCCTGACAACTAAGAATTAGTTGGAGCATCACTCATACTGCTCTTGATCTTTCTGGATCGTCTTCAAGGGATTTCTTTTATACATCAACTCGATTGACTTGATTCATCATCCACAACTATCTGCTCCTAGTCTTGACAATCCATTCAACTGACATTGTTCTACGCTGCATATGAGAACAAGACTTGATCAAATTCCCATCCAATCGCAGCATAACCAGCAAATCCAACAGCAGCTTCGAGAGCGTCAGCAATCCATGTCACCATCACTTCTTATTCCTGAAAACCCCCATACTGGCAGCCCTGCTACAAATAGTACAACATCTCCAACATCACCTCCCTTTACTTCAGTTCGCTCTTCTCAATCCCTATTGACCCCACCCGCCTCATTCAATACTCTGTTGAGAGCTCCTCAACCAACACTATGGTCATCAGCTGTATCTGCCCATTCTGGTACTTCAATTAGCTCTGGTTCAGCATCCATTGACTCATCCACGTCTATGCCTGCTATGATTTTCAACGGTATCTCCTCATTTAGAAGCTCGATCATCAGTAGCACTCGTGGCTTTTATTCTAGAACCGCTTCACTCGATTCCAAGGAATATCACTCACAAGTACAAACCGACCTGCCCCCAGAAATCATGTCAATGCAAATCAATCTTTCCAACCCTGTCATCACATTTCGGGGTGTCAACCAAGGCCATCTTTTGGACAATGATTTGGCATCCTTGCAAGGCCATGTCTATGTTCACTTTAAAGATCCTCTAATGAGTTTGGCGCGAGTTAGACTGCGAATCGTTGGTGAAGAGTTTGTACGTGCCTTTTCTGATAGATCCAAGCCTTCTAAACTTCGAGGTATCTTTGAGCATCATATTTTTTTAAATCGCACAGTTGTATTATGGGAACCAATGAAGCAAGAGCTTATGCTGATTCGATCCCGTGAGCTGCGATTTAAAGTTGATTTGCAAGGAAATCGGTGTCCTCCTACATTTGCTTCTAATGAAGGATCGGTTTCTTACCGTGTCGAGGTGCTGCTTGATATCCGTGAAGAGCCGAATGAACTCAACAACTGGAAGAGTGGTGGAAATATTGAAATGGTGGCCTGCTTGTCTGACTTTCGAGTTCAAAGAGTACCTACTTTTTCCGAGTTAAAAATCTACAGCAAACCTACAACTATATCCAAATTACAAGTCAATTGCTTTGTAACTGGATCCCGTATCATCTTGGCCCACCAGGCTGGCCCTAAAAACTTTATTACTGTAACTCCATGCAGAGTGTCAATCCATATGGCCGGAACCATCAAGCATGTCTTGATTGATCATGTCATTGTATCACTGGTCGAACGGACAAAGTTTTTGGGTAGAAAGTCTTCCTTGTTGGCAAAGGTGAAGCCAGAGTTCAAGTCATATGTGAGAGATAGAAACGTCTTGGGTGCAAGAGAGATTCCACGGGAAGCAATCGGACCTCGCATCTTGCTAGATCTGTACGATATCTCCGCTGCTCAAGTATTGAACCAAACCATGTTTGGCAAACATCTGGAAGTGTCTCACCATCTGGCTGTCGAGGTGCATATTGTTGATCGACCTCAGGCTGTATTGATGGAGATTCCCATTGTTCTTGCATTCACATAATCTTTTCAGTTTGCTCCAAATCATCATTAAAACCAACGGTTTCGAATAAACCCAAATAATCCACCTTGAAATGACCTTCAATACAACATAAATCTCATTCAAAAAATAAATGATTAACCAAGAGTTCTTGAAGTGGTTTTATTGGCGTGGAAATCCAATCATTCATCTACGCAACCTCAATACGCTGGAGAGCTAACAACATAATCCAAAATATCAGCTATTGATTCAACTAAATAAATATCAAAAAAAACTAATCTTACTAGGAGGAAGAGATTGCTTGAGCTTCTCGGCCTTTTCAGCATCAGTTACAACAAGAGTGTACAGGTACTTTGAGCAGCGAACCTTGAACTTGTGCTGAGATCCTGTCTTCTTGACCTTGACAGACTGAGCATCCTTGCGCTTGCAAGTCAGGAGAAACTCCTTGATTTCCTTGATTTGCTTAGGCTATATAGAGATTAGATCAATCCAAAATGTCAGTTGAGCCTATACAATATACATCTGATCGACATCAAGTGTAAAGTCATGATCGACATCATCCAACAGAACGTGTTCAATCCTGACACTATTCATTTCAATCCACTCAAGCCTTGGTGAAAACAAACTGCTAGCTTCAAGAAACAAAGAGTAACTACTTGTTAATGGCCAAAGTTGAATCAGCATGATCAAAACAGCTGCTACAGCATTATATACGGTCTGATGAAAACTGGATATTTCAGGTCCAGACATCTATCCCGGTCAAGTCAACACCGTAGCATATGTATGCATCACTCCAGGTCAGTAGCAATTGAGGCTCTGTAAACTAGAGCAAGGCTTGAATAGAATTGAAATGTAAGACAGTGGATGGATATTCTGGTTGGATGCATGGATGGATGTGTTGACTGGATGCACAATGGATTGAATGCATGGACTCAATAAGCAGTTGACAAACCATCTGCGACTGTTGTTTGGTGAATGTGAACTTGAGTCCTTTCCAGCAACTTGTCTTTAAATTACACCAAAAAACTGTCAATGTCCTGAGGACGTGTTGTACCGTGTTGGTTGAAATCATCCTCGAAATCATCTTGCCAAGCTACAAAAATGGTTTCCTTTTCATGGTAAGTTCCAAATCAACCAAGTTGCACCTGCGATCATTAGATATAAACCAGCCTTTATGTTTTAAAATTACATAGTGAGGTTTGCCAAGAAACAATCAAGAAACCAAAACTGGAACAGCATTATTACAGATGTCCTAGAGCCTATTACTCGTGCGTTGACTGTTCAACCACTTTTCAAGGAACAGATTATCGTGCTCATACCTCATGCATTTCTGAGGCTGAAAAATATCAAAAGTCGGTTTATAAGCCACCCAAGGGAAAGGTAGTAGCTGTTTTGAAACATCAAGATCTGCATTCACCGACTGATACTAAATAGCCAATCCATTATGTTTTCAATCTATAAATGTACAGAAAAATCAAGATGCTGCTTCAAAAAACACCACCAAAATCAGCGCTACACCAAATGTTGTCAAAGCAACCACTACTCCATCATTGATTTCACAAATCAAAAAGACGGAAGCTGAAACTCTTGAGAAAAAAGCTAATTCTGATTCAGAACAAACTACTATGAAGCAGGAAAAAAGTACCAAGGTCAAAAAGCGAAAGGCTGATTTTGGGTCAGAAACCAAGAGCAGCAAACAGTCTAAAGCCGAGGAACCTACTTCAGCAAGCTCATCACCTACACCGGTTGATGCAAATGAATCTATATCTAGTGATTGTATTCGATCTGCACTTGATTCCATTTTTAAAAAGGTTGGTCCTGATAATATCGTGTATATGCTTTATCGATGTCGTGATTTAAACTTGCTAAAACTCTTTGTACAAGTCTTCTGATCTCTCATTTGGAACAGTGCGAGAGAAACTCGTAAAAAAACTGCAAAAAATCTAAAAAACAAGTCGCTGGATAGTTCGATTATCCAGTCTCGTCTAGATGATCTTGTTACAATCTCGTCAAAGGATGGGATCATGTACTTTTCCGTTTAAAATATTTTTTAGTTAAAATGTAATAAAGGCATCAAAACCTCGTATGCTTGCAATAGCATTCATTTCTTGCGTTTATATCTCCTGCTCTCCCTTTCGCGATAAAAGCTGAGAAACTCGCACTTGTCCACGACGCTTTTAGATGTTTTGCGGATCCGTAGAATTCGAGCTAAAATTGTGCTGAATTGCAAACCCACAGCGTCCTCCTCAGCATCAGCTGTGTCTACAGCTGATGGATTGGATGAAAGGTCCAACTCTTGCGGTGGAAGCTCTCGCACCTCGAGTGTATTATACAACTATATAGATGTACTGTCAACTCCATCTATACTCTCATCGACAAGGTAAATCATCACATACAGAACTATATGGCAGTAAATTACCTGAGCTAGAGTCCAGAAAAAGTGAATATACTTGTTTCCAACAGTGTAACACGGACACCATTGGTTATAGACATATCTAGATATACAGAAATCCGTTGAAATTTAAAAACACCTTGTTATATCATAGCTTCTCTAATCAGTGCAATTCAAACTCTACTCTATAACATCAAGCATCTTACTTTATGCCAGTGACGTGAATTTGAATATCGAGCTCGTCTGGATTCATATCTTTGAACACGTTCATAAACTTCAACAGTCCACGTCCATTCGAAGTCGTGCCCTAAACCAGATCAGAAACCAAATATTAGAATATTGCCCAAATAGTCTACGCATTCTAAACGCTTATCCAGTATCAGCATTACCTCTGGAAATATAACGATTGGTGCAACACACGATGACTTGTTATATTTCTTTATAAAATCGACAAACGTTACTTTGTCAGGTTCATCATCCAAGTCAGGATAGTTGCCTGCCTCCATCAACGCCTCCCAGAACGAAATCTGCCTCACCATCCCATTGGATGAAATGTGCAAAAACACTGGCGAAATGCTAAACATGAAAACCATTTGTAAGCTACAATATAAATCGTATTTAAAATCAAAAAAAAGCACCTCACCTGGATGCATAGTACAAAATATCGAAATAAGATGTGTGGTTGGAGATGTAGAGATCGGGGTTTGGCTTTTTCAACTTGTGGTTTGCTCGAGATAAACCCGACTTGCGACCACCTCGTTGTAATGTTGAATTGGATTTAGAAATCCACCAAAACCCACACAATGCCAATACAGTCCGCCCAAGAGATCCATAAACAATTCGTTTCCAAGTATATTGTATTTTGGGTGAGATGAGCTGTTTTAATTTGAAATTCATACAAGGTCAAGTTTCACAGCACATGATAGTGAATTAGCCAATAATAGAACATGTTAAATGTGTACTGCATATCTAGTTATGAGAATGGATCTTACAATTATTGAAACCAAATCAAGAATTGACCATAGTAGTGCAACCACAGCAATGAGGATTATCTTGATCGTAGCCAAGAACGGTCCTAGAATAAAAGTTTTGATGCCATAAAGAACAAAATGGAGAGTCGATTCGTCGCTTCGTGGAGGCTATTATAAAAAATGATACATCAACTCTCACATTCAAGACATGTCCTACCATTACCATTTACCTTTGGTGACAGAAATGGGTGAATGCCAGTGCCTATTCATCCAGTTGAATATATACACGACCAATTACAAAGTAAGAGTGCTGCAAACATATCCATCAAGTTATGGTAATGCTTATACATAATACAATTAAAAGGACGATGTTGATATAAAAAGCAGGGTTAGATACCTGGGTCTCGCCAACCAGAATACTTGAATCAATTGAAAAAAGACAGGCAAGATTGTAAGCCAAGTAGTAGTCAATCCAGATCACTAGCGTTCTTTAGATACCTTTTCCATTAATGTCAAATTGGATAAAGAAAGCTTGAAGTGCAAACTACAAAGCGATTAAAATAACAGCATTTTGCTATAAATCGAGTTAGATCGACTCTTGACATTTAAAACGACAATCACTTTATTACTATTTCAATCAAATTGCAGTCGTATTCACGTAAAATGGAAGTGATTGTCTTGACAATGGTTCAATATTCGTTGGTTTCCTACTACAAATTGACTTTAATCGACACCCAATTCAATAAACACAATGTTCATCATACACAATCAAACTGTAATTTGATTCAAGATTCTGTTTTTGCATAGCCATACACTGCAATCATCAGATTCATCCATCACGATCCGAGTCCGGCTATTATCAAACTCCACTTGTATTCTAATTTCATACATTCGCGCTCTAGTTCAAGAGCAATCTTGGAAATACAACTATACATGCCAGTCACTAGACTATTACTCAGTAAATTTGGTACCAATCATTCCATGAGACTGACTGTTTATTATGCACTTTGGCATCCTTGTTTAATGTTCCATTTTACGTAAATACAGCTGTAAATCAGCATCCTGAATGATGAGGTCTACTTGTTCGTGGGAGAGGAGTGCGTGGGAGAGGAATGCTTTCCGAGTCTAGATCAGGCTCACTGTACAACGGTGCTTCAATGACAATCACAGGCAACGACACATCTGCACTGCTCTTGGCAGAAGCCACGCCTGTTCCAAACGTAAGTGTTTCTTGTCGTCTGCCATCGCTAGTTATTGATAGCTTGCTAAAATGTGCTGTATCTACTACATTTTGGGGTTGTGTACTGTCCAGATCCACATCCACGCCTCCATCAAGACAGAATCCTGCAAGTGACAGCGTAGAAAGTGATAATGCTTCTGTATGCCCGCCTGTTACGGGTGCCAATTCCTTGGGTTGCTCCCAGCCAACTGGTGGAGAGCCAGGTGGAGAGAGAAGAAAGTTGCGCTCCAATTGAGGGACGGATAGTAAAGTTTGTTTCATTTTGCCATCCAGTCCCAGTTGGCTTAAATCTGTATGCTAGATAATAGTTTCAAGCCAGGATTAATCATCACATTTGCATGGTTTAAATTGCATACAGTCAGATTGATGACCAAAAACCATGATAAACGTTCAACATCAAACTCAAATCAGTATTACCTGACCATAATACACTCTCAGTTCATAGTTTAAAAACTGAGTCTTGTGAAGATCTTTTTTGATTTGAACAGCAGTGGCAGTTTCTGCAAAAATGGCTACACAAATCAAAGTCTAATCATCAGTAAATCTAATATGCAGTCAGGGTGGTTCAAGCATAATCTGGACTCGACTCAAGTCCATTCAACCTGACAAGCAAGAATAGCAACACACAGTCTTACCCAGCATTCTTCCAAACGACTTTAGAATGACAAGCTTGATAAGATGCTGATACTTGGATAGCAACTCATTGCGAAGTGCGTGTCCCTGATTATCAAATGCTTCTAAAGCCAAGTTAGTAAACACTAATGTGTTTGTAGCAATGGGCTCGAGTGCGTCCATCTGCACTGCATTAGTGATTGTGCTTTCCTCTGTCATAATCACCGAATCTGTTCAAGTTTGCTATTCTCTTGGTCTGATTTTCAACTCCAATTTTTTCATTTTTTGCCATTTCAAACCTGAAGCCGAATCTACCTTTTTGTTTTGATATGTATCGAGGTGACCGAAAAGGTTTGGCAGTTTCTGCTATAGGTGATGATCAATATCACGATGTAGGCACGGACAAATATTTGCTTGAAGAAACTGGTTTGAAGTTTGAAGATGATGAGAGCAACAGTCCAGACGAACAGTTGAGTAATCAAGTCCATATCAAAAACGAAGATGGTTTTGATACTGCAGCACATACTGAATTTAGGTACAATTTCAACTGCTTTATTTTGAATTCATGATGTTGCAGAAAATATCAAATTGGTCAGCTTTATAGCATACCAAATCTGACACTCGTCTGTTCATTCTGTTGCTTGTCAAAAAAGTCTGTGTTGAATTCAGTATCAACTAATCTCACTTTGAATCACTAAGCTCTAGTGTCAAAGGCCTTTACTCGCACAATAATGCTGCCAATACTATAGAAATTGATGTTTCAGACGACGATCCCGACGATCCTATTATTCAGGTCATGCCCGTGTACATGTCAAACGAACTCACCGAGTCTCTCTATCTCATGCAGTTTCCAACTCGTCCAATACCCTTTACTCGGGATGTTCAACCCACTGCTGGTCGCATCAAATACAATACCAACCGTGTGCAGCTGGATATTGCACTGGACAAAGAAAGCGCGCATTATGACTGGAACACAGGCGAACGATTTGGTCAAGGACTAGACAACAAACCCATTGCAACTGCGTATGATTTGGCTAATCGAGACGATCGTCAAGATTCTGGAACAATGCTAGACCATATCAAAATGGACTCCAAGATGGTTCCTCTGAATGCCCAATACATGGTCGGTGTGGTCCAAGATGGTATGCCAAATATGATTTAATCAGCTAAATTGACCAATTGCTGGGATGTTATTACCAAATATAGACTTGCATCAATGCTGACCATCTTTACGCATAGGTGCTATTCATCTTAAACCCCTTTCAACTGTCTTGCAGCTTAGACAATCGCTGGATTATATTGACAAGCTGCATGATAAGGAAAAATCTGCAAATCAGCGTGTGCTATATGAAGAACGAAAGGAAATCAGTGGAGTAGAGGAGGAAGCCAAAGTTGTGCAGGTAGATGCTGTGCATTTAGATATTTCATTGTGCTAAAATAATGTTTAATTTGTATTGACAAACATTTGATGCAATCAATTGAAACTGGTGCGATTAGATGATGGCACGTACTTTAGAAGATAAGGACGCTGCAAGGAGAGCATCATTGGCTGAAATTCAACGCAATCTTGATAACGAAGCATGGACCACGCTGTCTATTTATGATGTCGAGGTGAATTATAGCAACTATGCATTGCTATCGATAGTTTTACCTTACCAACTCGATTTTTATTTTTTAATATACAGCACGAAGATTCACTTTACTATCGAGGTTTACTGAGTGAAACAAAAGAACAGCCGATTGAATTTGTATCAACCAGCCAAACATATCTAAACACAATCAGTCCTTTGTTAGCAAGGTAATTTAAACATGCCATTCAACATTCAATTGCATGATTTGTGTATAGATTACAGTGGTATACTGCATAGTTCTAAAGCTTGGTGTAAATACTAGTGATTTCAAAAATGATGTTCTACTTTCCCGTCAACAACGCCCAGATGCCAAAAAGAATCTTGCTAGACCAGGAATGTCTGCTCGTGAAATGGAACATCTTCCATTACTGGAAAAAATTAAGGCTCTATTGATTAATGGTATGCGGCCATCTTGTATTTTATTCAATATCCATGCTGGAAAACTAGATCTGTGCTGATATGACAACGTACTTGGTCTGTAGCCCATGTAATTCAATTTTCTAGCCTTTATCAAATGATTGGAAAAAACACTACCGAACAAGACTTTATTCTTGCATTGGAGCAAGTTGCTGTGTTAATTCGAGGTGTATGGGTCGTAAAAAGCGAGCTACTTTATATTGGACGACCTTACGATGCACGAAGATTTATGCTCATGCTTTTTGCAGACAATGAATATGTTTTGCGAAAAGTATTTGTAGATGCCACTCATTTGATGCCCAACATGGCAAAAGGCATGCTAAACGAGATTGCAGATTTGGATGCTGGACTAGGATGGCGACTTAAAGTCAAGAGCGATGACAACTTTGTTGCTAGGTGCATGAATAGTATTGTATTTAGTAATGTTGGCTTGAACTGACTTGAATGAGTTTGTGATGTTTCTAGATATCCCGATATTGTTGTCAGACAGATGGATATTGTTCGCTCGGAAGGCCAAAAGTATAGTTTAATTTTGCAGTAATGCTAAAGTTTGAATACTAATGCTAACCACGTTGCCTTTTTAATAAACTAGATCTGTGGAAGCCATGCGACCGCCAGAGCGTATGAGGCGAAGACAGTCACAGCAGGTTAACCGAGAAGCAATGCAAGCTATTCCTAGCAGTGTTGCGGCTGTATCAAAGCAAGCAGCGTCGTCAACATCATTAGGATTGATTGGACCCGAGGGCGATTTATCAGAGGCACATATAGAAATTCTAGTCAAAGCCCTTTTCCTTGAATCGCCAGTATGCACATTCAAATACATTACAAAATACATATTAGACAATAGCAGTAAGTACTTTTATTGTGTGATATTGATCATATTCGAGCATGTTTATAAAACTTATTCTTGGTTTGTTGATACGCTAATTGTGCCAGAGTCCAAGCTCAATGATACTTTAACGCAGACTATTCAATGCGTGGTTAATAAGCTTTGCATAATGATCAATGATGTGTATCTTCTCAAAATGACTCAAAATCCAGCCATTGATCAGGTAAACTTCAATTATACCGCTGCATACTGATCCTTGAAACAATCATGCTTACCACCCTACACTATTTTTTAGTTTCGGCCAGCTATTCTGTCGCTATTTCAGGAAAAAGCAGAAGTCAAAAAAGTAGAAATTATTGCACGTTGCAAGGAAATGGCCGGCAAGGCTCCCAGTGCAGCTCACTATTCCAAAATCATGACTAGTTTTGCGCATGCTGTTTCTGGATCTTGGGTATTGAATCCTTCACCTTTATAAACAAACATTATGCAGTTTGCACACAAGCCTGGGTTGAATGATCAAGAGGGCTGATAACAAATGTCTTTATACCTGAATTGTTTTGGATAAATACAAGTTCTATTTTACGTGAATACAGCTGCAACACATGCACAAGCTAAAAACTACTCATGTATATCATGCATTTTTCATTTTTTAAATCGCAATGGCACCATGCCATCAACAACAGCATCAAACCTTGTGGGAAGTAAAACATTCAATTTTTCAAGTAGAATAGGGTCAGAATCTGCATTATTGTGGTGATTTAAACATAAATATTTCATCAGCAGTTTTGCTGGGAATTTAAAATAAGCTTTAGCTAGGATTGTCATTGTTCGCGCCTGAATTGTTGGCAACGCATTTGATAATAGCATGCGTTGATGACATGTTGCGGTATCCCACAAGTTGGATAACAATACGTAATCTATATCCCGTACAAGAGCAGTGTATACCCTCATTGTAAATTGAACAGGTTTACTCTGCCTGATAGAATGTGGCAAAGAATATAATATGCCAAGAATTTCACTCGAGTCGCCATACCGTGTTTGTCTTGCAATTTGAACTGATGAACTATGGCTAGGAGTTGTAGACCATTTAGTTTTTGGGATCTCACAAACAAGCAGCAAAAGCAGATATCCAGACATTTCAGATCTATTGGTAGATGCCAAATTTGACGATGAATCTGAAACCTCAATGGATGTACTGATGACTGGATATAAAGTATTAACAAGATACACTAGCGATTTGAAGAGTTCGGCATTGTTTTTGGTATCTAAACAAGCCAAAGCCGATTGTTCATATACTAAATAGGAATACGTGGTAAGCTTAGTATTTAAACATCAATACTCTGAATAAACATGTGTTGCTGTGAAAATAAACATACCTCGAATGGCAAATGCATCACAACGAGATGTGGCTACAATGCCTTCTCTCAGTTTTCGTAAAGACAAAATGATATGACTTGTATCTGGTGCAATTGTAATATCCTTTCCAATTTTTTCTAAAATAAGCTGAAAATAATCTTCTTGCACTTTGAGATCGCAAAGAGATGGACGACCATCGTCATTGGAATTCCTAGAAACAAACGAAAGCGAGTCAAGACTACTTGATGCAACAGGAGAGTCAAAGTTGCGAATAGTTTGCCGCAGTCCTTCCGAACTCATACTTTGAATACTTGACTTGTTAAGCGTGTCCTTTGTAGTTTTTCTCCATGAGCCAGACAATGAGTGAGTATTCCTTGTAGTATCTTTGGATGAAGCAGACAATGAGTGAGTATCGGAGCGGCATTTAGCAGCAGAATCCAACGACAACGATGGCTGCTCAACAGATTCATCCTGAAAGTGCGGTTTTCTCCATGACTGTTCTTTAGATAAAGAAATGCGATTGTTTCTGAAAGAGTGAGTCGGTTTATCTGTTTGAGAGTTGTGATTGCTCTCTGACATGATTGCGATTAAAGCGAAAAACTGCGTTGGATTTCAACTGTTTTGACCTGATGGCAAGCGAATTCATAACTTGGCCATCTGTCATTCAACCTTCAACATGTTGGGAACTGGTCGCTTGCTATGCGTATTGCTGCTGTTACTGGACTTTGCATTCGTGACTGTCTTTGCAAAGTCAGACTACTACAGCATATTGGGTGTTTCTAGAAGTGCTTCAAAGGCATGTTTGACTATTCTAAACTCAATTCATTGGATTCATCAATATCATGTTTAATGCACAACTTGTAATGAGCTTTTTACAAGTTTAGTTGTGTTTTATCATTCTCATCACAACTACTGTATGAACGACTGGTCTTATCGTTCATGTCAAGTGCAATGGGTGGCTGATTTGTACTGCTGATCTATTGCAAATCAAAATGGTTTCTTGTCATTCAGCAATGTAGTTTAGATTTGTGCATTTTAAAAGTTGATTATTCTTTACTTGAACAATACAACTCTATAGATCTTGTTTATTTTTCTTGTCTAACCAAATCTACTTTTTTTTTCTAATGAATCGTTGATTGCACCAATCTTGAATTTAACAGAAGGAGATCAAGAAAGCCTATAGAAGTCTTTCAAAAAAGTATCATCCTGACAAAAACCCCGGAAACAAGGAGGCAGAGGACAAATTCGTTGAGCTAGCCAAAGGTATTCAATCCTGGAAACTTTTTGGTACCAGCTGGCATTCAATTTTAACGTGATTCATTTAAACTCTTATCTCCTAGCTTATGAAATTATCATTGATGACGAGAAACGACGAGTTTACGATCAGTATGGTGAAGATGGTTTGAAAGAAAACTCGCAGCAATTTCGCAATCCGTTTGATTTTTTCAACCAGTAAGTTGGTGTTTTGAATATGTCTGTTGTTTTGTATACTATTGACTTGGATGCAGCAGTAGATAGTAACTTGTTTTTTCATTCAATCTATTAGGGGATTCAATGGTGGTCGTAAGTTTACTTTATTGTTAGTTTCAGTCAGCCCAATGTTTTAAACAGATGGTAACTGTATCTACAATTTTCATAAACAGAGCGCGCTGAGCGTCGTGGCCCTTCAATCAACATGATTCTCGATGTTACTCTTGAAGAAATTTTTAATGGTAAAGAAATCGATGTGGAGATCAATCGTCAAGTCATTTGCCCTAGCTGTCGTGGATCAGGTGCAAAGAGTCATGATCATATCCATACCTGTCAGACGTGTGGTGGATCGGGTGTTCGAATTGTTCGTCAGCAGATCGCTCCTGGATTTACTCAGCAAATTCAGACTACGTATGTCCTTGTATGAGCCAATGTTCAAATATAGCTGGCTTATAGCTCGATGCTTATATTTTGTTTTTTCACTTAGCTGTAATGTTTGTAATGGACGAGGGAAAATTGTCAAATCAAAATGTCCAGTTTGTGATGGCCTCAAAGTAAAGCGTGGAAGCAGTCAAATCACTGTTCAAGTCGAAAAGGGTATGGCTAATGACCAGGAATTGGTATATGAAGGCGAAGCCGATCAATCCCCCGATGTAGCTACAGGACATGTCAAATTCACTCTCAGGGTTGCTGAGCACGAACGCTTCACTCGTGTTGGCGATAATTTGTATATGAACGATGCAATTTCTCTCCGTGAAGCGCTTCTTGGTTTTGAACGGAAATTTACTCATTTAGATGGCAGTTCATTTGCTGTTTCTCGTAAAGCTGTGACTCAGCATGGTTAGTAAATACTTTTGTGCTTATATTGCCACATTTTTATTTCTAACAGTTGTTATTTTATGTCCTGTCTATATCTCAATAGGATTTGTTCAAACTATTCCATCAAAAGGCATGCCAAAGCATGAATTCCCAAGTGATGGTGGCGATCTTTTTATTGAATATCAAGTTGTTCTGCCAGCCACACTCACAGACGCTCAACGGAAACGTAAGTATTGACTTGCCAGCTGCATACACGAACGATAAACTATTAAATATCTAATGCAACTATTTTGGGACTAATGTGTACATAGTGGTCGAGCAACTTTTTCCTAAATAAAGCAAGCTAGCAGCTTATTGGCTGTTGAATGCTGTCTTGTTCCAAGTCATACTACATTCTTATTTTTGAATCAAACCGAAAAGTGTTGCATAAAAGAGCCAAATTCAACTTTATGAGGGCAGTGATACTATCAAGAACCAGAAAGGTTTGCATCAATCTCATCACGAACTATTCTCAATGACATTGAATCAAGTTCTTTGACAAGCGCCAATACAGCAACAAGAAGATTAGATTGCTAAAACCAAAACACACCAAGATTAAAATTTAATCATCATAAAGCGATTTGAAAATTGAAATTCAGCCCTGCAATCACATACGTTGGGACTTGATTGTTGGTTTTGATACAATGCTGAAGAGCGTCTTTGTTGAGGTGGTGATCTGTGAACAGGAAATACGTCGTGTTTTGAATAAGCTGGCTCTGGATGTTGATACAAGTCTTCCTCTGATAAAGAGTAAGGGTTTGTTGAAGCTGCTCTTATGCTTTGATTAATCGAGTCAAACTGCATACATGTTTAATCATGGCGTGTTTGTATGGAAATATATTAGAATTCAAGATGCAAAAAATAAAAAGTATCAAGAATTCATTACCTCGGTTTGATTACGTAGCCAATTGGGCCGCTGATTTGACTCGGGCCCAGGATGAGTAGATCCTATATCAACCTATTTTCAATGACATCATTAAAAAGTTGAGCATTTAGCAATTAGGTTTTAAAATTTAAAGCAATACACCAATTCAAATTTTGTCCGAGCAAGTGTCAATACTTGAGAGGAGTTGGAGGGTGACAGGTGTGATACTTTGGATCGATGGCCTGCAGATTGAAAACCAGTTCGCGAGATTTGTAATTCAACAAAACCATTTAAAGGCGTTTGTCTCGGTGTACCAACAGACAGATGTTCGCTACCAGTTCGCTTTCTTATATTTTTTAAATCATCAGATTGATGAGTGTAGTGTATATCTCTATTTGGATGTGACATGTCGTTTAGCAATTCTACTTCAGTTGGAAATCCTGCTGCCAGGGCTGCATTTCGATCAACATCTGATACAGGCGTGTCATCCAAAGTGTCGAGGTGGGGTAAAATACGCAGCACTGAGTGCCTATATGCAGAATATTCAGTGATTGGGTTTTCTGCCAACCAAAGAACACGTAGTGATTTTAATTCAGCAAGGTATAAGAGCTCACGCAGATCTGAAATGTGGTTTTGACGTAGATAAAGTTCGCGTAGATGAACGAGGGATGCAAATGATGCTAGTGTGCTGATCTTGCTGCTTGTCCAGACATTAGCAATGGTAGTTGACATGTTTTTATAGCAGTTAAATTTATATCAATACTATTAGCTAAATACAATGCATTTAAATAGCATTTTAAAATATGAGTGCTAGAATAGTTTAAAACTTTACTTGACAGCGAGGGACAGTATTTCAACTTGGGTTAGTCGTTCCAAAATCAGTATATTGGTAAGATTTTGACCCCAAAGATTAACGCTTTTTATGCTACCAAGTCCATTAGAGGATAAAACTTTTGAGCCTTTGGCCTTTGAGAGAATCAGCAACTCGTTTAAAACAACCATCTGTTGAATAGCAAAAACGCGAAATAAACTTTCGACGTGATACCAACATGTCCCAAAATCACAAGATTATATAATTTGAAAATCAAAAAAGTAATGTATTGGCTCGTAAATATGCTTTTCATTTGAAACTTGAACAATTTGAGCACTACATAATCTGGTATGAACCAGATCTGATTTTTCAAAGTACAATCATGACGTATCCATCGCATCTACAAATCCCCAGTACAATGTTAGCCAGCGATCTGCAACAATCGTATTCAAGCACTGTAAAACTTACTCGAGTCTTCAGGAATAGCACCTTCTTCATCTTCTTCAGCCTCAGCACTATATGCTCCCTCCTCCTCATTATCTACATCTGGATTATTTCGACCAAATCGCCCAGTATTTTTAGTCTCTTCAACAGTTTCAGAAGAAACGTTAAACATGGCTTGAAATTCATAAATGGCAGCCACTACCGACATAAAATGCTTAATACGAAGCTGTTTGGCTTCCTCGATTTCAATTTTCTCAATTCCAGCTTGTTCGATCTCTTCCAAAGTATTATTGATTTGCCTATAATGTAACACGAAATTTATGTTTAAATCAATGCAACCCAAAGTTCAGATTTACCGAGAAATGCAATAAAAATAAAGCCACTTACTTTTCAGTATGTTCCCTACTAGGAAGCTTGTGTATTTCTTTTGAAATGGCTTCGTATTCAATTTTGTTTTGCCTTACCACTTGCGCCTGTATCAGTTCCTCTTTTAGCCGCTCAATATCTGCTTGTGCATCTGCAATTTCCGTTTCTAAATAGCCATTCAATCAGTGTCAATACTCGTGCAAGTATTTAAAACAATACAACACTGTTGAATTAAAGATGGGCTGTTCTGTTTGGAATCTTGAAAAGCAAGATTGTATGCATAGAAAATCAGGCTTACCTATTCGTAATCGTTCTTGTTCAAAATGTACAGATTCTCGAACTGTCATGTCATCCACCAGATTATTTCTCTCAATAAATACCTGAGTAGAGTCCAAATCAGCCAAAAACTCCTCCAGCAGCTCTTTTCGTCTAAGTACAGTCGAACAATTAAAATAGTCAGTAATCTGTGTGGATCCATTCATTCGATGCATGCGACAGTTGAATCTTGAGATTTTCAAGACTGGCCAAGATGGTTACTTGCAATGATTCATCCATGTGCTCTCCAAAGCCTATTGCCAGAAACTTTTTCAATGATTTTTTCATTGTTCTTGGATCAAACAGGAGTCTATTTTTAATTATGATATCTATTCAGTTTATAGAGTAGTGTTGGCAGCAACAAGAGCCGGACATGTTGATAGCCATGTCAGTGGTTTATTCAGTGAATTACTATTAAATAAGCAGTGAATTCATGAGATTACCTTCTGAATTGGCTGCAGAAACTGGTGTAGAAACCAGAGTAGACGCAGACATGATTTGTTGTATTTCTGATAGTCTTGTTTTGGACGATATCAACTAGACTGTCTTGGAGAATATCAAATCAACTCGAATGTAAATCCAACTTTTCCTTTTGATTTAACCAGAAACTTGTTTGAAATCAGCTGAACCTGATTCATTGCTCAACTTGGTCTTATCTGATAATAAATTATCATGTCTGTTATCCTTTCATATGGTGATGTTCAAGTCACAGATGAGGTTGAATCATGACTTGTTCAATGCTCGTTTTCATCCATTCGACTGATTCCTGTGTGCATTAGGATCTAGCCACTCTCTTGCCGTCAGAGTGGATTGGTGATGGTATCATTCAGTGTAAGTGTATAATGACTATAATTCATCTTTAAACATGCATCTTGACTAAGCTTTACAATATCTAGTTTACTATGAGTTTTTAGAACACACTGTCTGCAAATCTCGTGAAATTCTGTTGATTCAACCAGCTGTTGCTCATCTGATTGCATGTTCTGTGGATAAAACATATATAAAAGCAGCACTTCCACCCAATATCAATTCAAAATCCACTATATTTATTCCAATCAATGACAGCAACGGAAGTCAGAATAGTGGATGCCATTGGTCAGTATCGTTCTGTTGGATTTCTCAAACAATTTAAACTCATTGAATTGGTTGTCTAGGTCGTTGATGTGCTACTATCGACCTACCAATTCGTATTACTACTATGACTCCATGGGTAATGCCAATATTCGATCAGCAAAACAAACCATGAATTCGATCTGTGGATTGATAGGATCATCTTCACCTGCTTTTATTGCCATCAACACACCAATGCAAGTAAATGGTAATAGATTGGGTCTAAAATATCATTGGATTCAATCCAATTCGCTATTGACTTGAATTACCTTTTGTTTAGGATACGATTGTGGAGTGTATGTGATGGCTATTACAGAGTTATTATGCAATCGAATGGCTTCAAAACATTCACATGTTACTGATGAGCCTGAAAGTTTGTCGTTCTGGCAGATAACCCATTGCATTCCACCACATTTTATTTCAGAAAAGCGCAACACAATTCGAAATCTTATTATACATTTGGCTGGCAGTAAACCTCAAAATCAACAATAACAGTCCATGATTTTAATCACAGTTGCTTTATTGATCATGGCAATTTCTTGTTGTTGTACAACTTTCGACAATTCATTTTTAGGTCGACTAAACAGAGTCTTTTAAAAAATAAATGACCAGATTCAGGCATCGATGGGTTTAGCAGGCTGACCAAAGTGCTTGAGAAGAAAAGACCAATATGCATCAAAGCCATATCGTTCAGCTTCAAAGCTATCCAAAGCATGTCCAACAGAAGGGAACATGATGACACTAGAATAAAATAGCGTGATCAGTATTCAAGCGTGCACAACACATGTAGATTATCACACAGTCCAACAGAACAGGTCAGCTCACCTAATGTCCTTGCCAGCACCACGAAGATATTGCGACCATCGCAATCCTTCAGAGGGCGGAACACGGCGATCACCGGCACCCAGCATAAGTAAAACAGGAGACTTGATTTTATGTACAACCGAGGCAGGAGAGTGACGAAACATAAACTCGTATTCTTGAGGTGTGACCAAATGCGGCTTGGATTGATCAAATGCCAATCCAGCCTCTGCAAAACACCAGTCAGATATATCTGTTGTGGCGACCATGGCGCCAATATTGATCACTGGATTACGAAGGACTCCAGCCTTGTAAAAGTCTGGCTCAAATCCAAGCAAATGAGCAGTGATGAAGCCGCCATGAGATCCACCAAAAAGGGATACTTTTTTTTTGTTGATACCAGGAAGAGTAGAGGCCCAGTATGCAGCAGCATTCACATCTGCCAAATCTAGCTCGCCAATTCGACCCACCACATCTTGAACAAAATCATCGCCATATCCAGTAGATCCACTATAATTGACCTGTGCAACAGCAAACCCAAATGATACCAGCAAGGACAAGTAGAGCGAATACCCTGTAGAAATAACACCATGAGGTCCACCATGAGGCATAACAACTAATGGTGCACCACCATCAGTATCTTGCAACTGGGGATGACGCGCCTTTGTTGGCATCAGCATCAATACTTGTACATTTGGTCCACATCCAGGAACAGTTGAAACAGTAAGATTGATGTTTTTCAGCCCCTCGGAAACATCTAAACATTACAAAACCACTACTTTAGAAATCATACAAGAAAAATAGATACTTTATACTACACATTTCAACAATGCATTTTTCATAGAATCACTACTGACCAGTTGGAAGATCAGGCTCATCAATAATGGTCCAGTTGATTGTTTTGCCAGGTTCTTCAAACTTTCCAAGAACCTAAATGTCAAAGTGTAAGACTACTTAAAATACTCAAAACTAGTGATCAAGTTGCTACAGCAGCAATACGTACAAGTTTATGAGGTTCGTTGGCCAAGGAGCGAGTCGCTAAAATCCAACCATCGATCGTCACGCTGCGAAGAACATATGAATAATACGATTCAGGAAGTAGCGAGGTAATACGATGAACTTGGCCGGTAGATGCATTGACAGCTACCAAAGTCTGATGATCGTTTTAACACGGCATGAATAAGCAGTCGACACGACATTATTAGGCGTTGAAATAGTCAGGATATTACCTCTTGACAGCGCCACGATGTTTGTAGTATTGCAAATAGTCCTGAAGCAATGTTCACCCATGGTCTTTCAATCAGATGGTCAACAAAAAGACCAGGAAATTCAGTAGGCTTGCATACAGCCTTGACAAGCTGAACAAGAGTGCTGGATTCTTTGCTTTTGAGCTTGTGTAAAACAAGAGTATTGCATGCGCTATGAGCACCTCCTACCTTGTGTGAAAGATATACAAATGCAGATCCGTCAGGAGTCAATTGTGGATAACGTCCATTGACTCCAGATTCCGCAGACAGTCGCTCTACAAGATAGAATCACGATAATGTTTTGAATCAATCTAAACTTTCAACATGCACCAACATTGACCCAATAATCATGCATCAATACGATAATGTTTAAATTTCATACCAAGACCGGTTCCATCGACAGAAACAGAGTAAATGGCAGTGCGACGATTGTAACAGTACAAAATTCCAAATGGCAATGGAGAATCTTCAATTCCGTTGAAGATAATTTTGTCACCAGCAGGCAGCATGATAGCCTATATTCAACACAATAGTTATGAGATAACCACGCATAATTATATAGAATCGTATGCAGTTTAAAAATAAAGTAGTAACCTGGGAAGCTTGCAAATCCAGACAAAGTGGAGTCACTTTGGGTTCATCTCCAGCAAGATCGACAAAAACCAAAGTTGGTTTAAGTTTTCCAGTAAATCCTTCACCAAGATCCATGGACTCGACGTATTTCTATAAATCAATCAAATGTTGAATATTTGCTCTATACAACCACTCTTATCATAAACGCATCGGTGTATATCCAAGGTGAAAACAGAACGATATCAGAAACCATACCGAATCATTATCAGGAGTTTCGCGATCGCTGACATAGACAAACTTGGTTTCATCAGCCGACCAACTGACTCTGCCAAAGGTACCTATTGTTTATTTCAGTTAGAAAAGATGGAATTGACATTCAAGTCCATATAATATGAAGATGGCAGGGTCAAAAGTTTAGTTTTTCTAAATTGAATATTTTATATGGTGGGCATACGACTGTAAACCCTGGAAACAAGATCCAACATACCATCAGCAAAAAAGTCGCCGTGTTTTTTAGTTACCTCGATGGTCCGGAATGAGCCCAAAGTGGTGATCTGCAATAAAGTGTGTGAATATCAGTGAATGGTCAAGACAATCCAAAAGCAAATCTAAACATTTACCTCGAGAAATCGTTTTTTATCGACAGTGCGACTAGTGAGTTGAACCTTTCCAGAGGGGGAAACCGATACAATCTCAGTATCTCCAAGATCTGTAGGCAAATGTCTAGCAATAACCTTGAAATCAGTCAATCCAGATTGAACACTGCTTTCCTGAATCACTTGGACAGTCAGATTGCTTAGCATCTTGCGCTTGCATTTGCGATCAAAGTCTCTGTATGAAGTAATCATGGATACTTGAAGAGTGCCTATTTGCGGATCAGAGATGATAGTGGCAGAAGCATAGGATTTTATGCTGGCCATTTGCTGATATAGCTTGACACCAGCCTTGTCTTTACCATCGCTTTTTGGGTCCTTTTTTTCGTTTGTACTCATTCTCGGCTGCAGTGTTTGAATTCACAACTAAAGACAAAATGATTGAAAACGGAATGAAAATATTTATATTTCAGCAATCCAACTTTGTCATGCTTTGGAAGCATTCTGGTAGCATCAATCAGGTTGCTGTGGCAGCATTTCAATGTGAATTCATTGTAAAATTACATTATTGTTTTAGATTAGCGTAGATTGTTGGATGGAATGCTGACAATCGCGTTAGACAAGACCGAACAAGGGACACTGTATTGAATTGTCAGAAGCAGATTGTCGAGCAGATCCTATCAATCCAAGTCAGACTGTTGTCGTGATACACGATTGATGGATGTTTCTGCTATTCAAATCTAACGATATTTACAGAGCACCACCAGAATGATGATTCAAATTGCAGATATTTTCACTTTTATTTTAATGTTAAACAAGCATTTTTGAATTCAGGCAATGCATTCATCTTACAGCCGTATTAACACAAAATGGAATCCTTTATCTTGCAATGTATTTTGCTTTGGAATAAACAATAGTTGAATATTCGATGCATTTTTCTACTATAAATAAACTGTTTCTTTAACACAGTGTTCATCATGACACTATAGATTTAAATTTGTTTTTGAGATGTTTACGATTTCCAGATATTGAATTCAACTGTTGATGACAATACAACTCTACAAACTCATAAATTCGCGTTCTAGTTTAAAACTCAATGACTCTAGTTTCAAGAATTCAACTCTGCATGTCAACCACGCAATAGTTTATAGAAAATGAGATTGAACAAGTGTCAAGATTGAGTTTATTGATGAGTTTGCAAATATTTGAAACTCGACATTTGAATACACGTGATGTTGTGGCTCGCTTGAATGTCAACTTCGACTTTGTGTTGATTCAATTCATCGAGCAGTTCAAAATGCAGCCTGTTGCGAGGTTACTTATTATTGGGTATGTGTTGCTTTCATGTGTTTGGATTCAGATATTGAACCAACCCGAATGTGAATGCATTGGTTTATATTCAACCTGATCATGATGGTTGACCTGGCATTTTGAATTTATGGTTAGCTTTCTAATATTCCCTAACTACTTATCATATATACTTAATCTATATTAAACTCTTGTTAAACAGAGTTATTTTTCATGCCATCTATACTTGGTCCATCTTCGATATTTATTTTCGCTCGCCGCTTGTTCATGGCATGGAGCATGTCGAACCGCTGACACCCGCTCCTGCAAAACGACTGCTTCTTCTTGTTGGTATATTCTTCATTTCAAGCCTATTATCAATTTAAAGACGGATTTTTCATCTAGTAATTCTGGATAGAATACATATGCTATAGTAATCTCATTAGATTCATTGATTGATTTTAGTTCACGAGTAAAACTCAAACAAATGTATGTTTTTATTGTATATAGCTGATGGATTACGTGCAGATAAGCTTTTTGAAGATGGAATGAAGCGTGCACCATTTTTAAAGACTAAAGTCACAGAAGAAGGTCGATGGGGCATTTCGCATACACGAGTACCTACTGAATCAAGACCTGGACATGTTGCATTGATTGCTGGGTTTTATGAAGACGTGAGTGCTGTCACAAAAGGTCTGTTTAAAGTATCTCTAGTATTTCTATACCATTTGTTAGCCAAGATAATATCTCGCTATGCTTGATTAAGCTCATGTCGTGATACTTTGCAATTTAGGATGGAAAACCAACCCAGTAAATTTTGACTCGGTGTTTAATCAAAGCCGACACACTTGGTCATTCGGATCGCCTGATATTTTACCCATGTTTGCATTTGGTGCTAGTGAACACTCTCGAGTTGATACGTATATGTATTCTGCAGAACACGAAGATTTTGGAAAAGATGGTAAACCAAGGTTTTGCTGACTAGAATAAATGGTTTCTAGTATTTGAATGCTTGTAATCTATGTCACTAATAACCAATGCGCGATTTTTCAATTCAGATGCGAGCTCTCTGGATACCTGGGTATTTGATCATTTCGATGCTTTGTTGGAATCTTCAAAGACAAATAGCACTTTGTTTGAGCTACTTCACAGTGATAAAATTGTGTTTTTCTTGCAGTTGAGTATGCATTTTTATGAAATGATATTTTATTCGGGTCATATTCAACAAAATTCAAATTATATCATTAGTCTGCTTGGATTGGATACAAGCGGGCATAGCCATCGACCAAACTCTCCAGAGTATTATGCAAACATTGAGTTGGTGGACAAGGGAATTCAGGTTGTAGAAAACAAGCTAAAGGCCTTTTACAATGACGATAAGCGTACAGCTACTGTTTTTACTGCAGATCATGGCATGGGGAACCGAGGTTTTTAAAGTTATATTTTGCTTACTGTTGCATGATGTTTAATTTGGAGAATGATGAATCATTTATTGTATATTTTAGGAGTACATGGGGATGGACACCCAGATAATACAGAAACACCGCTGATTGCATGGGGTGCTGGAATTGCCACTCCTGATACCAAGCATCCCAAAGGGAATGATGCGGTTTCCAAACATTGGGGTTTTGGGCATCTGCAACGAAACGACGTGCTTCAAGCTGATATTGCACCTCTGATGGTTAGTGCATTGACTATCAAGTGCGTGTACAGTTTATATAGGTTGAATCGGCAATTAACAGTTATTTTCAAAGTCCACGCTACTTGGTATTTCATTTCCAGTTAATTCAGTTGGTGTTTTACCCATTGTCTACCTTGATGGCACCGATATGTTCAAAGCCAAAGCAGCATTTGGCAACGCTAAAGGGATTTTGTCTCAGTATATTGTCAAAACAGCTCAAAAACGAACTACTGAGCTCATTTTTAAGCCATTCAAGCCATTGGCACAATACCAAGACATTGTCAGCAAAATTCAAGCACTCATTGATCTAGAAAAGTTTGAAGAGGCTGAACGCGAAAGTATTCGTCTTATTCAAGTGTGTATTGATGGGCTACGTTACTATCAAACATATGATTGGCTTTTTTTGCGGTCAATCATCTCGTTTGGATATGTTGGATGGATTGTATACAGCACTATTTTTGTGCTACGCATGTATGTTTTGGAGGATTCAAAGCGATCACGCGGAATATCAATATCGTCTAAAACGGTGGGGTTTCTATTTGATTTGCAGCTGGGTTTAACCAGTGTACAAAAAGCTTTTATTCTAACCATTTTTTTGTTTAAAAATGATCAATAGGTTACTTTTTTGAGCTGGGTGGTATTGACTGGGTTTTCGGTTTTGCTTTTTTTGAAACAATCTCCATTGGCATACTACATCTATGTTGCATTTCCAATTTATTTTTGGAGCGAATCATTTAAACAGCGTGATTTGGTTACATCCATTATTCGTACACCATGGTCGCAAAACCGCACCAATGTGCTGGGCCACATCATCGTCTATACTGTCATTCTTGAAATATTAGTAAGTATCGGTGCTTTTGATGCTGATCATGTTTATTGATGGTTATATTGACTCTGCTGCTTTGTTTATTAATTCATCAACTTAGGTTTATACCTATTTCCGACGCGAAGTATTGAGTATATGCTTGATTGCAGTTGGAATAGTATGGCCGATTATGATGCCCGCAGGGTTTAAAAAAAGACATGGCAAGCTTGTTCTTGCGTGGCGTATAGCATCTATTTGCACAAGTGTGTTTACTCTACTGCCAGTGGAAGTGGAACAAGATATTCGATTAGTGTATGTGTTATATTGAGCTTCAATTTATGCTGTGAATAGGAAAAATGCTGAATATTGTCCTGATTGATCCTGTAGGTTGTTGGGTGGTGCTTTAGTATTTTTGTCTGGAGTAGCTGCATTGAATTTGATTCCTCAATATACGGCTGTTCAATTGCCTACACCTCATATGCGTGCTTCTGGAGTTCAGCCATCTTCTTTAAAAATAGTTACAGTACTGGTATGTTTTTAATTTTTTAGATCTGTATGTCTTTTTGTGGATAGAGCATGTAAATCACACACTTGTGTTGACTCAAAGTTTATTTCAGCTCACTATTTTGGGCATTAGTTTTGCTATTCTTGTGAGTACCACGCGATCATTGGATGCAAAACAAGGCCTTCCAATAGTAAACTCGATCATTAGTTGGCTAATCATGAGTAGGTTTCAATACTTTGTATTTTGCAGTTTTTCAATCCCACGAGTGTTTAGTTGCTTGACTATTTAGTAATCCAAACCTTGGGTATTTGATTATAGTTCCCTGTGTCGCTATTCCTATTGTGGATGGGGCTTTGGGATCCCAGCATTATCTTCGACGCCTAGTGGTGATATATCTATCCTTTGCACCCCTCTTTACTCTTTTAAGTATTTCGTATGAAGTACTTTTCTTCTTCTTTTTCTCTATAACGATTCTTTCGTGGATGCTGCTTGAGAAGCAACTCTATTTTTTTGAAAACAAGATTTATCAAGGAACAATGTATGCCGAGATAGTTCAATCTGAAACAACAATCAAGCATCGACCACTACGCATGACCGATATGCGGATTGCAGGATTCTTTCTTCTTTTTATCAACGTGGCATTTTTTGGCACGGGCAATATTGCCAGTCTAAGTTCGTTTTCGCTCGAAAGCGTATATCGATTTACTACAGTGTTCAATCCATTTTTGATGGCAGCACTACTTGTTCTCAAGATTTTGATTCCCTTTTTCCTTCTTAGTTCTGTCTTTGCAATTCTCAGCAGAGTGCTTGATCTTTCAAGCTTTTCACTTTTTTTGCTTGTATTGAGTACGACGGACATTATGACACTCAACTTTTTCTTTTTGGTACGGGATGACGGAAGCTGGCTGGAGATTGGTACAACAATCAGTCATTTTATCATTGCGAGTGCGTTTATCGTATTTCAGATTATACTGTTTAGTGTGTCGCATTTACTTGTAGGCAATGTATTAATTCCTCATGGGGTGAATTCTAAAAAGGGATATTGATCTACAATGTTGATGGATGTTTCCAAGCTAATTTCAGTGATTTACTGTTGAAATAAACTTTGAAAATTGCTTAAACAGCTCTCATTGTGATATTTTTGTTGATGATTGGACAAGAGTCAAAACAAGATTAGTTCATACTAGTCAAGCATAATTCATTCCAAATATCTCAATAAAGGCTTGATTGTTTAGTCAGATGGAATTATGAAAGTAAAGAGCAAATGAAGATTATGGACTAGATAAGATGAACTACTGTGAAAACAATAGTAGTAGTAGGAGCGAGAAATCAAAATATCCATTCAGTAGTCACAGATGACAAGGTTGATTATTTTTAAAGAAGCTCCCAGTCATCGTCACGACAGCCGACACGATTGTAGTCACCATCTAGCTCATCCATGCTAGAAATTTGATTCATTTCAGGTCCATTTGAAGCAACACAATCAGAGTCTGCGAGCGACATCACATCCTCACCATCACGATGAGACGGAAGTACATAGATGATCTCGTCCTCATTGTCCAACAAAAGTGTTTCGACAGAAGATCCAACATCTTTAGGAGCCAAAGGAGTTTTTTTCTCAGACTTTAGAATAGCATTGAGATCATCCTTGGAAATGATGGAAGAGGAGGGCAAAGAAGCAGTTTTTAGATCAGGAGTGCATGGTGTCATGTTTGGAGGAGACAGATCACTCTGGGTGACAAGCATTGGTTGAGGAAACGCGGTGTCAGTTAGCAATGGCGACTTGGGGTGAGAATGAAGGGGATGAACAACAGCAGCAGCCAATAAAGATGTATTGGGTTCTAGTGCAGCAAGTGGTACAGTTGATTCAAAAGGCTTCTGCTTATCGTTCTCTTTGACAAATTGAACATTACCAGAACAGCCCTCTTGAACATTAGGCTTGGTTAGAGTGGATTCTGGACTGGGTTTAAATTCAAATGTAATCAGACTCGAGGGTTGAACTAAAAGAGGCAGGTTCTGAGACGGGACTGTAACAGAAGGCTCGACTGGAGAAGCGACAGTGGGAACCATGGCATGAATTGGAGCAGACTGGCTATCGTAGATTGGGATACTAACAAAGCGAGCAGGATGGTGGTGTTGGAATAGCTGGGGTTCGCCTTTCCGAGACTGTGGCCGAAATGACTGTTGCATACTAGATGTATGTGTTATAGACTGTGGTTGGCTTTGAGAATGATGAGTTATTATAGAATGGATCGCCTTGGGCTGCAACATATCAGAATCAGGGGGTGGAGTGGCAGGAACACAGACAGGTCCAGACACAAAAGAAAAGTTTATTGGAGAAGGATTCAAGTGGAAAGGAACGGCACACGCCATTGGACCACCAAATGAAGGTGTTTGAAGTTGCGCCTGACGATCGATAGAAAACGGTGGATTGCCAATACCAAACTGCAGTCCTGCTGAGTTGGGCACTGGTGCATTCATATGAAATGCTTCTGTCTGGGGATGGGAATGCTGGTAGGAATGCGACACCACACCATCACTGTCTATCACTGGCATATCAAATGCACCGCTTGAACCCGGTCTGTATAGATGCATTGATTGCAGTTCAACGTTATACAGAAAGCGGGAGCGTACAACTGAGCCACATTTCTGCATAATAGTCCACTGACACGTGATAGTCTCTTGGTGCACTTGTATGAATATTCTCTATAGATCGTGCATAGTCATGTATTCTGTTTAAAATCAACTTGCATTTCTATCTGGAATCCAGAGTTGTTCCATTTCATATTACAGCCCTATTCACGTAAAATGGAACAAGAAATTCCAACAATTAAACAATTTCATGGCATGATGGGTCAGTTATTGTTCAACATTGTTCAACTCTTCAGCTGACTGGTTTTTGTGCTCATTTTTATAGAAAACTAAATGTTTGCATCAGTCAATTCCACATTTGTTCAATCTCCAACTCTTTAAACCAAACATTGTGTGATTTTAATGGAAACAACAGTTGGACTCCCGAGATTGTTTTCTTGAGCTAGGTACAAACGTATCTGTAAGACCTACAACAAATGTATCTGTAAAACCTACAACAAAGGTGAGTTTGCAGAGCATTGTTGAGAGCAGTCAAACTCGATACCTGGATTAAAATGAATCTGGTGATCATACAATGCATGGCTATGTCAAATGAGGATAATCTCGGCTTAAAACTATCGTTTGTGTCATATGATGAACGTTGTGTTTTGAGGAACCGAGAATATCTATTTTTAATAGGAAAGCATAACGATTATTCAACCATTGCTTGTTTTGAAGCAAAAATCACAAATGCAAATGTTCCACTTTACATGAATACTCAAAATTACTTGGAATGACAACAAAGCAATCCACTCTACATGAACAGACATCTCTGTCACCAAGCACTGAGCCAGTAGTAGCTGGATTATCCAATGTCAAGCATATCATCCTTGTTCTCTCCGGAAAAGGTGGTGTAGGCAAAAGTACTGTCGCTACAGAACTTGCCCTTGTTCTCGCCGACTCTGGAAACAGAGTCGGTGTGCTGGATATCGATTTAACTGGACCAAGTCTTCCAGAAATGTTTGGATTGGCTGGACAGCAAGTTCATCAGTCTTCTGCAGGGTATGACATCAAACTTTTACCAACTTGCAATTTTTTAAAGCCAAACACTGATCGAGTTTTCTATCATGCAACTATCGATTTAGATGGATTCCTGTATATGCAGATCAAACCAAACAGCTTGGTGTCATGTCAATGGGATTCTTACTACCAAAAAAGGATGATGCTATCATCTGGCGAGGCGCTAAAAAGAATGGCAAGTCTATTCTGGCATCTTTATTGTTGCAAGCATTAGAATCTTGCCGATAACCATCAATACAATATTCTTTTTATTTAGCAATGATTAAACAGTTTCTGTCAGATGTTGCCTGGGGAAACTTGGATTATCTAATCATTGATACTCCTCCAGGTAAAATGCATTCGATTGCCAAATGTCCATTTTACTATCTATCATGTCAAACTGCTCACTTGCCAGCATTTTAAATCTAACTAGGCACGTCGGATGAACATATTTCTATTGTCGAATATCTTCAAGAGTTTAATCCTGACGGAGCAGTCATTGTTACTACTCCACAGGCAGTTTCGCTTGCAGATGTTCGTAAAGAAATTAGCTTTTGTCGCAAAGTCAATCTTCCTATTCTTGGTCTTGTTGAGAACATGAGTGGCTTCATCTGTCCTCATTGCACAGTAAGTGGGGTTTATTTTGCATACTAATTGATCTCTCTATGCATTTTAAATATAGACTTGATTTTAACTCGACTATTAGGAATGTTCGGATCTGTTTTCCAAAGGTGGCGGCGAAGCTCTCGCTACAGAAAAAGATATCCGATTTCTAGGTACTGTGTAGCTTGTTGGTTGTCATTTATATATATATTTACTCATTTTAAAATCAATACATGCCATATGCATTGAATCTAGGACGCATACCGATTGATCCTCAACTCAGCATTATGATTGAAACCAGTCGGTTTGCAGATACATTTCGTAATTCTCCACTGCATGCCATGTTTTCATCAATCGCTGAAAAGCTATTATCTCCAGCAACAGCTGATGAAACTATATAGACAGTATTTTTGCGAATACGACTGTAGTGCATTGCAGTTTTGAACTGTATTCTGATCATTTGATTCCATTGGTCAAGTTGATTTTAAAAATCAAGTATATAATGATAAATGTAGTCGTAGATTCTTGACTTTTGTGTATTACTTGCACTTTGTATACCATCAATAGTATTTGTTACGTCAGTGTTATCTTGGCCAATGCAATTGTTGCAGTCCAAACAACTATGAATATTTCAACCGATTCAAGGGTAAGCCCGCGTGCAAGTTTCTGTTTTAGACCAACTATAGGGTTGATAAGGGTTGATAGGGCTGTGTTAGTAGTAGCCGTCTAATTACAGTTGAATGGACAGCATGCAGACGGGCTAAAACACTCCAATTGGGTTGAGCAAGAACGCCCCTTTTCTGGCTAGTCTGCAGCGGCCCATTTCAACTGTTACCAAGGCAACACTAAACTGTTTGTATCTAGAACATAGAGCCAGTGATTCGACATAGCTGTCATAACCAACTCACTCGATGCTGTTGCAGCTTTCTAGTATTCTACTATTGGCTTCTTTAGCTGTTTTGGCTGTGCCTCAGAACCTTCCCAATCCAAGTCTCATACCACAGTCTCCGCATATCACTACCAGTATTGTTAGACCTGAAGCTGCCAGAACTACTACCAGAGCTACCGTAGTCTTTCAAGGGAGTGCTACTTTAGCTAGATCTCGCTCGACTTTACTGCCTAATCCAAACTCTAATCATGCCGGTAGTGTGACGGCACCTGCTCCTCGTCCAGCTATTCCTGATACTCCAGCAGGCAGTACTGGCTCTCAATCATCCAAAAATCCATCCGTTGACGGCAGTGTTGGAACAGTATTTGCCGTTGGATCCATTGCTGCAATTGTCGTTGGTATTTTTGTTTTTCTTGTTGGAGGTGTATTTGTTCACAAGCATCTTCAGAAACGCAGCGAAATATATAATGCAAATAATCGCAAGGTCGATCTAATGCCTAGAGAAATGCCACCTGTTTATCACTCCACTAAACAAACTCAATCTCACAACTGTTCTCGCTCGAATTCAAACGCTTCATTTGAATCCGGAATATCTACCAGCTATCAAGCACACACACCATATGTCACAACTCCCGAAATAGCTCATATTCAACCTGGTGCTACTCAGCCAAGCAATTTCATAATTCGATCTGCCTCTTGTTGATGTGTATCAAAACTTGCTGTTACCCCAGTTCTACTTGGATTATATATATTATCTTGACTATTTCAAAATTGATTGCTTAGAAATACATATCATCTTACACTAGACTACACGCTTGATTTATTCTAATTGCCGAATTTGTACAAGTAGACACCTGATTACTTTTTCGAGTTTAAATTTCGACTTTGTCTAGTATTGCATATTCAAATAAGCTCCTTCTATATTGATATTGAATTCAAATTTTATACATTTATCTCTACCAATATATGGCACGATTGGTATTGAATTTTATTGATCGAATTTCTAAAAATCCTACCATTCGTGTTTGGAAATTTAAACCAGTCTGGTATTTAAAATTAACCACACTGTATGTAATTTTAAAGTTTTAACCATTTAGTCAATCTACCAAGTAGCCTATTGTAGGCTACACTGTTGAAATATATCGAGACAATGTAGTGATCTGAGCTTGCTGTAAATCAAGATCGACATAATTTGCCCAAAATATATTTCTGCAAGTCGCGTCAAACCCATTTCCCCCTTGCTTGCACTAAACTTGGAAAACAAATTTGTTCAGCAAGACCAAGTTGAATGATCTTGTGTAGGTTTTGATTGTACCAATACTTGCAACATCCAGACAGACAACTGGCTCGAGGTCGAACATTTACACTCAGCTGCACGTAAGTATCTTTGCACCCAACTCTCACTTGCCATTGCCTGAAAAAACGCCAATTCATATTTTTCGGTCAAAACAACAACCATTTAGTAACAATCCACTACGACTTTGCACAATAACTGATTAGTATTGCATTGCTTCTGAAAACGTAACGGATCAAGGTAGCTGACGCTTCATTTGTAGACGTTTATCAATTACGCATCGTTGTTGGCAAGGCACCAACTTGGCTGTTTCTTCACAACAACACTTTTACTTGACGTATTACATAAAACCCCACGCTTATTGTTCCTCAAGACCCCATTCTACTGCAAGTCATTCTGCTTTCTAGCCCATTCCAATCCACAACAATCCTGCGACTCCACCTTGTCCTACTCCACTGTAATTCACATTGCTAAAACAAAATTTACAATCATATTTCTACTTGCTAAAAATTACCTAAACCGACTTCCGCCATACCATCACTGCCTTTTACTATCCCGCTTTTATAGCCAGACTCTAGCGCCGGCGTCAGCATTTCAAACAACTGCACTTTGTTTTTATTGAGCGCTATACAAATTCTGTTCGATTCGTGCTAGCCAGAGTATTGCGCATTTTTCCTTGTCACTCCGCATCCACTACACTCAATAGCAACTTTACACGCAGCTAGCAAACCTGTTCGAGTATTTGCAACTCGCAATTCTTGATTACCAACAACCTATCCAGTCTCCTTTGAAAAAAAACTCTACCGCTTCGATCCAAGTCTTATAATTTGCCAATCATTTCGTCAAGAATACAAACCCGCAGAGCATCTGGTTCAATGCCAGCACACACACCCTCGCCAGGCGACCACTCGGACGAAGATTCATCAGTATTCTGTGCAGTCTATTCCAACGTTCCCGTCTACGAAACAATCAAACATAATGTGGTTGTGATGCGCCGTATTGAAGATGACCAGCTCAATGCTACACAGATCCTTAAACTTGCCGGACTTGCCAAATCGCAACGAACAAAGGTCTTGGAAAGCCAAGTCCATAGTGGCGAACACGAGAAAGTTCAGGGAGGTTATGGTAAATATCAAGGCACATGGTAAGATTTGCACTAAATAGGATGCATAGTGTATAATACTTTCAGTTGTTTCTGGAAAGTAAATTGCTCTTGAATACCAAGCTTGGATTCAGATGCTGCTATTCTTATTGTTGTGCTACAAAACTCTATTTCTATCAGTTTTTTAATATGCATTGCATGAGAATCCATTTTAAAATGATTGTCGCAGTATCGAGTGTGAGTTGCTGCGACAACTGCATACAGCGATCAATGATCTAAGTAGCTTGGCAGCTGTCTAGGATATATTGTCAAGCTATGGTCAAATTGGCTGTTTTTTACCTGAATTGCAAATATATGCTTGCTGTTTCAGACTCTTGTCTACTCAAGATGCTATTTATTCAGCATCTCAAAAATAATCGGGCTGCTTTTTGCTACCACTGTTGGTCTTTTAGCAAAACCCTTGTTTAAAACCTGATCCTATATTTCCTCATAAATGCAAACTCTATTGGCTTGATTAAACTGGAATACGATTCATTGGATGTGCCCAGGACCAATTTTTTGGGCATCCACAGTAGTGGGATTAAATGAACGCGCCTAAAAACAGCTCAATGGAGTTTGAATGGATGCTATCATTTGGTGCTACTGTTGGATGAATGTGCTTTTAAAGTCAGCCATGTCCATATACTCTACTTTTTTAGCGCATACTTTTCGTGATTAGCAGCCATATACACTTGCTTTAATCATCTGTAAAGTATCCATGACTGTAATTGTCAAACCTCTTTATCGCTTGCTTGGTACATGAAAACCCCATTGTTGTATAGTGACACCTCGCATTGATCTTGTTGGCTGTTTTACCCATCCCCTCATTATTGCCAACCTGCAAGACGCGTCACTCATTATAGAACCATCCAACAACAACTGATGTCTAGTTCCCCGAAACTCTACCGAGCGGCTATACACCCATCAAATATTTGGAGCAATTTTTGTTTGAAACCACAACTCGTTTATCATTTTTACTTACTGCTATATTTCAACACTATTCAATGTGACATCCAGGGTTCCGTTTGAGACTGGCCGAAATCTTGCTATTCAGTTCAAAGTCTACGACTTGATTGAACCGCTACTTACTTTTACATCAGGCACAGACCCACTTTACAAACGAGCATCTTACTCCAAAATTGATTCGAATTTTCTAGAATTTGAGCCAAGGCGGCGAGGCCGTCCTCGTAAGTTTTTATCTCCGGATTTTAAGGATGCTATCATGACCTCTCCAGAATTACCTCCCATACATACATTGGCATCAAACTCCATCTCTATATCACCCAGATCTGTATTGAAATCAACACATGCATTAAAATCTAAATCTCATTCTGCATCCGTTTCTACACCATCAACAGCATTCGCTACGCCACTATATTCTAAAACAGTTACACCACCTAAATCACATGTATCTTCACACAATGAAACTCGCTCTTCAAGTGCTAGGAAATCTTGGGGTGCTCCACGCTCTACAGCTACATCGCTTAGAGCATCAACGCACAACTCGCTCTCGGTTAATATTGACAGTCATTGGGAAGGCGATCTTTCAATGGATGCATCAAATTCAGAGCAACAGCCTGCTCCAACAAAACATAGTACTGGTCAAAAATCCCGCAAATATGCTGCTGATTTGTCAAATACTTCATCCATGTCAAGTCCAGAAGATATTTTTGGCGGCGAAAGTTCCGACAATAGTATAGGATCCACTGTAGTGTCTTCATATTCAAACCATGATAGTCCGGATCAACTCTCTGCGTCAGATGATCCTGATACAGAGCTGTACGAGTCTAAACGCAAAGGCAATCCCAAGAGACCGAGTCGCCGAACTTCAAAGACTACTTCACGAACCATTTCACCAGTACATAGTGAAGCAGCACTTGGTAAGCTAAACTCTATATTGTCATTTGTAAATCTTGAGCATTTGTAGTTACTGGAATGTGACTGAATCATCAATCCACCTTGGTATTGCAGTCACATGCGTGGTGATTGCATCAGCTAGTTTATTTTCAGTAGCTAATCCAAATTGCTTATTGATTGTTTAAATTATGGTTTAAAGAACCTACTAATATCTCAAATCTAATGCTGGCAACACCTGCAGATCTATCCAAATCCGTAGATATTGAAAATGTATCTTGCCCTACCAAATCGAAAAGCAAATACAGAGGCAGGCCCAATGGAAGTGGTTCAACAAAAAAATCAAAGGAGTCTCACTATAGATCGCAAAAGTCTACCTTGTCGTATTATGAAAATGCCCCACCGGAAATCATGGTAATGCCAGAAACGCCTGTTACTGAAAATATTAGTATATTGGAAAATCCTACACTGCCCAGTAAGGAATCTGTTTCTAGCATGCATCAGTGCCTATCTGATTTAGAGGATATTACAGCTGTACCGAGCCATGCCTCTCCAGCAGCGCCGCTTAGCCTTACATTAGACAATCCACCACTTCACCGACTACTGTTTGACGAAGGAGACTTTTCAGCACCACAGACTGCTCCGTTTGTCGATCCAATCGAATTGGGTGAGGATTCAGCAAAGCGTTCTCCAAGTACGTTTATCCCTGCACCTATTTCCAAATCTGCACAAGTCGCGACTCCTGCAGAGCGCTGTCGGGAGATTATTTTGGGTATATATGTGTATGGAGACGATTATGTCTACGAAACGTTTCAGTATCTACGGGATCAGAACAGTCAAACGGGTTATGATTTCAACTTGGTTTTGGATAATCAAGGATGCCGAGCCATCCATTGGGCAGCAGCATGTGCTCGAGTCAAGATGCTGCGTATGCTGATTTATCGCGGAGCCAACACATGCTTGAGGTCTAATGGGGGAGAGACTCCACTAATGCGTGCTGTAGGGTCGCATAATAATTATACGCTGGAGACGTTTCCAGACATACTTGGTTTGCTTATGCCATCACTGTTTTCTACTGATATTTCTGGTCGAACTGTATTGCACTACATTTGCTTCGTTGGAGGACATCGATCTAAACGTGCACAAGCAAAATATTACATGCACTATGTACTAAAGTATATGTCATATGCGCAACCATGTCTAAATATCACGACTGATTTGAAGATGGAGAATCACACAGAGACCAATTCTGTTGCAGCCATGATTGAGGAGTTTGTCAATGCGCAGGACTCGTTTGGACAAACTGCTCTTCATGTCGCTGTTAGATTCCGCAACCATCGACTCATTCAGATGTTGCTGCGTGCTGGTGCTCGACGTGATATCTGTGATAAAAACGGCGATACCCCACTGGGGATTGCGGGCAGCAGTTTGAGAACCATTTTACTTTTGAATCGCAGCGTTGTAAGTCCTGATGAATGGTTGTTTTGATATATTGTATATTAATTTATTTTTGATTGGGTTCTGCAAATAGGAAAGACTATTGGTTCCTGAACTATATGACATTGATGACTTTTCCGATGCAGCTACGAGTATTGCTTCTGTTGAATCGGACGACGATATCTCGACTGCTAAAGGTACAATTACCTCTAATGGCTGTTATGAAAATCAATGTCAATTGAATAATAGCTTGCCAGAGCATCTCTAACCTGTTTCTTTACCAATTGCATAATTTTGCAGATGGGATGGCTTCAAAAAACACTGGTCCGTTTGCATCGGTTAGAAATTCATTTTCGTGTGTATTGAGCCAAAAAGCATTGGATGCCATTACCAGACACGATGCGGCTCCAACCACAAACAGATTAGCTTCATCGCGATACGAAGTGACGGCTATATTAAAGCGTCAAAGTCAACTTGATGGACTAGTCAAGGTAGCGCAGGATGTTGGAAGAAAATGCAGTGCCGTCATGTATGCAAGACGGTCAACAGATATACCTCTCGGTATTGATGCATTGAATTCAATCAAGACTACGGCCATATGCCAGGACGGTGTGCCATCTGATCCCGCATCCACACTGCTCTTTTTCCATCAAGTTGCTTGCACCCATATGCAGCCAGCTATTTCCACTGAGCAGAGCAGTAACAAACGAGGGTTGAATGCGGATGATCCTACTGAGCATGATGCCAAGCGGATCTGTGTACTGCCCAACAATCCCATGTACACACTTGTCGAAGGCATTGAATCAACCTCGTTTGAGTTTACTAAGCCCTATCAACCATGTTTGATGGGAGATGAAAAGCAAGCCAATCCTGATCAACCATCATCCACATACCAACCCCTGCTATCATCTCAATTGGAAACAGTTGAGCATTTGCAGAATCAAGTTGCAGTATTGCAGATGCAATCTGAAATCCTGCAAACCAATAACAATGCATTGATCCAGGCAGTACACAAGCTACATGAACAACGACATCTCAAATCCAGTCGATACAAGACATTGATTGCATGGTGTATGGGTGTGACGACACATACAGTGGATACAGCCATGCAACATTTATCATCTAAATAGCGTCTATATTAAATACTATTTCAGTTGTGATGATTAGTCTGATGGTATTCCAAAACTATTATTTTTGTGAGTGTTAGATTGGTGGATAGCATTGAACAAGACAGTTGAATAGGATTGAGAATATTTTAGAATATCAACGAACAATTCATTGCAGAGCGGCTGTTGGGTTGGATTAGTCAGCAACACTCGGCTCTCAAGTCGCTATAAATACAACGCGTTTCTTTGTATTGATCAACACATTCAGACTTTTATTATTATACTATCATGTCTGTTGTTGCTACAAATCTCGGTTTCCCTCGCATGGGTGCTGTTCGTGACCTTAAAAAGTTGGTCGAAGCCTACTGGGCTAGCAAGATCTCTTGCGACGACCTGCTTGCTGGTGCCAAGGTTAGTTTTGTTGGGCGGAAGTTGAACTGATCTTTGAACATTCTATACTGTTGTATCGATACATGTTGAGAATATATGAATTGTATTGTTTAATCATCAACTGAGTGTCTTGTTCAACCCCTGCTGTTGTTGATTCCATTTTTGTGTTGCTGACAAATCCACTCATTGAAGATCTGATTTATTGTTTATGCAATTTCATGTTTGGTTGGCTTATTATGTTTGTACACTTGTTCAATAGGCACTTCGTGCTACTCACTGGAAGCTTCAGAGTCAAGTTCTCTCTGCTGGATATGTTCCATCCAACGACTTTTCCATGTACGACCATGTTCTTGACCATGCCTTCCTGTTTGGTGTCATTCCCGATCGCTACCACTCTATTCCCAACAAGATTGACCAATACTTTGCTATGGGTCGTGGTTTGCAGCGTCCCGCTGAAGGAATCGATGTTCCTGCTATGGAGATGAAAAAGTGGTTCGATACCAACTGTAAGTAATTGGAGTGTTTAATGTGTTGCTTGTAGATCTGCTGACTGACTTGATTCTTGTTGCTTTTCAGACCATTACATTGTTCCCGAGTTCTCTTCATCCACCAAGTTTAGTCTGAACACTCTTAAACCCGTTGAAGAGTTCCTCGAGGCCAAATCTATTGGTGTTGCGACTCGTCCTGTTTTGCTTGGTCCCATTTCGTTCCTTTTGCTCGGAAAGGGCGACAAAAACGCTTCGGCCGGATTTGATGTTCTGTCGCTGCTCGACTCTTTCCTGCCTGTATACACCTCGCTGCTTACTAAGCTGCAAGAGGCCGGTGCTACTCACGTCCAGATCGATGAGTCTATTCTTGCTCTCGACCAGCCCGCCTCTCTCAAGGCTGCTTACACCAAGACCTACGCTGCTATCCGTGCTGCTTGCCCCAAGCTCAACATCATGGTTGCTTCGTATTTCGGTACTATTGGATCCAACCTTGATTTCATTGCTGATCTTCCCATTGATACCATTCACGTTGACCTTGTCCGTGCTCCCGAAGATCTTGACCTTGTCCTTGCTCGCATTGCCGGATCAACCAAATCTGTTTCTGTTGGTGTTGTCAATGGCCGTAACATTTGGATGAACGATCTTGCCAAATCTATTGCCACTGTCAAGAAGGCTGTTGCTGCTGTCGGTGCTGCTCGCGTTCTTGTTGCTCCTTCTTGCTCGATGCTCCATTCCCCACACTCTCTCGAGTCTGAAAAGAAGATGAACCCCACCATCAAGGCGTGGATGTCATTTGCTGTTCAGAAATTGCACGAGCTCCAGATCATTGCCAAGGCTGTTTCAGACCCATCTTCTGTTGCTGCCGAGCTTGCTGCCAACAAGGCTGCCATTGAGGACCGCAAGGTTTCCCCTCTGATCCACGACCCCAAGGTTCAGGAAGAGCTCAAGAACCTTTCTCCTGCCATGTTCAAGCGTCAACACGAGTTTGCTGTTCGTGAAGCTGTTCAGAAGACTAAGCTCAATCTGCCTGCTTTCCCTACCACCACTGTCGGATCATTCCCTCAAACCAAGGATGTCCGTGTTGCTCGTCAAAAGTTCAAGAAGAGCGAGTGGACTCAGAAGCAGTACGATGACTTTGTCAAGTCTGAAATCGAAAAGACTGTTCGCTTCCAGGAGAACGTCGGTCTTGATGTTCTTGTCCACGGTGAGTTTGAGCGTAACGACATGGTTGAATTCTTCGGTGAGCACCTCAAGGGTTACGTCTTTTCCGAGAACGGCTGGGTCCAGTCCTACGGATCTCGTTGCGTCAAGCCTCCTATTATCTTTGGTGATGTCAGCCGTCCTACTGCCATGACTGTTGATGTCTCTGTTTACGCACAGTCTCTCACCACCAAGCCTATGAAGGGTATGCTTACTGGTCCCGTCACCATGCTTCAGTGGTCGTTTGTTCGTGATGATCAACCCCGAAAGGACACTACTTTCCAGATTGCACTTGCTCTGCGTAAGGAAGTATGCGATCTTGAAGCTGCTGGTCTTCCTGCTATTCAGATTGATGAGCCTGCTATTCGTGAGGGTCTTCCCCTTCGCAAGGAAGCTCATGCCGCTTATCTCGAGTGGGCCGTCAACTCCTTCTTGCTTTCCTCCACTGGTGTCAGGGACGAGACTCAGATCCACACACACATGTGCTACTCTGACTTTAACGACATTTTCCAGTCCATTTCCGACCTTGATGCCGACTGCATTACCATTGAGAACTCCAAGTCTGACCTCAAATTGTTGCGTGCCTTTGAGGCTCATGGCTACACTCGTGGCATTGGTCCCGGTCTCTACGATATCCATTCTCCTCGTGTTCCACCTGTTACTGAGATCAGGGAACGTCTTCAAGCCATTTCCAAGTATATTGACGCTCGTCTTCTCTGGGTTAACCCCGACTGTGGTCTCAAGACTCGTGGCTGGGCCGAGACCGAGTCTGCTCTCAAGAACATGTGCGATGTTGCCAAGGAGTTCCGTGCAGCCAGCTCTGCTTAATTCTTTACATCCATTTTATTGATTTGATTCTGTTTTTTTCACCATTCCTTTACCATTGATTGGATTTAGCATTTATCTTGAATAACATATTTTTATTCTGAACCATGTTTTAAAATTGGAGTGTTTGTATTTTATTGAATGATGATGCAATAGTTTAAAAGATGAATAACTTGTAAAGAAAACATTGGAGAGTGCTAGCTGTTTGCCTAGTTGATGTGCAGAGGGTATACCAACCACGACTTTGATCCCATCATCCGAATTCAACATTCCACCACCCATCCATGTTCAACAAGTACGACATGATTGAATGGATTAAACTGATAGTCGAGTTGAATAGTATTCAAAGATTTTTTGCCGAAAAACGATTGTTTATTGGTATACAACAAACGTATCAGAGATCAAACCACAACCCCGTGCAATTACAAAGGAATGTTACCATGCTTTTTATAAGGATTGACAAGTTTTTTAGTTTTGAGCATTTTTAGATCTCGAATGATTCGCGCTCGAGTTTCAGAGGGCATGATGACATCGTCCAAGAATCCACGCTGAGCAGCTGGGAGTGGGTTGGCAAATTTGGTGATGTAGTCGGCTTCTGCTTGACTTTTATCCTTGACGGATCTAAAAATGATTTCGACTGCACCTTTGGCACCCATCACGGCAATTTCACCTGTTGGCCAAGAGTAGTTCATGTCACCACGAAGATGCTTTGAGCTAATAGATCATCAATACAAAATGGTACACACGGTAGTTGGTACATGCATCACCCATGTTTTAGTCTGATTGGTAGGACTTACCTCATGACGTCGTAAGCACCACCATAAGCCTTGCGAGTAATGACGGTGATTTTGGGAACGGTGGCTTCAGCATAAGCGTAAAGCAGTTTAGCACCATTACGAATAATACCGTTGTGCTCTTGAGCAGTGCCGGGTAGGAAACCGGGTACATCAACAAATGTCAAAAGCGGAATATTAAAGGCATCGCAAAACCGGACCCATCGAGCAGCCTTGATGGATGCATTGATGTCAAGAACACCAGAGGATACAGTGGGTTGATTAGCAATGATGGATACGGTTTCACCATCAAGACGACCAAACCCAACAACAATGTTTTTAGCAAAGTCGGGCATGATTTCAAAAAAGTTGCCATCGTCAACAACACGGGTAATGACATCCTTGATATCATACGCTTTAGTAGAGTCTGAAGGGACAAGAATGTCCAGTGCAGAGTCTTTGCGATTGGGTAGATCATCGGTGGGACGAACAGGAATGGGATGACGGTTGGAAAGTGGTAAAAAGTCGATGAATTCGCGAAGACGAGTAAGCGCTTCAATGTCATTATCAAAGGCCAAATGTGCAACACCTAATTAAAAGCATAAATATTTGAGTTTCACATGAACAACGTAGATATACATCATCACATGGATACCTGATTTGGTGGTGTGGGGACCAGCTCCACCGAGCTCTTCCTGGGTGACTTGCTCATTAGTGACAGCCTTGACAACCTCGGGCCCAGTAACAAAAAGATAAGATGTATCGCGCACCATAAATGTAAAGTCAGTGAGTGCCGGAGAGTATACCGCACCACCTAGATATATGAATCAATAGAATGAATAACACGCTGATCCAATGCTAGAGGCTATAAGGCGAATACCTGCACAAGGACCCATGATAAGAGAGATTTGAGGAATAACACCAGAGGCCAGCACATTTTTTTGGAAAATGTCAGCGTATCCACCAAGAGAATCGACACCTTCCTGAATACGAGCACCACCCGAGTCGTTTAAGCCAATGACAGGAGCACCAACAAGCATTGCCTGGTCCATGATCTTGCAGATTTTTTGAGCATTTGTCTTTGAAAGACTTCCACCATATGCAGTAAAATCTTGACTAAAAACGTAGATCAAGCGACCATTTACGGTTCCATACCCAGTCACAACACCATCACCAGTGATCTAGCATGCACAATATATATTTGTCGAGTTAGATTCCCGATCACAAAGTGATCTAATCTTGACAAGTATTTGACTCGGACTGGCAAACATTTTACAAAGTCAAGGGTTAAGATGCTTGCCTTTGTGTCTGCCATTCCAAAATCATGGCATTGATGTTCTACAAACGCATCGTATTCACAAAACGATCCAGAATCAAGCAGCAAATCAACTCGTTCGCGAGCAGTGAGTTTGCCCTATTCAAACCATGAACAGTTAGATATCGAGTAACAAGTAGCCCAAGATCAGCAACATTAACTAAGCGATTAAAAACATACCTTGTTGTGCTGAGCCTCGATACGCTTGAGACCACCGCCCAGTTTACTTTCGGCTCTTTTTGACTCGATCTTGTAAAGCACTGCCTATATGTATGAATAGAATCAGTACAAGTGATGGATATTGGATGATTGAATGTAGATCGATGAGGCTCAATCTTGCGATTCAAAGGCAAGACCGAGAGTAGCTGACAAGATTTTACACAAATAAGAATGATCTAAAAGGTTGATTGAAACTAGGAGATGGAATATATTGATTGAATACAAGTTGATGTGGGTTGAATATACAATGGATTACATTTTCCTTGACAGAAGGATCGGATGATGCAACAGTTGTAGCCAGCGAACGAAGAACAGTCGATGTAGAGCGATAAACAGATGCTCTGGAGAATTGATTCAAGGCAGTTGAACGAGTCAATAGTCTTGGAAATGCTCTAACAAGACCAGTCATGGTGAAATAGTTGAATCTTGAATATCAAAGAATTTTAGTTGAAGATTTACGCCATTAATCTGAACATTTAAATTATTACAAAGTTGGTTTTATAAAACCTAAAGAGAATTCATAACGTACTCTTTAGTAATGAATTGGTTTTAATAATGAATTGTTTTTAGTAATGAATTCCAATAATAGATTCTCTTTAGTAATGAATTCCAACAATCAATTCCCTTTAATAATAGATTCCCTTTAATAATATATTTTTGGAAATCAAAAGTTTTTAGGGTGTTTGATATGAATTGCAGTGTTGCGGGTTTACTCCACTTTCTTATTAATACAATCTGATTCATGTCGTCCTTCTTTCGTCTGTCTGCTGCTATTCCAGCTAGGCAGGCATTGGCTGGTTCTGTTCACTCCAAATCTCTCATCAGGTTTTCTTCCACCACTGGTTATGGAAAGGTAATGTCTTGAACTTTGTTGGAATAGTCGGTCAGATACTGTCATTCACCATGCAACTGCTGGATCGTTGCAAACTTGTCTTGGTCAAACCATTTTATCTTTTAATAAAATACACATTTAATAGAGGCTTAATACTCTTGAATGATCATTTATTCATGAATGGCAGCTAATCCCTTTTTGCATTCATCTTGATAACTAGACATTCGATAAGATCTTGATTGCTAATCGTGGCGAGATCGCATGCAGAGTGATTCGTACAGGTATGTATCTGCCATATTCAGTTTTGATTCAATGGTGCTAAACTCTACCATCACCTTTTTAAATGATTGAATGTGTTTGAATCTAGCCAAGAAAATGGGCATCAAAACTGTAGCAATTTATTCTGATGCCGATATCAACTCTCTTCACGTTCGTTTGGCTGACGAGGCAATCAACGTAGTACGTTCTTTTGCTGAAATGCTTTAGTTTGATCTTGTGTTGGACTATCCATTTTAGTTTGGCTTGGAAATCATCCTGTTTGACTGATCATTCATGAATCTGATCTGTATCTACTCATTCACTGGTTTAAACAATAGGGCCCTCCTGCTACCAGCAAAAGCTATTTGAATATTCCAAACATCATTGGTGCTATCAAACAGACTGGTGCACAGGCTGTTCATCCTGGTATGCTAAACACTTGTTTTCAATTGATTTATATGTTTTCAATTGCCATTGGTAGATGCCAACTCATTTTAATTCTAATACGAAATAGGTTATGGGTTTTTGTCGGAAAACAGCCAGTTTGTGCATGCACTGGATGAGATTGGTGCTGTGTTCATTGGTCCCAATGAACGTGCCATGGCTGCAATGGGTGACAAGATTCAGAGTAAAATAATTGCCAAGGAAGCCAAGGTTACTACTATTCCTGGATTCAATGGTGTCGTGGAAAATGTCGATCATGCCGTCAAAATTGGTGAGTTGATATTCCCAATGTATCCTTGTATACACCACTATAACATCAAGTCTTGTGACTCATGAGTGTGGTGATCATGTACTGTTTAGCAAATGAGATTGGCTATCCTGTCATGATCAAGGCATCTGCTGGCGGTGGTGGAAAGGGCATGCGTATTGCATGGAATGACAAGGAAGCTCGTGAAGCATTCAAGATTTCTTCTTCCGAGGCACTCTCCAGTTTTGGTGACAGTCGTCTTCTCGTAGAAAAGTTTATTGAAGATCCACGCCACATTGAAATTCAATTGATTGGTGATCAGCACGGAAATACCATTTATCTTCCAGAGCGTGAATGTTCCATTCAACGTCGTAATCAAAAGGTATTCGTATCTACTCTTGTATCTCTGCATGCTGTGTACGCTCAACATTTAACGCTGCTATTCAATAGGTGATTGAAGAAGCTCCTAGCGTCCATATCGATATTGCTACTCGCAAGGCAATGGGTGAACAGGCGGTCGCTCTTGCCAAAAATGTTGGTTACTATTCGGCTGGTACTTGTGAATTTCTTGTTGATCCCAAACGCAACTTTTACTTTTTAGAGATGAACACTCGTCTTCAAGTGTACGTGCCATGTGCTGGTTTAAATTTAAATTTAAATGCAACCAGAATATATGTTGATTGTGACTCATTTATTTTTAAAATGCCATTTTTATAGCGAGCATCCAATCACAGAGTACATTACTGGACTTGATCTTGTTGAACAAATGATTCGTGTTGCTGCCAAACAAAAGCTTGGTTTTACGCAATCTGATATCAAAATCAATGGTTGGGCCTTTGAGTCGCGTGTGTATGCTGAAGATCCTGAAAAATACCTTCCTTCTATTGGTCGTCTCAACAGATACATTGAGCCAGCAATTCCGGCTTCAGGAAGTGTCCGCTGTGATTCGGGTATTGTTGAGGGATCTGAAATTTCAATTTATTATGATCCACTTATTTGCAAGCTCTGCACACACGGCCCCACTCGTGAAGCTGCCATGAAAGAGATGCAGCATGCACTTGACACGTACGTTATCAAGGGTGTCACGCACAACATTCCACTTCTCCGTGATGTCATTAGCCATCCCCGTTTTCAATCTGGAAAAATATCAACTGGGTTTCTTGCTGAAGAATACCCTACTGGATTCAAGGGTCATAAACTGACCCCCCAGAGCCATCGCGAACTACTGTCTGTTGCTGGATATATCTTTGCTCGTCGCGACCTTCGCAACCGTAGCTGGATAGATGGCGGTGGTTCAGTTTCCCAGGGGGCAAACAAAAAGTCCGAATGGGATCTTCACATTAGTACTGGAAACGGTCATTACGAAAATGTCACTGTGGTTAAACAGGGCGATACATTTGTGGTAATTTTGGATTTTGGATTTTGAATCCAATGTTTAAAAAACTGACTGTTGGAGTGTATGGGATGGGTTTTTTTATGAAATTGCTAATTTGTACCTTGATGGGTGACTGTCAATTTACTATGTCATGTTGTAGATCACTGCCAAGGGTGAATCTGTTACAGTTTCTGCAAACTGGGCACTGGAATCTCCACTGATCAATGCCAAGCTTGTTCATGATGGTGCTGATTCGTCTGTTGTTGTTCAATACCTTGAAAGCCTTCCACTCGGTTTCCGATTGCAACATTACGGCTCCAAAGTCAGTATAGACGCATCTTGATAGTGTGTTGATTACTATTTTTGTACTGACTTGATCCATTTGTATATGATGATGATGGGTTTACGTGTTTAGTTTGATATTCAAGTTCGCACAAAAACACAGCAGGATCTATCTATTCATATGAAAGAGCGTGAGAAGCTTGATCTCACTCGCATGATCTTATCTCCAATGCCTGGCTCGGTTGTCAGTATATCGGTCAAGGTCGACGATGTGGTGTCTGAAGGATCTGAGCTGGCTGTTGTTGAAGCCATGAAAATGCAAAACGTCATTCGCGCACCTAGAGCTGGCAAAATCAAAAAGGTGAATGTGCAAGCAGGTGCAAGCGTTGCTGGCGATGAGGTGGGTTTCATTTACAATATTTTATAACGGGTATATCGAGTAAATGATTTATCCTTTTGTACCATGTATACCCTTAGATCATGATCGAGTTTTATGAAGACCAAGTCAAGAAATAGTAATAAAACTGCTATTCACCAAATGGAATGTATTTTTTATTCAACATTGCAAGCTATATTTTAGTTGATTTGTTTGTAAATGTATTTTCCTAGTGTTTGGCAGCACTGTCATTCAGACTTGATGCTTACGTTGGTAGGCGGTTTAAGATCACACTTTTTGGGTACGGTGGGATCCATAAAGGACTTGATAGTTTCCTCAGTTACCAGTTTTCGCCTCTAGTGATTGCAACAAGGAGATCAACAACCCATTCCAAAACATCAATACAAATGCATCAGTAGTTGTGCAAGACAAACCTCTTGGACTGGCGCGACCAACTCCTGTACGACAGTAATACAGCGTTTCTTTAGCTCGCCAGTGCTCATAGCCCCACTACGGTAAGCAATACGAATATTTTCCAGTTCCTCATCGTCGTTAAGAAAGAAACGAAGGTATTGGAAACTGACATCCACGTCGGTATCGCCACCTAATTCAGCGTGTTTCTCGGCAGTGTCTTGGCCACCTGAAAAGGCATGACGGTTAATTTTATTCTTGATCTGAGCCAAAGTGTCGTTAATGTAGATGGCAGAGTTGGGATTGGAAGCAGACATCTTGGTACCCGGACCCTATGTATAGCAGAATATAGCGATTAGGTTAAATGAGATGGGTTGATTTTTCAACACGTCGAGTAGGGTATTGGCCAAACAGACATACCTGAAGAGCAGGGAAGAATTTGGCATGAATCAAAGCAGGTTTGGGATACTTGAGTTTTGAAGCAACATCTCTAGTCAGACGAAAGTATGGATCCTGATCGATTGCGCAAGGAATCAAACAAGGCACATCGCCCTTGGGTCCGAATATATGCGGAAAGGTATTCGAAAACGAGGGAGCTGCCTGAACACTCACGAAATGCAGTTTGCCTACATTATCGCTGTCAGTAAATCCAAAGGTCGCACGGGATACACTAGCAGTGATTGTTTTTGAGATCTTGACAATATTTTGGTAAAACGGAGGACACATGTATTCGAGATTGGAGAAGATGAATGTACGCTCTGGATCGAAACCAAATGACATGATATCTTTGGCATTTTCAATCATAAAGACTCGAGAATCTTCAATCTTGCGATCAGGAGTAAAAAGAAACTTTTCATCGTCGGTGAGTTGAACCACTAGCGGTGCCTTGAACACATCCTGCAGCCATCTATGAAACATGATCGAATGCTGTGAATATCCAACTTGAACAAAACGTAAATCAATAAAACGATACATTACTTGCAAAAGATAAACGGAACCATATGACCAACATGCATGCTGCCACTGCTGGGACCTCTACCGGTATACAAATAGAATGGCTTTCCCTGCTCATACTTGTCAAGAATCAAATTGAGTTCTCTAAATTCAACATGTTTGGATGAGCACAAAGACCAATGAATCCGACTGACTAGTTGAAACAGTCGATATAGAATGATATAAAACCTGACAAGACACACCTATGAGAGAAAAACAGACCTCGACGCAAGAAAGGATGAGGCTTGACACCAGTTAGTTTTTCTAATCTCTGCAACAACACTTCATCGATGGGTTTAGTGCCAAAGTCTGAAATGAGTTTAGTGTAGTCAATAGCAACCAGTTTGCCATTGACTGTTGCACCCTGAACAGTCCAAGGATCAATCTTTTGCTGACAAGTATCGGATGTAGAAACCTGTTCCTGGGATTGAAGTCGAGAATCTGAAGTATCGGTCATCTTGAAGGTAAAAACTAACGAATTCAAACCCAAACCAAAACCAATTCATGTTGAATGCAACAATCGTCTGTATTCTGTTCATCGCTTTTAATACTCAACTTCGGCTCATGTGCCGGAAAGCTCAAAGCAAATATCACTCATTTAGAATCCAAGATGGCCAAAAGTATATTTTATTCAACTAAAAAAAGTCGGATTCTAACCAAGATTTAGAAATCATTCAAATGTGTTTTTGCAATCGATCTTACAAGTGTAAAAGCAAACGATTGCATGCGAATGGTCAATGTGGTTCCAGATGCATATGTGCATCATGCAGTCCATATCAAAATGGATGGAGTGAATAGTGTTCCAGAATCTAGATGCTGCTGTCTTTAAATGATAGCAACAGACCTGCAGAAGCAAACTGCGAGTTTCAGCAAGTATAAACTATTAAAAGAAATGACAGCCATATTGGGTAGCAACGACTCAGCAAACTAGTGTAGCATGCAATGTGAAAGGCAATCGGATGAATGTGAACGAGGCAAACAAGCAGTATCAAAGCACCAAAGAGCAATGAATGGTCAGGATGACAATTTAAAAGTGCCAAGGGATTCTCCGAACCAATGGCGAGTTACAACGTTGTTGGGGTGCGGATAATTTACTGACGCAACCGGAATGAATGACTGGGCCACGCAATGGAGTGGTTTGGGGTGTTGATGGAATGCAAATGGATTGCGATTGCTGACATTGAATGCAAGAGTGGCAAGACAACTTGCATGTGTCAGAAGATGCTTGTGTAGATTCGCAGGTGTCCTCACGCTCGGTGTGGCGATCCACTGTGTGCTTTTCTTCGGAACAAGCGCTTGAATCCAGAGTGTGGATCGAGGTCGAATCAATGGTTCGAGTATCAGCAGTCGAGACTGGGGCTGAAAAGGATGGCACTAATGGAATGTTGGCAACTGAAAATCTAGCCTGTGGTAAAGACATGCGCAATGCTGGATCGGGATGTAGTAATCCTCGAATCACAGTCGCCATCTCTGGTGCTAGATTGAACCAATTAGCAAGAATGTCTGGATTGTCAAGATACGCTCGATAGCTAACATCAGTTTGTGCATCTGCCATTTCCCACGGATTTTTGGCAGTCAGAATGTTGAGCATAAGAATGCCTACTGACCAAGTATCACCAAGAGCACAGTCGTATGGTAACAGTTTGACCTTGAGTCGGTTCTTGTCACTAGAGCTGGGAACCGTGACTTGCACAGGACGAGCGCACTCTGGGGACATGTATCTGTTGGATCCACAGCCAAACTGCAACGACTGTCGCTGATATGTCGCAAGACCAAAGTCACAGATTTTAAGTGTGCCTTGGCTACGGGATACGAGCAGATTCTCGGGTTTCAAATCTCGATGATAAATACCTCGCGCATGGCTATCAATCACAGCATCCATCATTTGTAGAATAAGTGTGCGTGCAAGAACAGTTCCTGCTGCTCCGTTACTCTCATTGTATTCACTGAGTGCATTAAGCAGGTCCGTTGTGCAATGTTCCATTACAATATTAATATGATGGGGTGACTCGACGACGTCATATAATTTCACTACAAGCGGGCAATCAGCAAGGTCACACATGGCCCGAATCTCGGTGCGAATCGCCTCCGACACTTGACGGCTAGACACTTCACCTGTTGTGGGATCTTTGGAAATACGTACAGGCAGTCTCTTGACAGCATATACTTGGGAAGGGTCGTTTAGTGAATGTGCGGTATAAACACCTGCAGATGAGCCTGCACCAATCTTGGAATTGATAACAAGTGTGCCAAGTGATGCAGAGTGGATAAGATGGTCGTTGGAAACTGGTTGATTGTTCTTCATGCTACCATGGGGTATCTGAACAGAAGACATGTTGGGAACGGAAAGTAGCATTGTGCAAGTATTGGATTGTGGTGTCAGGCTGAAGCGGTGGTTTAAGCCAACAAGAATCGTGACGAAGAATCGGGTTAAATAATAAATTACAAGTGGATAAGCGGCGTCCAAAGCGGAGCGGAAAATTAAAGTGAGCTGATTATCAAAAAAGGCGGATGATGCTAAAGTCTGAGGTACTCGTATCCCTTAAATTGATATACGTGGCCGAATTTGGACGGGATTACATATGTGAGTAGCTCCGATTGGTTTGCTTTTCTGGGGCCTTTGCATTTAGACCAAAACTTGAATCTATCAATAGGTTTAGTATGACTCAGACTATCATACACGTGGCGTGCATGATATCTTACTAGTTATCAACTCTCTATACTAGACTACTCCAGCTCTAATGACCCATATCTAGCTACGCCATTGTGCATACTCATTGCACCATTGTGCTTGCTAATTACAATATTTTACCCACTCAATAGCAAAGCAGTGATTTGCCACCAAGACCCATCTGTCAAATGCTCTTACAGTCAAGATCTGTTTTATAAAAGCATAGCCCAACTACAGACCCCAACTGACCACAAGTTGGTTAGCTTTTACACAGCTTGTTTCTAAAATATGCTGCTTCTGAATTCCAAAAAAACAACTCTGTAGCGACCTGAATTCAAGACTCCCTTTGTCAGTCCTCCCTACATTGGCTTTTCTCCTTGATTCTAATCCTTGGGTTACAGCCGTGCTCACATAAAATGAATCACTAAATAAGGGTGCCAAACACAATAAACGGCCCAGTCTCATGACATGAGAATGTCGGTTTCCACTAAATTTACTGGGTGCATTGTTTTTGAACTCCCTAGCAGCATTTGTTGGTCTTTCTCCTTTTTTGCTCATTGTGTATAAACAATTGAACATTTGTTCAAAGCAACACTCGCATTACGGTTCCAGAAAATCTCTAATCTTTGACGCTTTTTTAATCTCCAACTCCTTTCATCAAATCCAAATATTTGAGTAAACATTGGGTGATTGGTATCGAAGCAACAGTTGCATTCCTGAAACATGCTATCCTTGCTCTTTTGAACTAGAGCATATCCGAGTTTTAGAATACAGCAATGAACTGTAGTGGCAACATCAACAGTCAACCCCAGTATCTGGATCCCAATGAACCTGGTTTCAAATTGGGTGATCGTACAACGTATGACTGTCAAAAAAGATCAATCCCAATCCAAACTACGGCTTGATTGTGAACATCATATGATGAACACTGCTTATTAGATTGAAAACGGCTGTTCAGATCAGTCTAGTAAAAAGGCATCCATGCTCATTTGATTCTATACAACATCATTCCATAAAGCCACAAAGCCACAAATTCACCTATTCGTCATGGTCTGCCGACTGTTCAACAAACAATGTCGCGAGGTGTGATTTCATTATACCACTTCTATATTGTCTATTATCAATCCTGCTGGCAGCTTAGTATAGTATAAATGGTTTTATGCGGCGCGCGATTCCAGAAAGGAAGAATCGAGCATCAATTGAAGAGGCAGTGTAGCTAATTTCAAATAGGAAAACAACGGACACTTAACCATTGTTTATCCAAAGCAAAATAGAGGCAGTGATCCAAAGTAGATACAAAAAAGTATTTCATTTTACGTGAGTACGGCTATAGATTTTCCTGTTTTGATACAGCTTGGATCGGAATGGTTCGACCGAAACATTCCCGCTTACGTGGCCGAAGCTTATCGTTTGAAAAACTAGATTGCTCTGATCCTTGTAGAGTACTCTGCCATTCTGTCTGTTGATTCAAGCATATATTGCATTCTCATCCTCGCAACTAACAACAAGAGGAGTGAGAATAAAGAAAATAAAATCAGATTCTCAGTAACTATCTGAATGCCGGTATTTTATGCCCACACTTGATGGGTCACAATCTCTGAGCAAACAGCAGGATGAGTTGTCTACTCTCACAATTGTGCCAGGCCTTGATCGTTTTATAGTTGCTAACACTGTTCTACAGCACCGCTGCAGTATACCTCATGACAAACGATGATACATCATTGTTGAAGCCTCAGCCTCAATTTTAAAAAAGATGCATTCTGTGCCCTTCTTACACCATCTACAAGTATATCAAATGATGATTCATCAGTGACAAAAGGGATGAGAACGCATAATATTTATTTGTTTCGGCCAATCTCGTCATGTTTTGGAAACATCCAGACAGCATCTGGCAAACTGTTGCAGCATTTCGGAAACATGCATTTCTGTTTGCAACCCTGTACGACTGTCTTGGGTTAGCATAAACTATAACTGGAACGCCAAAGTTCTCGCACCGGAACAGGGTCAGTACCAAGCTCAACAAGCAATCGCCGCTAGATCAAATCAATGTTGTCCTGTATTAAAAGCCATATTCACGTAAAATGAAACTTTTGTAATGACTCTTGCTCCAGAGTAAACTATCGTTACATGTTCGATATTGACTATTTCTTTTATTGAAACTCTACTATACTCTAATATCGAAAATGCTCTAGTTCAAGAGAATATCTCAAGAATGCAACAGCTGTTTCTATGCGATCACCCAATGTTTGCTTGAAATAGTTGGTTTAAAAAAGGAAATTTGGAGGTTGAACCAATGTCAGGATGTGGAGTGTATTGGAACAAGAATGTGAGCATTTATACAATGTTTTTGTGCAAGAATGAGCAGAGGACACATTGTTGCCCAGTAAGATCGTCACCAATCCATGACTTTTTATCATGTATTTTAGTTTAGTGTTTCATTATACACGAATACTATTAATGAATCAACAGCATCAACAGGTCGTTCAACAAACTGGTCGTGCCAACAAGTCGGATTGTCGTCGCGGTACACGAGCAATAGATAATTCTGGCATTCAAATCAGCAAACAATCTACTGTTTACAAAAGAATATCAAGAAACGTAACCCTCGATCTTACACAAAACTGCAGTCGAGTGAATGTATGCAAGTGTCCCTAAAACATGATATGCACTGATGGTGATGATTACTGACCATCTTTCATCCCTTTTGTTGCTTGCTGTGATGGAATGAATTTGACTTTTTAATTCTCTGACAACGATCAGCCATTATTAGTGTTGATTCAATCAAGAATTAGTCGGAGAATGCAAGATTTCTCAACGCTGCACTCTGCAATTCCAGTATCTCTGATCTAGATCAAGATTTGGCTTGAGCAGATTTGAAATAAATCACGTGAAGATATTCTCATTTTGGTTGGAATCGAGCAAAATATTAGTTTGTATTAATTCTGATTTGGTAAGAATATCACCCAAAAACGTACATCCGTTGTGAATGTCTTGCATTGATTGTGTAGCTGAATTCACTTTTGAGAATGCATTAAAGCGACTCGACATATTCCTATCAATTTGCTGAGATTTAAACAGTTAAACTTGATAGTTTGCTTCATCTCAACTGCCAAACAGCATTTTGTCACTTTTAAATATTTCCCGTCATTCTAGAGTATACATTCTAATCCTCTTTACTATATCTATGTCAATACTTTCAAATATAAAACTCATTTGCTATCCCATCAACACAAAAACCAGCAGAAACTATCCTAAACCAGATCGATTGGCCAGATTGACGCCATCATGTTTTTTATATCTAGATCAGTAATTAAACAGGCTAGATCTGTTGGACTGCTACAGAATTTGACTTCAAAAAGTATAACGAGTTCAACGTATCGCCATATTTCATCCACACCGATTGCCTTTGAATCTCAATCTGAAACAACACATTTTGGCTTTAAAACAGTCAATAAAGACGACAAGGAAACTTTAGGTAATTCACCCGTTTATTCGCTTTAATGTAGCGTTTCTATAAAATCCATTAGTGTTGGATCAGATTTTGAGTGTTTACATATCGAGTCCAAGATCTGTCAGACCCGATCAAATTCAACCAATGTGCATGCAGGATAAATAATAAACTAATCACGGCTGGATAGTTGGACAGGTCTTTCGTAGTGTGGCAGGAAACTATGATGTTATGAACGACTTTATGAGTGGTGGTGTTCATAGACTATGGAAAGATCACTTTATTAATTCACTCGCTCCAAGCCCTACAACAAAACTAATCGATGTTGCTGGAGGAACAGGTATGCTTGCTACTACCAAAGTTTATTCATCTACTATTGATTGAAAGGTACCATTTGCTACTATATGGTTGTATTAAAGTTGGACACTATTATACTGTTTCACTTTTAGGCGACATTGCGTTTAGATTCTTGGACAGTGTCAAGCGTAATCATGGAGGTGTTGGTCAAGCACAAGTCACTGTTTTGGACATCAACCCTGCCATGTTGCAAGTTGGGCGTGAACGTGCTCTCAAATTGGGATATCCTGTCGACTGTAAGTATCAGCAAAACATACTGTTAAAAATGGATCCTTGATGTCTAGATGTTGCATTTCAAACTAATTTTAATTCTCTGCAATTCACTTGTTACAAACCATACTTGCATGCTAAATTCAATGTTTTATCATGACTTACGCGACTTTTAGCACCACACATTTCATTCCAAGAGGCGAACGCTGAGCATCTAGAAACCATTCCTGATGCGTCTGTGGATGCATACACCATCGCATTTGGCATTCGAAACTGTACTCATATTGACAAGGTCATCAGTGAAGCCTATCGTGTTCTTAAACCTGGCGGTCGGTTCATGGTGCTTGAATTTTCCAGTGTTCAAAACCCTATTATTCGCAGGTAAGCCTTGTAGCTTTGATGATTGCCTCATACCCGCTGTCAATAGTATATACCATCAACTCTGATACCCACTACAATCAACTGGACTATATCCAATGTACACCTATAGTGTATACGATCTGTACTCGTTTCGCATGATTCCAATACTGGGAGAACTTGTTGCAAATGACCGAGCTTCGTATGAATATCTTGTAGAATCCATTCGAAAGTTTCCACCGCAAATCGAGTTTGCTAAAATGATTCAGCAGGCTGGATTTACTGTTGTTGGACAAGGATGGGAGGATCTTACATTTGGTATTGCTGCCATTCATTCTGGATTCAAACTATAAACTTGAAATAAAAAGTTGGTTTTTGGTACTGCTAGTACTCGTGTTGTGATCTGCTTTGGTTTATGTATTCAACCCAATACATGCCTCTTACACGTTTAAGCCCTGTCAACACGTTTGAATTTAAACAACCAAAATTTATTGGCGATAGATTGCAAGCAAAACAATCTGATGAGTTTCTTCCAAAGGCTGCATTGAATCGGAAGTATAGGCAGTAGCAACAACAATTAATTCAAAAGAATTTAGACCCAAATGGATTGGAGCCGACATGTCTTGAATCCCACCATCAGCTTTTCCACCGGGAATTCGAAGCTGTAGGGGTTCCAATCGCATCTGTGGATGAGCTGATCCTGGAACGCCCGTAGGAACCATGGCCATTGATGTGCTATGTCCCGTACATGTGAACCGAGTAGCAACAGGTGTTCCATTCGCTGCTACCATACCCGCAAATGGATTCGAACCCAGTACAATACGAATATTCATGGATTTGACACCATGGTTTACAGTGATGCAACTTCCTACAAATCCATGCGGTGGATCATCTGGTGAAAAGGGAATCACCATACGAAATCGATCATCGTTGGATACAATTCCAATACTTGTGACAATGGCAGATTGCGGAGCACTCAGACGTTGTTGAGTTGTATATGCCGAAAATGCATTGTCGGGAACAAGCGCCTGTCCAGGCATTTGCAATCCAGCTGCATTGGGACTGACAAAACTTCTAGGAACAACAGCTGCACCAGCAGAATTCATGAACTGTGGTGTACCAGATACACGAGCACCTTTGGAAGAAGACTGACGCGAACGAGAACCTTGAATCAGCCCATTAGGTGTTTGAGCCTGAAGCAACTGTTGCTGTGCCTGTAAATACAATGCTTGTTGTTGAAACTGCTGTTGAGGTGTAAGTTGAGACTGTTGTAAACTCTGTTTGAGTGTTGTTGCAGCCACAGGTGTTTGTTGGTTTGGTTCAGCAGGACGCTGACTTGAATGCTGAGCAACAGTAATGTCAGTTTGACCTGATCTGCTGGTAGTACGACTGGTAGGAGTTGCTGCTTCCATGGGGGCGTGACTCCAGTTGTTTGCAGCATGTGAAGCACCAATAACTTTGGTAGTAGATTTGGACAAAGTAGGCTTGATTTCTTCAGTAGCAGACTTTGCTTTTGGTGTTCGAAAACTGCTGCGACCGTGATGACTTGAAGAATTAACAGTATCCTATAATATTAAAAGTAAATCAACCATTCCATGTATAGCAATACACTAGCGCATGAAACCATCCAAGGCTGTACACATACGTTAATTTTTAGAATATCCCATACTGGATCATCTTGACTGTCTCCTAATAAATCATATGCCGTCTGTCCATGAATATTGGTTGCTGCTTTATCAGCATTGTGCTTCTCAATGAGAATTTTGCATATCTTGACCGATCCAGCAAATGCAGCCCATGCAAGCGGTCGCTAAATAAATTTCAATTTTTTAATTGATCGATATGATAGAATCTATGTATATGAATTCAAACCAGCAATTTCTCTACATACGCCCTGATACCAGGTGTCTTGTTGTTCAACGTCGGCGCCATGGCCCATTAAAATCTCTAGCATTTTAGCATTTCCATAATAAGCAACAGCATGAATAGGTGCCCATGTGAAACTGGCTTCAAACATATGACAGGGTTGAAGAGCATGGATCGTAGTTTCATCAAACGAAGCAATATGACGTTCAAATGCCTTGACATCATTTTTTTCAATAGCTTCAAAAAGAGCCGTGCGTTGGGTAGCTATTGCGTATAATTTAGAGTTAGAGCACGCAATACACTTGGCACACCATGTACAACCTGTAATATATTGCCAAGACATGTTGTGTACTTACATATATCAGTCTGAGGAGATCGAACTGGAGCAGCTGGCTGAACAACAGTCAGAGACGGGGCTGAAAGCGGGATTAAAGTTGGGGTTGGAGTATGAACTTGAGCAGGCATCTCTACTTTTGGAACATCTGATTTACGACGATGTGGTGGCTTGGCAGATCCAGGTATAGGAGCAGTATGAACATAGCTTTCTGTAATGTATTTAAAGTGTTTCTAAAGTAGATACGCGAGGATTAGCCAATGCGAGATGAAGCCCTCACACATTTATGTTTACCTGAAGTTCAATCGAGTCTTGGTAAATCTGAGATTCGGGAAGATTGTACTGTTGGCAATTAAGAAATATCAAATTTACATCCTTTTTATATGCCTCGACGCTGCTGTAACGACTGCCATCAATTTTTTTCTAAGATTCATTGATTTCCAATACAAGGTGTCGTAAATAATCATAAACCAATATTGAGTAAATCCAGACATGAAAACACCAAGCCTTACTTTGATTCGATCAAATGCAATTGGACGATCAATCAACTGATAATAGTCTGGATACTCCAGTTTGTCAGGAAGCATCAGAAATGGTTCAGAAAGAACACGTGAGTTGGTTCTATAGATTCAAGTCTTGTTAGGATTGTAAAGCCTTGACAAAATGCAGTCTAGACAGATCAGTACATACTTTTTATCTTTCAAATCAAGCAGTTCCGTATATATTTTTGTAAAGTATGATTTAAGAGTGCCAGGAATTGGAATCAATTCCGACTTTTTTGCTATTGGAGTTGTTGCGGCAGAAGTGAGAGGTGTTGAAAAAGATGGTTCAACTTTTAGAGTATCGGGAGTGGATTGAGTGGTTGTGAATTTGAGTTTTTTAATCTTGGCATGAGACGGTTCAGTAGCAATAGCAGTTTTAGCGGATAGATCAGCAGCAGTGTGAGTTGGACTATTATGCCGCCGTTTAGATCCAGCTGACAAGGGAGTTCCGACAGTTGGAGCATTTAGATCGTGATGTTGAGCGCGATTGGCGTTTGCTGACAAGGATAAAGACACTGGAGCTTGAACAGGAGCATCCAGAGTGGGTGCAAGTGCATGAGAGAGCGATGCAGTGCTTGCAGGTTCCTTGACAGACAGACTAAGTTTGACCAGTCGTTTTGGAGCGACTTCAGTCAAGACGGCAGGGGTTTGAGTCGGAACGTAACCACCAAGAGCAGTTATTGCGGATGCAGCAGCAGCTTCTGAATAATCCATTGAAGCTGATGAAGATGGATTAGAACCAAGATCATGAACATGCAAGCCTGTATTCACAGGCACGGCAGTGTTGAGTGTTGGAATCTGAGACGATACGAGTCGCAAAACAGGAGTTTGAAGTTGTTGTATAGAGTTTCCGTGGCCTTGATGGGAAGCAGAACTGGCTGCACCCGATGCAGTTGGCTGTCCATGGCTGTTTACGTTGTTCATTTAGCAACTCGTCTTGCTGTTGCTTCGAATTCACAAAAAAAGAGCAAGTCTCGTGACTTTGTGTTTGTACTGTAATATACTCACGTGATATACTTTCACTTTGTGCTCATCAATAAACTTAATCTTGACACTTGTTCAATCTCATTTTCTATAAACTATTGCGTGGTTGACATGCAGAGTTGAATTCAATATCTGGAAATCATAAACATCTCAAAAACAAACTTAAATCTAGTGTGTCATGATGAACGCTGTGTTAAAGAAACAGTTTATTTATAGTAGAAAAATGCATCGAATATTCAAATATTGTTTATTCCAAAGCAAAATACATTGCAAGATAAAGGATTCCACTCTGTTAATACGCTGGTAAACTGTTCAATTTACATTTGCGAGCTTGAGCGATTTACTTGTCATACAGTTGGATTATGGCTAAAAAACAGACCAAAACATCAGATACTGTGAGGGTTTCTGAACCATCGTTTATAGGCATTCAAAGTGAGCTTTCTGATCCAAATGAATCTATGATGGAGTCATCAAAACAAAACACTACAGATTCCTTCCAGCCAACCACTTGTGTTCAATCAGATTCACTTTCGCAAAACATTGTGCAAGAAGCTGCAGTACTCGAACTGCCCAACGATATATATCATTCAATCCAATATCCTGGATACGCTACTATTGCTGAAAAAATCCTTATTACTCTTGGTGGAATGCCTGCAGTACAAAAGGTGTGTTTTGGCAATAATCGATTGCATGTTATTACTGAGGAAATGTCCTGTTAGCAATTCCATTTTAAATTCTGGCTGTTCTAGGCATTTACCGAACAAGCTGGTTTCCTGGAATTGAACTATACACCCGACAACTTATTCGCTCATCCTATCTCAGGTGATGTCATCCCAACTGCAAATCTGTTGCTCAAGGTTGTCAAAAGGACGAATAGAAAAACAGGTGAAACTACCATGGAACATCATATCGCTGGCCTAGTTTCAAAAACATGCAGATTTAGAGGTGATCTTTTTCATAAATGTATATTATATACCAAGTCAATCCACTTGTAGAAACTTTGGGTTGACATAGTATCGTGTCATTAGGCATGGCAGATTTTCAGTACGAGGTAGATCCAGACGATCCACTTGTTAAGCTGCGCTATAAGATGGAAACGCTTGATGGTACGTGTTGATGCATTACAGTCTAGAAATTCATTCAAGATCGCCGTCATTGTATTAAATAATGTCCATTTCTATCTAGTCAAAACCCTAGATGAACTTCCATTTAATATGGAAAAAAAAAGTAATGGACCTCCGCTACATCACATTCCACCACCCATGTTTTCTAGGATTCAATGGCCTCTGGAATACAAGTATGGAATTTGCCAACCCTTTTAGTTTGCTTTTGGTGTATTGCATCGAGTTGACCATATGTTTACAATCAGGTACCAGCAAAATCCTGCGTCGATCAAAAAACGAACTGCTAATGTCAGAACAGTTCACGGCAAATTTAAACTTAAACCCGGACTATTAGTATATGACTTTTCAACCCCAGACGTTCCAAATGAACCACCAGAAAACCATGATGCAGCCAAGGAATTGATAGATATGCTTCGCGAGCTGTTTGCACAGCGACCTATTTGGTCTCGTGCTGCAATCATGGCTACTATCAACTCCCCCCTGACACGCCAAAAGCCACTGACCGATGCATTGTCAATGGTTGCATATTACACTATAACTGGTCCGTGGAGAAGTCTGTGGATACGTCTTGGATACGATCCAAGAAAGGAGCGATCGTCTCGACTGTATCAAACAGCAGATTTGAGATCTCGTAAAAATTCGCATATTAGAGCCAAACGTCTGCCTCAATCTTATGATGACACTACTGTGAATCTGGAGCCAGTAAAAGCACAAGAGGAAAAGTCCGTGTAAGTGCAGAATGGTGTCAGACTGTTGAGAGTACGACTAAACAGTACTCGAAAACATCAATTTTGAAACTGTTGGTTCAACTCACACAATTCTTATTTGTAAAGCAAATCATATATATTTGATGGTGTAACCAAGGTCAATTTTGGTATATTTCAGCTATGTGACGTAACAGATCCATCACTAAAAACAATGATTACTTCTGCAAAATACTGTCGCAGTGAATATGACGTAAGATTAGACTATTTCAATATTTTACAAGCGTATAACTCGACACCATTCATGCATTGAATCTATTTAACAAATCCATATTTTAGGAACGAGATGGCTGGTATGTGGCTGACCATCAGCGTTTGATTCGTATTGCAATATCGCGGAAACTGTGGACACTACATGGCATGACACGTGTAAGCTCAAAAATACCAGGACAAGAGGGAGCAAGGCGGAATCGGAACAAGGAGCTCCGTGCTATAAACCGAAAAATGTCAACTGATATGGATACATTTGACCCGTCTGTCAATTCAGGTTTAGAGTCATCTGTAGATATAGATACTTGTGATGTCAGTAGCGCTGAATCTACAGAGTCCACAGCCATGATGCCACATGAAACGCATTTGGTTGAACCCACTTTTTCTAATTCTGTTAAATCAAAAGTGAGAATGAGGTTTATATACTTTTAAAAACATATGATTGACTAACAGGGTTGAATGCTATTAGGTAGATGCAATCATGAAAAATCTACAGCTGACGCAAAACAACAACTGTGAAGGTGTGACAATCTACTTGTGTTGATTGTTTTTTGATATGATAGCATGATTAACATTAAAGCATTACAATTTGTATACGTTTAGTATCTAGCAGTGATCGTAGTGTGGATGTATCTACACAAGAACTGCCCAGGATCGAGCAATTTAGTAGAGACACGCACACGTCGATGCAGGATGATGACGAGAGTATAGATGAATCAGAAGACATGGACGAAGAAGATATTGAAGATATAGAAGTGATTAGTGACAAGGAAGACTATTTTGATATTTTAGAAGAGGATTAAGTTTGAACTGGAATAAACACGTGTTTGGATAGCATAAAAAGGGAGTGCTTTGATTTTATCAATTTCACGATAATCATGAGCACTCCGTTCGGCATCAAGGAGATCAAAGTGCTCCTTCTCGACCCCTTCCCTCTCGACTCACTGAATGCATTCGACAAAGCCCATTATCAGGCATGTTTTTATTCATAAACTATCCTGTGTAAACCAACTAGGGTATATTCCATAATGGGCTGGTAATTGATACCACACTGCTTATTATACAGGTGGATGAATGCTTTGGCATACTGTCGGAAGCTGAATTACTTCGTCGTATATCCGATTACAATGTAGTGTGTTTGAGGTAAGAAGAACCAAGTATAGCATAAAGGCTTGCATTTTTATTACAACGCTCTAGGTTTTGTTTTTCCAAAGGGCTGCGTTTAGCTTTGAAATATATCCATACAATTCATGAACTGTACGAGATTAAATAGAAATGATTTTGTTCCTGCTAATATTAAACTCTGGTGATGAATTTGATAGTGGCGAGAGAGAGACCGAGTATCTAACCGATGAAGTATTACGATCTGCACACCGTCTTTTGGCGATTGGAGTATTTGGTCCACTTTCTATCCAAGTCAATTTGAAAGCAGCTCAGGCTATGGGTGTAGGTTGATCATTTTTCACCGACTCTTGCTGGTATTTCAAAAGCTGTGGTTTGCAATGCTGAATAGTGTTTTATTTTTATATTGTAGATCCCAGTGTTTACTGCACCTTATCAGTACACGCACAGTGTTGCTGAAATGTCTTTGGCAAATATCATTTTGCTGTCTAGACAGATTGGCGATCGCAGCAAAGAAATTCATGCTGGCGAATGGAACAAGGCAAATCTCACTGATTGTAGTATCTACAACTATATAACCAACAGGATTCAACCAAAACTAACTCGACTATACAATCTAGACATCAACCAACTGCGTTGAAGTACGTGGCAAAACACTCGGTATTGTTGGATATGGCCATGCTGGCTCGCAACTTGGCATTATGGCAGAAGCGCTATCCATCTGCGTTATTTTTTACGATGAACTTAGTTTGATGCCAATTGGCCGTGCAAAACCAGTTGATACTCTAGATGAACTACTTGCCAAGTCTGATTATGTGGCTATCAACATTACCTCCACTCCAGAAAACGATGGATTGTTTGATAAAAATATGCTTGCCAAAATGAAACAAGGCAGTTATTTGATCAATGCATCCGCAAGTGAAGCTGTGAGTGATTCTTTATGCAGGTTGAATGGTACCGCTAAATGCCATCTTACATTATATTTTGAATTGGATTGGGTTGGGTTTTAACAGGTTGATCATGCGGCTCTCGCAGACGCAATCAAGTCAAAGCATATTGCAGGTGCAGCAATCGATGCTATTCCAGCTCACGAGATTGATGGGAAAACCTTCAAATCTCCTTTGCAGTCAGCTCGCAATGTGATTCTTACGCCTGTTATTGGCAAGTAAATAGGATGCATTTGACCATTTGTTTTTATTCTTTCAATCAAAACTCGGAAATGCTGATCATCTAGTATATTGTGGACTACATAAACAGCTGGAGATACTCTTGAAGCACGTCGACGTATTGTTGCAGAGATTACAGAGGATGTTGTGCGTTACATCTCCGAGGGTACGACCATTGGCGCTGTCAACTTTCCTAGTGTTGCTGCCTGGCCTCTCAAGCCTGGGAGTCGCCGTATTATTTGCATGCACAGAAATGTGCGTGGAGTGCTCAAGGTAAACCGACACTATCCTTGAACACCGTGTTTACCAATGTACAGATTAACACCAAGTTAAATTCAACTTATCCCATTGTGATCATCAACTGTGTCTAATACTCATGGAAATAACACTAGGAAATTGATCATATTCTGTCTGCATACAATGTTGGAAAGCAAGTGTTAGACACAAAAGATTCGCTTGGATATCTCATTGCAGATGTGATGACAGATCAACTCTCTACAGAGATTGTGAGTCAGTTAGCAATGCTTGCCAATACGGTGAGAACTCGGATTGTCTGATAGACTGCGTTTCTGGTTTGATCCATCAGATTCGTTACATTACGAACGGATGAGATTTTAGTTGACAAAACTTTCAATAAATAATCATTAGTTTGATGACTGAGTTTTATATTATTTGGATCGAGTCAAAGTTGAATGTAACAAACTTCAAGATTGCAAGTTAAAATCTTGGATTGAGCGCAATGAGTTTCCAGAAATCAGACGAATCTGCACTTTATCTGAATCACAACAAACTCAACATGGTACAAACAGACAAACAAGCACTTCTGGGCAAGTTTACTATAATAATTGGCTGCTTTATTCAACTGTTTATCTCACAGCAACCATACACACATTTTCAAGCTTATCCTTTGAAGATCCGAGTTATCCAATTCCCATGTGGATCCATGTATAGCGTCTGCTATCCCAGCACAGCAGTCTCTATATTACTAACACTAATGTCTCTAAACCAGATATGGGATTTTCAGATGCCAGGGTGACCAAAGCATTGCAAATGACCAAGAACTCGGGCTTACAATCTGCTATGGATTGGTTCGTACTCGTCTCAATCCAAAACAAATGTAGTCTATCCAATAACACCAGCTAAATTCTACTTGAATAATGGCAGTTGATTGGAATATTGCCATGCATGATTATAATGTGCTAATCTTGTCGATTTGATCAACTGTGTCGCTAGGCTATTTGCTCATGCCGACGACAACGTATCAGATTCCCTTGAAGTCAACGAAGCCAGTGAATGCGCAGCTGCTACACAGGCATCTGGGTCAACCGATCACGATAAGGACGGAGAGATATCTCAGGATCAAGCTACTGCACAATCCCTAAAATGTGAGGACTGTGGTAAACTGTTGCGTGATGGTGAGTTGATCTGTTTGACTAATACTATCTCGGCATTAAACTTTCAACACACAAGCTTTTATTCTACAAATATGGCTGTTGATGGGTTTTATTACGTTACCATTATTTAATTCAATGTTCTTTTGATTGGATCTGTTTTAGCCGCTGCTGCTGAGCTGCATGCTGTAAAGACTCAGCATGTGAATTTCTCAGAGTCTGTAGTTGCAATCAAACCCCTTACTGAGGAAGAAAAATCTCAAAAGCTTAAAGATCTACAGGCTCGATTGGCAGCTAAGCGTGAGGAAAAGCAACTATTGGAAGTTGAGGAAAGGAAAAAAAGCGAGCAAGTGCGTCGACGCACTGGTCAAGAAATAGTTGCACTCAAGGAAAAGAAGGAGCAGGACGATATGAAAAAAGCACTCGATGACAAAAAGCGTGAGAAGCAAGAGGAGAAGATGGCTCGTGAACGAGTGCGTGCGCAATTGGAATCAGATAAACGCGAGCGCCATAGAAAGGTAACAAGGCGAATATATTTACTGCAATTGAATATTGATACTATAGGATATTTATAACTGATACTCACTACTGCCACTGTAATTTGGTGATGGATTAGGCCGAAGAAAAGAAACGTCTTGCACAGGGCATTGCATTGCCAGCTCATGTTACTGCTGCTCCTGTTGCGTCAAATCCTTTGTCTAGTGTATCGTATTCTGAAGCACGCTTGAATGTATGTGCTGTGCAGCATAACCGTGAATTGTGATGTTTACACAATTATAAGAGTTTTGGCATTTTGGTATTGTGTACTAAAAATCATAAATATAATAGATTCGTACACCTGATGGAAAATCGTATACTCAAAACTTTTCTGCTGATGACACACTGTCCAAGGTATACAATTATCTGGAAGAAAAGATTGGTCCCAACTCATTTAAGCTTTGGCAACCATTTCCACGCAAAATGCTTGGTAATAACGATCTTGGCAAGTCGCTCAAAGACCTTTGCCTGGTTCCTTCTGCTGCACTTATTGCCCAATAAATACTTTATGTCAATCCAGCTGTTTAAATGTAAGCAGCATGTTGTGCATTCAAGAGTCTACACAGTTGATCTTGGGGTAAAATATAAATTTAATTTCAAACAATTGAGAACCAAACACATTATTCTTCAGCCTTGGCCATGTATTCAAGATCCTGCTGTTGAAGAATGCGACGCAGACATTTACCAGTAGGAGCTCTGGGAATTTTTTCAATAAACACCACACCACCACGCAAGAGTTTATGAGAAGCAACATTCTTGGCAATAAACGACTTGATCTCATCTTCGGTGCAAGTCACACCAGGCTTCAGTACCACATAGGCCACAGGAACTTCACCCGACAGCTCATCAGGTCGACCAATCACTGCGGCATCAGCAATTTTTGGATACTGAAGCAGTTTTTCCTCTAATTCAGCAGGTGCAACTTGAATTCCCATATATTTGATAAGCTCTTTGATTCGATTCATAACGGTAAATTCACCCGACTCGTGTACAATGGCAACATCACCTGTATGGAAATACCCATCCGAATCAATCGAAGCAGCAGTGGCTTCATGGTTGTTGAAATATCCTTTCATGACGTTTGGACCTCGGACACACAACTCTCCTTGCTCGCCAACACCTAGCTCTTTTCCTGTTTCCGTGTCGATAACACGAGCCTCGATGTTGGATAAAAAGTATCCATGCGAATCGCGTATTGTCATTGATGCTGTTCCCAACGAGATTGCTGGACTAGTTTCTGTTAATCCATAGCCTTGTATTACATACGTATGAAGCCGATTGATCAAAGCCTCGATGATATCTTTGGACAATGGCGACGCAGCAGAAGTGATATATTTTACAGATGATAAATCAAACATGTCCACTGCAGGATGGTATGCAAGAGCTAAAGCGATCGGAGGAACAATGTGGACCGTAGATACTTTGTATGTTTGAATGGTTTTCAAAAGAAGAGCAAAATCAAATGATGCCATGACTATGATTGGAATACCCTACAGAATTTAAATCAGTATTGGCTCGCAAAATTAAAGTGTATAAAGCGAGTATTTAAAATACGGATCGTGCCAAAGTTTAAACTATCCACATTTCAATGGTATACCTCGTAAACAGCCGAATGAAGGGATGTTGTAAGAGCATAAACATGAAAGAATGGTAAAAGCCCAAGCCAGACTTCGTCTGCTCCTGTACGTGCTACTACTAGCGTTTCGTGAATCTGCAGCACATTGGCAATGATGTTGCGATGTGTAAGTATCACACCCTAATTCAATACAATCCATTAAACATAAACTCGAATCAGCACCATAGTTGGACTTGAAGAACAATGCGATTTGAATATAAATGGTAGAACACCAGTATGCGTTTAGGCTTACCTTGCTTTGGCCGGTGGTACCAGAACTATAGGCCAGATAGGCAGGCGAGCAAGAAAGCTCTTCAGCAGTAAACGATGGCAGTGCAACTTCAGTATCACTCAACAAACATCGAAATGAAGAAACCCCTTCAACCGTGTTATCAGAAAGCACAAACATCCTATCGGGACTGATTCCAGAGAGAGCATCTTTGCTGCTTTTCAAGCACGTTTCATCCATGATAAATACCGATGCCTTCGAGTCTTGCAGCTGGAATAAGACTTCTTCAGAAACGTACGATGGGTTGATGGTTGTAACACACGCACCTAAAAACTCATTGGCACAAGTTAGCACCAAATCAGTCCAACACCCAATTTAATTTCAAGTCATACCAGCTAGCAACGAGCCAAACAACACCGACGAGTAATCCAAGTTATTACTGCTCATCACTGCAATAACATCGCCTTTTCCGATTCCAAGAGTTCCCACAAGCCCTCTGGCAAACTTGTAGGAAGTCTCACGAAGCGAGTTAAAGGAAACAGATCTCCCCGTTACTGCGTCAATCAGGGCAGGAGCATCCAGATTTGCAACAAATCTGTTTGACGTAAAGATAAATTGAGGTATGTCAACTTCGGGAATCTGTATGTCTGGAAAGGGCGATTTAAAGATCATGACGTTTTTTGAAAGTTTCAGAGTAATGAGATTTGGGTTAGTTTATTGAGCGTTTATATAGGCTGCAATACTACAGCCTTGCAAGCACACTTTAAAAGAAAACATCAATAATGGTATATTGAAAAATAGAAACAATGTAAATAGCCCAAATGATCATGTGCAAAATAATGCGCAAGCTTACCTTGTTGCAGCTTGAACAGGTGGTATGCCGAACCTAATTTTTAAAAGCTAAAGGCAAAATAATGCTTTTTCGCTGCATAGATTCATCTACACAGCACAACACATGCTTATTTTAAACAAGTAAATCCATATTATCTGGAGGCTTGTCATCGGATCTTGAAACTATATACATGTAGAATGCCGGTATTCTAATTCAAGCCATTATAATGATTGCACGAGATATCGACAGTTTATATCGAATAATAGGTGCCACAATCATATGTGTTGAAAATAGTAGTCAAGGCAGTTTAAACTATTATGTATTCAATAGCGGTAGAAAGTATACCCGCATTCACACAAAATGGAACACTAAAAATGTCTAATAATAAACAGCCAGTTTCTTCAGTAGTTTATATTGAATTTATTAGTGTCTACTAGACTCAGAATTGGCCGATCTTGCATATTTTTGTATAAAACAACTAAATGAATACACACATCACAGTTCTAGTAAGCCCTGTACTTGACTTGTTCAATCTCTAGTTCCTCATTCAAACCAAGCATTACAAGTAAATATTGAATGGTTGACATGTTCAAGCATTGTTTTCTTGAACTAGGCAAACGTATACGGGTTTTTAGGATAGAGTTGGGTTGAAAATAGTCGAGTTCAATATCTGGATCGCAATAGATGAATCTAGCGATCGTACAATGTACGATTACACCAAAAAACATCCCAGCTTAAAACTATAGTCTGTATCAGGAGTATCGTATTTACAACAGGAGTTGAGAGTGCATTCAAGTCAATTTGTAGTAGCAAAGTACAACGAATGTTTAACTGTCGTTTATTTCGAAGCAAAATAGAGGCAGTTACCAAGATAAATACAGAAGTGTTCCAATTCATGTGGATACAGCTGTAAATTCTAGCATCAGTCAACTCTACTCCACGCCAAAGCCAGTAAAAATAAAAATGAGGAATTAAATTGTGTCGTACTGTTGTTTATACAAAGAACGTCACCAATTAGATAGAATGATACGGGAGATTGAAGATAATATGCCAGATCTAGAGCTGTTCCGTAACATAGCACTGCTAACACCAAGGGCACACACAGCGTTAATTAAAAAATGCTTGAGGCTCACACACATTGTTCAAGGCTTCAAATGGATGTAGCAAATCGTTGGGATCAAATGTGAGAAAGTTGCTTCCAAAATTTGCGGCCGAGTCGGGTTCATGGATTATTGAAGAAACAAGCATCGTAGTCGGTGTAGGCAATGATTGGTTTGTAGATGAATCGTTGGCTGGGTACGACAGCGGCATTGTTTGGATTTGCTGCGGTCTTGAGGCCATGATGAGGCTGTTCATAAACGATTGATCTGGATTTTTGGCGCTAATATCGTGCATAAAGTCGTTTTGGGTATGCATCAAATTGATATTGGGAGAGCTAGATCTAGTATTGCCACTTTGAGTAGGTACCGGGCTTGAATGAATACTTGGATCATTTTTCATAGGAATGTTTGTATTTTGATGCATCAGCATTGATCCATTTCCCATCAGCATTGCTGATTTCCCCATCACGATTGTCGATCCAGGATGCTTGGATGCTACGGATCCCTTCATAATGACGGGGGTGGAGTTCATCATCATTGGTACGCTATTCATGACAAGAGGCGAAGGTTGGTGATACGTATTGTTTACAATCATTGAAGCGTTGTTTTGGTTTGCAGCAATGTTTGTTCCGTATGTAAATCGAACGGGCAACGAATCAACACTTTCGGTATCAGAATAGTCCAAAAAAGATCCTTGTGAGCCATGCGAGTTTTGACGCTTATGACGACTTTCAGTAGCCGATGTGCTATGTGACCGCACATGCCTAAAAAGCTGATCCTGTCTTTTAAAATGACGGCCACATGTTGGAAACTGGCAAACATGCTGTCCTTTAGTGTCTGGGGAACTATTGCAACTGCGAATACTGCTGTTGCTAGAATCGCGTTTTAATGTTGTCAATGGACCAACTCTAAAGTCTTGTAGTTTTCCAAGCTTGTCCATCATTACAGAGTTTTTGATAGGAAATGAGCCATTAGTGCCCATGTTGTTTCCTGGTGGGATGGGAAATACACCGGTAGAGCCAAATGGGTCTCCGCGCAATGCAGCATCTATATCAAACTCTGGGCTGGGAGTGATAAGCTCAGGTGAAATGCGATCCTGTCCTTCTGTGTATCTAAGGTTTTCTGATACAGATGAAACGGACGATCCTCCAAATGATGATGACATGGCTGCCCGTGTAGGAGCCATTGACGGCATCATAATGGGCATAGTTTGGGGTTGGTGCTTTATGACGAACTCGTTGACAAGGTTACCAGAAGTTGAATGAGGAATCGAGTTGAACGATGCCATGGAAATAAATTGAACGGCTCTTTGCATGGATTCTTGAGGGTCTAAAGAAATCAGTGAGACTGTACAGGTGTCCTGTCTAGCTCGCTCACGTTTTAAATCACGTTCAAGTGCATCCTATAAAATGCCATTCAAATCATCGAGTCTGGGTTAGTATATGAAATTGACCGTCGTAATAGGGAAAGCAAAACGATTGGGTCCTAGCATAATTATCTAGCTATTAGTTTGTAAAGTGAGTCAGGTTGGAAAGCAACTTGTTCATCCACACCCTGACTGTGCCACAAAACGCGTTTCAGTGGCGAATATAAACTTTGAAATTGCTTGTATAGTTTACGGTTGCCAGTTGAAATCCGTTTACTGGTCAAAACTACAACCCGAGTCTTACAGTTGTATTCACGGAAAATGGAACACTGAATAAGGATGCCAAACTACACAATAAACAGCCAGTTCTATGAAATGACTGATGCCAGTTTCTACCAAATTTACTGGACAACATTGCCTTTTGAACTCTCTAGTTCATTGGCATCCTAGTGATTGGCATACAACAACAGTTGCATTCCCGGATTGTTCTCTTGAACTAGACGCGAGCACATGATTCTAGGATACATCATATGAGGCTTGAGGAGTTGGACAACATCAAAACAAACTCAACCACTAGACTGCAATGAATGAATCATATTTCAGACTTGTTGATCGCACAACATACAGTCTTTTAAAATAAAAATCACCTCGGTTCAAAAGTATAGTTTGATTTTGTACATCATATGATGGACGTTGTGCTTGGAAGAGTTGAAAACGTCTACTCAAGAGGCAGCGCAATCAATGTTTAGTAGGAAGGCACAATGAATATTTAATCACTGTCTATTCCAAAGCAGTGATTGCAAGATAAATACAAGTGATCCGTTTTACACGAATATAGCTGTAATGCGGTCAATGTGGCATCTTTTATACAATTACAAGCAGTATTTTGCACATGGAACCCCAAGCTGTTGAAGTAATTTCAAAATCAGCATGATGGTTCATAATCATGCAATGCAGTATAGTACAAACACCAGACTAAGACATGTGCTGATATTTCAACTTGGTCTTAATACAAGGTTTGAGTATTTGTAAAACTGACAGAATAAGTCGAGCTTGAATCAATAAATGATCGAGAATGCATGTATAAATACTGTTGATGGTGTTTTCTAGGAATATCAATTAAGCATGATAATGTTTAAGCCTACCATAAAGAGTCTGTCGTGATCAACCGAAAACCAGAAAAACACCTTTTGTTTCTTTTGAGTACGAACAGTTCCATGCTCGTATAGGAACTTGAGGAATGGAGAGCGAGGCTCTTCTAGTGTAGCATCGACACCAGGCTTGAGTGCTCTCAAGTCAGAAAAAATGCCTTCCTCGAACTTTTTGGTATGCACGATCCGTCTACCAAAGCATTCAAACCTATGAGTAAGCACTCGTACAATATCCGTGCCTGTGATATGGAATAGGTCTCTCCACAAAACGCAAGAAATGATTTCTTTGTTGGGAAGCTGATAGGTACGAATACTCATGCCCGGAACCCAACTGGTAGGGGCAGTACGCAGAAATCCGCGCAAGCTCTCCAGCGATGTCGCATTATCAGAATTTTTTGTGGTTGCAGCGGCAGCAGAATTGTGAGCGATGGAATGCATTTGTGATCCTACTTGATTATTTGAAATAGCATTGGATGCCATTGTAATTGAAGAGGATTCCTGCATATGATCCATTTTGCTATTTAAAAGCCCAGAATTTGTGGAGGATTGGGAGAGTTGTAGACAAAGTGAGTTTGCTTAATAAAAAGCGGATGTACTGTTATTGTGGGAACAAATCTGATGATTAAAATATGAGTAAACAGCCAGCCATGAATGCGTTTCTTTTGTTTAGCTGCTCAGGGGACGCAAATGAATTTCTTATTTCTGTGATTGGCATGCTATTCGATTTGGAGGCGTGGATAACCTCAAGCTGTTTACTTTTAATGGATGGATATGAACCGTAACCAATCAGAATCTGAATATCCATGGTGGCTTCTAATGCTACTCGTGCTGGCCACCAATATCCATGCCGACTTGCATCCTATCCCTGCAGTAGCTTACATACCAGCATCGGGCTGCCAAGAATTATAGACCACTTGTGCTGGTTCAGCTTTGTTTCTTACCGTACCGGCTCGGTCCACTTGATATCCACTGCGATTGATGGTGGAAATTGAACACATTGAGCAGCTTACTAATTCTCATTCCATGGCATACCAAGCCATGTAGTATGAATATAATAATAATGTTTCCCCAAGTCCATGTCATGTAGCTTTATTGTTCAATCATCACTATCTGCACTCACTACCATAAACATCCTCAACAAAATACTATCATGTTTATGCTTTGTTCTTCCCGAGCGGTATCAAACAAGTCTTTGGCCATTGACCCGTTCCTATCGATTAGCCACTTGCATAGTCGAGATAGTCTAGTAACACCATGTCAGATTCAGTCCACATGTATACGATGCACTATGCATTCTTATAGCTACACTATTTCATCAGATTGCAGTGCTTTAGACCAATCTGTCTTGATGCATGCAAGACTTCAAACTCTCATAGTCTCTAGTTGGCTATCCGCTTTAAATACAAGATGTGCTTTATAGAACATAGACAAATGAAGTTCATGTGTAAATAGTGAGACAATCGAGTTATTATAGGAATCATGCTGTTTTTGGCTCAGCCATGATAATTATTAAATCAACCTATTTCATGTCGTCATCTTACCATTGTGGCAAATATAAGTTTGCACCGAGTCAGAAGCTTGTTTTTCAGACTTAAAAACACTACTTTTTGGACTAGTTCATGACCAGCATTCGGAGTCTGCAGACTACCCATTCTCGGGCTTCAAAGCATATCCGCAGCATTGTTCCATCCGAGTCTAGCCATCAAAATACTACAAGCGATGTAGGCCAGCCACAGTCTCGAGAATCAAGTCTGTTTGGATCAGACAATTCGACTCGAAAGACTTTGCATAATGATAGCCATGCCACCAATCCATCCACTCTAGCGGATACCAAGACAAAATTAGACAGGCCATCTCAAGTAGCATTATCAAAGCCATTTATGTTGGCAGGCTCATATATCTGGGCTGGGTTACAGGATTCTTTTGCTTGGCCCATTACCCTCTTTGTTGTTTATGGGTAATGATATGCTGCATCTAGATGGCCTGATGAACCCATTTACAGTATCAATGAAATGGCTGATCAAATCACTTGCATCCATTTAGATCCACTACTTTGAAAACTAGAATGATGCAGTGTGTGTTTCTCAATGGGATTATATTTCTGGGATCTGTTTTGATTTTCAACAATCTAGTATCGCCTTTGGCAAAACTATGTTTAGAGTCCTTGTGCAAGTCCTTGAATATTTCTGAAGACACTGAGGCCATTATCCGTTATCTTGGATCTGCAATCTCTGGGTTATATTATGCAAGTGTATTATTTACTCGACCTTTTGGTTTTTGTGGTTTCGTTGCAATGGTTTGGAGTTTAAACTTGTATTACTTGGCATATTTACATCCCACTATTACCTTTTTTACTGCGTGAATATCATGTAGATTGCTTGGATTTATCCTCTGTATGCGTTCAGCTTTTTTGTCAACAGTCAGTGGTATCAAGATATTGCCAATAGGTCATATGAAATATTTGTCGGAAAGCCCAAAACGCAATCGAAATCTATCCCAACGTAAATGCGCTCAACTTGATCTTGTAGTGTTGTCATGGTTACACTACGATTTCTCACTATTCAACATTGCTGTATCATATAGACTTATCAAGAATGCAGCTAGTGATACATACAGAGGATTGATGATTTTTAATTTTTTTGTTCAAGTGGCATTGATATATCATGTTCCATTCATTGGTCCTGCTTTTAGTTACATTTTATTGAATTTCATACTTGCTTTTTTTGCATTCGAGTACAAATGGGCCAATCGTAATTGGTCTTTTGTTCATCAGATTGAATTTTTCGAGTCACACTGGGCATACTTTTTTGGATTTGGTAAGTGTATTCCTTTATAAATGAGATACTTGGATTGCATTGAATTCAACCAGTACTAACTTTACCGCTACTGGGATACTCAGGGTTTCCTATGGCTCTAATGGTGATTTTGTTTCCAAAAACTGTAAATCTTGGCTGGTTTGCATTGGTTTTTCCAATGGTGAGACATTTTGAGTTTTGGGTGCTTGCCTACATTAGTTGTAAACCGATTTGATAAATTCGTTTTTAATCTTCATGAACTGATCATATTTGATATTGTTTATATTTTAGTATATTATCATGGCAAACCGTGCCAAGCCTTTGCCAATCCACAAGGATCTGGTACATGTTTGGTATTTACCAGTTAGAATGCCCATATTTTTATTTGCTCAATATGCAAGTACAATGATAATATCTTGGATAAAACGTCGTCGAGAAACATTGTCATCTACTGCTTCAATCGTGCAATGACTATCCATCTGAATTTGAGGATATCGTTTTTGTAGATAAACATGATTCTATTTTACCGACTTTTAATCTTGTCATATTGTAATTTATGCATATGCTATGGATACAGAAGATGGTTGCATATCCATTAAACTATTTATGACCACTGGTTATTCATATTTAAATGAAATGATCTGGACTTGATATCGCCAATGGGGTGATAGAATCCTATTTTAGCATGCCACTTTAATGAGCTCCAACACAAGAATTTTTATATGACAAATAATCAGGGTAAAGGAATTTACCTGGGCCTGGAATGTTTGACTGGAAGGCATCAGCAAATCGCGGTGCTTTGCTAACAAAGTTACTTTGAAGAATTGGGCCTGATGGATAAATATTGTTGGTGCATTGGGCAATATTGTAATGTCCGGGACCAGGAAACGCTACAGGAGTCATTCCTGAACCTGGAACTGCTGTTTGAGAGGATAATGGTGTATGCGGTCTGACTGGAGCCAATGCAATGGTTCCAGCACGACCTCGTCTCCTGTATATTAAAAATAGTTTAGAATAAAGCATAGAATGCAATTTGTGTAGATCAATCTAAACATTACAATGAAGGTTTAAAGTTTGGCTTTGTTGGTACAATCTCGTAAGCTCCGGGACCAGGTATTTTGCCACTGTTACAATATATAGTTTATAGTGTCACGATTTAAATTCAAAAGTAAGAGCGTGATTCATTAAAAGTATCCAACGTTTACTGCTTAGCCTTTTAAACTCAACTGATGAGATACAAGCGATTGACGAGATGTAGCTTTGAATGCTGCCTGTGCTGCTGCACATGATTTTTGTGTCAATCCCTCAGCACGGACAATGTTGTACGAACCTATTTTTTTGAAATCAATAGTCAGAGTTGCAGGTTAATTTACGTGTTGGTAGGAGTTGAGTGGGCTCATTTGGTATATACGCTATTTTAAATCTGAGAATCTTGATACCTGGTGGTGGAACTTGTCGCACAGAGCTAGATTTATCACCTATGAGATCGCTCCGTGTTGTGCGACTCTTGAACACAGAAACAGCACCACTTTCATGTTGACCGTAATGCTTTCGTCCTTTTTTCATAATGCTAGGTGTATATTCTCCTGGACCTGGAGTAGGCTTGATTGCCCATTGTGTGCGTACAAACTGGGCAGAAACATCTGCCGATCGACCGTTATCCGATACCAGTTTTGATGTGGGTGTATGGAACGAAGAAGATAGGGAATGTGCTACCGAGAATGAGTAGATTGGAGTACGTGGTCTATACTGAGCAGGGGAGATATCAAGGGTTGACTTTGAATCTATTGGAAGTTTGGCAAACCTTCTGCTCTAAATTAGATGCCACCAGAAAGCAATTGGATAATGATCAGCTTTTGCTTGAGAGGGTTTTACAGTGTATGTGAATTGATGTTGGATGAATACACCTACATGTGATGCGAATCCAATACCATATCCTCGTTTTGAAGTTGATACATCAAACACACCCTCGAGTTTTTCAGCAGCTTCTGCATAATATCCTGGACCAGGCAGGTCATCCTAATACCAACACGTCAACTTAGTATGGTTGATTATAGCGTGCAATGAAGATTGCATCATAGCAAAAGAAATAAGCTCTACTTACGATACGCTGCTCAAATCGCTGACTTGTAGAATTAAAAGCCCTTTCTTCACTATCATCGTAATGAAGTGTCTGAAACTTTGTAGGTATGCTTGGAGGATGCACAGATATCTTTAGATTTTTAGTTTGACCCACTAAGATTTGCAAGACAAAGCAGTTGGAATTAGACAGTGATGAAACACAATTGACTGACAACGATGATTACCGTTAGAGCTGTGCTTGACAGTCTTTGTTTTTGGCTCGTTAAATAAGCCTCTAGGAACGATGCTCGTCATTAAGAGGATTCAGAGTCGAGTTTTCATAAGCAAACAGTAAACGCGTCGCTTGGATAAGCCATCAAGTTTCCCTGTTTTGGACCAACCGATTGATATCGATTGCTGTTACTATCCATTCTTTTAGCTACCAACACCTAAACAATGGATGGTAGATTGCGTTTCCATCCCCGTTCTCGCACAGTGTCTTCTTCTAGTCGAGCCCCGATTGGGTCTCCATCCACTTCCATCAGTCAGGCACTTTCAGACCCTCGTCTGGCTTCATCCCTGTTGGACATGGCTCCAAAGAAAGACCACAGTGCTGCTCGTATTGAGTTTGAAAGAAGGGTTCGCAGGTAAGCTCTTGTCAGAGATATTGTTGGTATATTTGCATGGATTATCAATGAATTGCTACAAGCGTTTATTGGGTTTTTGTACAAGCGCTTATTGGATGATCAGAACTTCATGCCAACATTGGCTTGCAGTTTCAACTGTATGGATCACAATCCATTATCCAATCAACTCTCGTTGAATCTGAAATATTCTTATTATTGCTGAATGGAAAAAGCTGCAATTGATGCCACTTTCTAGTAGAGCCACTGGTGATTTGTGGTGGTGTCAGATAGTATGGAATCTTTTGCACAGGAGAATGGCCGTGGTTTGAGCTATTTGATAATCAGTTATTGTCGACTACATGCCAACTCACCATTCTTTATTGTCAATCACATCAGATATTATCAACAACTCACTGCTGGATGTGGGGTGTCCACTTGTAAGCATAGGCTGTGTGCATCGTATATTGCTGGACCTCGCTTGACCCCAGATGCTGCTGCCATCATGACAATGCAACTTGCAAGCAGACCAAAGGAATACTTTTGCCCAAATATTTCCGCCGATCCTCAAATTGTTTTTCCAGATTCCTTTTCATTTTCGCCCTTTGATACTCCTAAAGCAACTCCTTCTGGTAGTGGAAACCATTCAAGGTCAAATTCCTATCAGGATTTGGGTTTACACGGTCAATTGAGTCGGAGACCATTGGTGAATGCCCATGCTGCAGATCCGCTATCTACTAATCCATTGGGACTGTCCAATGTTGCCAACAATTCATTTGAATTTACGCCTACTATTGGACCACTTGGTCGGCCACTTGCTTCTGTAACACCATCCAACCCTTTTTTACACTCGCTACTCTTTGCATCGCTATTTAAATCTCCAAATCCTGCTCGTTCAACAGAGAATGTTCAATTGGTTCAATCATCTGGCGAACCCTTTGATCAACACTCACTTCGCAAACCTTACGACTCTACTGTTCCATCTTCATTGCGTAGAGCGACAGATTCAACGCCATGTTTACCTTCTACTGCCGCGGTTACGATTCCGACTGAATCTGATGTCGATGCGTTACAGTGCACTTCTTTAAAAACTCGAGAGGGTGACGCAATATTAACTCGTGGAATATCCAATGAACGTAGCAGCTCTGTAATGGATTTGCCCAGCCTTTTATCCGCCACAATGGCACTCAGTCAACGAGCTCTGTGGGGAAGTTCTGATGATGTCGAGTCTGACAATTATAAAAATGCATCTCAAGATTTAGCCGATGATCCAAGCAATTACTCTGAATTATCATCACCTGCTCCTGAATTGGAATCCGAAGTATCAAATTTATATGATGAATCTTTGCCTGATGAAGAATCTCAAATCAGTCTTGCATATTTGACATTCGACCTACTTCGGGTTGCTGTGGAAACATATACATCACCGTTGCAAGCTTTAACCCATCTTGAGGCTGATACTCTTGTCAGTTCTATTGCTCAGAATCAGTTGAAAAACGATACAATCAATTCGAATAATGGATGGTATATTTCCGATAAGCTAGATTCATTGCATGTTACATCTGATGTCGAACATCAATCTTCTAAAGACAGCACATCAATGTCTGAAAGCAATAATACCACTAGTTCTGATTCTCCCGATACATCCACGCCTCAACTCGGTGCTGCAGGTGATCCTACTTTTCTCACAAATACCCTTGGTGCAGTTTTTTCTAGCGTGGAAGCTCTTACAAAGAGCTTTTTGTTGTCTGATCAAGACATCAAAAGCAATTCGTCTATGCTGGACATACCGTCCATTCGGAAATCGTACCACTTGATCTTAAAGCTATCCCCGCCAGATTTGTTTCAAATTGTTCTTGCTAATGCGCTCGAGCTACTTTTTGCAAAATTACTTTTAAACGCCAAAAAACTTCGTAACGCTGAATCTGATTTGCTTCGGGTGATCATGATTACAGTGGAAAATCCATTACTGATGGATCCTCGATACTACGAGTCGCTCTTGAAAAAACTATGTCAAATCATTGGTATTCTCAGGTCAAAATCGCGTGCGGTTTTGGTTTTGTGGTTTTCCGAATACGACAATGCAGGATTCGAAAAAATCATTCGTATATTTCAGCAATATATTGTTGAGCACGTTCACTCTGCTCCTGTCAAGCCTGATCAATCTGTTATTGGTGCCACAAAAATGCTTAGCATTCTTAGTCATGCCAACGAAACTGCTCCCACTCCTATCACGCCATTTACCACATTTCATATGCCCAATCTAGCACAAAAACTCAATTTTAAGGAAGAGTATAGAGCATGGAAACACAGCTTGGAAGCACAGCGAGTATTTGAATTTTCCTTTTTCAACTATCCGTTTTTATTTGATCCCATTGCAAAAACTCGCATTATGCATATTGATGCACGTGTACAAATGTCACACAAGTTTGAGGATGCATATGTAAACCAGGCGCTGATGCAGCACGCTCAACGCTTTTTACAGGACTCACCTTCTGTTGCAACCCTTGAACAAGAGTTGAAACGAGTCACAAACCCATACTTGGTTTTAGAAGTTCGTCGCGATCGACTTGTTGATGATGTGTTGGATCAGATTCGTAAAAAAGAAGCAGATCTGAAAAAGCCTGTCAAGGTACGCTTTGTTGGTGGTGGTGAAGAGGGTCAAGATCAAGGTGGAGTACAAAAAGAGTTTTTTCAAGCCATTGTTAGCCAGCTATTAGACCCTGGATACGGTATGTTTGTGTATGAAGAAGAGACTCGCAGCTCATGGATCAACGGGGCGTCGTTGGAGCCTGAGCGACAGTTTGAACTTGTTGGTATTATTATTGGATTGGCACTGTATAACGGCGTCATGTTGGGGCTACGATTCCCATTACTGCTTTATAAAAAACTAGTAGATGTACGTCCTACCTTTCAAGACTTTCGTGATGCATTTCCTACTCTTGGTCGTGGGTTACAGAGTCTACTCGACTGGTCAGATGGTGACGTGTCGGACATCTTTCTGCGAAACTTTGAAATCTCATACGAAGTGTATGGCCAAGTCAAAACATATCCTCTAGTCCGCAACGGCGAAGACATTCCAGTTACAAACGACAACCGCGTGCAGTATGTCGAACTTTACGTGCAGCATTACACCAATGAATCCATCAAGCGACAATTTCAAGCTTTTTGCAGGGGATTCCACAAAGTTGTTGGTGGTAAAGTCTTGAAAATGTGTCGCCCAGAAGAGCTGGAGCTTCTTATTTGCGGCAACACTACTGCCGAAATTGACTTTACAGAGTTGGAGCACACTGCTGAATACGACGGATTTTTACCCCATGATGAGATGGTAGTCTGGTTTTGGGAGATTATGCACAAAATGGATTTGGATCAAAAGAGGAAATTATTGAACTTTGTCACTGCCTCTGATCGAGTTCCTTTGAGTGGATTTAGTAGTCTGACGTTTGTCGTACAACGGAATGGACCGGATACGGATCGATTGCCCACTGCTTTGACATGCTTTGGAAGACTTCTTTTGCCAGAGTATGCATCAAAAGAAAAATTGTTTGATCGGTTGACTACGGCAATCGAGAATGCAACTGGATTTGGGCTTGTGTAGATACGCAATAAATGTGATAAAAATCATTTAAAATACAAAACTGTCGATTGATTTCATTTATAGTTTGAACTGGTTGGGCTCGAGTCAGCATGGTATGAGTATTGGAGTACGAAGGGTGCTGTGAAAATGTCGGGGTGTTATTTATTCGTGCAAGAGGGTCCGTCTACAATCAATACATCATCGTCCTCATCAAGATGAACGCTTTCCGAACCACCTAGAGCATATCCATCACCCATCGCACTCTTTACTCCGCTCGTCCGTTGTTGTGCTGCCCGGGATGCTTTTCTTTTGATTGCCATGTCCGTCTTACCATACTCTTCAGCCAATGACCCAATGATCTTTGAAATATCTATCCGTTTCGTCTGTATATCCTTGATTGTAAACCACTTGCGTGTTTCTTCCCTACTCTCATGAGTCTTGCTCTATCAAAAGACAAAACAAACGGTAATGCTGGTTAGTTTCATCATGGAATATATAAAGAGCAGTCTAGACCATCAGACGTACTAGAATTAAATCCAACATTCGATCCGAGTTTTCAAAAAATCGTTGTACATATTCAAGAACGTAGACACCGCAGTCGCAAAAGTTGGGCTGTTCAGGCACACGAGCATTGATCCCACGAATGGCATCGCGAGACACATCTACACCATGCCGCGACTTGGCTTCAAGAATCAAGTATCTCTTGATTGAGGACATGGTGACTGGATGTGAACCCCCTAACGAGTTCATCACTATGATATGACATCTAAAACATAAAAGCTTAGCCCTTGGCAGTGATACAGTATAAAATAATCCTACAAAAAGTAGAGTACAGGTGGTTGGAAAACGACGGATTACAATCTACTTACTGAGCCAACGGCCCGTCTAATTTTTCTGCCTGTACTTCTAAAGGACGCACAGGGCTGGCAATTTTTCGTTTCAGTATAACGGAAGTTTGAAGCACAGGCTCATCAGAATCATCACTAGAGACTTCGTGTGGTATACTAGAGGCAATCCCTTTTTGCTGATGGCTTTCCTGATGCATCGAGTCAGAGTATAAACAGTCTTCTGCTATAGCCGCTTGGGGTTCTGCATACTCGGCCAGCATCGCTGCAGACAAAACAGATCTACTGTTGGGTTTTTTCAATGATAAAAGCGTAGATGTTTCCATAGTATGTGACGGTGAACTCTGAGCATTGTCTATATCATGCCCCAAACAGATCTCAACTGCGTCCCTCGATTCATTTTTACCAGTGGTATCGCGTACAACAGAGTCCTCATCGTTGTCGACCTTCATTCGAGTGTGCTGTAAGCTGTGTGGGACAATATGTCTAGTTTCTTCATCTAATACAATCACTTGATTCTTCTCTTGCCTAGTAAGTAATTTCATTGGAGATACTTGACGTGGTGACTTTCTTGAGCTCTTTGTAGTCATGTCAAAAAAATCATGTGCGTCAATTTCTTTAGACTCGATCGTCGATCGGCGCAGCACTTGCGGTGGACGGTTTGATGCTTCATACAAATTTCGAGATTTTGAAAGAGCTTGACCAGATTTATGCAATACAGTTGGTCGTGGTAGTGGTTTCTGTGGACAGAGTAACGCTCCAGGATTATATACAATAGCAAGATACCAATGATATCTGAAAAAATAGTACGGTTAATTATACGATTGCAATTCAAAGTTCAAATTGTATCATACCAAAAACATACGCTTCATTGATGGGTATAACTAAAAACTTTTTTTCAAAAATATTTGTTTTTGACGTCCAAGACTTGACACGATCATAGCCTATATCTAGTGCCGTATCGCGGCTTAATCGGCTACTAGATGTAGAGCATTATACATAGTTTAATGCATTATCTATTAAATACAGATCAATAATCAATAACTCTTACCTGCTCGCCACGCTATGGGTAAGCGTCTGGTAGAAAAATGTGCTATAAATATGAACATGTTTAGGATCAAGACCTGAATTGGGCTGTTGTTGAAGGTATCTTGATAATCACAAGTAAACAAATATGTTCATGGCGTCAGTGCTTGCTTGTTTAAACTATCAAAACAACAAAATATGCACAACCTACTTTAGATAAAATTCAATGACGCTATCATTTAAAAACACTCCTTCTTTTAACCGATCATGGTCCGTGTCTTTGATGGATACAGTAAAGTGTTCTTCGAATGGATATACAAAAAGCCTGAACACCATGGTTTTAACATGTTACATGCATTGAAAATTATCAGATAAATGAATACTCGATGTCAAGCAAATACTCCATGATAACGGCAAGCAACAAACACGTACTCTGTGCCTTCATCTCGCTCAACAGTCTTGGAGGTATGCCAATCATTTTGAGCAACAGCGGTTTTTGAATCCGTGTTGTTATCAGTTGGTACCGAATTAAACGTGCTCGTTGGTTTGGGACTGAGTGAAAAAAGATTAGGTAAAGCGCTATTAGATAATCGTTTTAATATGCCTGTATCAGATAACTCTGGTCGGATCGTTTGTGAATTCATGTCATTCGTTAGGGTTAAAGCCGTACTCTGGGTCATGAGGGTCTCTTGCGAGTCTAACGATTGATTGACTTCTCCGCCTAGTATTAAACAGGCTGCTACCTGAAGGCTTGTTGGCGACATTCTACATTATTCAGCCGTATGCATTAGTTTTACAGTATCTTGGATTTCTACAAAATAGTATAGCATCATTCACTAATTACTCTTTAAACTCTTTAAAATAGTATTTTTTGACCGAATTGATAAATAATTGGAAGCTTGATTTGTTTTCAGCAACTTCGAAATGAAACTGGATATAATTGCTGTTGATCATGATTCGAGCAGACAAGGATAGAAAAAACCGTGATTTTATGATTCCCCACTAAAAGTATAGATTCATGTAGTTAGTTTGAGCTTGGTAAGGGATGAGTTTGACAGTATTTGTATACAATAAAGATGCTGAATATACTTTACTTGAAAACTTTCGATATTGCTTCTAGAAAAAGACATGAAAATATTGCCTTTGGATTTTAGACTGACGGAATCTTCATTCAAATCAATGCATAGCCTGACATTGGTCCAACAAGATTCTTGAACTCCGCGCTTAAATATCTGGTTTTTTCGAATGGACACGCTCAGCTTTTGTCCCAAACAAGCCGACTCAATGCCAGTAGTAGAAGTACCAGGCTAAGCAATCAAAAACATTAATAAGCAGAAATACAGGAATCAAGTTGTTTCCAAAATAACAAGGCAACTATAAATGGGTATTGCAACTTACTTTTGGCTTGAGACTAGCAACGACACTTTCTTTTAATCTTTTAGCACAGTTGGTATTGTTTATGGAAACATATGCCAAACTATTATCTTGCTTTCGCGTAGTTTTTAGTCGACTGTCCATGTCGGAATCCAATGATTGAGACAAACAAATCATTCCATTTTCCACAACCACTCTGGTAGAATCTGTATGAACAGCCCGATGAGCACTGTTGGCAACAGTAGGTTTGGATGTGTCCATTTGAAGTTGTTTTGATTTATATTTTGAATCATATACATCCAGCTCATAGCATGAGTCGTTTGGAGAAGACTCGGCAATAATATCGTCTTGTAGAGGATCGATTGTAACAAAGGTTTGATTAGGTTTACGCGATTCAGATTGATGTTTACCAAATGACACGATTGATCCCCTAGATGTAGATGTGGTGTGATTAGGTGCGGATAGTTGCATGTCTTTATATTGAGATGTAAATTGGCCGAGTATTCTATGCGCACGAGTTTTTTCTGAGAAACGAAACTCCGGCGATTGTTTTATTCCTATAGCTGGTTTCAATGTGGATGCTTTGGCAGCCCGTCCTGTTTAGTGAAAATATGGCATCAGTTATTCCATTCAAAGTCCGATCTTGACAGTAAATAAAGTCGAGCAATACCTTCAGTGTTATTACGGAAATATGGTGAAGAAACACTTGGATTAGACTTGTAGATGTTTTTTGATTTTACCGGAATCTGTTGGTCAATGTGCATGCGTTAGTTGAAATCATTAAAAGTGTCAACTTGACAAAAAAGTTACCTGAACGACTGGTCCACTTGAAGATCCAGGTACTCGAATTGGAATTCCCTTTGGTTTGTTATCATCTGTCCTATAATAAAATCAAAAACACATTACAATCAACTCCGAGTTCAAATTTAAAGTACATGGGTGTTTTAGAAACCATCGAGACAATCCAGTGTGCCAATTGAACAGTACATATTGACTGTTACACGGTATTAACTCGATATACCAAAGCACAACTCATAGTGTTGGATTACAATTCCTAAGATGTGCACTCTTTGTTTTTTTGAACTGAAGCGCAAATGTATCCGAGATTTTAGGATACAAGAAAAATGAATTTGTAGAATGATCGACAACACCAAACAGTTGGCCCAATATATGAGTTACAATGGATGAATCTGGTAATCATATGACTGCCAAAAAAGAGAGAACAGATTCAAAACTACGGTTTGAATGTGAGTATCATGAATGTTGTTTGAAGCGGGGATTGAGTGTATTCAAGTCAATTTGTAGTAGAAAGCGTAACGAATATTCAATCATTCTTTATCCAAAGTCACTGCAAGTGTTCCATTTTACATGAATACGGCTGTAAATCCAAAGTATAACATCTGTGCTAATTGAAGAATTCAGACTGTTTATATGCAGTCATACACATGATTGGACTATAGATAATTGTATGGAAACTAGAGAGTTGCAAGCATGACCGCCGTCATGGTGTGATAGATTAGCTTGATGGTTGCTTGAGTGAGCTCACCCTGTTGACTTTGACCGAGAGGAACTGGCTACTCCACAAGGATTGTTCCAGTTATTAAATCCACTCATCAAGCTCTGATTGGTACGATTATGTGTTGAGTGAAACCAAGGCAATGATGATCGACTGGCTGTTTCGTTGGATTGATGGTCAAAATACAACTTTATTCTCGTTTTGAATTTCAAATATCGTTGACGCTCTTTTATTACATAGGAAAACACGATGAAATCTTGGCAGTAAATGGTAGAGCATTCGCTGTTTATTCAGTCTTTAGAAAATCAACCACGACGTTGGTAAACTCTTCTGGCTTTTCTGCATGTAACCTAATTCAAACCAATCAGTCAAAAAACAGCAATAACAATATGCAAATCATTCGTGCACTCACCAATGTCCAGCATCTGCAATACTAGTGATCGTAGCTGCAGGGAAAAACTTGTTGATAGTGGGATGCATATCTGGAGTAACATAGGTAGAGTTTCCTCCACATATAAACATGGTGGGCTTATTAAACTGGCTCTTGTTACTGTCAAAATCAAATAGCCACATGTTGGACATGCCATCTTCCAGAGCTTTCAAATTGATTCGAAACTTGTAAGTATCTTCTTGCTTTTTGAGATTGGTCATGATGAATTGTCTGACACCAACGTCCTGTAGATTGTGAAATATTTAGTTTTGAATGTATAACACGGTTGGTTGGAAAAGCTTAATAGAGAAGGTTCTGTTTATGATAGATCTCAGTAACGTACCTTGATGACTTCACTAAGCATCTTCTCAGCCGTTTTTGGATCCTTTACATTGGCATCATCCACTTGTCTCATTGCTTGAATATACATCAGTGTGTATGCACTCATATCAGCAGACTGCACCACAGGGGGCATGTCCACAACAATAAGCTTATTGAGCCATGCATGACCAGACAGTAATGCAAGATGCATTGCAACCTTACCACCCCTATCCATATTTAAAATGAAACATGTAATCATTCAATCCATAACACTACTTGATCTACAAATCTCTAGATAGTAGTGCAGAAACACTTACATGGAATGACCCATCACATTGACATTGGACCAGCCTTGAGAAGTCACAAAGGCATCCACATCAGCAGACATTGCAATATAAGAATGTTCAGAGTGATGTGGTGAGTCGCCATGGTTTCTCAGATCCAGCGGAACAACAGTTGTATCAAGCCTTTGTGCGAATGACTTGGACAGCGATCTCCAGTTTTGTTTAGAACCAAACAGACCTGGAAGAATCAGCAGTGGAGTGTTTTGAGAGTTGTCATGGTTCAGACCATTGCTGGGTAAAAACTTGTTGAATGACAATTCAACTGTTTGAATACTTGATGTTGAATAGAATGCTTGCATGCATCCAGTGACTCTGTTGATGGTCAGTCTGGCTCTCAACGTATTCAATGCGTTGTTAGCTACACGTTGGACTGTATATCTGGCAGTAGCTCCAGCGCCATGAACACAAGTAAATGCGATCATAAACCCACCTGACAGCAGATTGGGTAAAGTCATCTAAACAACCCGTACTCATCACCTCAAAATAGCCAACAGGAATCAAGATCTAGTTCATGATGCAAAGGAAACTCAAGAGTCCAACTTTCTCTATTGAATCCATCAACTTTCTCCATTAGACACTGCAACTTTTTGGATATGCGCGAGGTGTTGCGAGGCCATGCGACTGCTGTCCCTGCAGCAACCGTCAACAACGAAAATACTCATCTGGATCATGAGAGTGCTACAGATCCAGATACTGATGGAGATACTGGCATAGACTCTAGGATGGATTCAAACAGACAGGTTTCTAATATAGGCGTACGGACTCGGAGGAGAGTCAACAGTGACATTGAAATGTCTGACGACAAGTCGTTGGCTGGAACCAAGAACGAGGACAGTGCAAGCAATAGTAACAAGACCACTGTGTGGACACCAGAAATGGAAATGACTTTGTTTCAGGCTGTTGCAAAGTACCGTCCAATAGGTTAGTCTACAATAGTATACTCTTTGAGCGAATGCTGGGCTACTTGGCTTGCGTCTGTAGTCATCGATTCCTTGAACCACTCACCCATTACTGTCTCCATTGAATCTACACTATCAAGGTGTTCATAAACACTTTCGGATCCTCAATGTTCAGCGATTCATCAATACCCATATGGGCACAGACATCAGTATACAGGAACTATGGAACAGACTTTCTATTTATTATAATATAGAGAAACTCGACGAATTGGTCAGTGATTGCTGTTGAAGACCACTTCGTGATGCTTTAGATCTGGCATGGATTCATCATCTAGTGTACTAATCCCTTTGAATATTCATCTCATTGGATTGATCAGGCTGACGATACTGAAGCAGATGTACCTTATGAGCGTCGAATTCATCGAGCTATTTTCCCATTCACAACATTACGAGACTTTACTCTCCCATCAGAAGACTTTTACGAACTCATGGATGAGCGTCGTAAAGCCGAATCATCATCCACAGGCTCACCAGAGCATCTAACAATCGACACACATTCTCCAATAAAAACTCGAACCACCCGTGCACATCCATATTCCCCTACAACAAGCAGTGCATTCACTGGATCTCCTGAACGACACGGAGACTCCATAGCAGATCATATTCCTATAGCAGCAGCTAAACTATCTGACAAGTCGGGAGTATCTACCCCTGCCAAATCCAAACTTGGTAGGCCTCGTAAAGCTAAAATGGCTGAATCTTCGTCGTCTGTGTTACATGACATGTCTGTATCGGCTGACACATCGGATATAGCAGGAGAGCCTCACACACCTCAAGAACCATCGCGGAGATCCACTCGCAATCCAAATATCGCATTGCCAACCAAAAGACGTCGGGGATGATTGGATTTTCAAATCTGGTCTCACTTCAACCTCCTCGTTATCCCTACTTGCAGATTTTAGCTTTTTAAATTATTACGTAATTAAAGCCAAGAGTAGTATACAATGGCCTTGAAATAAAAAAGTATGTTTTTATTGAATAGGTATGAAAGGCTAAATCAATGGTAGTAAAATAGCCCAATAAAAGTTTGAAATTCCAAATAATAAAGTGCGGTTGTAAAGCATTTGGTGAGTTGGAAGCTTGACAGGAATACTTTAAACCTCAAGATCCAAAACCAACCCAATGTGCATCATCGATCCGATTTCACAGAGAATCAATAATTTGCTCAACTTCAAACACAGAAGTTAAATCGGGCATTCTATCCCATACATGAACCCTTTCGTCAATATTCTGCCAATCAAAAGGAACAAGAATTTTATCAATCGCATGAATGACACCATTGTTGGCAAGATTGTCCAGTTCAACCACGTAGGACTCGTCGTTGATTTCAATCTAATCAATGCATCGCCATATAAGTTATCACTCATATAACAATAAGTACAGTTGTGTAAACAATGATCCTTACATCAGTCAGAGTTTCATCGTCACCCTTTTTGGGACTGGTTTTGATTGTTTTGTCTTTAAGCATAGTGGGTAACTGATGGTCTCCATCGAACAAATCTGAAGAATAAGACAGTTTTGGAGAAAGGTGATATAGAACAATATCTTCAAGACTCTGCTTTCCTTCTTCGCTAAACAAGTATCTGAGACGTGGCCAGCCAAGCTAGCGCAATACGTTATAACAACAATAATACGAGGTATTCCAAAATCAAACCGTTGAATTATAAATAATTCACGCATGTTAGTAAAATCTGTATTGGCACTACAAGCTACTGCACACGATTACAAAAATTCAACTATAAACCATTCAAGACCAATTTATATTCTACACTCTAGGCGCACTAAAGTACTTACATCTTTAAAAGCTTGATTGGTTGGGCAAAATATTGTCAGTGAGTGGGTGCTACGAATAATATCGTCTATTTCCACCCGTTTCAGTGCCAGGAGAAACACGGCAAAGGTAAATGGATTATGGGCAATGATATTAAGCGCATTGGGTGGTGGCATAATCAAATTACTGATGACATGAGCCACGCCATTGCTGGCTATGATGTTAGTCTCGGTAATGCGAGAGTACTTGTTAAGGCGAACAGACCCATAATCTACAGTTGGGAGGTTAGATTTCATACACGACTGATAAAATCGCCATGGGTTAGATCTAAAATACCTTTCTCAATGGTTACACGAATTTTTTGTGGTTTTCCATCAAGAGCCTCTGGGCTATAAGCTGTATCGAGTAGCTGTCCATCAAAAAGTTGCTCCATTGTAGTAGCCGGGCTAACAATATGATACAACAAGATATTGGTGATGGCTTCGTCTGGAGGCGGGTAATGAATACCTTTGAATGCCTGATTGTCTGGAGCCAAAACAGTAAGGTTTGCATTTTTAGCTGTCAATGCTGTTACAAGAGTATCTCGTTCAACAAGAAGAACGGCAAAGGTGCTCAAAACTTCTTGACTAGTCACCAATTCCAGTAGGTTCTTTTCATCAGATCCATCAGGGGTATCTGCAAGCATAACATTAGGGCTATTGTTTTTGATAGAAATAGACTCGATTTTGTCGGTTGCTTCATCATTGACAAGAAAGAGTATCTGGTGATGGGAAGAACCATCGTTACTGCCTTTAAGCAAGTTGGGTACGGTTGGAATAGTAGCTCCTAGAGAAAAAGGCGATAGTGCCAACAAAAAGATGATATGTGCCAGCATGAATACGATTATTGAACGAGTGCCGTAGGCTAAGATAGATGGGTGAATCTGGTAGAGATATAGTTTGATATGAAATAGTAATCGTGTTGGACGCGAAAATGATGTTGACTGACATTCAACCAAAGCAATTATCCGATGATTGTTTTTCAGCATATTCGCGTAAAATGGAGCACATTTGTATTTATCTTACATGATTGCTCGGAAACCGACAATGATTAAATACTTGTTGTACTGATTCAGCTGGAATTCTCAGTTCTTCTTGAATGTTTAAAATTGATCAACACACAAAGTCATTCTTTATTATACTCGAGTCATTTTCTGCAAAGTTCAGGAATTGACAATGTGGAGCTTCAATCTGCGCTACATTTGTTGAACGGTTGATAAATCATGTGTAGTTGACGAGTTTTCGGTTTGTAAAATTGCACAATTGGTCTAGATTGGTATACAGACTATATAGATGAAACACTGAAACTCGTCAAAACAGGACTAAATGAATGACGTTCTGTATTAAATCGAGAGGATCAGTAAACTGGCCATGTCGACAAGTCAAACTGTCGTCTTGGTACAGGAAACTCAAGTGATAAATGATCCCACTGCTTAAATCAGCAGATAGTCTACCGAGATTTACAAGGAACATTACCAAGAAAGCATACTTTCATGTGAATGAAACTTATGCAAGTACTTCAAATACATGATCTACACTGGCGATAATTGCTAACAACTTCATTTTAACTTCATTCCCTTTATCACCAGCCGTAAACCAACTCAGCACACGTAGCAAACAAGATCATCATGGCTGACAAGGACCAAGATTTACAACTAGTCAATGCATCATTTTTTGACGGGTTTGTGGCAGCAGGTAGACCAGCCAACGATTCAGTAGTACTAGATAATTTGGCTGGCACCTGACTGGAGCTCATTGCAGCAGTTTGTGTCATGGTTGCACTGGCATTTATGGATGCAGACACTGATACAATGACAGAAGGCGAAGTGGATTCAAAAAAGGGAGCAACATGACCATTACCAGTCATCAACTCAGAGTCGTAGATTTTGGTTTGACCAATACACTCGCTCATTTTGACCGTCTTGTACGTGCTTGCAGCAACAATACTCATGGCAGGCACGGCCTGAGCAGACGAGGCGTTAAAACGATCATGTTCCAGTGATAGAATTCCACCAGGATGGCCTGTAGACGACCAATGCTTGAATCGTTCTACAACATCTGTGGCACCAAGAGCATCTCCAGAGTCTTGATTCCAGTTGATAATGGTCAAACCCATACGTTTGAGAATAGTACGGACACGCTCATCAATATCGCCATCTAAGTATAAATTATCATAACATGAATACCGATAAAACAGTGTATATACAAACAAACAATACCATAGTTGAAAATACTTACAGGGAGGACGGAAAAGTTTGGGAACAACACCAATAGCTTCCTGAATTGCTTTGACAGTCCAGTAAATCTCGGCAACAATTTGCTCGTCCGAGATCTGAGTCATTTGTGGATGACTCCAAGTGTGAATACCTACAGCCATATTCACATAAAGTAAAGCAAGTATTACAAAACTGCACTGACATGTTAATATGGCTGCATTAATGTAAAATGGAGTTACCAATCTCGTGACCAGCAGCATAGACATCTTGAATATACTTGGGATTACGAACAACCATACTGCCAATAACAAAAAAGGTTGCCTTGAAATTGTGTTCACCAAGAGCATTCAACACCCGAGGTGTAAATTCACTATAAGCCCAGTGTATATAAAGGTATATAGGTTGATGGTTAGGTATGATCACATTGAAATCTCAATTCAGTCGAGTCTGATCATTTGAACCACTTGGTAGATAGCTGCCACCATACTGTAGCTTGTCTGATTAAAGTAATTTGCAGATAGAATATGATATACGAGGCGTATAACTGCATTGTATCAAAACCATTTGGTAAAAACCCGATCCATCATGATGACTAGCAGCCCTTTTGGGTCTACCAAAGTATACTTACGATGGTCCATCGTCATATGTTAATGCCCAGCTGTGCGAGTTACGACATTGAATTTGGTCTCGCCACAGATTAGCTTCAGTACCATGGGGAGGTAAATCACCTCCAAGAAATCGCTTGTTCCATGGCTCGTAGCTGGGAGGAGCAACTTCTAATTTAGGGTAATTAGCAGGATCAGGAGTGCCCGCAAACACCTGGGATTTGAATGATGCAAGTTCAAGAGATAGCAGTGACAAGTATATGATGGTGGAAACGGAAAAAACCATCCTACTATTATTGATAAATTGTATAATAATAGCAAACTACAATCAATTGTATCTGCATGAAATGAAACACGAGATAAGTGGACCAAGTACGACCCTCAACACATGATTACACTAATGATGACTGCTAGCAATTTTTTAATTTAATTTAATTTTCATACCCTTGATTACCAGCCGTAAGTGATTCAAATGCGCATTGCTATTCAGTAAACTGACACCAATCATTTCATAAAACCATGTATTATACTTTGACTCTTATTTAGTGCTTCATTTTAGTGGATACGGTAGTGAATACTGAATAAAAGTTACCAATAGAATAGCTCATGATCAAATGATAAGTAAGGGTTGTAATGAAAATGGACCGAGATTTACAGCGCAACAGCCAATAGAACTGAAATCACGGCTAAATTCGTCAAAAGATATTGAATATCAAAGGAAATGGTAGCCGAAGATTTACTAGGAGAAGCCGTTCCTTTTTTGGGAGAATTTACACCATGTCCGAGTGTAGTCGATGATAGTGGGGTAGGCTTGGTTGCAGAGTTGGTTGCAGACTTGGTTGCAGGAGTATTGGCATTTAATGGAGCAAGAATACCATCAGCGGGAAAAGAGCTCCATATAGTTTCATCATACGCAGGGTTTCCAAGACACTCATCCATACGAACAATTTTGTAGCCAGCAGCAAGAACCCCATCTATGGCTCCGGGACCTTGTGATGCCTCAGCAGAAGTAAGATCATGCTCAAGAGTAATGGGACCAGTTTTTGGTAAAATGTTGGCTTCAGCAGTCATGGCATTGACTACATCCATCGACCCAGCACTGTCGCCAGAATCAAATGCCCAGACGATGATGTCCATTTTCATGAGATGAATAAGCGCACGCACTCGCTCATCAATATCACCATCTTTATTTCCATTATACACCAAAAAAGCGATTAGCTTCTGAATGTCGTACCAAGGCAATTTTTATACACTACACATTACGACTCGATTGCAAATGATCAGGCTTACATGGAGGACGCAGCATTCGAGGAGTAACACCAATAACCCCCTTGATGATATGTGCAGTAAACATGATTTCCGCTACCAGCTGTTCATTGGTAACAGTAGTCATTGCGGGATGTGACCATGTATGTATTGCTTAAAAAGATATACACAAGATACAAGTATCTGATATTAGCATCCACTTTAGAAAGCAATGATGAGTCAGTTTTTTGAATGGAAACAAGTATGTATTACCAATTTGATGTCCTTCGGCATATGCACGTTGAAGAATAGCAGGATTTTCAAGAACTCGAGATCCAACAACAAAAAATGTGGTTTTGACATTACGACGTTTAAGCTCATCCAACAGCGCAGGAGTAAAAGCACTGGATAATATGCGCAATTTGAAATTAAACGATAGTTAGCACACAATGCATATAGAGCAAAATGAGATATAGTTGGACATGATTGATGTTTAGCGAATTGAACCATGTGCCAAATCTTTGGCATTGAACCGGAAATTGATTCAAATCCTTTAAACGGTTTGATGGAAAGCAAATACAATTTGGTGTTTATGAAAATTAAAATATATTTTATACCTTGGACCATCATCAAACGTTATACCAAAGTTGGTAGAAACAGTGCAGTTTACATAGTCGCCTACCCAACTTGGGGAAACAAGCTGCTTTGAATTGATAGGGATAGCAGGAATATCCTCTTTGATAAAGTGAGTAGACCATGCAGGTACGGCCTGGGGGACGATATCTTGTGTAGGATATGCAAACACCGCTCCCGTGGAATTACCAACAAGGGATTGGGCAGCAGTAAACATTGGAAGGGCGTAAAAAACAGATGTCCACGGTAGAAATGAACGCATTTGGGTAGATTATAGAATGAATTGAGTTGGTATGTAGATGAATTAGGATACTAATGGAATGATCTGATGGAACTGAGAAGTAGATCCACTGCATGCATTTATACAATTTTTAAAAACAACACCTTGGTCTGTCAGCTATAAATGACAGTGTGGCTATTTTAATTTTTGTTCATCTCCGATAATATCTGAGCTGGGCAGTGCAGTGCATCCCTGTAGAATAAATGCTTTCTTGACAATGTGTGCGATTTACAAATCTAAACTTTTGTGCTGGACAATTTACAATTGTAAAAGATATAGCACGACTATGCCAAATAAGGTTTCTAAATTTCGGTAGCCTACTTGGTAGTCTAATCTTGCCAGACATCATCAGGCTTGCATATATTATGGACAGCAAGAGTTTGACATCAAGTATACTCAATTGGGCGGAGCTGGTTCTACCAGCTCTTGTATTACAATTTCATGTAATGTATTTTCAAACTGGCGAGTTTGTACTACTCTGTCCGCATAGTCAAGGTAGCGGAGATTATTTTTGTAAATATAGCTAATGCTGGGGAATGAGACTGGCTGTTTATTATGCATTTCGACATTTCAAGTCTACTTCAGTCAATCCAGCTGCAATTATCAATGCGCCTCAACTTAGCACTAAAATCATGTAATTATTGAAGACGATTCCCATGAAATGATCATTTCCATCAGATCTACTGGATATTGTGTTTTTTGAACTCCTTGACAAGGCTGACTGATCTTGTACTCATTTTTGTATAGAGCTGAGCGAATGTGTAAAACAGCACTCACGTTAAAGTAAGCCTCATCCTGACGCTTGTTCAATCTCCAACTCTTATTACAAACACTGGGTAATTGGTAAGGAAGCAATTGTATTTTCAAGGTATGCAACTATTGGTTTCTTGAATTGAAGCGCGAATGTATTCGGAACCCAATATATGAATTTGATGGCCATATCATGCATGACTGTCAAAAGAAAATGGTTTCAGTTCAAAGCTATAGCTTGATTGTATTATATGATGATTGTGTTTCAAAGAATCAAGAAGATCCATTTCCAATAGGAAACCACAATGAATATTCAGCCAGTCTATTCCAAAATAAATAAGTTCCATATTATATGAACACGGCTAGTTGGAATATTAACTGAGTCCATGCTTGACTAATTGACAGTTTTTAGTAGCTTCAAACTCATATGCATTACAGATGGAATCAAAGTGAACGTATCATGACTTCATTTCATCTTCAAGTAGTCAATCTATCCAAGTGTATTGTAGATCCTGACCCAAAATACAGATCACCATATAGCCTTTTTGACTCCAGGCAGCTCTCCACACAGTGCATGCTGTCTAAACTCAATTTGACTCATACGAAACTCGGAGATATATCCCTAATGCAGTAGATTACCGAGACGAGTATAAAGTGGTTAGCCAAGCCCAAATGATTTGATCAATAAAAACATGAGTTTATGGCAACTCAACTCTTGACTTTCCACCAATGATGCACCGATTTTTAATAGCACTTGGCTGAGAGTAGCTTGGCATTTTTTGAAGTTCAAGCTGGGCTCTTACACGGACAGGTAATGTGTTGCGTTCATCTTTGATGATTAGGCGAAGTGCTTGTCGTTGCACTTCTAATTCTGAAGTGAGAATTCTACGGAGTCTATCTCGCAAGACAGATTTGATTGCCATATGTGATCAACTGCATTGCATCATCAAATGGATTTGAAGAGCAGGTAATTAGGGTTAGATTGATCATGTATTGGACTATAATGGTGATTTGACTAGCAATGCCAATCCAATAAAGCAACCAGAATTGCAGAACAGATTTACAAGAGGGTTGAGTTAAGCACTAGACATATTGTGTTTGGCAACTCACTTGATATGCTATCAACTTGATTGGAAAGACAATATTGAGAAAAATCCAACATCATCAGTATGGCACGTGATTATCCCATGAATAGATTTACAATTGTATTCACATAGTCAAACACAAAAGTGTAGACAACCAGTCTGATAACTCACCAAATCTACTGAATATTGTGCCTCTGGACTCATTGACAAAGCTAAACATTCACTCATTTTTCATATTCTGCTAGCAATTCAGCATAATAATAAATGATTGTCGAACAATTCCAGACGCAAGAAATTGATAATGTCTATCCGAACCAGTTCCTAGTAGAAAATATCAAATATCCAATCATTTTTATTCCAAAGCAACCACTGCAAGATATATACAAGCTTTTTTATGTGAATACGATTGTAATACTTTCGCGTTACTTTGTATTGCATGTAGTATACAGCGGATCTAGCATTGTTTTAAAGAATACAGTTTACTCTGATAGTTGGAGTTTTAGATCAAAGTGCTTGTCATTGTTGCATGCAATAGTTCCAAATGGTTGTTCGAGTTGTGTTTACCAAGTGATTTGATTTACCCTATATGTGTCATCTCACCTATTCCTTGCACCAATTCATCTCTTTCTTGATTGTCCAAAGCAATAGGTTCAACTGATAGAAACTGATCTACAGTGAGTACATTGGATTGAAGTGGTGTTGTGCATACTGTTGGGGTTGTCTGCTGTTGAGACGAGGTTGACACAAAAGGTACACTATGAGTTTGATCTTTGGATCTTTGTCTTTCCTCATCCAACACTCGCACGGCTTCAAATATGAGTGTAAGGGGTGATTCATGTTTGGTAGCATGAATCGGTGCCTGGACTGGAGTGGAAATATCGGATGGTGTCAGAGTAGATGGAGGTTTGTGTAGACCTTGTGAAATATCTGATATAGATATATCCATGTCTGACGATATGGATTCGGCAACGAGTGCACGATGGATGGAATTGGGTATCGCGGTATTTTGAGCCGGAATACCAGACTCGGTCAGTAGATCCACATGCTGGCTTACCGAGTTATCGAGTGTTATTTCGTGAAATAAAGGATTTACGATCATTTGTGAAATGGGGAGACATGCTGTGTTCCGCGGAGATGAGATCTGATTGTCATCCACCACAGGTTGAGCGTTAGCAACGAGTGGGGTTGCAATGGATAAGTGTTTAAGCTTAGTATCGGTTTGTTGAGCAGATGCACGAGTACTTTTGGGTATTTGCTTAGTAGGAACAGCAGTTGGTAGCAAGTTGGTCTTGTCTTGTAATGCAGTTTTCCTTTTGTGATTCAATACTTTCTTTATGGATGGAACAGGTGTCTCACAGGGTTTTGATGGCTCGATAGCAGATGATTGATCTATCTGGTGTATAGATTTATGGGTTACTGAAAGAGATGGTCGATGTTTGAATGTACGTAAACTTATGGGTCGTCGTTGACGAACCCCAAATGCTGATGGCAATGGTTTATCCATTCAACTGCACTGCAATCGATAACTATCCCACAAGTTGATAAATAGTTCAGATTCACTTAATCCCAATCACTAAAAATAATTACAAAAACAATTGACTTCATATTTGTGTTTATGTTGTGGTGGACAAAGATGCTGAAAGTACTGCTTGAATATATGGCAAGTTGATCCAAGCTGGAATAAACTTTTCAACCTGTTTGATTGTTCTTGGATTTGGCTTATTGAACTCCGGTCCTTGTTCCATATCCAGCAGTAGCACATCGCTCTTCTCATTGACTGCTGCCCGATTGGTCACCATTTTCATCAGATCTGGCGAGAGTGGGGAATCAAAGTCGGCTGCATAATACAGCGACAGTAATTTTTTAATCTGGGAGTTGTTGAGAAGGAAACAAACATCAAATATTGTGTCAATATCTTGTGGTGATGTTTTGTTGAGAGTGAGAAGCTTGGCTGCTTGAAGGAGTTGCTGAAGATGTAAAGTAGCTTCTGGAATACCGTGTCCTGTGCACCACTCTTCTAAGCGAGATACGTTGTACTGGATTTGCACACCTCGCTTCCATGTACAAAAGTTTTTGCGCATAAGCAAATGATTAAATGCTGAAACGCCAACAACACGCAAGAGCTCCGTCATAATCTGCCGGCTCATAGACTCTTCCATATAGTAGCATCGCATAGTTTTGCTAAGCTTACTGAGGAAGTTGAGCAGCTGGTCAATGGTAAACTGTGAAGTGGTCGATGTCTTGGCCCATTTACCCCACAATCCACCACTTTGTTTACAAATGTATCCAGGAAGTGACTGATTCTCAATCACTGCAGGAACAATCATGTTGGCTAAACGCTTCTTGAGTTCCTTGATCCATCCGTGATATACTTCAAGCATAACATGGTCAAGATCGTTGCGGATAGAAATCAAAATCACATCCGCTGATTCTCCATCTTCTGGTGCCTGCAGCGACTTGCGTGGCAATCGCTCACGCGCAGACTTGACAACACAGGTCAACTCGTATGTGTTGGAAAGCCAAAAGGCAGACACATAGTCATCCTCAAATCTCATGGTCAAGGAATGTATTGCTTTAATGACATTACCCATGAGAACACGCATGCGAGGAACAATATTGTACTCGAGCAGTTCAGACATGAGATAGCCAATCAAGTGAGCAGGGAAGAAAATCTCCTTTTTGGTAGCTACGGTTTGAGTGCTTGGTAAAGGAATACGCAGGTTGGTAATCAACGAATCGATCACTTCATCTTCCAGATCCGCTGCTTCAAGCATGCGAATAGGACGATCTTTTTGCTCCGGTTCGTCTTCCTCCTGGACAACACTTTGTCGAACAGACATACGATCCATGTTACCAGTACTGCTTCCACGACCAAGAGTTTCTGCAACAGTGGCTGCTGCGGACTCGAAAAAGGCCATCGAGGCACGTGCTGCAGAGGTTACTGGAGCAGTCAAGTTGGAAACTGGAGCCGGTGGGCTGGGGTACGGGTTGGCAGCAGCATAATCAGCATTCAATAGTTGCTCGGTAATGCGATCTGTGCGATATTTTCCTGCCAAAAGACGTCCCATTTGCTCACGCAAAGACGCAACTTCTTTTTTCAGGTTAGCCACATTGGCCGAGTCATCCACAGTCTTGGGAGTGTTTTTGATTTGCTCCTTAAGTTTCTTGACTTCCTCTTGCACATTCGCATTCTCATCACGCACTTGCTGAAGTTCATGGTCACGCTTACGAACTAAAGCAGCCATACGGTCAGATTCACGACTAGAAGTATCTCTGGCTTCAATAAGAGTAGCAATTTCCTTTTTCAGCTCAGCATTCTCCTCAACAACATTACTGCTCTTGGCACGACTTTCACTTTCAATTTTACTATATCGTTCCTTCCATCCACTCAGCTGTGATTCAAGAGTAGAGACACGATCCAATAGCTCATTGTTCTCCCGATTCTTGGCTGCAAAGTTTTGCGACAACTCCACAACCTTGCTTTCGAGCTTGTAGTTTACCTCCTTGAGCTTTCCAACAGAGCGAGCTTCCACCTTGAGCTGCTTAAACTCACGAATGGCACGCTTGCGACGGATGCAAGACTGCAACAACACAATACGCTTCAGATATTGTTTAAACTGGCGACGAGCAACATACCCACGCCACACTTTTTGAATTTGTGTAGCTGCATGCTGCTTACGAAGTCCAGTAAGCTTTCCACGAGCTTTATATGCTTTGTATGCATTTTGAATCTTGATTACAGAGCGACGAATCTTTTTGTATTTGCGACGAGCAATGAAGCGACGAGTATACTTTTGGATAATGATGACAGCAGCAGTTTGACGCATTTTGCGAGTATACACACGAGCCTGGTGACCACGAACCGCGGTCTGGATAGTAATCGCCGCATTGCGTTGACGGCGGTACTGATTTTGATACAACAAACGGCGCATGTTTTTTTGTATGATAATGACACATTCGCGAAATCGGTCTGAACGCAATTTCTCGATATAAGCAATTTGACCTGCACGGAAAAATATTTTGGATAAACCAATCTGATATTTGTCTTCATCAGAGATCAATCCCTTGACAATGGTTTCTGTTAGTTGCTTAGGATCAGCAACCCAATCAACAGAGCGAACAAGAAAATAGAAACGCTGTGAAAACTCTTGGAATGTCTGCCTGTTTGGATATCCTGCACATGAGATGCGAATAGTCTCAAGAACACCGCACGCACGAAGCTGAGAAAGAACCATAGGTGCCTCAAATTCAAATGCAACCTTGGCTTGATTAGGCTTGATACAGCGAATATAATGCACCTCTGTCTGACGAATAGTGTCCATAAGTTGTACCAAAGACCCTTTGAAAATAGATCCCAAAGTAGCTTTTTTGGATGTAGCAGCGCGACGACCAGGAGCTGCAGACTGTTTCTGTTCTGGCTCAGGTACTTCCTCAATTTTGGTGACCTCGCGTAAAAATTCAAAAGAACTTTCATTAAGCATGCTCAATTGTTCGTCAGCCACTGTATCCTTGTTTTTGTCAATAAAACCTTCAATCTCGTAAGTTACATCACAGGCATAATGCTTGATGGTAAATGCCTGCTGTCCAAAACGGGGCTTTTCAAAGAACTTGCTTTGTGCTGTGCCAAAACGCTGATATAGCTTAGTGATTAATGAACTATCTGCACCAGATGGAAGACGCGACTCTTCGTCAAGCAAATCCAAAATACCAAGCTTGTTTTCAATCATGTCAATGCAAGGCTGATTGTCATTGAACTCAATAAAAGACCATGTGATTTTCTCGGCAACATACTCTTCCTGTTCAAGTTTAAACACATGCGCATTAAACTCTTGCTGCAACTTTTCGTTGGCATAGTTCTAAAATAAAATTCAAACCCAAATAAATCAATAGTCAGCATACGGCCTGTTTAAAACACACATGTTGACCGACTTACAATACAAAACTGTTCAAAGGAATTTCTTTTAAAGTGCTCGAATCCATAAATATCTAGCACACCAATAAAACGGCCATCCTTGGTAGCAACCTCTCGGGTTAGATTCAAATTGACAATCCTGACAATCCAGTCAAACAGCATACTGTAGATGAATTTGGCAATAGAGTCACGACCAGTAGTGGCTTGGACAACATTCAAACTAGTAATAATCTTTTCAGAGCGAGTCACAATCTGCTTCTTGATAATCCATTTTTTAAACGTGGCAGGATCAACTCCCAAAAGCCGCGCAGCAGTATGGAGGGCAGGATCATCATCGGCAATCTGTGCTTCATCACGGGATGATATGATTTTGATGTTACCAATGTGAAGCAAAGCAGCGCAAATCTTGAAGACATCCCACTGCACAGAGACAGATATGCCAATGGTGGACAATGCCTTTTGGGTGATACTAAACTCGGCCACATCATCCATGCCATTTACCACACCCGTACCTCCTTGGTTGAGATAAAAGAATGCCTCCCAACTTCCAAGTCCAAGTTCCTTTCGTTCAGCAGCAGGTGCAGCAGCACAAAGCTGATAAAAGATGTGATAGTTACGCTCAGTTTGAGGTTGGAAAACCAAACGAGAACGCTCTAATAGGTAAGTTCGGATTTTTGCACCAGTGATGCGTACACCAGGCCCATCTGTTTTGTTTTCAAACATGATTTCAATGTACTTTCCAAAACGAGACGAGTTGTCGTTACGCGATGTTTTGGAGTTACCAAAAGCCTAGAAAACAATCGCCATAACAGTTGTATCGTATCAAGCAAGTCAGCACTCGAGTTGCCAATACTTGTAGTATCTCAAAAAGCGTGCTACTTACTTCCATGATGGGATTAGTGGAAAGCACTGCTTCTTCGATTTCAGTGGTGTTTCCAGCCAAATTAGAGTTTCCAGCAACTTCAGCAGCGCTTCCCGCACGGGACACGCCCAATTCATCAACAATTGCAAAGTAACGCATGATATACTTGGCACTTTGTGTTTTACCAGCACCAGACTCTCCAGAAATGATAATTGATTGATTTTTCTTTTCTTTAATCATGTTACGATAAGCTTGTTCTGCGACTGCAAACTATGTTTTGAAAAATGTATATTAATTCAAGATAGATGGGTTGCATCTTAGTGGCAGTATTTGCATATATCAGCAGTATGTCCACAAAATCCTGATCAACTACTTACCAAATGAGGTTCCAGCTCGTCACGCTGCTTTCCGGAATATTCTCTATTTTCAAGCAATGTTTCACCAAAATTAGTCGAACATTCATCAGAGTTGTACGAAATAAACTTTACCTCATAATCTCGGCAGTATAAATGTTGAGACGCTTGAAAGGATTCATAGCAATCAGCACAATACCAGAGTAAGTGTAAATCTGTTCTTGTGCATATCTCAACTGAATATTGTAAAGAACTCCAGGCCTACAGCAGTCATGGTAATACAAGACACAATGAGTAAACCCTTGACTAGATTAAGGAATTTTGAAAGAGTCGAAACAAAATAGTCAACTTACTCGTGCAAATATGACAAATTAGTCAAGTCATCGCATCCAGCCTATAATATTGGATTGAATGGCATATTTTGTCAAACGATTAGAACAAGTTGTGTCCAAGGATATGAGTCAAAATATCTGATCGTTGTATATAAATTTGATAAAAACCAGTCTTACCAGTTTAGGAGGGTTGATCAAAGGAGGAAGGTCCTGAAATTTGTTTGTCTCGAGTTTCTGCAGAGTCGACTCAAAAGTAACCTCCTAGTTAATCAAGGAATAAGATTAATATATAGACAGATCAGTAAATATTATGTTTTAAAATGCATTCGAAATTAAATTGCGAGGTTCAACTCGTAGCTTGTATAAAATCAAAACCAAATGATCAATAACAAGCCCAAACAGTGCTGTCGAAATAAGCTTAGTCCAGGGTTGAAGGAAGTTCATCAGGGATAACATCAGGTTTCCAACGACAGGTTCTGGGACACCAACTAGATAAGCAGTGCAAAATGGTAGGGTTACCAATGCATGGATTGCAAGTTTGAAGCCAACAACACTGCCGTCCTTTTCAAGCCCAAAGGGGCGTATATGCCGCCACCATCACAGGGATAGTAAAGACTTGAGAATAGTCAATTGGAAGCGATTATTACAAATCGTGGGATACAGCAGAACACAGACAATCAGTGGTGCTGAATGCATGATTAAACTTGAAGGATAGCAAGTGGCAATGACAGTTGGTGATCGTCATGAATAAAGTTGGAATTCAAGACAAATGAACTGGACTGGACTGAACTAGAATAGACTGAAATGACGAGAAGCAAACGACACCAAAAACAACACTCTTGTGATATGAACAATGAATTCAAGACCATCGACAATGGCTGACCTTTTTACGATGTTCAATAAAGAACGACATGGCCAGTTTCCCAGATGTGGCATCCAAGGTTTTGGTTGTCATGCTGCCCATAACCCATCCTAAATCCTCATCAGGAAACCATGCACGAGTGCCCTTTGTGTAGATATCGAGGGCTTTAACCTCCGTCATGGCTTGCTGTCAGATTAGTTGTTAGACTCGTAAAGTGACTGCTGGCAAACCAATTCAAATCTAACTCAAGCCAGTCCTTATTTTAGAGTCTACACTGTATATATAGAGACCAATCGGCATTCAACTCCTCATTTGTGGCCGAGTCTAAATATTGCGCTTGACTCGACATGACATCTGAGATTGGCCACAACGCTGCTTTTCGGTCTGAAAAAGATTACACTGTATCTGTAGATGGAACCTATGTTTTACATGACAAAATAGGTATTTACACCACATGTCTAGTCTTGTTGTTTCTCTCACTTCATCTGAACCATGTCTGTCTATAATGTCTGATTTTGTGCTGACATGAATTGTCTGTAGGAAAAGGCTCGTTTGGAAATGTGTACAAGGGGTAAACCCATTTCATCCTGTTTTTAATCATGTCCAAATCTGATATCCACATTGTCATATCCTGTCTGTTGATGTCTGGCTTGCAATCTTTTATAATACTGACTTATTAAAACATGGGTTTAAACACTATTAGAATCAAAAAATCAAATGGACAAGTGGTTGCAATCAAGGTTCTAGACCTCGATACCGATGAGGATGAAATATCTGATGTGCGGAAAGAAATTGCGTTGCTTTCTACATGCGATTCATCATCCATCACTCGATATCATGGCTCTATTTTGAATGGAAGCAAGTTATGGATCATCATGGATTATGCTGGTGGTGGTTCAATTCGTGAACTTGTAAGTAGCTTTATGCTGATTTTGGAAAACCATGACTGTATTCACTTTATTCTAAATAGTTCTTGTCCAACACAGCTGCATTGCTAATCGTCATCCATACATTTTTCTTAATCTATTCTTTTATGAATAGCTTAAATCTGGCCCCATTGATGAGCGTTATATAGCAATTGTGGCTCGTGAAGTGCTTTTAGCGCTTGTGTATCTACATAAATCTGTTGGGATTATTCATCGTGATATTAAGGGTATATCAGCATTGAGATGTTTGCTTTTATTTTGTTTCGACACGAGTTATTGACTAGCCCATTATGTAGCTGCAAATATCCTCCTTACTGATTCTGGACAAGTGAAGCTGTGCGACTTTGGCGTAGCCGGCCAGATTACAACAACTTCTGCTCGTAGAAACTCATTTGTAGGAACACCATATTGGATTGCACCTGAAATCATCAAACGTGCCCAGTACGATTTCAAGGTATTTTCAAAGTCACGCTACTATCAGATTCGATTTTATATCGTCTAATACTATTATATATACTTTTATCAAAATAGGCTGATATTTGGTCACTAGGTATTACAATTATTGAAATGGCAACAGGAAATCCACCATTTGCCGATCAAGAGCCTCGTCGTGCTCTTTTTTTAATTCCTCGTACACGACCTCCAAAGCTTGAGGGCCATTTTTCAACCTCGATTCAAGAATTTATTGCAGGCTGTCTAAGAGAAGAACCAGAGGATCGGCCTAGTTCTGAGCAGCTTTTAAACTTCAAATTCATCAAAGATGCAAAAAAGGGCACAGATTCTTTGAGAGAATTGTTACAGCGCCAAAAACAATGGAAAATCCAAAATAATGATCCAGACGAAGTGTCATTTGAAGCCAAGTGGGTCTTTTTATCTTGAATAGTATTTTTATTGAATTATTACAGCATTTAACTTTTAATGGCTCTAGTATAAATTCGGATAGCGATGACAATATTGATACGGGTGACGATTGGATTTTTGACACAGTTCGAGGTACGCTTCAACGTAAAGCTAATAATGGTACTGAAAACCAATTTTTTTCCCGTGGTGCAGAGAATCAACAACAAACTATCAAGGGCAAAGCTTCAAAAGATCCCTTGGCTACATTTAAACAAACAGCTGTTCATGATGATGATGATATCCCTATTCCAAAACTCCTCCCATTAAATGGGCTGACTAGTGGCCCAATAGCACTTTTTTCTGATGACAGTCCAAATTTGATTCGCAGTCATGCTGTACACACAGAGTCCATTCAGCAGCCAGCCAATATGCATCCACACATACCTGGCTCGTCTAAAAAATCTGATGATACTCAAAGTAATTCTGCTACAACAAAAGGATTACAATTACTGATAGCCAAAAATGATGTTGATGCGACTGAATCACTTTCGCCTGTATTTCCCATGTCACCGACATTGGTTGCTGCACAGTCCGCGGCCTCTCTTTCTTCTACAGGCCATTCAAATATCTTTTATCATGCCGGATCAAGCGGATCACCTTCTTTACAGTCACTATCTTTAAGAGCATCTCATTATCGAGATAAATCTATAGATTCGACTAGCGATCGTAGTGCAAATACCGGAGGGCTAAATCGCTCACTTCAGGCACTTCCTATTCCACACAATAATCAGATCCAAGGATATCGGTCAAGTACAGCTGGGTCGGCCCCTTCCTCATCTTCACCGCGGTTGTTACATGCTGCTCGTAAGCCATCTATTTCTTCCCCACTGACACTATCATCACAAACATTATTTTCCAAGGTCTCGACATCTACTCCGCCGCAGACTGTACCACCACATCAGTCATGGATTCATCAGCAATTATTGAATCCGGCTATACAACAGACTGCATTGCAGTCATCTATATCGGCTCAACATGGTATTCAGGAAACTCCACAAAATTCGACTGCGCAATTATCGCTTTCATCACTACAAAACCTACCTAGATCCAGGTCAGTTTCATCCGATAAACAAAGTACAGTAGCATCTCATCAATTCTCGATGATGCCTCACTCTACTGTGCAATCTTCATCACCTCGTTCAATACCACATGCCCAGACAGTCCCATCAAATTTGTCTTCGATGCGATTGCATCAAAAGCCTATTCGTGTTGTTCCAAGTTTTCGAGCAGGACCCCTTCAGCAATACTCGCCTGCAACCCCGCAGTCTTCTGTTTCGCAATCTGCGTTACCTCATTTCCATTCCACTTCAAATTATTTGGGGCCAACTGCCACTGAACACCCATTCCCTAATGCTGCTGTCCATCCGATTATTTTGCATCCCAATGTTCTTTCTGATCCCGATCAACTTTTGCAACCTGCATTGATGCAACGGGCAAAAGAAACTCTTCGACTTTTAGAGTCGTTTGAAAAAGTGTTTGCTCTGCTACCTTGATTTATAAAGTTGGTTTTACATCTTTATTTTGGTATTGTGTAATCATCTATGCTGTTTTAGGTTTGATGTGTTTGCATAAACATGGCCAAAATATATTTTGTGATTCACATTTACAGCCTTATTGCTGGATTTGGCTAATGTCCGAGTGTGATGCAATTCTGTCAGCAATAGGTTTAATCAATAATACTACATGTCATGTTTTGAATAAAATAATCTAGTATTGAAATTTACACTTTATAGACTCGCTCTGTCGGTTAAATGAAATGTGTAGCACTGCCATGGAAACTCCGCCGTATAATCGTAGATTTAAGATTGGCTCGAGTTCTTTACAACTTATTCAGAATATTAGTTTCTAATTCGAACCATGCCTATTGTTGTCAAGGATTACAGCGTGTCCCAGAATGATACTGAGCTGTTTATATCTGTTCCTTTAAGCGGAACAAGTGCATCCAAAGTTGATGTATACTGTAAGGCGTAGTTTTTGAAACACCAATTCTTTCAATATCTAAACGGTTTGACTCGATGTTGTTCAGCCCGTATCGTACAATATCCTCAGCACCCTTTTAACGCTTTACCGACATGAATGGTAGGCAACGATGTATATATCAAGATCAACTTTCCTCCCTTTTTTTTTGAACTTGATTTGGAAAGTACTATCGACTCTCAGGCATCCATTGCAAGTGTCGGAAATGGAATGGTCGTTTTTACTCTTGTCAAGGTAATCTATGCAATTCTCACTAGTGGTATAGGATAGATGAAAAGTACTGAATCGCTTCATACCGTGGACTAGACTCATCCTGGGATTTGGAATACAATAAAATTTCAAGCCGAATCACCCAAGGCGTTGCGCGATCGTCGCGCAGCTGGAGAAGAACGAGAAAGACATTTGGCCATCAAGGTAAAACGTATTGAGTTGAATTACAATCTATATATACTGTTTTGCTCATATGTTTTCATTTGATTGATTATACTGTCGTATACATAGAAACGTGAAGAGGCCATAGCTTTGAAACGATCAGAGGAGCGAGATATGGTTCGTAGACAGATCGAGGTGGAGAGGGCTAAACGAGAACGTGTTGAAGCATTGAAACAAGCAGAAAAAAAGGCTGGTGAGAATGAAGTCAATTCATGGGCACAATCAACTCTTGCTGTTCAACGAGATCTAAAAATTCAAGCTACTGTACATGCCAAGCAGGAAAGTGAGAAGATGGCTAGTATTGCAACCAAGAGCGAAATTGCTTTTCGGGAAGACTCTGCTATTTTTGGTGTAGATGATGTTGCTGTGAATATTCAATCTAGTGATGATTTGGATTCCCATGACATTGACGGGGAATCAGCCGATGACGATATTGATGTTGAAGCAATCAGAGCAAAAGTTCGTGCTCAACTCAAAGGTATGCTATGTTCCATTAATGGATCAAAAGTATGATGGTTTTCACTCATGAATTAAACTATAGCTCGAGTACAGCCACCACCTCGAGCATGTCAAGATATTCAAGTTAAATTTACCCCCCGAGGACATATCCCAACCAACACTGCACGAGAAACTGAAGATGGTATATATAAAAACACCTTCAAGATTGGACCAACTTTAACTCGTATTAACCCTTTATATCACAACTATTGCGTAGAAAAATGGAGGATTCGTATCAAACTGGCCGAGGCGTTGCAGAAATCCAAAACTAATCAAGCATGCGAGTCCAATCAGCAATCAGATGACAGCAACTGTGAGTAGTTTACAAGACAATGATGACAGTCTGCTTTATTAAGAATATTGGTTTTTAAAACGCATGCCCATTTGTAATTTTTTCATCAAATAGCTGCTTTTCTCAAAGACAAAGGAATCGAGTTTTTCAAGCAAGGAAATATTGAATCAGCACTCAATGCATTTACCGCTGCAATTGATCTTGATCCACTCAGCGCAAAGTAATATCAAAATTCTTTGATTATATAGATTTTGCTGTATGAGCCAACACATTGACTTTTTTGGCATAATTCTTGTACATTGACTGCTTAATTCATACGATATAGTCTATATGCAAACCGTGCTGCTTGTTTTCTACATCTCTCCAATGCAACGGATTGTATTTCCGACTGTACAATTGCTCTTGGTCTTATTTCCAAGGAAGAGGATCTTTTGAAAGAACAGCTGGTTGATCCAGTTGCTTATGATCAAGAAACTGGTAATCAAAGGCGCAGATTAAAGGTAAAACTTTTGGTTCGACGCGGCACTGCGCGATCAAATCTGGTTGGCGACATCAAACGCGGACTAGCCGACTACCAGGACGCATTAAAACTTGATCCAGAAAACCCTGACTTGGAGACTGATATTGCTGCGTTGAAAGAACGCCTAGGTGACGCAGCCATAACTAATGACTAATAAAGCAAGCTAAATCATTTAAAACTGTAGGATAGATTCTGTATCAAACATGCCAATTCAACAAGAGCGTTGAATGAATTTGTTGTGCTATGATCCATTTCATCGTATCAGGATACTGTTTTTTATATCCACATCTATGCTCAAACAGGTTTTGAAAGCAGTACCAAGAGTGAAATTTAAAAATTACAAATAAAATAATGATGCTTTGTTTATATAAAATATCAAACTTCCCTGTACACACCAACTCCCCCAAAAAAGAAAAAAGATTTTAAAAAATAGTTTCCAGGGGACCAAATATATGCCTTTAGTCTTCACGCTTAGTTTCGTTGAGTCCAAATAGCCGCACACGATGCATTGATGGCAGTTTGGCTATTAGCACGATTACAAGCGATGTCAAGTTGATCATAAATGTGAGAAAATCGTAGTGCGTGTAGTGTGTGCTTAGTAGAAATCTACATGGACATGAATTGGCAGAATTAGTTGTCAATTTACAATGACAGAATCTATATTAATGGAGACAAAGTAGCTTACAGAACAATCGGAACGGCTGTCAGGTATTTTTTTGTTGGAGTAAATTGTGCACCGCCGTCAATCTGTTCCCACAGTGTAAGTCCATCGTATTCATTCTGGTTGATAGAGTAGGGCACACCTGAGATCCAATGAAACATGAAAAATGTGATCTGTAGCATTATGAAGCAATTCTGTTGATTAGATAATACCGGCTTTAAATAATAAATATGATGTTATAGCCTACAGTATTGTATCCAACATTTGTGAGTGTCCATGAGGCTTCCGTTGTGATTCCTGGTACTACTGCCAAACCAACCCGCATAAAAAAGATGACCACTATCGTTGCAATCCATGAGCCTATATATTGACAGAAATGAGATGTTAGTCAAGCGATTGTTTACAAATATACGAGTTTCAAAGACTACTAATGAGCAAGTTTGATTTGATTGGCAAGTTTCCCTTGTTTTTGACATGGTTCAAATATAGGATTAAGAAAGCTGTAGGCAGAATGGTAAATAAAATGGCCAGATTCACCAAAAGTCAAAGTTGACAGCTGACTATACCGAATATTCAGCTCAGTAAGCTCATTCCAAAATAAGACAGTACAGACTGACAAGAAGACTATAGGATGATCAAAGCCTATAAGATAAATACATCATGATGCCTTTTGAAATATGGACCATATGTCCAAGATTGAAGTTTGGTATTCAAACATCAGAATATGCAAGTATTTGCAACAGCGACAGGACAAAGTTGCTATTGCAGTGTGTGGAAGGAGAGTGAATAGGATCAGACTAAGCATATGTATTGAGATTGCTACTGTAGTAGTGCCATTAAAATAAAGTCCAAGGACAGTCTTTGTAGAGCAGAGCAGCAGCAGTCTCGCTTCAAAAGTAAAAAGTTGACTAGACAGTTTATCCAGTTTTATTCATAGGAGTAAAATGCTCTGCATCATACCTCTAGAATTGACCCATGTGCTATTCGGGTTATTATTTGTAGTCTGAAATAGCTCGTTCATCATAGCGATTCAACTGATGCTTTATAGTGTTGGGTTACTTGGTTGCAAGTAAGGAAATTTACGCATCACAGCGTTTATGAATGCGACGAACATCAGAAATTCATTTGCTACTGTCATGGCATGCTTAGCAGCATAAGATTAAAAGGACATTGAGTTGTTTCTAGAATGGATTTTATTACAAACACTTGAAATGCATGCATGACCGAATGTCAGCTTTGAATTGGACTGGACTGAACTAGACTGGTCAAGCCACATCTCTATTAAAGTCTTAATACAACTTTCATCACGATGCAAACAATGGCTTCATTATATTTCAACTAATTCTTGCGTTGCTTTTTATGGCTGCTGCCCTTTGACCTAGTAAAGTTGTTTTTCTTTTCGTGGACTTCGGCGGTTCTGCGCTTCATGTACGCTTTGGTTTTGGCATCTGATAACAGTTCGTCAACAATTGTTTGCTTACGCTCCTTGTTGGTCAGACGGCTTGAATAGAATTCTGTTGGACCTTCAATAATAGTGCCAAACTATGTACACAATAAGAAATAAGCTTACAGTTCCAAGATACAAAACAACTCAAAGTTGGATTCGCATTTATGCAACCAATCTGCAGCTTAAATAGGTTGTACCTGAAAGACTTTGGGAAACTCTTTGGAATTATCCCTTTTGTAGTGTCGCTTGGGGTCAAGAGCAGCTCGCGATCGCAAAATATGGAGATCTCGTTTGACTTCGTCTGTTAGTTCTGCTGATACCATGTCAAACCATCCTGGTCCTGCAGTTGTTTTTTCCATCTATGAATTCAAATCAACCACATCATGTCAGCATTGCTAAAAGATCCATTGTAGGGCTTTTGGTTTACAAAAAAGTCACTCAATTGCCCTGCCTTTTTCTTTTCCTTTGCGCTTAGCTCAAGCTCAGGAGGATTTACAGAATCCATCGGCCGGATAGTAATTTTTTCTGCGGATGAAGATACTGTACTGCTTTTTGATGGATGGCCCAAAGTACTTGATCCATATGATTTTTCTACAAACAATGTATGGAGTTGAGAGTTCACCTTGACTGCAGCGTATTTAGAGCTTCCAGGTGCCTCGACAATATAAGGCTGATGTTTTTTCAAGTCTATACCAGCATTTAGTCTGATTGAGCTGGCAGTTGCTGGTTTGAATTCTGGAGTGGTCGGAATGGATGCATGATGCAACTGCTTTGCTTCGGATTCTTTCTGCAGGGCTTCTCTATTGACATGAATGGGATCAATCAAGGATGAATTAGTACGACTTTATTCCATGTGTTGGCACTGACAGTCTATGCACAACTGTTGACAAATACAATCGGTTAAAAACTCAACCTTTTACGACTTTCCAATACGGCTGTTGCCTTTGACAATAATGCATCCAATTCTGTGTCGTCCAGTGTAATAGGTTCCATATTGTTACTCAGTTGATATTTGGCAGCAATGGCTCGACTTTTTTTTTGTAAAGTTGAATTGCAGCCGCGTTTACACAAAATGAAACGCTAATGTCAAAATACTGATAATCAATTTCATGAAATGGTTGACTGGACAAGATTGTTTTTTGAATTCCTTGACCAAGTTTATTGGAATTTCTCCTAATGACTGGTATGGAAACAGCAGCAGATTTTTGAAGCTTGAAAAAGGCAGACCTTTGTTTGGGATGTTTTCGAATATTGGTAGATTGTTGATTTGAATGACAGGATCATCCATCACTCGTGTTTCCAGTTTATTCGACAATCTGACTGGTTGGCATGACCAGTTTATTGAACGACCTGCTACTTGTTTCGGTCAAGTATAAAATATTCATTTGTCTAGCAACGACTACTTGCAGATCTTGACTTTATTCTGACACAATCTTTAACGTTCATCTAGTCTACGCTAACTCAAACCAGTCGTGCAATTTACAAGGAATTCATGTTTTCAAAATACAATCTGATGCCATGAGAATATATTAAACATGCCAAAATCGAATTAAAATACAAATATTCTGCATTCACATCGCTTTTATCTTCAGCTGTAAACCCATTACTGCAAGCATGTTGCCCAAGATTCTGACGATTGTAGTGGCTGTATTTGCAGGCCTGGTTGCTGCCAGTGACGTAGTTGAGCTCACTCCCAAAAACTTTAAAGAGGTAACAATTACTACTCAGATGGCAGCTGTAGCTGATATTGCTTGAACTCCATCTTGCTAGAATCGAATTCAAACCGGTATCGATCCTTCTTGACAACAACAATTCATGGCTGCCTTTGATAGACTTGCATATCCACAACCCTCCATTTTGACTCTATTTTGCTGTCATGTCGAGTCATTTGTTGGTTACTAACTCGTATGTTGTGACCAAGGTTGTTGGAGGTGACCAAGATGTTCTGGTCGAGTTCTTTGCCCCTTGGTGCGGCCATTGCAAGGTAGGTTGAATATCATTAGTCGGATGAATAATATGCATAGTATTGACTGATGTTGAACGCTCTGAACAATGTGTTTAATCCATCACTTTATGCTATTGGATCGACTGGATCTAGTCCCTTGCTCCCCATTATGAAGAGGTGGCCACTTCTTTTGTCAAACACAAGTCATCTGTCGTTATAGCCAAGGTTGATGCTGATGCTCACCGATCTCTTGGAGATGAGTTTGGAATTCAGGGATTTCCTACTTTAAAATGGTACGAGATCTTTCCATGCACTCTATCTTGTATGCATGATTTATAATCTAGTAACTCAACATGTCAACTATTATTCGATAGGTTTCCAAAAAAGAGTCTGACTCCCACTGATTATACTGGCGATCGAGATGTTGCTGGTATCTCTGATTTCATTACATCAAAGACTGGTGAGTTAGTAGATTGACTGAGCACTGTGGTATCGACACGTATGCGAGTCAATTAATCTTTTTATATCTTATTGATCTAGGTCTCAAGTCCAACATCAAAGTCGTTACCACTGCTGTTAAAGTACTTACATCTTCCAATTTCAAGGAACAAGTTCTTGATTCGGGGAAAAATGTCCTTGTCGAGTTTTATGCTCCATGGTGTGGACACTGCAAGGTAAGTCATGTCAATATTTATTAATCGAGAATCAAGTTTTAACTGTTGGATACATATGTCATTTGATAGTCTCTTGCCCCCATTTATGAAAAGCTTGCGCAAACCTTTACTTTGGAAAGCAATGCAAGTATTTAGTCGTCTTTGATACTGTATTAAATGTTTTACTGAAAGATCAATTCGCTGACTCTTGCTGCCGTTCATTATGTTGACCAGTGCATTATTGCCAACTTGGATGCTACCAAAGCACAGGATGTTGCTGACACATACAATGTCAAGGGCTATCCTACAATCCAGTTTTTCCCTGCTGGATCTGAAACCCCAGAGTTGTATGATGGTAGTAGAGACGAGGACAGTTTTGTAAAGTACTTGAATCAGAAATGCGGTACCCACCGTGTTGCCGGAGGTGGTTTAAACGAAGAAGCTGGTCGTTTGGAAACTCTTGACTCTCTTGTTAAAGTCTTTATGGCTGCTGACAATGCCGAGCGTACCAAAATGTCGGAAATGGTTCCTGTCGATGCCACTTCCAAGTATGTTGAGTTATGATGCATGCTATTTGATTTCCTTGTGCTAACGATATTTATTTCATGTTCAAACTCTTCAGATACGCCATGTACTATTACAAGGTAATGCAACGTATTCTCAAGACTCCCGAATTCGTTACCAAAGAAATGAAGCGTTTGGAGCATATTTTGGCTGGAGGAAACACTACTCCCGAAAAGAAGGACGATTTTGTGATGCGTCTCAACATTTTGCGTGTATTCTCTGCTTTGCCAAGCTCAGATGCCAGTGAAGAACTTTGAATAAATTCTTGGTTCAAAAGTTTAAATGTTTTGTTTGGCTTCTACTAGCAACATTGCTCAATTATCCACGGTTATCAGAGCAAGCATCAGCAGTACATTTAAAAGTAGTGATGGTGTAGTAGACAACATATTCATACCATTAGCATGCTATCTCTTTATTTTTGTATTGTCAGAGGGACAGTCTAATGCAATGGTAATGGTTTCACCCAACATGGTAGTGAAGACTGAACCGGATTTTAGTCCATATTTAATACGCCCTTTTTCCAAGTAAGCTGGTGGATCTAAATAATACTCGTCCGACATCATAAATGTGCCCCAGTGCACGCCCAGACTAAATGTAGCCCCAATATCTTTGTGAACCTTGCAAGCCTCTGATGGGTTCATGTGCTGATGCTTCATATACTCTCGGGGCTCGTACGATCCAATTGCTATATAGAATCAATGTGTGCATCCATGCATTATCATATCAAAAATCAGTACATACTATAAACATTGAAAATATCACCCCATACATAGCAGTAGTTCAGCCATCTAGTCAACTTACGCAATGATGCAAATGTGATTGGGCCAAGTCGTTTTCCAATCTCCTTGAATGCCTGACAATAGCCTGTATCTCCACAATGAAAAAATGACGATGTTTTACCTTGAACGACAAACGATGACCATAGCGTAGCATTCACGTCTAAAAAGTGACGACCACTCCAGTGTTGAATTGGCGCGCCGGTGATGATTAATGAGTCGTCATGATGGTGTTCTTGCCACCAATCAAGCTCAACTGCATTTGTGATGCCATAGCTAGCTAGCCACGTACACATGCCAAGAGGAACGTACCATTTGACAGAGTTTCCAAGTTTTTTTACCACCGTAGTATCTTGTAACAAGAAACATCACAGGCTGTTAACAATCAGCAGCAATTTGGATAAACTTGCACCATCATATCTGGTTACAAAAGGGTTGAACTAGACGTATGCATTTTCCCACCTACCAAGATGATCATAGTGATTATGTGATACAAGCACGATATCGATTTTGGGTAGTTGTTCTAGTGTACATGGCGTTGGACGAATACGTTTTGGTCCAAACCATTCTCCGATTGTTCTAGAACTATTATACAGTAACCATCGTTATATAAAAACGATATAATCTACAAGTGTAGAGTCAAGGAAAATACCTAAAGATTGGATCTGTAAGAATATTATAACCGTCCATTTGAACAAAACAAGTAGATTGTCCTAGTTGAAACCAATATTTAGCGTAACGTGAGTCGATTAAATTAAACCTGATTAAAAATAACAAGAATTGTACCTATCCAAGTGATACTCATCAGCGAAGCCTCTTTCAATGGTTTGGCTTCAGAACATTGACTGTCAGAATGGGTGATAAAATCCGACATTCTACGACTGGCTGAATTGCTTTGTATCCTCATTTCTGTACGTTTCAGTGTATACTCTTCCATCAATCCAAAGTCTGGAGTGGCCAGTGGCATTGCTTGGTCAAGTTCCTGCAGCATTTACATTGAAATTGAGAATCAGAGTTTACTTGAATAATTGATAAACAATAAGGATATTCTTGAGCATACCTTGATATCAGATGGAACATTATTTCGATTATTTCTAGTGAATTGCCATTTGAGATATCCAAATAAATCGGCAGTATTGCGATCTTGCCACTCGATAAATGGATTTACAAATCTGCCAGCAACACCCAAAGAATTGAATAGTCTTTGTCGCCATTGAGTTGCAGTAGTTACAGATGGTTCTGGCAAAGCAAACCAAGGACAGTATGATTTAGAAAGTACAGACCAACCAGCAACAATTAAATCCACAGCTGGACGCAGGGTTAGAATAGCAGTAATAGAATATGGAGTGGATTGTGTCATGACTAATTCGGTGGATCCAAGTTTCAAGTTATGATCGTCATTATCACTGCAATCACTTGATGTTTCAGCAATAGTAAGAGAATCGCTAGTGTTGCTTGTATATCCGCATGTTGCTACCAAAGTAGAGCAATTTGTTGTACTAGCGTCATTCTCTTTCTGGTGCAAGTCAACAGGACGAGTCGCAGCCATCTTATGGCTGAAGCGTCGATCCAACGTTGATGTAGATGAATCGATATCGGATATAGTGCTGTTTGGAAGAGCAATAGCACATTGTTGAGAATCTGATTCGCAATCGCTACTATCAGAACAATTACTTTCATCCAAACCAGCTGAAGCATCGTGCTCATTGGGCACAACTAGTTCCCAGTGATGTCGAAGTTTTGCATGACGAACAGGCCGAGTGATCCAAAAACGACCTTGCTCAAAAAAAGCAATGGTGATAACAGTACCAACACCTACAACAGTGACTATCATTGAGGTAGAAGGCCTGCATTTAGGCAATACGTGATCGAATGCCAGTTGAAACACCTGCATTGCTGTTGTAGCAATTGGCAAACTTCAATTTAAAAATTCAAAACTCGATTATGGACTGTTTTCATCAAGCATGATAATGCTTGAACAACTATTTTTTATACTTTCATGTCAGACACTTTAAAAGAATTGTTAATGTTTATTCAAGTCAATTTCTAGTTGAAAAAATATCAAGACAGTCACTACGAGATGGTTTTTTTTACGTGAATAACAAGCTGCAACGAGTTGAATTTTTTACTTGATAAATTCTTTTTTTATCAATGTTTTTGACAAGACTCGTTGGAAACTCAATTGCTGCTCGTAGAAGCAGTGCTGTTGCACTCTCATGCAAGGTCGCTCGTTTTTCTATCTCATCAGCGTCACTATTTAACACTGGGTTCAATGCTGCTTCATCCCATTCTCTTGCTGCTACTTCAATCATTCCAGTATCGACAGCTTCTCGTATCATGGCCAAACATCGCTTTTTTTCTACTGCCGAGGTCAATATTCAAAATGAAGTAAGTTGATTATGTTTATCGTTATATGATGGAATTTGCTGTAATGTTTGAGAATCGCTTGAACTCGGTTTATATTTTTAACTGATCTTTTTTTTTAATCGTTAATTTACAAACTTTTTACCTTCAAAAACATTGTAGGATCTGGAATTCACCAAGGATAAGACAGCGGATTCGGGTGAAGACTCTCAGTACACCAATGTTCCATTTAGCAGCTTGAATCTATCCAGCTCTACAATGACGGCTCTTGAGAATAATTTCAAGTACAAAAATATGTCTACTGTGCAGGAACGTGTTCTTTCCTTGCTGCCTACAGATGCCGATTTACTGGTGCGTGCAAAAACAGGAACTGGTAAAACTCTTGCTTTTTTGATTGCTGCAGTGGAATCGGTTATTAGTCGTTTCAAGTCTCGCCCTCCTGGTGTTCCTATTTTGATTCTTTCCCCTACCCGTGAGCTTGCCCTGCAAATTGCACGAGAGGCTGAGAGCCTTGTTTCTCCTCGCAGATGGAGGGTTGCTTCTGCTGTAGGTGGTGAGAGCAGAGGAAAAAATATTCGTGAAATTACTCAGTTTAACTGTGACATTCTTGTTGCTACTCCTGGCCGTCTAAATGATCTATTGAACAACGAGCCTGCTGTCCGCAAGCAATTGCAAGGCTTGAAAATGGTAACTTTGAAATAGTGATTGCTTATGTCTAGCGGATTGAAAAATTCACTGAATTGCTTTGCCAACTAAACTATCAATCTAGCTGGTTTATGACGAAGCGGATATTCTTCTTGATATGGGATTTACAAAGGAAATTCAGGATATTAACTTCAACCTTCCTAAAGAACGCCAGACCTACATGTTTTCTGCCACAATCTCAAAAGAAGTCCGATCGATTGCCTCGACCACCCTTCGCCCAGATCATGTTTTCATTGACACTGTTCCTTCCAATGAAAATGACACTCATTTAAAGATTAAACAGACTCATGTGGTGGGTCCACATTCTCAAACTTTGGCTTTGCTACACGATGTTATTACAAAGCATCGCGAGTCTACCCTAAACAGCAAGATTCTCGTATTTTTCAATACAACCAAAACAACCAATTTCTCCACTGATGTGTTCAACAATCTTGATGGTATGGATGTTCTTCAGATTCACTCCAAACTTACTCAGCAACAGCGCTCACGAGTTGCTGATCGTTACCGCCGTGCACAATCCGCCATTCTCTTTACCACTGATGTGTCTGCTCGTGGTGTAGACTATCCAGGTATCACATTGGTCATTCAAGTTGGTCCCCCACCCTCTCGTGAACAATACATTCATAGAATTGGTCGCACTGGTCGTGCAGGAAAGTCGGGTGAATCTACTCTTATACTTTCTACCTATGACAAGCACTTCCTTGACCAGCTATTTGATTTGCCCATTCAAAAGCATATCTCTCACACAGCTTATTCTGGTCCTCGCACTGACTCGGTTCAGAGTAAGATTTCTTCTGCCGTATCTCGTATACCTGAGGATGAACGTGTCGATGTTTACATGGCCCAGCTTGGAAATGGTGAGTACTTTGCATATTTTTGATCATATACTTTGAATTGAAATGTAAATTTGATCCAATCTGAATCAGGTTTAACAATTTAAATCGATTTTAGCTATTTCCCAAATGGCAAAGCTTGGAGTGAGAAAAGAAACTGCCGTCGAGTCTGCTAATAGCTTTAGTCAAGGAGTACTTCTTTTAAGTGAACCTCCCGAGATCTCGCAAAGATCTGCCCAAAACATGGGTATTGCAAATCTCTCCAATATTCGCATACGTGGCGTTTCAAGTAACTTTTCTGGGTCTGGGTCTATGGGCATGTATCCCAGAGGTGGGCGTCCTAACCAATTTCAGAGAGGTGACCAGAATCGAGGCGGTAACTTTTCATTTAAAGATCGTGACCACTACTCCAACCAAAGAGATAGATATAGCGAGCAGAGAAGTCGTAGACAGAGCTTTGACCGTGAGGTCAAAGACTGGTAAATCCATTGCGGCAAGATTTTGAATTCCTACTATATCTTTTGATATAAACAACTAGCATGATTATTTTGTTTTTGATCACTTGTATTTTTTATGAGTTGGTATTGGAAAAAACGGTCAAAGTGAGATTATATACGCCTGAGAGCTCATACTTTACGCAATGAGTGTATTTTTAATTTGAGCACATTAAAAACAATATCAAGTCTGGTGACTTTTGTAAAGCATGATGTCATGGCTTCGATATTGCCCAACACGCCTAAATCTAATCAACAGTAGAAAAGGCATTGATTAAATCCAGCATGTAAACTGGAGATGCATTGCGCTTATAGCTAGAATCATTTGCAGTTGTGTTCACGTAAAATGAAGCATTGAACCAGAATGTCTAATAAACTGTCAGTGTCATGGCGTGATGGATGTCAATTTACTGGACACTAATCCACAATATAGTGAAAATGACTTTTACGACCTTGAAATCCAGTACTTGCTCAACTCTGTATTCCGAATGGTTCTCAACAATGACCACCATCCGATAGCTGTGATGTAATGCTGTGCATGTACCGTTACTCGATCTATCAACTTCAATATGCAACATGCTGTGTTTACCGTGATCAGGCTTTTGATCAATCTCGGACTCATGGTACATGATTTGTCATGTTGGATCGTGTGGATGTGTCATGGACTGCAATTTAGTTGCAGACACACATCTGTTTGACATTGACCAATGCATACTGTAAAACCAACTCATCAGTTCCAGTGCGTTATGGTTACTCGCAACGGATGCAAACAGGGCTAGCCGGCTATATACAACGCGTTAGATTCGACCTACTTGGACGAGCACTCGATGTAATTAACAATGTGTATAATAGCTTCGCGGTGGTGTATTGATCAAATAGGCTGGTAAGTAATGGGTTGACAGTCCCGTGGTGCAAATACTTGAGTTGGAGTGACTGGTTATAGAATGATGGTTGTTCAATTAGTCGAGTTTCTCAGGCAGCGTACCAACAGGACCAAACACAGTTTTGATATCATCACTGGAATTGCCATAGGAGTCCACTAACAAACTTGTAGTATCGTCAGTATATGTTTGTACGGGTAGGCTTGCTTGGATGAGATCATCTTGTTTCATTCTTTGCCCCAACACTCGAATTTATTATAATAAATTCAATAAAAAATGGCATGGTCTGCCAAACATTCAACAGCAGTATTGTGAGGCACAGAACTTCATATTGTTCATTTTTAAACCCTGCCAACAATTACTTTTGCATAATAGGAATAGTTTTGTATCGCGTGTGATTCCAGATACAAAAGAATACAGTGTCAATTGAAGAGGCAATGCAGCCAATTTGTAGCAGCAAAGCGCAGCAAATATTTAACCATTGTCTATTATAAAGCAAAATAAAGACAATCACTGCAAGATAAATACAAAGGTGATTCATTTTGCGTGAGTATAGTTATAAATACATGACTATTTTACTTTTTTCATTTCAACCAGGATATATTATAGTTGAATAATTTCATATTGCTATTCAAATGCATCCTATTATAAGTCTTATTTGGTTCTTGTTAATATCGGTTTCGGCTATTGACTACAGCCAGCCACAAGACGATGGACACGATGTGGTCTATACCAATCCTTTCGATTATGAAAAAAGTGGTAAGCAAAAATCTGTTGGTTTTACAGCCATATTCACGTAAAATAACATATTTTTGCTGTTGATGCTATCTGTGCTTATCCATTCATGTATATATATTGCACTATTTTTGCTGTAGCTATTGATGGTACTTTAGACGTAAGTATCTATTTTTGTAATAGACATTCTTTCTTTGTACTAATGTTCATTTTATACGCGTAGTCCCCAGACCACTCTTATCAATATGATCTTGCTGACCCAAATCACCGCGTTTTTAAAGTTTTTAGGCATGAGGAACAGGTAAATTTTAATAGTATTTATGTAAAATGCAACACTTGCATTTGTCTTTCAGTGTATTTTGTTTTGGAATGTGTAATGGTTAAATATTTTGTGCTTCCCTACTACAAATTGACTTGATGGACATTTTTAATTTTTCCAACACAATACCCATCATATGATGCCCAACCAAACTATTGATTTTCCTTCATTTGGCACAACTACACATTGTATTTCCACCAAATTTTAAATCCAATTCATGTATTGCAATCCATATATTGTGTTCAACTGTTTGGACGATGCTAATATGGCTCTGTATGCACACATCTTTGGTGTATCCTAAATCAAACACGTTCGTGTTCTACTTTAAAACACTAGTCATTTCATGAGACTAACTGTCTATCATGTATTTTGACACTTTAATACTCTATTTTGCGTGGAATACGTTGTAAATATCACTAGTTCATCAATTATCATTCCAATCCATATCTGAAAAGATCCCACACGGAAGACGAAAGTTCGCACAATACTTGTAAGTATTTATACTGAATGCATATGATATTGCAATAATGAATAGCATGTGACTTGGTTTATTCAAAAGAATCACAACTTATTTTTTTCTTGGTTTACTAATTATTTAATTTGATTGCTATTTTATGCTATTATCACATGTATACATCAACCATATGCATAAATTGAATTGCCAAATATGGCTTTATTAACTTGATTTGTATAACACCATTACTGAAATTTGTTTATAATGCCAATGGATATAACAGATTCAAAAAGATCTAATTACCAGTATGACAGTCAAAAATACAAAGTTTATAATGCAAAAGAGCCCACCACTCCTGCGCATTATGATGTATACCATCACGAACAGACTAACTCTGCTTCCACACACAATGGCGAGCATCATGCAAATGAGAATGCATCTCTGGTAAATCACAAGGATCAAAAAAACAACTTGGCCCACATCAAATATACGCATCAACAACCAGAAAACCCATCATTGCCAACACACAAATATAACCAACACAATAAACCGGTAACCTATTCAAGACATAAATCGGAACCCCAATCGAATAAAAAATCCGATCACTACAAAATGACTGATGGCATACCCGATCATTCTACAGTTTCGAATCATCACTATGAAAGTCCTGCTCACGCTATTCGCCAATGCAAATCTGCTACCCATTCATGCACGACAAAAAATTGTGAATCGCATTCCACTAATTCAACCAAGCCTATTAATCAAAAATACACTTCTGAAAATCCCATTGACCCCCCTACAAAAACTAGTCATCCCAATCACCATTCTGTTACGATTGCACGTAGTGTATACTCACCACCGACTAAACCTACTGCACACGCATCGAGTAAAAAGTCTGTTGATCACCCTACAAAAACTAGTCATCCCAATCACCATTCTGTTACTACTGCGCGTAGTGTATACTCACCACCGACTAAACCTACTGCGCACGCATCAAGTAAAAAGTCTGTTGATCACCCTACAAAAACTAGTCATCCCAACCATCATTCTGTTACGATTGCACGTAGTGTATACTCACCACCGACTAAACCTACTGCGCACGCATCAAGTAAAAAGTCTGTTGATCACCCTACAAAAACTAGTCATCCCAATCATCACTCTGTTACGATTGCGCGTAGTGTATACTCACCACCGACTAAACCTACTGCGCACGCATCGAGTAAAAAGTCTGTTGATCACCCTACAAAAACTAGTCATCCCAACCATCATTCTGTTACTACTGCGCGTAGTGTATACTCACCACCGACTAAACCTACTGCGCACGCATCGAGTAAAAAGTCTGTTGACCCCCCTACAAAAACTAGTCATCCCAACCATCATTCTGTTACGATTGCACGTAGTGTATACTCACCACCGACTAAACCTACTGCACACGCATCAAGTAAAAAGTCTGTTGATCACCCTACAAAAACTAGTCATCCCAACCATCATTCTGTTACGATTGCACGTAGTGTATACTCACCACCGACTAAACCTACTGCGCACGCATCGAGTAAAAAGTCTGTTGATCACCCTACAAAAACTAGTCATCCCGATCATCACTCTGTTACGATTGCGCGTAGTGTATACTCACCACCGACTAAACCTACTGCGCACGCATCAAGTAAAAAGTCTGTTGACCATCCTACAAAAACTAGTCATCCCAACCATCATTCTGTTACTACTGCGCACGCATCAAGTAAAAAGTCTGTTGACCATCCTACAAAAACTAGTCATCCCAATCATCATTCTGTTACGATTGCACGTAGTGTATACTCACCACCGACTAAACCTACTGCACACGCATCAAGTAAAAAGTCTGTTGATCACCCTACAAAAACTAGTCATCCCAACCATCATTCTGTTACTACTGCGCACGCATCAAGTAAAAAGTCTGTTGACCATCCTACAAAAACTAGTCATCCCAATCATCATTCTGTTACGATTGCACGTAGTGTATACTCACCACCGACTAAACCTACTGCACACGCATCGAGTAAAAAGTCTGTTGATCACCCTACAAAAACTAGTCATCCCAATCATCACTCTGTTACGATTGCACGTAGTGTATACTCACCACCGACTAAACCTACTGCACACGCATCAAGTAAAAAGTCTGTTGACCATCCTACAAAAACTAGTCATCCCAACCATCATTCTGTTACTACTGCGCACGCATCAAGTAAAAAGTCTGTTGATCACCCTACAAAAACTAGTCATCCCAATCATCATTCTGTTACGATTGCACGTAGTGTATACTCATCATCGACTAAACCTACTGCACACGTATCGAGTACAAAACACCGTTCTGAAACTACAAGTCAGTCATCGTTTGTACATTCATCTAGTTTACTAAACCCAAGTTCTTCAGTACAACACAAACCTACGACTTCTGAGAAATCGACACACTTTGAAACCAAAACTACAACTGGATCTGAAAACGTACTAAAAAGTAGTTCTTCAGCACCTGTTCATAGTCCTGCAGCGCCTTCATCGAACACACAGTCTGATAGTCAATTGCCGATTTCGAGTAGTACCAGCAGGGTGCATCCAACAGCACCATTTGTTACTCTTCCTTGGACATCAATCTACCCGACAAGTACCTTGGCACAAACCCCAACTGCCACGCCGGGTATTTTGAATGGTGCAGCAGACAAATCGGCCAAATCAGGAGCAGACACGATGGTTACATCCAAATGGACGGATTTCTTACCATTTGGAGCACTAATATTTTTAGCAGAATGGATATTCTAAAGTAATCAAAGCAAGAATGAATATTTCTAATCAAAGCAAGTTGCACCGACTATGGATTACTTGTATTGAAATAAATGGTCATTTTCCTAATAAACAAGTTTGAATCAATAAACCATAATTTTAAACAGGAAATATTATACGATCATCAAGATGGATGCCAAGATGGATGACAAGATGAATATCAAGATGAATATCAAGATGAATATCAAGATGGATGGTCACGTAATACTAATTTTTGGGACGAGACTCGAGTGTGAATATTCGGTTTCTGCAGAACAGTCTTGTTACAAGACTCAATTGGTGATAATCAAGACTCGAGTGTTTTGGTTCTTTGACATTCCGTTTTACGTGAATACAGCTGTGCAAGTAGATATTGATAACCACTATGAACCCTATTGGTCTGGCAGCAGCATGGGACACTCTTAGGCCTGGAGTCGACCGTATTCTTACCAAATGGGACGAGGGTATTAGTGCCAATGAATACATGGTGCTGTACACGTATGTATGCATGGATTGCTAGTTGGGTGTCTGGGATGGATCCGACTACTGATTCTAGTCAAGAGTCTGTCTGCACAAGGATGCCAGTCAAGCAGACTGCAGTCTGCTTGACTGACTGTTTTCTGTCTTGTAAAGACTGACCCTTGTGTGATGCACTCTTGCTATACTACATCTTGAGTCTTCGATCCCCTGTGTAGATGCTACCCATTTCATCCCAGTAGTATACTGGACTAGTGTGATTATGACTATTCTTGTTGGCATGAGTCGAATGTATTGTGTCCGCTTGTAATTATTCATCAACTAAAACCTTGATTTTTGAATTATTGGATTGTATCTGGATCGCTATGCTATCAATCTGTCTAGCGCTACTTATGATTATTGTACAAATACAAAAGGAATCTCAGGCATATCTGAGCAGCGTGCTGACCAAAAGGGTAATTCCTTGAGTTACTAGTTGTCCTGTAACGTGTTACTGTAGATCTAACTTTATTACTTTAGGTGCCAATTTGATTGGTGCCGATCTTTACTTGGAACTCAGACGTCATATTGAAACCCATCTTCAACAAACTACAGATCTTGCTGCTGATTTAATAGATGATGCCATTATCAACTATTACACTAAACACTGGACAAAATTCACCGTTTCTGTCACTACTTTGAATCATATTTTTGGTTATTTGAACCGTCATTGGGTCAAAAGGGAAATTGACGAAGGCCATAAAACCATTTATGAAATTTACATTGTAGGCCATGTATTTGAATTGATTTCACTCGCTTCTATTGAGCAACGATACCTATTTCAAATTAAACCCTCTTATACTTTGGGTCATACAAATGATTGTTCATCATGCGTTTGCTGATCCTATATACTTTTTTAATCCCTACCAACTAGCTTGCTCTTGTTTCATGGAGAGACCATATTTTCCAGCGTCTACAAGAAAAAGTGATAAAAGCTGCTCTCAAAACCATTACTAAGCAGCGCAATGGCGAAACTATTGACACTGGTTTATTAAAAACAATTGTAGAGAGTTGCGGTAAGTTTATTGTATCATGACTCATTCAAATCTCAACTGCATACCAACTATACGTTTACCATTGAATAGTTTCGATCGGACTTGATGAAAATGACTCTCGCAAGTCTACACTAGACATTTACAAAATTTACTTTGAGGCACCTTTTATCGATGCAACCGAGTCTTACTACAAGGCAGAAAGCGAGATGTTTACTACACAGAATCCAATCACAGAGTATATGAAAAAAGCCGAGATTCGTTTACAAGAAGAGGAAAAGCGTGTTGAAATGTATCTTCACGCCTCTACTCAAAAAACCCTGATTACTACTTGTGAAACAGTTCTCATAAAAAATCATACTGGACTTATTCAAGATGAATTCCAAGCTTTGCTGGACAACGATCGTGTCGATGATCTCAGTCGTATGTACAGTCTATTGCATCGTGTTCCCGAGGGTCTTGATCGCCTGCGTGTTATTTTTGAAGCTCATGTTCGCAAGCAAGGCCTTATGGCGATTGAAAAGGTTTCCGAGTCTGCCTCTGCTGCGGCAGCTTCTGGACCAGCAGGCAAAGGCGAAGAAGAGGAAGAGGAAGAAGGCGTGCCCAAAAAACGACCCAGTGTTAGGAAATCTGCCAATGATTCTACCGATGTCGATCCAAAACTCTATGTTGATTCCCTCTTGTCTGTTCATAAAAAATATGCTGATTTGGTTCAAGTTGCTTTCAGAGGAGAAGCTGGCTTTGTTGCTTCTTTGGATAAGGCCTGCCGCGAATTCACTAATCGAAATTTGGTCTGCAAGACAAGCTCTAGTAAAAGTCCTGAGCTTCTTGCTCGTTACTGTGATTCCCTTTTGCGAAAAAGCAACAAAATGGCGGAAGATACCGAGTTTGAAGAACTGCTGAGCAGTGTGGTATGTAACAAAAATAGTACTCGAAAGGAATTTAGTCTGATCCGTTCAATACCATTGAGTACTAACACCTATTTTAGATGACTGTGTTCAAGTATGTCGAAGACAAGGATGTGTTTCAAAAGTTTTACTCAAAGCATCTTGCCAAGCGATTGGTTAACGGAACATCATCCAGCGATGATGGTGAATTGCTGATGCTGACCAAGTTGAAAGATGCATGCGGTCACGAGTACACTAGTAAACTTCAGCGCATGTTTACTGATATGGGTGTTAGCAAAGACTTGGATGACGCTTTCAAAGAACAGATGCGCCGTAATCATGAATCAGAAGAATCACTTGATTTTGGTGCACTTGTGCTTAATACTGCCAGTTGGCCATTCCAACCTCCCAAATCTGGTCTCAATATTCCAGACGATGTATGTATTTTAGAAATGATTGATTTAAACCACATTTTGTACCATGACTCAACCGTTATTCTGTCTGATTAAACAGCTGCTTAAAAAATACGAGCGTTTTCAACGATTTTACCAAAGTAAGCATTCCGGTCGTAAGTTGACGTGGCTATTTCAGTTTTGTAAGGGTGAGCTCAAGACCAACTACACCCGCGGTTCAAAAACTGGCTACACATTCCAAGTATCTACCTACCAAATGGCCGTTCTTCTCCTATACAATACTGCCACATTGTACACACTTGATGAGCTGCTAGGCACAACTGGAGTGGTCAAGGATGTGTTACTTCCAACAGTGGGATTGCTCGTCAAAGCCAAGATTCTTCTTGTTCAAGGCGGTGCTCTTGGTGCTCCTTCTAGCCGATATGTTTTGAATGAGGATTTTAAAAGCAAAAAAGTCCGTATCAATGTTAATTTGCCAATCAAGACTGAACAAAAGGCCGAATCGGATGACACACATCGTACTATTGAGGAAGATCGGAAACTGCTCATACAGGTAAGAGTATTTGCTGTAACAATCAAGGATATGTAAACAAGACCATGCGTGAAATCAGATTTAATTCTGATTTATTTGCATATTACGATGGATACAGGCGGCGATTGTGCGTGTGATGAAGACACGAAAGACACTCAAGCATGTTACACTTGTAACTGAAGTCATTCAGCAACTACAAACCCGCTTCAAACCCCAAGTATCTGACATCAAAAAGTGCATTGATATTCTTCTTGAAAAAGAGTTTATTGAACGTGCTGATAACCAAAAGGATGTATTCAACTATCTTGCTTAAAATCAAAAGATTTATACTGATGTGACTGACGAGTGTTTGGTTGGGTCGCTTATTTGGACTGAATATATGGGTAACTTGAATGTATTTTGACACCTGTGCTGTTTTAGGTGCTGCTGATAAATGAATTTGGGTTTAATCTCAGCCAAGTTTTCATTGAGTTGAATACAAGATTATTGACATGATCCAGACACGATCAATATTTTAAAATAGCTTTTTCCATTTCTGTTCAAGCAGATCCCAATGGTCATATGATAAATGTATAGTTCTTATTTCAATGACGTAAACATGACAAGCTAGCGTCGTTTCATTTTTAAAAGTAAATACTCTCACAAGAGTAACAACATAGAGGCAATCTACTTTTAAAGAATTAAGGCTAATAAGTGATATTTATGCCTTGCTTCTGAGAATGGCGGCTCTCTTCTTGGTAAGCTTACGAGTGGCCGATGCAGGAACAGCTGCCTTTTCAACAGTCTTTTCCTCTTCAACAAGAGTGAGCTCGATATGAGAGGGATTGCTCATGTAGGCTAAAATACAATAAATTAAACAGGGTTAGAATTAAAAATACATGGATTGCATTAATAAAAATACAATTGATCTGAAACCACTTACGATTGATACGACCATGAGCACGGTAGGTTCGTCGACGCTGCTTAGGAGCCTGGTTAACCTGGATTTGACGAACAACCAAGTTTTCAATATTAAGTCCCTTGACCTCTGCGTTGGACTCGGCGTTCTTAAGCAGACCAAGAACAAACTCAATACTCTTGACGGGCCAACGAGCACGTTGAACGCCAAAAACCTTGGCTTGAGCAGTGCGGCCAATACCACCTGCAAACCGACGGAAAGGAATGGCTTCCTTGTGATTGGTCACATTCTTAAGGTAGGAAACGGCCTTGGTGAGCTTATAGCCCTTGATGGCAGCAGCAACTTCACGAGTGTTCTTGAAGTGAACACGGAGATAGGAGCCACGAGCCTTGACAGACTTTGCCGAAGTTTCCTGAAGGGCGTACCTATTTACGACGATAGATTCAAGCAAGATTGTAGTGGCAGTCATCAAGATCCATGACGCATTTGCAGTAACAAGAATTCCAGCAGTAAATAACGATTATAAAGTTGTAGCAGTAAACAAGTGCAATGATAAGATGTGGTGTTGAGATCAACAATCAGGTCAGTCGCAAGTGTTCACAGTCCAGTTTCATGATAAAATAAAGTGACAAAACGTTAGTTAAAGTGATCAACGCTATGCATCCAACTTTATCCATCTACAATGCATGGATTGCAAGACTATCTCATGTCATGGATGGTTTCTTCACGCCATGGATGGATGACGCTGTACACATGCATACAGAGAGACTTGCCTGGTCATTGTGGAATGCGTCGAGTGTGGTGGGAATGCAAGTTGACGAAATTGTCCTTAACAGAGTTTTGGGTGTTTGCAGTTGAAATTTGGCTAAAAATACTCACGTGACCAGTTGACCTGCAACTTGCCGAATCTTGGAAAGTATAATTCTGTCCATTCTCGTCACTCATGAGCCAGCCTAAGCCATTCTACGCACCGCTCGTTGGCTGGTATGTCCGTCTAAACACTCATTCTGTACAAACTGTTTGATTTTCTGTACAACCTCACGCTCAATGACTTGCTGTTCGTGACAATCATTCGGCTTATAAAGTGCTGATTCAAGTGTTATGTTGGAATAGGGAAAAAGAATGGACAGCTCCTCGTCCATTAGCTGATATTCAGCCTGCAGCAACTCTGGGTAGTCGGCCAGGAAATATATCAAAACCTCAGCCAAACCACTATAAAGTTTACAAATGGACTAAAGGTATACGCTGGAGTCAATCCTACTATAAATGATATTATCTCGCTTTCCAAGCTATACTGAACCTACTATCTGAATATTGATATCCAGCACCAAACAAGCCCAAGATTTCATTGTCTGATCCATCACTATTGGCAAATATTTCTCCAGTCTTAGGAGTGCCTGTTTCAACTCAAGCCAATGAACTTTCTTTGGTTCAAGCCAGTGTGGATACTCTGCCTTTACCAAAACAAATTTCTCCTATCAAGGCAGATCCAGTGATAGTACAAGGTTTATATGCAGACTCAGATATAGTATGTATTTGAATGATGCAACATGTGGTTTATGTAGTGTGGATCTACGTCTCATGCTGAATATGAATTGTGTTATCAGGTAATGAGCGATGTGCAACCAACAACTACCAAGTCGCCAGTATTGAATACTGGCACTCGTGAGAATATTCCTGAAGCTCCAATGCGATCTGCTTCTCCTACGCGTAGTCAAACTGATACTCCAACAGAATTCCCAGCAACAATCCATTCAGGTATTTCCAAAAAAGACTATTCTGCATCTCAGTCACCAGTTGCAGGACGTCCTGTTTCTCCTGTAAAACTTGCATCTTTAGAAAGGATTGGATCTCCTACAAGGCAACCTTTGCAAGCTCAATCTCCCTTGAGCAAACGTAGTCCTGAATCTTCTCAAATTATATCGGCTGAACAATCTCCATCTTCCGTCAAGCCACATCTTCCAGCAGCTCCAGTTCAATCAGAAGCACTTGTCAAACCACATTCAGCGGGAAACATGTCGCTACCTGTGCATATATCTTTAGAAAAACCTGCCTCTCCTGCCAAATCCGATATTCGTGCAGCATCTTCAGATGTACCCCAGACTACGACGTCGCCTTTTTCCAAACCTGCATTCCCTACTTTTAACGTGTCTACTGAACAGATGGCTACTCACTCGCATGTTCAAGCCCCTCACACTTTTTCATCCAACTCCAATTCTCCTGTAAAACCTGGTTCTCCTTTCAAACAAGTGTCCCCACAAAAAGATCATATTTCTGGAATTTCGGCTTCAAATCAACAAGCCGCATCACCACGTCAGACAGAACACGAGCCGTCATCTTTGACAAAACCAACTGGTTCAAACAACCAAGTCCCTTTTTAAACCATTTAACAGGACACACCAAGTCAGAAATAAACGTCAATTTTGAATTGAAATCATCTGTTTATTGTCTAGCTGAGACTAGTATAATATTATGCATAGTGTTTATTTTTACCTACAAGCCCTCGTGCTGCAGGAATAACCGTGCCTATACTTGAATTGGCTTCAGAGTGCAGCCGTGCTGAACTATCATTTTCAAATGTATTGTTGCCAATCTGATTAGAACTGCTTATACTGCGATCTCCTGCCCTTCCAAATAAAAATCCACCAGATTGACTACTGTCTGAGGCCACCAATCCATTTGGTTCATTAGCATTACTATTCTTTTTGCTTTTTGATGGTGAAGTGTTTTTCGATTTGCTTCCCCCGCTTATATTGGCACTGCTTGCACCATAAGACTGCATGGTCCGCTTATTATCCTTTTTTTTGAGTCCTAAGGTGTCATAAGTAAGAAATAGATCTGGAAATACACACATTGGATCCCATAATGCATCATTTCCATCATTAACAGCATGATCTCGATGTAGCGTTGGATGTCCGCCTTGGATTAGTCCAGATACCAGACTTTTTTTCCCACGAATATTGTTTCCAGCATGTGCAATATGCGCTATGCGCCACTTTTCTGCAGCTTCATCATACTCTGCACAGTCTTCAATGATAGTCTGCTCTTCAACAGGCACAAACCCACCAATCACTAGGTTTCTTAATTTCAACTCTCGCGTTAATTCTCGAATAGTTTCTAGCAAATCCTCTCGCTCACGTTGGTGCTCTTCTTGAACGTCCTTGAGTTCGGATTTTTGTTGCTGCATCATGTTCCACAGTTTCTTGAGTTTACGAGTTTTAGAAACTGCCTCTTCCTGCAAATTGCTAAACTCTTCTTCAATTTGAAGATTCATTTCATCACGATCCAGTAGCTCGCGTTGTAACTCGCGCTGCATTCTTGCGCGGTCTTCCAATTCTTGAGCTTGCTTAGCCAGCATATTTTGTTGCTGTTCATGCTGATCAAGAATATTCACACCACCAACCAGGAGCTTCTGTTCCAACTGAGCAAGTTTATTCGCAAGTTCGTGTCGGGCCGATCGTTCGTTTTCAAGTTCAGCGAGTCTTGACTCGGCTTCTGCCAACAGTCTGTTTCGTTCAGACTCTTCCATGCCTGTTGTTGCTAAAATCGCCTGTTTTTCTTTTTCAACCTGATCTTTCATAGATTGGAGTTCGGTTTCAGATATACCTACACTAGTGGGCTGTCGCTGCAATGTTGAATGCACATCACTGCCTACTTCTGTTGCTGCTGAGAAAGAAGAGTCCTTTTTTGGTGATCGGATTTTGGATATATTGAGCCCTTTTTGTGAGGAATGTAATGTACTTTCTCCGCCTGCACTATTGGCTTCAAACACAGGTGACGTGGTTGAAGTACGTCGAATGTTTTCGTCGTCGTCATTTACTTCGATTTCTTCAACCTCCTCAATCTCTTCAATTTCCTCGACTTCGTGTACAATTTCTCCAGCATCTCCACCTTCGCTCTCTAGCATTTTTTTAAGTCGCTTAATTTCTTCCTGAAATTCTCTTAGCATTGCATCCTATAAATATCAATTAAACAGTATGATTAAACAATACTATTTTTTTAATCCACTATTTTCTATTGACTGAATCATCAAAAACCAATATTTTAAAAGCTTACCTTTGGATCTTCGTTAACCTTGGGTTTATTCTTGATATGTTTTGCACGATTAGCATAGCGAAGTGTACTCAGAGTTTCATCGTAGTTGTAGTTGGCAGGACTTATAGTAGCAACCATGAGTGTTTTGGCATTTCCACCCAGCGAGTCCTGCAATAATCTTGTCAATTTTGAGTCACGATATGGAATATGCGAGCTTTTACCATCCACCAAGGCTGAAATAACATTTCCCAAAGCCGACAAGGACAGATTGATTTTAGTGGCTTCTTTGAGTCTGTCCCCAGTTGCGCCTGTTTTACTTTGTCTCTCTGATCCAGCAAGATCAACCAGATGCAGTTTTCCAGCTCGTAATTTTTCTTCGCCATCTTCGCCAATCTCTGCCGCCTCGACCGTGATGGAAAAAATAGAGTGAGATCGACTGGAAGTGGCATTCATTTCCGTAAACCCTACTGATCGGTTCTTATTGCCCACAGACATAAGTTGATCCATTTCATCCACATCCTTGATCACAAATGTGCTCAAGTCTTTTACATATACTCCTGTGTCAGGTCGTTCTTTGATATCAAGTTTTTTGCCTTTGGGATTAAGAAGATCACGAATTTCTTCATTGTAGATTTCAAGGTACGATGCACGTACAAGAAACTGCGTTGTTGATCCTGCATGCTTTATGTATGAAAATATTTGCTCAAATGCGTTTGGAATGATTCCGCGAAGCTCGGGTATAGATCGAATTCCTTCCATGGAAAACGTCTTGAATTGCAGCATCACAAGTCAGTATAGATTCACTTGGTTTAACGTGGCAATGTTTCGAGTTCATTTTGGCATGCATCAACTATTCAACATATCAACATGTACCTTTCCAGTACCAGTTTGACCATAGGCAAACACAGTACCATTGTATCCTTCCAACACACAGTCGACAATATGTCGTGCTGTTTTATTATACACTTCGATTTGCTCAGAAGTGATGTCAAATACCGAGTCAAATGTAAATAGTTTGGGAGGATCGCTATTGGACCGTGGATCAACTATGGTCACAGACGCAGCTGCCTTGTCTATTTGAGCAATGTTGGTATGACCTGCTGCCGACTCTTTTTCACTGAAAGGCCTACATCTAAGGACGACTTTGATAGATTCACGTTCTGAAGACTATGAGGATGTGGTGTTTAAATAAAATTCAAGGTCAAGTCGCTGGATGCATGCTCGGGTACTCAGTTCATAGTGATTATTACCTCCATATGTGTAAACAGTACTGATAAGGGAATGTTGGCTTGTCACAATTCAACGTTTAGTAAAAGTCGATATTCAATTCAAAACCATCAAACACGCTAATTATAGGCGGAGCTTAAAATGTAAATATGCGTCACCATTTCTTTAGCTCGTACCCAATAGCTAATTAAAGTGTCAATGCAATGCGATTAAGTATAGTTTATTTATTTCTTTCCAAAAGCCCCAGCCTTTCTCTCTCTTGCCTCGATAGCGTCTAGCATAGCCAATGCAGATGAAATAGAAGAGGTGGATTGTGGACGAGGTCTTCTCGGTCTTTGGCTGATGCTGTCAATGTTAGAAGAACCATTTTTAAGCATTCTAGCCAAGGCCAAACTATCGGAAGCTTTTAAGCCGGACATGGATCGACGAAGCTCCCTGACCATTTCTGGAGTGAATGGAGCTGTTTTACTCTTGTCGTTAGTTTCATGTTCCGATAGATTTGGAGTGGAGGCAGACAGAGTCATGTTTAGTCTGGAGCAGCGAGCAGTGATGGGAAATTCAATATAATCATCAATAGGGGATTCTTCTTGACTCTGGTGCTCGTGCAGATCGGGCAGCGTCGACATGGCTACTTGGATTTGAGCAGTACGGTACACACCTTTGGCGTGTTCTGAAAAAGACAGTCTTTGTGTGTTTGACATATCTGAACGAACCAAATTTCCATCGACAGTGTTAATGGTTTGTGGCGATAGACTCTTGGATATAGGCTTAGTCGCAAACTCGGGAGTTTTTGATCTTTTAGAAGAGCAAGCGGGAGCCGAGTTCGTTCGATTAAGAACCGGTGTGGGTGGTAATGCTGCAGTAAAGTATTTTTCTCGAGAAATGACGCTTTTTAGTGCATGCAGCCATACGAGCATGTCTGCCTTGTCCTTGCATTGCAGATACCACATTTCATCTTGATTATCTCCACTCGATCCTGCTCCCTTGATATGAAGCACAAACTTTTCAGATGGGCTACCAACTTCTATTGGAACTACTGCCGAGGTAACAGTTAGATGAAGGTATTCGAGCAAAGGCTCAGTAGCATCCTGCGATTGAAATGCGTGCAAATACTCTGAAGAAAGGATAAAATAAAGCTGACTTTTGGAAATCTCGTGTGATGAGCCGAGTTTGTGTAGATACCCAGATAAAATTCGTTCTCTCTTTGAAATCGATGCAACAGTTTCCTTGCAGATGAGCTCGGGAGTCAACTTGACAAATGCTAGCTGATCGTTGCTACAGTCAAATGGAAGACCCTCAAAATGAAAAGATGGTTGATGCTCGTCAAAGTTGCATATGCTAGACTTGTAAAGTGCTTGCAAAACATCATCAACAGCCAGCGAAGTGGGGCGGCTTTTGACTTTTCCTTCTTGCAGTTTGATTTCGGTATGCAATGACAACGAGTCTTTTGACTGATTTTTGGATAGGCCGTCCATCAAGGAGGTACTGAAATTGGGATCTATGTAGTCCAGGTCACTATATACCGGCGAAAAGTTACTGCATTCGCTGGTACCAGTTGGTATAGTTTGTCTAGCAAGACCAATGTCAAGATGTAGCTGGTTCTCATTGCCCTCATCCAGTATCTCAGTAGAATCCACGCTTTCACCAACGGCAGTAGCAATGGAATTTGAGGATCCAGAGTGCTTTTTAAAATGATGCTCGTTTAAACCTGTAGATTCAGATGAACGATGAAAATGATCTAGCATCATACGCCGAGCGCCGTCCTGTTGCGGATCCGAGGCAATCGAGTCCAAAGAGTTGGTTGAGCCACCGATTTGTTGAAGATAGGCCAGCAATTCAGGATTTTCCATAAGACCAAGGCTCATATGACGGTCAGAATCCAGAGTTTGATCGCTCGATTGCTGTGCAAAACGAGATTTTGTAGGAAACGAAAGGCGAGATGCAGAATCCGACCAACTGTATCTAGATCGTGAGTCGCAGGGTACGGAACCCATCGAAAATGAGCCGCTTTCAGTTTCAGGAGTTTCCGTCAAATGTCGGTTATTTTCGAGCACCTGCTGGCTATGTTTAAGGGAGCTCGATTTACCCAGCTTTCGACGCATATATTTTAGCCCCTTTATAAATGTAAACAAGTTTTTATGAGAATTCGACTCGGTAGCTGACAAATTGTCAGTTGTGCTTGATATGGACATCGATTTTCTGCTTGTTGATATTGTTGGATTCACCCGTGTATCACCTGAGCAAACACTTTCAACAGAAGCGGTATTCAAAGATCCCCGATTCTTTAGCTTTTCATATTCAATTATAGGTAATACAAGGGGACGATTTGCAGAAGCTGGTGAGTGAGAATCGGCATTTGTCAAGCCAAATCCGTTAAAGGGAAACGTGTTATCACGAGCAGATCCCAATGTATTGATTGACCAAAGAGCATTACCTCGACCGATACTAGAGTCAATGTTGACATCTCGAGCAACATTACTAGTATAAGTTGGAGTATTTGGAGTCCTATTTGTTTTTCTGGGTGATGTATCGGTATGTTCTTTTAAACCGATATTAAGCAACTTCAAGACTTTAGCCTGTTTTTTCGATTTCTTTTCCGACTGTTCTGTGGTTGCTAGTTTTGATTTGCAAAGATTGGAATTTAAAGAATCAGTCGCATCTGTTTTACAATCGAGACTCAAGGGGCGAGAAAGCTCGATTGACGATTTAGCATATTGACGATAGATTTGTTTAGTAGTATCTGGATGTGGATTGATGTTGTCTAGAGTAGGACAGAGCTCCAAAGTATTGCGTGTGTTTTTTCGATAATCCTGGCTATTATGGCTACTTTGTGAAAGTTTGGGCTGCAAAGATGGTGAGCCAGTACTTGCTGATGCAAGCGGTTCTGGGGACTGGTCAACAAATTCAGGGGTTAAAGAAGTCAAGGCAAGATTTTTATCAATCCCTAGCATGCGATGAGCCTTGGAGATCAACTTTGAAGCAGTACTCATTGTGTGCGTATCAGAATCAGCTGTAGTACCAAGTGATAGATCGGATTCGGACCCACCACGTTTTAATTGTATCTGAGAACGGAAAAAGACAGGCTTGTGTTGAAGTACACGGGATTGACGATTCTGTATTAGGTATTGGTGGTTTTGAAGAAACACTGGATCATCCAACATCTCTTGATGACGCTGAAGCTGCTGCTGCTGTTGTACATGGGGGAGCAACAGAATTGAATCAAGCTCTGATTCGTATTCCTGATACAACTCTTGGTATTCTTTTACGTGTTGCTGTTGAATAATGATATGATGAGGAAGTCCTTCAACCTTTGCCTCATGTGGTGTGGATGGGTCTTCAAGAATGGCATACATGGGATGCATACTTTCATCAAGTACAGGGTATGGGTCAGGATCTGAATTCAAAAGTGTAATATTGCTGTCGCTGCGATCAATATGTGCTTTACTAGAATTAGGATAGTCTAGTGTGTTAAGCTGGTCACTGGACGAAGACGATGGAACCCGAGGCAATGTGGGCAGTTTTGGAAACATAAACCCCGAGTGAGGTTTGTGAGCAGTCGAGGCCATGTAGACTAAACCGACTGGAGTTTGTGCAGGCATGTATAAACAGGATTAAATGCAGGTTAGTAATTGACCAACAATGGACAATAGGATGGGTGTCGACTGTTTAAACTGATAAAGCAACTTGAATAAATAACAAGCGATAGACAAGGGCGAGGCAGCGCCAAATCAAAGTGGTTGTATTTGATTCAGCGAAATTGAAAAGCGACAATAGTTAAAGATGGGAATAAAGGGATGTTAATATAAATATTAACTGCAAAGGGATTTTCAATCCCTGATTGACTCCACCGAGATGCTTTCAATGTTCGTCAATCTTGATGGATGGTATGAACAGCCCAAAAAGCTTAGGGAAACTGAGGGGGTGGCACAGTCAACCCAACGCGTTTAGTGGCAACCTCGATTCGATAATTGCAATGAAAAGGCAATCCAATAAAAGCGTAATAAATTGACTGAACGGACAAGCCGTCATTGAAATTGTCGACAAATTCAGTATAAAAACCAAGACATACCATTTGCTTTGTCAAGGGCGATCTCTCCCTTATCGCTGTTGCTGTCAGATGGGACCTTGTCTTTGCAAGCATGACCGCTGTCTCGACTGTTTGGATTCTTGGCGTCTAGAGTCGAGCTTTCAGAGCAACTCAATGCTGAACTGGACGCCATGGCGGATACAGAGTCTTGAATGTACAGCGTCGGTATAGTTTTAGATTCCATGACCGTAGAGTCAGCACATGAACCCATCACATTCTCTTGGTAATCGTTATCAACAATGCAATCTCCAGACTGTTCTTGAACATTGCCGTTGAGCACATTCAGAGCGAGTCCATGTGTCTGCGGCATTGATGAATCAGCTTCCACTTTGAGCAAATGCGACGGCGTTTCAAACTGTGCATCTGTTGTTTGGTTTAGTGTCGGCATTGTTGTTGCATTTTCCGAGGATTTGAAGATCGAGCTTGAATCTATCATGGTTAAGCCACTTGTAGGTTCATCACCAACCTCTTTGTATATCTTCCCAAATGTACACACACGAGAGAGCTGGGGTTCTACGGATAAATCCACCTGATAAAGAGTTGGTGTTAGAGATGGAGAGGATGCTACGCATGTGGATAGTGCTTCGTCTACATATTGGGCTGAAGGATGATCAGATAAAGACTTTTGAGCAGAGTATACGGTTTCAGAGGAAGGCGAATCTAGCGTGGGTGGATACGAAAGTGGTTGTGATGTGACCGTGTCTGTTGTATTTATGGATGCAGGCATGATTGTTGGATTGTCTGTAATGGGTGTAAAGCATGTTTTGGCAACAAAAGTTGAAGGCTGATTATGCTCAGCTACATTGGATAGTAGGGAGGGAGTTGCTGAAACGGGAGAGTTTCTTGCATTACACAGTCGAGGTCGAGGTATTGCGGTCTGCATGCATTGCTCTTTCTGAAGACGTTGAAAATAGGCAATTTGCTTACTGACAGTTGTAGGTTGTTTGATTTTTTCCGTGGAAATCTCTTGATTATCTGACAATGTGGTCTGTCCAATTGGAGATTCTACTGGTGTGTCATTCTTTACAACGTCAGCCATGTCTTTGATTTTTTGATTTGTAACCTCCAATTCCATGTTGCTATGGAGATAATCTGATTGTCGAATGCCAGCGTTATAGTCGGTAATTAAAGAAGCTCCATCCTTCAAGTCCAGCATATCACTATATAATATCTTTTTGAATAGACTAGTCTCGACCTTCTTTTGTTGCAATACAGGAGAAAGGCTTGGCTGTATTGATTCAAGTGGCTTTAGTTCAAGTTTATGCATCTGAAAAACTGCCACTCGCCCTTTTATCAATGTCAGGCTTGTACTATTGTTATGCTTTCCTGGAATGTCCTTGTCTTGCATATAGAATGCAAACTATGATTTCTCTCAAGTTGACAACTTTATATCTTGATCTAATGTGCTTTGATTCAACTATTGCATACGTGGTAGTCCACAATATCAAGCAACTAAGCAAACACTTGTAGTCATTACAATTGATTTGCACGGGTATATTTCACATGCTACCATTTACTACATTCCAAGGTATGTGCTTTGTAGATGAACTCGATTGCAAGATACTAGAGTTGAAGTTTCAGTCTGCCATACTGGTAGTATGGTCATCCCTATCAAACACCACAGTATATCCCAAATTAACCTCGAATAGTGGGTACTTTTGAATAAAAATACAATGTTTTGAAGCAAATCCAGTGATTACAATATTGAAAAAAGTGAATTTATTTACCATGGCATTCAAAGGTTTCCCAGTAGCCAGTTTGTTGATATGCTAGCTATCAGAAAACATACTGAGCTAATCGCTGCAGCTTTGGCTTGGCCATGAATTTTCAAGATACGACCAACAAACCATCCTTCAGTCAAATCAGCACTTGACCACACTGGTCCAAACCGGTCAGGAAATGCAGTCAACACCAGTGGATTAACAACATGGAATGATCCAGAGATCCCTCCAATCGCGTCTCCATCCATCAGGCATGGACGTGCTGGAGTGTTATCACTGCTCGAGTTTCCAGTACTGGGTGAAACCAATCCTTCTTTTCCATCACCAATCAACTTGATCCGATACTCTCCGTCATTCAAAGGCTTGACCAACACTTGCACTGCTCGGGTATCCGCATCCACCGTGATGTTATCAGCCAGAATAATGGGGTACATGCTGGCTCCCGAAGCTGGCATCTGTTGTAGTTTGATTGTGAGTTGTGCTGGAAAGTGTTTGACTTGAGGTGTGAAAGAGTACGAGATGGTTGTACGTTGACCTACTACAAGAATTGAGGACTGGTTTGGAGAATGCACAATAAATGTTCCAATCGAAGTTGCTGGTGGACAAGGCTGTTGTGCTCTTGTTTGAAGGCTAAACCAGGATGAATAGGCTATAAAAATGAGAAATCTAATTAGATTCGACACATGTATAGATCCCATCTGCTAAATAATAATGCAAACTTGAGATATTTCTTGTAGGGTTGATCCTGTGTTTTGCTAGTCTTTCAATATATACCAATAAGTACAGGTGTATGAGTCCCACCTTGGTAGTTTATCCAGAGCGTGTATTTATCAAACCAAAGTTTAAGCTTTTTGAATATGAATCCCATTCATGTGTGATGTATGAATAGTTTGATAGTGTGTGGGACTTTTAAAAGGCAAATTCAACCACATTACTGAATGGATTGGCATGTGAGAAAAGTGGATGGTATATTCATGTCAGGGTATTTACAACAGTGACAATTGCATTCCAAAGCACTGTTGTTGATACCAATACTGTCTCGCTACAAACAAATACTTTTTCAAACCCAGCCAACTCAGATTTAATGGATATATGCTGATTTCATTCAATTGTTTTATTCAACACCAACTCGAAAACTCGAATGGGATAAAAAGACTAGATCAAAAATCGAGGTCGAAAAAAAATTGTGATGAAACAAAATTGCAAAAAGGAGGGTATCTAGCTGTGGATTGAAAATCAAAAAGCTTGCAAAAGCCTCGAGTTGTATCCATACACCTGACCGCACACAAAAAGCATCTAAGCAGGGGGAATAAAAAGGTAAACAACCCAGTGGAGATATAGGGGCTGCCATTCCAGAATTGGTAGATTCGCATTTCCTAGCCAATGCATATTCAGAAAGAATAGAGGCAAAAAAATGAAGCCTCAAACCATGAGGAAGTATCGATTGTACAAAGTGATGAAGAGTGTAAAGTTTGGGGTAGCATTGACAGATAATACCTGCACCTAGAGATGCATAATAGCAGTAAAAAATACAGGCATGTCATGGAACCATCCAGAAACCCCAGCAATCTATCACTGGAAAATGTATAATTATAATAAGTTGGAAAATATCCAAGAGTAACGCGGCAAACTGAAGAAGGTTCAACAGCCTTGCCAATTAAAGAATCAAAAAGTCCATGTTTACTTTGAATGAGCGCCCTCATTGTCAATATGGACGAGACCATCTCGTTTAGAAGCAGATCTTTGGGTTCGTTTTTTAAGCTTGGATTCTTCCATCATAATATCTGCGTCAGAAGGCAACAGCATGGATCGGAAATAAAGGCCGATTACATCAGGCAAGTTGCAGAGGGCAGGCATGAGTAAACTTAAAAGGTAATAGGCAGGTAGAGCATGTGTAATGATTGCTGTTTCAAAATCAGAATAGAAAAATGACTCGAGCAGTGTAACAATAAACATGACACTAATATTGAGCCCCATGGAAAAGACAATGGTAAACCAGATTGGCCACACCCAGTGCCGTGTCATGACTGCCAGCTTAACCAGTACGCTAATCAACAGTGGCGTACTAAACAAATAGCATTGTACCCAGTATCCAGTGGATTTTCCATTTATGTCTACTGCTCCCTCAAAGTTTGTCAAATAGGCTGATCCAAAAATAAAGACCGAGTGGAGCAAAGCGGTAAAAAACCAAGAGAATATTTTGTAAGCGTTCCAATACATGCCTTTGCGAACCTCACGATAGAGCTGTGGATGTTTTTCAATCTGGTCTTCGTCCACATCACACTCGTATATGGCATATGCGAGGGGAGGAAGTGATGTGAATACAACATTGAAGCTGATGAAAAAAACTTCCTCCATCACAACTTGTGCAGACCACGCATTAAAAAACCCAAACCACCATTGTACAGTGATGAATGCAATATTCTTGTAAAATGAATAAAAGATCAGGTTCGCCATTCGAAGGTAGTTGTAACGCCCGTGAACAGACAATAGTCGCTCTAAAAATCTAAACTCGCCAAATGCAAAGTCGGCTGCTCGAACTGCTTGTGTGCCTTCTTTGCCCATGATTCCTACACCAACATGAGCTGCTTGAATCATTGAAACATCGTTGGCACCATCGCCAATTGCAAGTGTAACTGCAGACTTTAGATTGGATCTGACAAGTCGCACAACCATTGCTTTTTGGAGCGGAGTGACTCGAGTACAAATCACAGAACGGCATTTTGTTCCAATTTGCAATAGCTTTTGTTTGTGAGGACCAGCCAATGCATGCGTAAGTACATCGCCGTTGATGACAAGAGCATAGGTTTTTTCAGGTGCCTCGTGCATTTCCTTGACATACTTGTCCATTTCCAGCTCTGCCTCACGAGAGCTTGATGCAGTAAGAACAATGAGTCTCATGCTGGTATTGATAAGACGCGACGACATGCCAATATTGATAGCAGTCTCTTGCTTATCACCCGTCAAAAGCCAAAGTTTAATTCCTGCCTTGAGCAAATACTCTATGGTTTCTGGAACCTGATCTTGTAATCGATCCTCAATCGCAGTGCATCCCAGCAAGCAAAGATCACGCTCAACTTGGTCACAGGCCGCCTCAATCATCTCTTCACGATTTTGCAAAGATCGCTCGGCAATTTGGTACTCCACTAAAAAAGAATCGTACTCTTCTTGAGACATTATTTTTGAAGTAATGACAAGAGTTCGCAATCCAATATTGGAAAAGCCATCCAAAGCCTGTTGTGCATTGTGCAAAAGCAAGGTAGGATTTTTATCCTTGTCGGCTGAAAGACGTGAAAAAATGATATTATCTGCACCTTTACAATGCAACTCAATGCCTCTTTCAGTGCGAATAATAATAGACATGCGCTTGCGTGCAGAATTGAACTCTAAAACATTGAGAATCTCTATGGTTTTTTCTTGACCAAGAATCTCTAATTTCATGTGTGCCTTGGTGCGTGTAAGCAGTTTAACTCCATTATTTCTGGCCGTGATTAAAAGAGCAGTTTCATCGGGAGACTGGCTCTCATAGATCATTTCACCTGTGTGTTCATCTACTGCCGGAATGACACCATGACAAACACCCAAAGAAAATGCAAATCTAAGCATCATGTCACGAGTTGTGTGGGAATAGTTGTTGTGGTCATTGATGGCTCGCAGCAATACGCCAAGCTCGGCCATTTCATCAAGAATGACATTATCACACCACCACTGAGCCATCCGCATTGAATTTTGAGTAAGCGTGCCGGTTTTATCCGAGAAAATGTACTCGATACAACCAAGATCTTCGTTCAAATTACTGTTGTTGGTTTTCATGGGAATCTTGACTATTGATCCATCTCGCTCTACATATTCGTACGTCATTTTGGGATCTTTGGTCATATAGTGTGCTTGAGCAAGACGTGTCAATTCCAGTGTAACAAAAAGTGAAATTGGAATGACATATGTGTATAGAGAGAAAAAACCAATTGTTGTACCAATAAGATGCTATAATACATGAAAAATATAGTAATGCAGAATTAGCCATACTATAGTTTTAAAAAGTACATATTTGCTTTAAATTCTAAAACATACCGTGGTGGTTCCGACATTTCTAGGACCAATATACCATTCGGCAGCATAATCTGCATCCGTAAGCTTTGTTATCGCCTCCTTGTTAACTCCCCACAAAAAATGCCAATAGTCGAACAAAACACTCGTAACAAGCAAAAAGGCGTTGAAGATAAAGGCACAGACAATCAACCAATTAAGACGGGCCTCTAGCGTTGATGATTTAAGACCAGTGTTTTTTAGATTTTGGATAATCTTTGTGTTTTTTCCAGTGTAGATAACAATTACAATAGCATGCTCAGTGTTTCTCAATACGGCTCCGCGAAGAATCAAATTATTCATGGTTAAAGGCACAATCTTTTCACCAATATTTGGGATCTGGACAGTAATACGGCCCTCAAATGACATCAAATTGGCATTTGGATGCTCGCAGTGAATGACTCCAGAGAGATTTGTAGCAGTATTTGATGTTTGGAAATGACACAAATCATTGGTTGCTGTGCGACGCTTCAAGTTTGTTTCGCCATCAAGTTCGGCTGTATCGACAAACCCAGTTCCATCTTCATACGAAGTCGACAAAATCATTGCGTCTACAGGAGATTTTTCGCCCTTGGTCATATATAACAAATCACCCGGTTGGATATTCATGCTGAGAATTTCTACAATTTTACCACCGCGAATAACACGGAATACAATATTATTTGCAGCTCTGTCGGCAAGGTATCGATTGAAATCCTCAATGCCATCCTTGGCGGCAGAAAAAGCCAACACGACTGCCAGTGGCATGATTTGAGATATATAAGAAAGACTTGAATATCCGCCAATGACAGAAAGAGCCCCTAGTAAAAAATATATATTGTAGAACCGACGAAACTATAAAATGATTAAAATGCAAGTTAGTTATCAATTTGGACCAAGTGACTAGGTAAAGCTGCAAGATAGATTATGGAATGCATTGCATAATTTGAGATATCATGAGGGCTTGGGTAGACCCAATGACCATACGCGGAAAATAATAGCGCTATAGCAATGCATCGAGGGAAAATTTCTCGAAATACAAGATGGCTCAATTACGACATAGAGATCAAGCAAAATCAGTTGGTATAGTACCTGAAATAGTAAATTCATAGGAAGAAAGGACAGAACAGTGTATTTTGTTGTTCTAATGTAGTTGGTATGGGCATTTTTTTTGACGACTGCTGGAAAAGGGACTTCGAATGGCGGCCGGGTGAAGACTCCTTTTACTACTGCCTGCTGTAATGATTTCCTACGTGCCTGCATAGCTTCCTCCCGCATTGAATGCTTAGAAGGCCGACCAACTTGTTCAGGACTTGTAGCATCGGTTAAAGAGTGTGTATTATAATTAGAATTACTGGGTTGAATATGGATGGGAGAGGTTGTATGGGGTTCAGATGAAGGGTGATGAATGGCAGGAGGTCCTGGAGCGTGCTGAAGTGTTGAGGCCTCCATGATATTATTAGAAATGTGTGATTCTGATGGTAAACTATTTGGCTGTGATAAAGCCATGACTGATACTGATGAAGTGAATGGTGGTTCCTGATACTGCAATTGGTTTGAATGTGGTGATGGTTCAACCGACGAGGTGTTTTTGGTAGATAAAGGCAGATTACCAGAGACCAGCAGCTCAGAAGCAGTAGATACGATGGTAAGGTGCTTGTTTATATTGTTTAACGAGGATAAGGTAGAGGTATGCTGAGACTCGACAGAGTTTGGGATGGTTCCTGAAGGAGTGTTAGTCGGTGGAATGTTTGTAGTAGTTGGTAGCTTTCGCTGATAGTCGCAATTGAATAGAATAGCTTTGAAAAGTCGACCAGAAAAGTGGCGGATAACAAATCCCGGCCGATACTTGCAGCTAGGAGAGCAAGATACGGGTAACTCGGTAGATGACCAGTTCTACGGTTTGAACAGGTCGGTTGTCTTTATCCTATGGCAAGAGTGGGGCTGTTGCAATAGGTCTTAGTTTATTGAAAGGGTTACAACCTAGTTGCAGCAATCAATTATCAGGGTGGCTGCTAGATTTAAAGGTGTTGATGACCTTGTTTAATAGTGAAAAGGACTATCAATAAAATAGAAATGCACTATCTATCACTATAGACTACTTGTAGTCGAATGGTTAAGGTAACAACAGGTCCAACTGTGATTGGGAATAACTGGCAGAACCCAATGGCTTGTAACTGGATTGCTTGTGTCTGCAGGTTTAACGTGTCGTGTGGCGATTACTGTTTGTGACAGTTGCTGGTATTTTTGAAGATTGTAACCTGTTACAGCTATTAAGGGTCGTATAACGTTGATGCTTGGCAACGTCCTAGAATGGATAGGATTGGCTAGTATTGAATATCTGTCAACTCGAGTAATCCGAGTCAGTTAATATACTTTGAATGTGTTGTACGCTTTGTAGTATTGAGCTAGAGCGTGTTCTAAATGTTTTGGTACCACTTCCACTTGTAAATAGCAATGCTTGATTGGCTTGTAAACAACTATCAATAATCTTCCACGGTGGAAGAAATGATTGGCTCAATATTGCAGCCTTGTGTTTTTGATTTCACAACCGTATTCACGTAGAACGATTCTCTTGTATTGGTCTTGTAGTCTTATTTTGGAATAAGCAATGTTGAATGCTCGCTGTTTTCCTACTACAGATTGTCTGTTTTGATGGACATTCTCGACTCTTTCAAACACTGCAACCGTTATATGATACACACAAACTATAGGTTTGAACTGGAATGGTTCCTTTCTGGCATAATCATACATTATACACCAGATCCATTCATTGAAATCCAGATATTAGATTCAACTGTTGCCAAACTACTTTGTTGTATCTTAAAAACTCAAACATGTTCTGGTTCAAAAACAATGATTGCATGTTCCAAGAATATGGCTGTAATTGTAAATATCACCATCTCATGCTATGTTAATTAGTCAATGACTCGAAACTGTGTTTTGAAGTCCAGAACAGTACTAAACTATCAGTTTACAGAGATTCCGATATTCTCTGTTATGCAGAATTGACGATACACTCTGCTTAGATGTGACCAGATGCCAAAAGTCAACTTTATCAAGGACTTTAAAACCATCCTTTTTGAAAAGCTATTCATGTAATTATAGTTAATGAAATAGAGATAGATACCATCTCGGCTTAAAATCTTAAACTTTAATATAGAATTAGCCTGTATCTATGTTTCTTGAAAGCATATATAGGTGCTATGCAGCAAGAGTGGTATGAGGATACTATTGAATACATCCTGAAAAGTTGCCGTTGAGAAATGAGCAGGAATGAGCCACTTGGCAAGAAATATTGTAGATCGTCACAACCAATGGCCTGGTGTATACAGAGTCAACCAAGCATCCATACATGCATTCGTTAAGATTGAATGGTAAATGGTTAATCAGAATTCATCGTCAGCAAACAAGTCTTCTTCAGGATAGTCTCCAACAACAATTTTGTCCGGACGCAAGAAAGCACCATGTCCAGGCTTGGCTGAAAAGTAAGCGACTCCTTTTACTCTACACAAGACATCAATAAACATGCTTAAAATATAATCATGGCACCCTTTACAAATAGATGCATTCACTTACGATCCATCATGCTTTCCAACTGGCTCATCGTATTCAACGCCAACCCAGTATCCAGGTTTAAACTCTCCTTGTCCAACAAATCGAACAACACCTCGCTTCTGGATACTACTGCTGTCATCGGATTTAACCTGAAACCGGTCACCAACGTGAATTTGTGATGCCTCCTGCTGATATTCCTCAGCAGCAAGCTGAGCTGCAGCTGACAGCATACTTTCATCAGATTTTGCATCCGAGAATCGCCCCATCTTGTTTCTCCGTTTAAAATCCCGAACAGTACCTATTTCACCAAAAAAATATATAAATCAAAGTTAGCGGAAAAGTAAACTGCATCCAAGTGCCCAATCCTCTCTGCGGCAGCATCGTATAAAAATAAGCGAGGTTTATTTTCAAAGCTACCTCGCATAGTGTCGTATTTGTCATCTGCCAACTCTAGTTTTGTTACTTTAGACAGATCGACATAGTCGTTCTGTTTATATGGACTGCGGTCAATAACATCTAACCGCATATAGTCGTGAATAGGATAGTAGCCCAGCATTTTTTCATCATCGTCCAATGCAGCCATAAACTCGCCAGAAGCTGACATCAGTTTGATGATCATGGTCGAGGCAGGAATGCCCGTGATAGGCTCAAGTCGCTCCTATATGTTCATATACAGTTGGAAGATAAGCAGGTCAAATCTCTATTCCGCTTTAAAAGTAAAAATATAGGCAGTATGCATGTCCATTCACCCTTGATGGCAAATGGTATGCCAGATATACACTGGGTCAAAGTTAAATTGTAAAGTACCTTGAGAGTAAAAACAGTATAGCTTCTATCAAAGCGACGCTCTGAGGTAGCATTTTTGCTGCTCACAAACAGCGTTACAATCGGATTTAAACCAAGCGATATGGTTGGCAACATAATTCAAGTAATTAAACGACCAACTCGGACTTGGGTTTCATGCAAACACTTGCACAAAATTCCAGATAAAGTGAAATGCTAAATTACATCACGTGTAGATAGTTTTTACTTTTTGCTAGCTTGACTGTTTAGAAAATATAATTTGCTACATTTCAATTGATAAAAAAAAGTATCATACCATGGCAAAAGGACTTCGATCTAAATCAGCAAGACGGGCAAAAGCCGTTCGTAGAGAAAAGGTAAAACAAGAACATTTTTATCTTTTGAATGCACATAAACAATACCCTCTTGTTGTACTCGCTATCATGGGTTTGAGTATTTGGCAACATTCCATCAGGCTTTATATTTTTAGCTATGCTGTGCATCACCAGTTGGTTGAAAATACTCATGTCTAATGCATGCATTAATGCATCGGCTAGATTTGTGCTCGCTCTTGATTTCACTCCAGTTACTGATGGGAGTTTTTCCAAACATTGTATTTAAATTTAAGGTGTTTGGACCAGTCGAGGAGCAAAGAGTACTCCGATTAGCAGCTAAACTTGCGACAGGTTCAGAAGCTGCTACTGAGATGCAAGTAGAGTCCATTTCTGATTCTGCTGAGCCAACTATCAAACTTGACGATCGCCGTGGCCGTAGCCAGAGCCGCAACGCACGTTCATTATCCAATTCACCTATGCGCATGCGCTCGGCAAGTGCTAAATCCAACAAAAATGAAATGGATGAAGACAAAGTAGAAGATGAACTAGATACGCCAATCGATACAAGCGAAGCACTTGAAAGTATGGGAAAAAATGAACGCACTCGTTTATTCATGAATGGAAATCAGTTCAAGAAATGGAAAAAGTCTCAAAGCAAGATTCGTCGATCCAAAAAGAATGGCCATGTTGGCAAAAAATAAAGAATGTATTTGTTAGTATACGATTTTCAAGTATCTGATTTCCATAATCTGAAATCCATATCAGATCCATCTTGACTATGTGCTCTATATCGTTAATTAAAGGTATATATCAAGCCAAAGAGTATGTGCATTTTAAACACACCATTGTTGCAGTGTCCATTACTAGTCTATATTGGATTTATATTTCAGCATAGTTGAAATCCCTGCCAAGTTAAACCCACACACTACTCATGACAAAATAAATGTAGTCAAATGGTCATTAACAATGTGCTAGTTTAGTTTTTACTGACAAACTCAACACCCTTGGCAATATTCTTCTTAAGCTCGGGAACGGCCTCGGCAAACAGCTTCTGCTCATAGGCAGACATGGAACCAAGAGGGTGGATTTTGGCAACACCTTGAGGCTATATACACGAATAGAACACGTATCAAATCAAATTAGGTTTCTTGTATTTGCTATAAATATCATGCAAAAGTACATACCCCAAGTTCGACATTGGTGGCAAAAAAGTCGACACCATCTTTTTTAGCAACAGGGCTAAAGACAAAAGTGGGCTCAACAATGCCCTTTTGGCCACTGAGTGCCTTGAGAAGGGAGTTGGTGAAACGAGCACCAGCCTGAGCCATAGATAGTGTAGCAGAACCTAGATCACGATGTTGGATTGTACAAGAAAGTCAAAGATGAGTAAGCAGGCGATTAAGTTGTATATTTTACAGCTGTATTCACGTCAATATAACGCTGAATAAGAGTTGAAATACATAAACAGTCTCATGCAATGATTGGTATCAAATTTACTAAACAGTGTGTTGTATGAACTCTTGGAACATGCAATCATTGTTTTTGAACCAGAACATATTTGAGTTTTTAAGATACAACAAAGTAGTTTGGCAACAGTTGAATCTAATATCTGGATTTCAATGAATGGATCTGGTGTATAATGTATGATTATGCCAGAAAGGAACCATTCCAGTTCAAACCTATAGTTTGTGTGTATCATATAACGGTTGCAGTGTTTGAAAGAGTCGAGAATGTCCATCAAAACAGACAATCTGTAGTAGGAAAACAGCGAGCATTCAACATTGCTTATTCCAAAATAAGACTACAAGACCAATACAAGAGAATCGTTCTACGTGAATACGGTTGTGAAATCAAACTCCACTAACCTGCACCATCCTTGGCTTTGACAACCTCATCACCACCGTATTGGATGCGATGAGTAAGTTTTTCAACCTCCTCTTGAGAAAGCTTGATGCCAGTCTGATCAAGTAAAAATAGGAAATAAATGATTAGACACCGCGTTCAAGATCTGTGAAATTTAACAAGACAGATTCTCAACTCACCTGAGAAAGAAGTGGAAGAATAGTAACACCAGAATGTCCGCCAACGACATGAACATTAACATCCTCTGGCTTCATTCCTTTGAGGGAAGACACAAACGTAGATGCACGAACAACATCAAGAGAAGTGACACCAAAGAGGCGAGTAGGGTCGAAAACACCGTGCTTTTTGAGCACTTCAGCAACAATAGGAACGGTCGAGTTGACTGGGTTGGAAATAATGAGGAGTTGAGCTTTGGGAGCAAATCTTAAAAAGCGAGTTAGCTGCAGTAATAATAGCCATGCATTTCACAATAAATTTGGAAATAAATCTAGATCATTAGCCAATATATTTCAAATGAATGCTACTTACTTGGCAACACCCTCAGCGAGGGTTTTGACGATATTGGCATTGGTGTTGAAGAGGTCATCACGGGTCATTCCGGGCTTACGGGGCACACCAGCGGGGATGACAATAATATCACAGGCAGTGATGGCTTCGCCAAGAGATTCAGCACCCTTGTAACCAGTGACCGTTGCGCGCGAGTTGATGTGGGACAGATCAGCAGCAACACCAGGGGTGTTGACAATGTCATAGAGAGAAAGCTTTTCAATAAGAGGATTGAGCTTGAGAAGCAGGGAAAGAGGCTGGCCAATACCACCAGCAGCGCCAAGAACAGCAACCTTGGCACCCTGCTGTATTGTGATAATCAGCGTTTGATAATGAATAAATGCAAGGGCGGTTAGCGACTGAAATAAAATGCCAAGTTGATCACTTTTAAAAATGGTCTTGATAATATATTGTGATCTGAATTGAAACCAGTAAAGGAGCGAAAACTATTCATAACCTCATGATAAAAGATACTGGCTTGATGTGTGGAAAAGCACAGTCCATCACTAAACTGGCCAGTAAAATAAAGGTAAAGGGCTTGTAGTTGGGGATGACTAAACCTCAAGCCTCGAGTCTTGAAGGCAAAGGGCAAGTGGAATTCCAACAGCAGGATATGTGAATAGATCAATGAATGTAAATACCTGGGCAAGCGAACTAGAGAAGGAGCGCTTAAAGATACGACTGGATAGCATTATTAATCTGAGGTGTTGATGGCTTTGTGGGGAAAGACAATCGAATTGTCAACAATTTGTTTAGATCACCCGCTGGTTACCTCAAATTCAGCCCGCCTGAATCCGAGTTTTATTCAATATACAGTCGTATTCATGTAAAATAAAACATCAAATAGGAATGTTTGTATAATAAACAGTCAGTCTCATGTAATGATCAACATTACCCAATAAACTATTTGGTTGACTGATCTCTGGGTGATTGGCATGTGTAGTTGCATTCCTGAAATATGTTGAACTAGAGCACAAGAGTTTTTTAGAATACAATAGTAGAGTTTGTCGAGCTTGATTGTCAAGGTCAAAACAGTCGAATCTGGCTTCAAACTTGGTGATTGGACAATGTATGATTACTAAGAGTGAAGAAAGAGATAATCCTGGTTTAAACCTATGATTTCACTATATCAATGATGGACGTTGTCTATTGAAGAAGGAATCTGTAGTAGGAAAACAGTGAGTATTCAACATTGCTTATTCCAAAACAAGACTGCAAAGTATTGTATTTTACATGAATGCGAGTGTAAATAACCAACTCAGCTTTTATTGGCTTGCATTGCACCAATTAGTCAATCTACAATTAGTTTATTTTTGTAATCTAGAATTGGATTGCAATCTGAAACACATGCCTGAGGACAGCTAATTGTGGCTGTGATTACCCCTAATTGGAAATATTCATTTTGATAGACTAATACTTATTGTAAACTTGTTTCTATTATTCCTAAGCATACATTATGGTTGTGATCGTTCAAGATATGCCCTCGGGAGGGCTTCTGTTCCGTGGTGAACTCACTCAACGCAAAATGACTGTCAAATCTCATCGCCAGGTTATGCTTTGTCTTCCAACAACTACCGATGACGTTAGTCTTATTCATGCGGAGCTTGCGCTTCAAACTGCAGCATCCGCTGCTCAGCGAAACGACAATCTTACTGTAGAGGAAGCTACTGAACTAGTTACAAAAAATAATATGGAGGTTTACGGACACATTTCGCTCTCGGCAGTATCGGGTAAGATTTTTACCACCATATTGTACTAGCAACCTGAATGATTAGAATTCCAATTTGGAATAAAATTGTCGACTTTGACAAAACTGTCATTTGATACTATGCATATCCATCAATGCTTAAACCAGCCATTGCTAAACGATATTCTACATCTTTTAAAATACGCTTGGTGGATGAGCTGCTCAACTATTTGTGCTTTGATCTAAAACCACCAAGGCGGATATTTCTAATACCTTTTTTGTAAAACCCTGTTTTTACACATCACTCCAATTTGTAACGTTTGGTTGATGATTTAAATAGGATATCCGTTGCTTATCGTTGGTACAAATGTTAGAACCTACATTCACTTTTCACAGATTGAAGCACTGCTGAACGAAGTCGAGCTGCAATCTCCGTGTACCTTTTCAATTGTTACCGCTTACAAAGAGTTTAAATTCTACACCAGCACTTCTGCGGATTATCAAAGGTATGCTTTTGATTCTGCAAGCCTTGTACTCAAATTTGCTAATCCATTTATACTCGTGAAAATGCGCTTTAGATGGATTGGTGCTCTTACAGAAGCATTTACCAACCTTAATTTCAATCTTAAACACGAATCTTATCGACCAGTTAGTCCAGAGTCTTTTAATGAAGCGTTGCATCACCATGGTACTGCAGTTTCTCCAGTGTTCCAAACTGGCCAATTTGAATCTGAAAGGCGTCAAAGTGTGACGTCTCCGTCTCATCTGGACATGCCTGCACGCTCAATAGTAGATGCTGATCCTATTGCTTGGGATTCCAGACTTTCACGCAACGCCGAAATCATTATTGGTGCTGATACTACTGATGACAATGTACTTTCTACAAAATCCAGTCGCCTTTTTTCCAAAATCAAATCATTTTTCAAACACGATCAAGCACTTCATAATAACCAGGATCATGGCCAAGATATTCGTGCAACACCACGAAATCGATCACAGTCTCGTTCCCGGACTGTGTTGGGCCATCGCCGAAGATTCAGCTTTGTAACAGAAGACAATCTTTCTGAAGATACTCGTATTGGTCGTAAATCAAATGTATCCAGCTATTCTCGATCAGATGCTCGCTCTCGGTCAAATTCAAGATCCCGTAGCATAACTCAGTTTTTTACTGGCCTTGTACCATCGCTAAGACTTGGTGACTCTGGCCAATCATTCTCAAAAATGGTATCTGAGGGTGTATCACACCAGCCAGAGAATCAGTATTATGGAAGTTCACAGCCTAATCCCAGCTACCGCTAAACTCTATCACTACTAAAACTGTCGTGTCCCGTGATATTTCAGTGCAATGCTGATTTATCATTTTACTTGTATATTGTTCTTTGTAGTCATGTTGATTGTGCCCGATAGCAATGCAGCTGTTGAAACGATCCACGATTAGTATAGAGGGACTATCGTGATTTGTAGTGTCCAGTTGACAATAGATTCAAAAATTGACAAACTAAAATTCATCTTTATCAATCTATAAATTGTAGCATGGTTTATACTTCATTTTTTGAACTAAGCATTTTCAACAAGTTATATTTTACCAATAAAACACTTGGTGCGCTTATTTATAGACTATCGAATTAGATGTGATTATGAAGGTTGAGTTTGAATCACCAAGAGTTGTTGAATGTGTGTTGGCGGAGTTTAAAAACTAGCAATTTCTTCCCTTCAATCCAATACATACATCAGATGAGCCAATTGCCTCCAGAAAAAATAGAAGAAGCAGTAGCTGAGCAAAAGGACAAAGAGGCTTATCCATCACTAACCGGGATTCGTTCAGCTCGTCCATCGTCTAGGTCAAGGTCTGGAGGTGGTAGTAATGGTGCACCACTCGCATCAAATCTCGTATCTCGAGACCAGCAAAAATACGTCAGACCTAAACAGACCAATGCTACTGAAGAAATTATATCTAGTGCAAGTATTGGACATGGCGGGTCTGATGCATCTGCAAGAGCATCTTCAACACAACAACCTAGAGTACAGAATTTAAAAAACGACCAAGTCTCGACACAACCGTTTCCACCACCGAGTCCAGCCCCAGCATCTGCTAGGAGTGTTTCTGGAGCTAGGAAGATCATCAAGTTCCAAAGACTTACTTCTCGACGATGGATTATGCTGCGCGATAAAGTGGTATGTCGCTATTTGGCTAGATATACACAACCCTTCATTTTGCTCCTTCAAAGTAGATTTGCTTATAATCGTAAATGACAGCAGTTAACGATTGATAATATCTTGTTTTTGTGCATGTAGTTCAAAGGTCATTTCAGGAGAGCAAACAACCAAACAGTATCAGTCATTGAGTCTCAAGAGAATTTCATTTCAGTTGTTGCAGCACTCTGGGCAAAAGTTGTCAGCCATTCATCTGTGCAGACACAAGAAAATGTTGGCACGAATGTGCCCACTGATAGTACAACCGAGTTTTTAACCTCTTGGATGGAGCAGCCATCACACTATCAGTCACTAAAGAGTGTCATGCCTACAGATAGATCTTTGTTGGATGCAAAAACTAAAACACAGAGCTCAACTATTATGGGAGCACTTGAGCAGCCGAATATAGTGCCACAGCTATTGAATACTGATTCTAAAGTGATCAAGCACACTGATTTATCAGATTCTATGAACGGAAAGATTACCAGAGGTAAAGATCTTTTTGCTTTCAATACTGATATTGTTACTGCTACAGCAGCCACTATGGTTTTAACGCGGGTTACAATAGGAAATAATTTAAAGTCGATTGCCAATACAAGTCATCTGGGCAGATGTGTTGGCTTGAGTGGCCTTTCACTTGATGCAGTCTCGAATGAAAATATTGGAAAAACATTGATGCTGATTGCCAAAGGCTTGAGCGAAGTATCCAAAAGAGGTATTTTGGTATTAGGTTCATTGTTTTGACTGTGAACAGAAGCTAAATGTATGTATTTTATATTTGTTTACAGATGATCCAAGCCTGTTTGTACTTCAGGTTCATTGCAATCGAGGTTGGAAACTTATTCTTCTTGGATTGGCACAATCAGAGTCGTTTTTAAGGCATATTGCCATGGTTGCTCTTGGCCGGGCACTTCCTTGCATCATAAAAACCCTTGTTGATTCGGTCATCTGTTTTGTAAGAATATTGATGATTTGGTAGAAAATGACATGTGGAATGACTTTGTTTAATTATTGTTTACCGGAACAAATTTAGAATATTGTTAGCTTACTGATGAATTTGGTTGTGTCGGATGAGCGAAAAGAAAATCGGTTAAAGGCTGTTTATTTGATTGGGCAGCTTGGGGTCCAGCTTGGGTCTGTTGAAGAGTATCTTCCATTAATGCATTTGGTATGTTTTTGGCCAAAAATAGATGTTCATTATCGATTGAAGATGCGGTAAATAAGCTTTGTCTATTACGACGTGTCGTTTAATTTTATGCAATCATTTATTTTATAGGCATTGAGGGAACTTGCAAAGAAACTATTAGAAATTCAGTATAACGAGCGCAAGGTAAAGCCAATAGTGAATTATTGCTTAGTGGCTTAAAAATGGCTTTTATTCGCATATGGTATGCATTTTAACTTGGATTAGAATTTAATTGCCTTTAATGCAGACTGGCGCTATTGATAGAAACGCACTTGATTTGAAGATTTATCTTTTTCACGCTATTGGAAAATATGTTCGCTTGCTTCATCCACAATCCAACTCTACTGAAGATTTAGTGCTGTATTTAGTCTACCAGGAACATGCTTTTATTTCGAATATCTTTCTCAATCGAGAACAAAGTGTGATTAAGCAGGATGACCCAGAAATGCACGTTATATTAGCGACGTTGGGAATTCTAAACAATGAGGTAATATTGGAATTTGTTGCATTTTGATGCTAGATTGTTGTCTCAAGTTTTCAACTATACAGTTTTGTCTGAGTTTCTCTTGTGGCTTGCTTTATTTTAAAAATTATGTCTGTAGCTAAAGCACACCGAAGTAAATAAAAAATATATTGGCGCACTGTTCAAGAAGTTCATTCATCCTCTAATGCAATCGCCAAATCCCTCGTTACAAAGAATGGCGATTCAGTTTGTTAGGTGAGTATCAATATTCTGTTTCAAGACTAGTGGGTAAATTTCCAATTATAGTGCTTTTGGGTTTACCATGATATTGAATGTTGATTTTAGCTCCTGGCTTCCTATTCTCAACGAAGATGCGGTTCTTCAAGGGATTGAATGTATTCAAGCCGGCTTGGTTTATTCAAAATGCTTAAATGTAATCAATTTCAACAGCGATAGCTATGCTAACGAAGTGGCAGTGTTTGAAAAGGTAAATTTTCCAAGATCTTGTCGATCCATACTGATGCATTTTGTTGCGTATTTATAACCACTGTTCAATTCAATGATTAGTGGAAATATACTGAGCAATGTCGTGTATCAATGCAATCTAAACTTCTTCGAGAATTGATTTGTTCACCCGGCACTGTATCTAAATGTCTTCCTGTTCCTGGATGTCCTGGGTTTTTTTGTGACGCCAACTCTTCCTTGCTTAATACAAAATCTGTGCTGCTGGATTTACCAATTCACGACAAGTCAAATGTCACTCTTACTCGCCTGATTCCATCTATTCCAGGCGTCCCAAAAGGAGTCACTACAATTCCACCATTGTTTATGGATGAGGAATGGACTGAAGCACTTCAACCACCACGCTCCCAATATGAATTTTTGGAGCAAACTGGCGGGATTCCAACACTTGTTTATGGATACACATATGCACCAAATACTTTAATGGATTCGAGTGATCCAATACAGCTTATTTCTCGTCGCGAGGCTATGGCTACACCTGCCATGAAAAATGGAAATGATTCAAACAGACTTACAATTGTTAAAAACACAAGCATGTGGGCCAACTTTGACGACATTCCTCGTGGTGCAACTCGTCTACCTCCAAAAATTGAACACATTACAGCAGAGGGGGATTTTGCAGCTGATTCTCGGCGCTACCCATACGGATTTAGCATTGTTTGCCCGTTTTCTGGATACGATCCTGAACGTATTGATAGAAATGCACACCCTGTTTCACCCATTTATGGAAAACAAATGCTAGCAGTGCGTGGTAAATTGTTGGCTGCGCAGGCTAGTCTCACAAATGTATCCTCCAGCATTGCAGTATTATCATCAAAAGATGAAAGCATATTTGACAATAGTATTGGCGGGTCTGGCTTAGTAGAGGGGGGCTACACGTATTCATGTAATCCGATCTTGTGGCCAAATCGAAATCCTTTTCTCAAAACTGCCCCGTACATTTCCGATTTTCCCTTGAATGCACCAGTTTTGCTAGACATTATTCAACCAAATCATCCCGAGTTGCAGCGAATTCTAGCTCGAGTAGTGGGAGTCGATAAAGATTTATCAGGTGTGACGGTTCAACAGAGTGCTAATGAAATGCAAGTAGTTATAATGTGCATGCATCTATTGCTACATCTCATGTCTTAAAACATCATACTTTTTTTGTGCTTACATTATTTTCACATATTCTAGTGCTGCGTTATCTATCGGAGTAAAGTTCAGTATATATATTCGTATGCGTGAAAACTCAAAAAACTGGATTGCAATTCAACTTGAAATCATAGATGATGACTACCATGACAATCTTGATTTCACCGAATCAAAAGAGCTGTACGATCATTCTCGTAATGCAACTACTCGAGGTCAATCTGAAAATCATACTGGAGATTCTTTTAACCAAGATTCTTTATTTACACATGATGAAAGCTTATTAAAGCATAAGTCTATATCATCGAGTCCACCAAAAATATCAGAGATTGTGTATTTTTTCCCAATTCCAGCAGGGTTTACTCCACAAAATGAGCCATACTTTTCACCTCCAGTAAATATTCCACCTATTCCAGCAGGGTACGACTCTTTTGGTATTCCTTATTATGGGCGCCAGTCACACGTCAAACCATTTCCACTTGGCATTACCATAATGGGAACTCGGTTTTACTCTGGGGATGGAAAATTATCAGAAGGCGGCCAGCGAAATATGTTTGCGGGAATTGATGTAGAAGGAAACCCATTTTTTGTTCCCCGAGGATTTTCTATTCCTGTGCCTAGTGGGTTTACTGTTGACGGTATTCCGTATTATGATGTTGTATCGCTTATGCGCAATCGTGGGGTCATGTTACTACCATCAGCATTTCAAACTGTGGATGCTCATCCAGATGATGATGAATGGGAAAATTTACTTTCAAAATTGTACAGCAACACATTTGTAGTACCACCATTACAGAAACGACGGACTGAAATGACATTTGTGACATGCCTATCAGCCAGTCTGCAAGACTCGCAACCATTACTTAAACATACACTTATGCAGGCACACTCTCGAAATATAGTTTCTTCCCGTACATATAGTATGGGAAAACTTGGTCAACAGGATAAAACTGATATTGTGGATCAAGTTGACTTGCAAGATCCAGGCAACATCTGGGAGTTTCTACGAACTGGACTTGAGTTTTGTCATTTCAAGCCAGCTTCAATGAAGATTGTTATTGAACCTGCTCAAATGGAATTTCAAAGCGTGAGTGTACCTATTACCAAAACACTTGCATTGAGATATCGCGCCAACCGTGGTGATCATGATGAGCGAGACTATTTTCTCGCCATTGAACCGGTTGATGTTTTCACACTCAAATCATTTCATTTGCGTTTACAAGGAGAGGGTGTCAGCGAAATTATAGTGACATTTAATCCGAATGCAATGAAATCTGAGCGAGTCGAGGGAGGAGTATATCTCATTGACGAGCTTGGTAAGCGAATGGCATCTTGTCAACTTTTGGCAATTCAAAAAAGTTTTTTTACTGCCCATCCAGAATTTCTTGACTTTGGATGGGTGCTTCCAGAAAAACGCAAAGAAACGACGTTTAAACTAGAGAATTTGTCTGCGGGATCGATACTAGTTAATTTGACGGTCAAGAGTGAAATTATGCAACAGACAGCAAATTTTTCTCTAAGCTTATCCAAGAGCTGTAAACCGTTGGCTACGGAAAATATGGTTAAATCAGTTTTTACTCTTTCAACCACCTCGCTTCGTTTACAGCCTTTCGAGACAAAGCCTATTCTTGTTTTCTTTGAGCCAAAGCTACTTGGTTACCAACACGATGTGGTAGAGGTTCGAGGTCCTGGAGGCGATCTTTTATCTGTTAATGTGTCCGGTATATCGGGCATTCCAATTGCACTTTACCCAGAAAATGAGGATAGATCGTGCGAAGGTGCAAACACTCTAGCTCGAGAACGTACTGACTTGATTGCCAAATTCAAAAAGCATGAAAGTATCAAAGAAACCTCTGATATATGTTTTAGTGAAGAAGAGTCACAGATTATTAGTAAAATGATTTCCGCTCAAACGGATAGCGAAACTAGACACATTACACATACTCTTGATTTTGGCATTTGCTCAACTGAATCCAAAACTCTTGTCAGATGTTTGACATTTATGAATCTGGGCGATACCCCTGCTACTATTTCGTTGTTTTCACATCACCCAAATGTTTCCTGTCCTTATCTGGTTTTAATTGCTCCAAATATGGCAAATACTATCGAGATTACGCTGAGTATTGGACAAGGAACAAGCAGTATTCGTGGAAATTTGTGCACTACAATTGAAGTTGTATGCCCAGAATTTCAGAGTATTCCTCTCCACGTCAAGGCATTTATTGGTCAAGCAGTATATTTTCCAGTGTGGGAAAATATATTTTTCAAACCTTGTTGTATTGACCAACACCAGGAACTATCCATTTCTCTCATCAACGAGTCACAATACGACTTAGGTGTGGCAATTGATGGTTTAGGCGATTCAATTCACTTGGAAAAAAACAGCATTACGACTTCTTTATCTACCCGAAATGCAGAACCGACTTTGGTGCCAGCCTTTTCTCTTATCCCAGTAACATTTACTTATCATGCAAAAATGCGCGGTCCATTAATGAAAGCCATTGCCATTCGTGTGGTTGAGCCATATAGACATTTGGTTGCTGCAGCAATGTTTATGAGACCAATGCGATTGTTTGGAATATGCATCGAGCCATATGTACGCAGAGCCAATGACACGCGTGACAAAAACGGTATAGAGTTTTTAATCAAGTGGATGTCGTCTCCAAAATATCTCATTGAAGACTACCCTACTGAGATCCAACGAGAGAATCTGTTTGACATGAACACAACCATGGATATTTTTTCCGAAGCAAAGATGAAAAACTTTGACGGTGCGGCATTTGATGTTGTATTTAAAACAGATCCTTACATTACAGAAGTTCAAGGTATGTCTACTGGTTATTTCATAAACATATCTGATGAATTAAAATGCGCTGATGATAATAACTTGCTTAATTCAATTTTGTGGACACTATAGCTACTGGATTTGAAAGTACTGCAATGGGAGATTCAGTGTTTCAATCTACCGTTGCCTCTGAAGCGCTCACTGTCCAAAACCGCGGAACCATGCCCAAAAACGTTCAATTTTTGACTTCTACAGGATTTGTCGTAGATCCAATCCGCCGGCTTCTTTCACCTGGAGACACCTTTAAACTAGATAGTTACTTCAATACTCCCTCAGATATTGGAAGATTTGTTACAATCTATGGTTTTGCCACAGCACTGGATCAGGAGAGTCACTCCATCAATTCAACTCAAATGATCAAACGGCTTGCAAATGGGATTTTAGTGCTTCCACTTTTTGGAAACGATCATCAAATGGTGCTTGATTTTGGCAAGATTGAATTAACTGGTGAAGCAATGGTCGAAACCAGTAAAAATTTATTACTGTGCAATCCTCATTTGACAACATACTCATGGAGTATCAAGTTCACTGCGTTGAAAAGCAAGTTTAATCCGTTTGATGCACCTGTCATGATGGGGGAAGTAACTGGTTATGAGACCTTTACTGTGGCATTCAAATTCAAATGCGACGTAAGTGGATTTTATGAAACTACCTGTGAAGTGTATATTGCAGATATTTCAGACAAAGTGTCCAAGCCAGTTAAAGTAGGCACGATCATTCTTCGTGGTGTGGCAGTCAACACTTTGCTCAGCGGTTTGCCAGACGCTCTGGACTTTGGATCAGTAGTAATATTTAATGCAAAGAAAAAACAAATAGTTCTTTATAACAATGGAACAACAGACCTCAGTGTTACTATACTGGTCCGACCTCCGTTTTCAGTTGTTCCAAAAACATTTACCATCATTTCCAAATCTCAAATGGAGTTCCAAGTTTATTTCAAACCGACCGAAACGCGCAGCATTCAAACCAAGATGCAAATATTTGCAAATCAAAAGGCATTTATTATCCCATTGACCGGTTTAGGTGGAGTTGCTGATCTGGTTTGCGAAAAATATACAAACCGAAAGATTAATTTTGGTGAGCTTCAAGAGGAAACCATTGCTTGGTGTTCGATTTACTTGACCAACAAAGGAACACTCCCACTAGTTTTGAAAGCGGTAACATCACATACTCGAGAACGATTCAAGCTTCAGTTTGTTTCTCAAAGCGTTACTGTTCCAATGGGTAACTTTTCTTCATTGGGTTTTAATGGACCTGATAGTATTGAAATTAAAAAGAATTATTGGAGCATTCTCAAACGAAAATACTACGAGTTCAAAAGACGACAGAGTTTAATGCCTATAGCTTCCGCTATCCAAGCCCAGCATCAACTACAGATGTTCTCAAGTGGCATTTCAAAACGGCGAGGGGATCTATTACTTCGACAAAAAGAAAATGTTCATTTGTACGACCGGTCTTTGTCTGTTCAAATTGTCGATCCAAACAGTGTATCAATTATAGACTCGATTGTGCCAAATATTTTAGAACTGAAACCTTTCCACTCGTACCATTTTAAAATGGGATACATTGCTACATATAGATCTCATGCTGACGAACAGCTTGTATTTCACTATATGCCAAATATAGATAAAGAGGAAACGCCAGATACTCCACTACACAATCTTATTAAAAACACGTCTTTGAATATCACAGGATCTGTTTATCGGCCACTTGAACTATTTCCTGCTTTTCATGACTTTGGATATGCTCCTGCTGAGCGGTACTTTGAGACTTCCGTGACAAATCGATCAAACACATATGAAACAGATTCGTATGGTGTCATGACTGATCGATCTCAACAAAATAGCGGGGTTTTTTATTTGGAAGTCATGAATATGTCGTCGATTCCACAAAATTTGATACTGGACTCGATACCTCCAGAATTTTCAATTAGTCAACGATCATGGTTTATTCAAGCTGGAGAAAGGCTTGAAATTACAATCGAATTTCATCCACCACGAGAACAAATCCAATTTCATGGCGACGCTGTGTTTCATCATAAATATGGCACCTGCTCTGTGCATCTCTGTGGAACTGGCGCAAGTGCTGAGATGATATCTGATGAATTAGTTGATTTTGGCAGTTTGAAGGTGAATTCAAAAAGCCAGCAGAGTTTACGAATTCACAATCGTGGTTTACTTGAAACAAGATATGAACTTGATATTGTTTCTAGTTCATCTGAATTTCGATTTGTCAATGGCGATCCGTATGAGCACGAAGGTACTATTGCAAGTGGTGGTACACAGACGTTTCAACTCGAGTGCCAATGCAAGAATATTGAAGGATCAAGCGCCTATATTTTAGTTAAATGGTGGCGTGTTCCCAACGGCATTCTTGAAAACCTACAGATTCCTCTCAAAGTAAAAGTTGGCTATCCCTCCTTTCGCATGCAGAACATTGAGATTGATTTCAAAACAACATTTATTAATGTCAACAAAACACTGGAATTGCGTCTTTACAACGAAGGAAATGCATCATGCAATTGGAAAGCAGAAGTTGAAAATCCATGCTTAATTATGAATGTCACGGAAGGCACAATCGGTGCCGGAGAAAGTATTGCTGTCAGCATCACCTACATTCCAACTGATTTTGAAACACTTGCATCTGCTATTCGGTTTTTCACCGATGCGGGAAACCCAACACTAATGTGTTATGGTGTTGTTGGTGTGCCTTATCTCAAAATCTCGGCCGAGTTCAGGGATATTGATTTTGGCATTATCACTGTAGATCACACACACACTAGATCCATTGCAATTGCCAATACTGGCACACAAGTAATTAAGTATGAGATTGCAATGATGCCAACCTCTCAAGATAAGACTGAAAAAGAGGAAAGTCAGTTTAGTTGCTTTTACTGCGATCCTGTAAGTAGTGTAGTACAACCTGGTCAAACCTTTTTGATTAATATCTCAATCTGTCCTCGTGGATACGATGTCACATATCTGTCAACTTTTATTTTACGTACACTGGATGGAGAGCAGTATACTGGGCGTATAACAGCGAAAGGTGGCAAAGCCATTGTGAAAATTAAACCACCGAAAATACACATTGGAGAAACACGCACTATTATTGCATCAGATACTACCTCTGCAAAAGCAGATCAGCCAGGACCAAATCATGCAGATGTGCAAAGTACGCCCACTCCTGACATTGAAGCTTCTAGATACGTTTTTCAATCTCATTTGGATAATCTCTATGAGGTTTTGGCGGGACTTCGAACTGCTGAGCTTGAGCTTTTGCCCGATGAAAACATTGTTGCTGAAGCTCCGTCCAATATTATTCAGCAGCCCGTGATTCCAACTAAAAAACAAACCCAAAAGTACGATAGTTTAATTTTATTTCATTTGTAACACAGTATGATTGTATATGTATTCTAAATCTGATATTGTTTTTTGAACTTGATGCTTATCTACCAATTGTGCTATTAGACTTTTACACTCGAAAAAGCCTTTTATAAATTCAGCTGGAAATGTAGAAAGACCATCAACCGAGGGCGGAAGCACTCCATTATCCGATCCGACCAATGCCGACATGCTTGATGGGTCTAATCTTCGATTGCAGTCACGGAGTTATGTATCCGATACTACTCGTTCACCCATCACAGATAGTGATTCAAGCAGTAGAGTGCGCACAACTTCCCCAGCAAAGCATGGCTCAAAACCTCTAACCGCAGCCGAGTCTAATGCAGCCAAATTTACTGATGAGTTGATTCAAATGGAAAAGGAACTTGAGATTGCAATTGGTTTGCGCGATCCTGCTTCCTCAATTATCAGCGGTAGCAGATCGGATACTGAAAATAACAGTGCTAATGCTTCAATACCTGGTACCGCTGATTTGGATAGCAAGCCTGGATCTTCATTAAAAAAAAGTGCTGGTGGTTTAGGAAAATATCAACCTGGTCGTCGACGAGGCGCACGTAGAGAGGATAATGAGTCATCTGAAGGATCGTTTGGTATGAATTCGGCAGCTGATGGTGCTCGTGGAATGACGCCAATGACTTTTGAAGAGCAATTTACACCACAAGAAAATGCAATTGCTAGAACGCTGAGCTCTCGCGGGCTTGTACCGACTGATTTGAATAACACTACACGGATGGCACTTGCTACAATTCAGTCACAAAAAAAGAAGATTGAGAATATTCTCCAGATTGCTCAAGAAATGACGCTTGCAACAGGGACAGGTTTGGACAGCTCTGGTCAAATTCAATTAATAGAAAGTATGAGCGAAAGAATTCTTGAAAACACCAATTCCGTTGTACAAGCCGTTCAAGAACAGTTGGCAAAAGATAAATGGATTCCCAATCGAGACTTTTTGCAGCAAGCTCTTCGACGGCTACAGATATCAGCAGTGGCTGTGGAGAATTTTAAAAAAACAGAACAGAGTGAACCATTGGATGAAAACACTTTTGATTTAGGACTGATTCGTGGTGGAAACAAGAGCGACTCCATTTTGCTGTTTAATATCCCCAACGAGGGAAATATTGGATTTGATTACTTGATTACACCCAGGCCAAACCAACTTATTACTCCCATCAAGCCGGATGACGCGACATCTGTCAACGCCGAAGTCGTTGATGAGCTATTTCAAGTTAACCCTACTTCTGGAACCTTATTGCCTGGTGAGTCAGTCAACATTTCAGCAACATTTCAGGCAAGCATTTTGGGATCATATTGTCAAGTGTTTTGTGTCATGTCTGGAGACAATGAAATTATGTCATTCACTGTTGCTGCTCGTGTCGGTGTTCCAAGCATAGTTGCTGCTCCTCAGAAAATAGACTTTGGGCTAGTTGAAAAAGGCAAATCAGTTTTACAAACCATTGGAATTTCAAACATTGGCAGCTACCAAGACTTTTGGCGTTTAGAGCAGCAAGAATTGGTAAATGTCAACGATTTCTCTGATGCACCCAACACACCTTTCAAGTTTTCACAAATGTCTGGCAAGATTGAGGCTGGTGAAACAACTACAGTTCAAGTCGATTTTTTTCCAAGAGAGGAAGGAGAATTTCAGTCATTGTCAAAAATTATATGGACAGGCGAGCCCTTGTTTGTTGCTCTATCGGGGATAGGTGGTGGCTGTCGATTAGCTGTATCATTTGAAGAGCAATCTGACAAAACTTTTGGAGGTTTTGATTTTGGTATTTGTCCTGTTGGGCAGTTATTTACCAAGCAAGCAAAAATCACCAATACTGGCACTGTGACTGGCGTTCTAGAGTTTTCGCATCGAAGTAAATTTGTAACACTTACAGTGCGTCGGGATGATACTGGTCAAGTTCATTTGGCACCCAATGAAAGCATTTTTTTGACGGTCAATTTTGTTGCTGGATTATCTGAAACCATCCGAGATCCCATTATCATTTCACTCGGACCCTCGGGCAATCATCAGATTCAATTCAAAGCTCGTTGCGGCATTCACGATTGGCGTATAGATGGGCAGCTAGATTTTATGAATGTTCCTATTCTTGAAACTCAGCTTCGTACCTTGACTATTGTCAACATTGGCACACTGGACCTGGCTTTTGATTTAAAGCTTGAGCCGGAAAAGTCCAAGGATGCAGTTTCATATATTCTTTCTGGTGAAAATTGGGCTCTAGGACGTCCAATCCGACCCAATCAGTCCGTGCAAGTCGAGGTGAAAGTTGTGAGTGATACGTATCAAGCTATTGATTCAAAAATTGTGATAACTGGCAAGATTAAGGGCGAACAAGTAGTTTTAGAGTTTCCTTTCAAATTTCTTGTTTTTGTCAACGAGGTGGCTTTGAATGATACTAGCGATGTAGCGGTTGGTCGAGTAATGGTAGGTGAATCTGTAACAGCCTCCCGTAACATTTTCAACTTTGGTAATTCAAGAATTCGATTTCGCGCTCGTGTCGAAGGACCTAATGGCGAAACAGATGGACTTGCGTGGAAAATGAAGTCTGTTGCAGGTAAAGCAAAGAATAGTGTTTGATTAGATGACTATCGTGATGTTGGCAAATTCCACAATTTTTATTTATATTATTGTTATTTGGAAATTTTGATTATTCAGAAGGATATTTGGAGACAAACGAAACAATTGCTATTGAAACTATGTTTGAATCCACAGACGGCCAAAGGAATGATTGGCAGCATGCCAAATTGATTATTGAGCGCTGTAGTGTAAGCATACAGTTTTGACAGAGACTTGAAAAGGAATCTATTAGTTATAAATTATATTGATACTAATCAAGCCAGTACTATTTTCAGAATGATGGATCAGAAAATTGGTCACTGCTTTCAGAAATGAAGCTTGTAGGTGCAACTGGTCACGCAAACTTGGAGCTTATTCCCCCTGAAATTGATTTTGGATCTACAGGCGTTGGAATGGACAAAATATTGGTGGTTGTTTTCAAGAATGATGTAGGTGACTTGTATTAGCTATTCTGCTTTTTTGATGACATGATTTGGTAGTTGACTATTGTTTTGGAAATATTTTTCCTGGAATTTGATTTTTAGGGCAATGCAATTTTGAATTATGAGGTTCAAACGCCATGGGAGTCTGATCAAGAGATTACTTTTTCACCTGATTTTAACCTCAAGGGCTCTATTGGGCCTGGCGAAACTATTCCTGTGTCGGTCACTTTTTCACCTAAATATGTTACAAACTATTCCTCCACTATCAATATTAAAACTCCCAGCAACGAGTACTCTTTTAATATTCATGGCGAAGGAGCTTTGTACCAGATTTATAGCGAAGGCTTACCTGAAGTTGTTGATTTTGGAGAAATCAACATTGCTGAAACTCGTGATATACAGGTAAATCGACGACCTCTCAATCAGCATTAAGCTTGACTTTATTTTCAATAATGCAGACATAAGACTAAACAGATAAACAATATTTAGCTTTCTATTGAAAACGGATGTGCGCATGACATTGACGTTTCATTGACTGTTTCCGAAGAAAATCCATTAACAGTGGATTCTGTTTCTAAGCGCGCCGAATACGTTACTATACATCCCTCTTCATTCCGAATCAAAGGAAATGAGTTTGATATGGATAGGTGGGTTGTATTATTCTAGTTTTTGGGGGTTCATTAAATAATCGACTACTTGGATTAACATGCACTATTCATAGATCAAAAGTAAACATTGTTGCTCGAGCATCAATCAATGCCCCGTATACTGAAGATGGATTTATAACTCCTGATTTTCTTCGAAACCTTTCTGGAAACCAACAATTCACATACTATCTTTGTATTGATGTTGGAAAAGGACAAACAAGTGTTGTTCCCATTCATGTACTTTTTTCTATCAAGCCTCTGCTATGTTTGAGTCGCTTTTTGACTACAGAGGAGATTGATGTTGATGATTATGTATCTAGTATTGATTTTGGACCAACAGTAAGTCAGAAATACTGCTATTGAGATTTTTCAAGTGTTTGTTACAAAGCTAAAATATTTTCGACTTGATAATTTGATGATTATCAAAAGTCTTTTGATAGCGGAGCCAAGAGAAAAATGATACTTTACAATCCTAATGCATTCAAGATGAAGTATAAGTTGGACATTTCAAACAAGGTACATTATTTACTTTTGATGACTATGATGTCATCTCCTGGTATAGATCTGCACACTTGTAACTTATTGTTGCAATATCAAATCGTGAAATATACTAATTTACTCATTATGATCTTGCAGCAATATTCCGTCTCTCCATTTTCTGGGATATTGCATCCAAAAGCGCCTAAAGATATATTGCTTGATTTACGAGGTTTAGAATTACTCACAATGGATACTGAAGTTCCCAAAATTACACAATTTAATGCGGTGCTTACAGTCAATATGTTTCTCGATTTTCTTCCTCCGCTGGAAATTCCTGTTACTGGAGCCTTGGTAGATGTAAGAACTTGGAAATGCTCAAAAGTGTGTTTGAAGCAAACTTGTTGGAAACGATAACTTATGCCTGTTTATTACTATTTCTACTACTTTAGCAAGCACCTGTTTTGGACATTCCAGATAGCATCGATTTTGGAAGTATTTACCAGTTAAAGAAATTTAAAATTGACCTTAGTATTTCCAATCCATCCAGAAGGTCAATGAAATGGCGCTTTTATGTTGAGCGTGCCTTTTCAGATATTTTTATTGTTCTTGGGCAGTCAGCAGTAAGCAATCAATGATGACTGGTTTGTATAAGTATTGTTATATTTTCTAATATTGTACAATCTGTGGATTGTATGCGGACATAGGGTGTTGCTTTAGCAAAAAAATCGTTTAATCTTTCCATAGTATTTTGTCCAGCGATTGCAGTTTTGTACAAGGGAACCGCAATTATGGAATCCGATGCAGGAAATTTTACCATGGATTTATTTGGCACTGGTGTTCAGCCACAGATTGATATAGATCAACCTTTGACAGATTTTGGCATTGTGGGTATCAATGCACCAGAATTTAGAGAAGTTGTAGTTACAAATCCACTAGATCTGAAACTACGTATCCGTGTCAGATCGGACAATAGACACTTTGTAGCCAATATTAGGTATGTATCATATGTCTTATGATGAACCTAGTGTACCTTTATGGTTTTAACTTGCCACTATCATTCATAATGCATCACGTATATTGCTATAGCGAGTTTGAGTTGAAACCACTAGCTTCACGTATCTTGCGCATTCACTTTAGCCCGACGGTTCAAGGTCGCACTGAGCTGTGTGGAATTGCCTTTTTCAATCTTGATGATGCAACAGATGAACTTGAAGAATCCGACGAAGACTCTGCATCTGATTCTGAATTAGAACCATTAAAAATCAAAACCAGCCAATCACATCTCAAACCAACAAGTCTCCGAAAAGAGCTTAATTTGCTCAAGGAAATCAAGTTTGAAGGTACAGGTGGATCATTTATGATGAAAGCTGATGGTGTAGATGTAACTACAGGTGCTTCAACAGACATTCATGCTATACCCGGACAGTTGACCATTGTATTCAACAAGGTCAACCAGCGACAAAAAATACGCAAATCATTTGAAGTTGAAAATGCTGGAGATACTGTACTTGAGCTTGGTGCGGTTGATATTAATGGCCGGGATTTACCTAGTACATATGATACGTTTAGCGATGGAAAGTTGTGTACATATCGAGTTTTACCCGCGACTATTGCCATTTTGCCTCATGGAAAAGATAGAATCGTTATTGTAGTCGAGGTAGGTTGTTTAAAGCTTGAAATATTTGCAAGTCAGTTCAAGAGATATTTACACTTTTTATTTGTATGCAATTGAATTGCAGGGAGTAGAGGCAGGGCAGGATCATTTCCAGTTTATGCTAAAAACCAAGACCCTGTTGGCTCCAAAGTCCATCAAAGTTCAAGTGAATGTCAATGTTTTAAGCTCTGCTGCTTTTGAAAGTCTTCGTACGTTTGCCCGAGCAGATATGAATCTAGACCTTCTCACCAACAGCACACTTCAAGAAGAAGATCGATATGCCATGGACAGAGATATTTGGAAACTATTGCTGCCTATTGTTCGTGTTTCTGCATATCCAGCAAGTCAAGAGATGCAAACTGTGCCAGCTGTGGAGGTAAATATTTTTAATTAAATGATGCACGTTGAGCCTGTCACGTTTTGATCCTTGTTTTAACTCGATGTAATATGCAGCCTATTGCCACTCGACCAGACATTGGTCCGTATATTGTGCGTCCTCCTGCAATTCCAGCAGCACTGCCATCTCAGACTAAAAAGTGGTACATGAATCGTGTATCGATGGCTCTTGAAGGCTTCAAGGTATGGTTTTATTTGGATTGGTCAAAGTTGAAAGATTCAGGTTTGTCAGATTATAAAAAAGTAATGATTGGTTTTGGGTTTGGGTTTGAATAGACGATCAATGAAAATTCGAATGAATCTATAAGGCGACAAGAGGCAATTGAATTTGTGCAGCCACTTGAAAAGAAAATGGTGTTCAAGTCAGCATGGTGATTATCGTAGATGAAGCACTTTCGAGTCTCGGTATACTGGTCATGTTTGAACAGTCGAATTTGAATAAAATGTTATTACCTAATAAACTAGTATATCAGGCTACTGCTTTAATATCTCTTGAATGTATTTAGAGTTGTTTTATAAATAATTGAATGCTAGGTATCTTGCAGCGTATTCATGTAAAATAGAAACTAAATAAAAGAGTCAAAATGCATGATAACTGGCCAATATCGAATGATTTCCACCAAATTATTGATCATTGTTTTTGGAATTTCTTTAGCTGACTGGTTTCTGGGTAATTGCATGGAAACAACCGTTGCATTCCTGGAGCATACATTGTTTTCTTGAACTAGAACGCGAACATATGTGATTGCAAGATACACGAGTTTGATGGACAACATCAGAACAGTCAAACCTAATAGTTGGATTGTAATGCATGAATCTAGCGATTGTACAATATATGATTATACCAAAAAGAAGATACATGAATAGTTTGTAAACATTATATGATGGAGTATGTTGATTGAATTGAAAATGCCAGTGAATTAGTAGAAAAACAAGGAATATTCAGTCATTGTATATTCTGAAGAGGCAGTGACTGCAAGTAATACAAGTGTTCCATTTCACGTGAGTGACGGCGGTAATAGACCAATGTACTGTCGATTAGAATGCAATAGTTGGAATAGGTTGCACATTGAAAAATGATTTATTCACTCTTTGCGCTTGAGGGTTTTTGAAGAATAGTTGATGAATGAACGAAATTCGTTCTGAAGCCCATTCTGATGCAGTGGTAAAAAGTCTGTTTCGATGCATTCAAGCTGTGCTTTTATCCGAGCAGTCTGGACTTTTCCTGTGCATATAAGGATCTTGCAAGTTGGCTTGGCAAGCCATCGTACAGTTTGGGCAGTCTTTAGCAAACATTCCTCGCTAAGAAATGGCGGATCGATAATCAGAAAATCAAACATGCCTTTAAGCGGTCGTTCACCATTTTTTTCATCAAGTGTCAATGGCTCATTGAAATCGAAAAAAACGAATTCGTCACCATACACATTGAATCGCTTGTCGAATTCAAAGACTGTGATGCTACGATTGGACAAGCCCATTTTCTACAATAGTACCAACAATTTAAATAATGACTTTTATAGAATGATTTGATTCAAACTGTCTCACTGTAACCCAACTAGTTAGGTCCTAACTATTGAATGTGATATGGATTGAATATCCAAATGTCAAGACCAACCTTTAGAGTTACAAACACAGAAGGCGAAGAAACACATCCAATGCGAGCATTATCAAAAGTTTCTTGAATCGACTCGTTAGCAAGCGTATTTCTGGTAGTGACATCATACCAGAACTGTGACAACTGCCAGTCTTCGATGAAATCGACAATATCGATCTCATAAACTGTATCTTCTTTCAAAGAAGTCAGTTTTTGTTCAGCCAAAGCCTTATCCTTCATAAAATCCTGAAGTGCAGCTAATGCAGCGCTAGACAGCATAAGATCGTCATCGGACTCTTCATGACGAGAGTCCTGGGCCATGACCGAGTATTGCAACCTATTGAATGGGCGATTTTCAGGAAAATAAAGAATGCAAATAATTGGGCAAAACACAGATTGTATTTGGCCAAAAATAGCAAACAAAATTTTGCAAACAAGTGGATCGGCGCAGACCGAAAAAAACAAGTTCAAGGACAAGATCTTGAAGTATTCAAGCATCAGCAAGCATCAGCAAGCATCGGCAAGCCTGGGAAAAGTTGTATTGCTATTCATGCATGTGAGTAGCAGTGTATTGTAGTGTTTTGCATAGTAGAAATATATATGGAATGTGAGAAAGGCCATGTCAGATACTGGCAATTACTGCAGAGGTGTCGGACGGGCAACTACCAATACATGAACACTAACATTCTGGCTGGGCTGTTCTTTCAACGTCCATTGACTCTATTCTTGTAGCCTACTAGCAGTAATTATCCGGATATGAATAACCAAACTCTTGCAGAAAATGCAAATCGGAATGGCATGGACTTGGATCCGTCTACAGTGACCCAGCAGCAGTCCGATGGTCATGAACAGTCAGTCTCAGTGCATGGCACTGCCACCCATACCTTGGAGCAGCCTCTTCATCCTATTTCCAACGGTGCGTCCAATGATAGTGTACTAGAAACTACCAGCGAACAAACTCCTATGGAACAAGACAGCTCACCACTACAGAAACTGGGTCAGTCCACCTTGCCTGCAGGACATGGCTCGAATCAGAATACTACCCAGAATGGTGTTGTTGTAACATTCAAGACTATCGACTCTGGTCCTGCTGCTGCCACTAAAGTCCTGACCCAGCAAACTCAAGAAATCATTATTCCCAGTTATTCGTCGTGGTTTTCGTTTGGCAACATTCATAATATCGAGCGCAAGGCATTGCCAGAGTTCTTCAACAACAAAAACAAGAGCAAGACTCCGCAGGTCTACAAAGACTACCGTGACTTTATGATCAACACTTACCGATTAAACCCTTCTGAATATCTGACTGTTACTGCTTGTAGACGCAATCTTGCTGGGGATGTGTGTGCTATCATTCGTGTTCATGCCGTTTTGGAACAATGGGGACTCATCAACTATCAGGTAATTGATTTGATTTATAGTACAGATTCAGATCTGTGATGGGTACATTATGTTGATGGGGTTTTTACTGATTAGGTGGATCCTGATTCCCGTCCCTCTGCCGTGGGTCCAGCCTTCACTGGTCATTTCCGTGTTACTGCAGACACTCCTCGAGGTCTGCAACCATTATTTCCCAATATCTCTATTTCCAAGGCACAGGGAGCTCTTCCTACCGGTGTGTCTGCAGCCACTTCACTTTCAAGTGCTGCTCGCGCTGTTTCAGAGGCAGATCATACTGGTGCTACACGTGGCCAGTTGCCAAAGACTCCGCTGGCACTTTCAAAAAACATTTATGAGCAAGATGCTTCTGCTACACTTTCCAAGAAGCGATCTGCCGAGACGGCTACAACGGGTTCAGAAACTAAAAAACCAAAGTTAGTATGCTCCACATGTGGTGTTGAGTGTACAAAGTCTCGTTATCATTGCACAAAATCTACTGTATTTGATATTTGTCCCAATTGCTACTTGGAGGGTCGGTTTCCGTCTACTTATTTCTCGGGTGACTTTTTAAAACTGGAAGATGGCACACTAAATCACGATTCAGAAGCGGCATGGACTGATCAAGAAACTTTGCTGCTACTCGAAGGCATTGAGCTGTTTGATGATAACTGGAATAAGATTGCTGAGCATGTTGGCACTCGTACACGCGATCAATGCATTTTGCAGTTTTTACAGCTTCCCATTGAGGATACATTTTTGGAGCGTAAGCAAGATTCTCTTGGTCCACTTCAATATGCTCGTGTTCCTTTTAGTGCTGCAGACAATCCTGTTCTTTCGCTTGCAGCATTTTTGGCTGCCGTGGTTCCTCCCAATGTTGCAGCTGCAGCTGCAGAAAGTGCAATCCGTAAATTTGAACAGACGACTGTAAGCAAACAAGACACCTCGATCAAATCCACAGATGATGCATTCAAAAATAACGTTGCTACACCCTCACTTACAACTGACTCGACTGCACAACATGAAGACAGTACAGCAATGGACACTACAGAAGCTGCACCAAAAAAATCTTCTACACATTCATTGGAGGTTGCGGGTGCAACTGCGCTTGGAGCAGCAGCAGCAAAAGCACGAGCCATTGCAGACTGCGACGAACATGAAATGCAGCGGGTTACACGACACATTATTGAAGTGCAACTCAAGAAGATGGAGCTGAAGCTACAGCATTTTAATGAGCTTGAGGCTATATTGGAACATGAACGGAAAGAGCTTGAAAGAGAACGTTTAAAGTTGTTTTTAGATCGTCTTGCACTTCGTAAAACCACCTTGCACTCCAAGGATGTACTCCCCAAGGAGGGTGCAAGCTTTTTAAATTTAGGTACAAGTCTTGTTACGGCTACTCCTGCTAGGTTGATTAATACGACATCGGGTGATGTGTCATTATCTGCAGGACCGGATGGAGTCATCACTCCGTCTTCCACCACGACCACAGCGGTAAATCCAACAAAACCCGATCCAAATGCTAAATTCATGACCATAACCAACAATTAGGTCTGCATTGATTGATTTCCAAAATAAACTGGTTTAAAAATAAGTTTGTATCCGATTATGCGTATAAAAAAGGATTCAAACACCATCAGTGACTGAGTCCATGTTTTTGAAACCAATTCAATAGTTGAAATATGCCAAGATTTAAAAGACTGCGTTCATACAGTTGAACTTTAGATAACATTCAAGCATCAGATGCTGCAATTTGATGATCGAATAGATTAAAGCGCTCGTAATGGAAATCTAGATTCGAGCCAAAACATTTACTCCTTGACCACGACGCAATGAAAGCCATGCACAAGTCGCCATTGGAACTGATAGTCTTGAGTCTGCTTGGTTTGATGGGCAGTACGATGCTGATGTCTACATTTGTGTCGGCCACTACTGTCACCTACAAGATGGCTCCTCATGAGCGAGCTTGCTTCTACACAGAGGCCAAGACTAAAGGGGAAAAGGTTGCCTTTTACTTTGCGGTAAGACGTCTTGCTTCCAGCACTAACATGGATGTTTGAGTAACTCAAGTGTCTGAGTGTGAGACATGCATTTATCAATGCCTGATGGACTCGACAGCAACCATCTTTGTAATGGCATATGGTTGAGCCATAAAGCATTCTAGGCTTGCATCTGATACTTGGTCTTTTGGATTCACTATATATATCCCACTCTGTATTCTAAGAATCTGCATTTTAGATCACTCTAGTCAAGTGTTGGCTGAATGTCTTGTGCAGTTCATTAAAAGCTTGAACATTGTAGATCATGATCTTGCTAACCCAACATCATTTTATACTTTGCTATAGGTTCAATCTGGTGGCCAGTTTGATATTGACTTTGAAGTGATTGATCCTCGTCAAGTTGTTCTTCTCAAAGGATCTGCAGAGCGACAGGGAGATTATGTCTTCTCTGCTCGCGAACCTGGCGAATTCACTGTCTGTTTCTCCAACACCATGTCTACCTTTTCTGACAAAACAATAGACTTTGACGTAACTTCAGAGCATGAACTCCCTGGATTTGGCACCAAGTCAAAACTCGCTGAAGCTTTAGGCCCTATCGATTCTTTGAAAAAAGATAATGTTACCATTAGCATTCGAGAAAGCGTTGAAAAATTGGAAGTTCGATCCAACACACTGTTGAAAACCATTAATTGGATTAGTCGTAACCAGAGAGAAATGCGTACAAGTGAGCATCGCAATTTGGCAATAGTTCACAAGATTGGAAGTCGGATCTTTTGGTTTGCAATTGGTTCCAGTTGCGTGATGGTTTCCATGTCAATTGCACAGGTCTTTGCTATCCAGACTTTCTTTTCTAAAGGTGGACGGACTCGAGTCTAGTCAATGCTCGGATGTATTTTTGAACAAGTTGGATCTAGCCACACTTTGCTTTCAAGAATAAACTTGTTTGACTATTTCCATATTCGTATTTCAACATTTTATTGTACAAGTCTTGTATTTACTCAAAATCTCGGCTGATGGCGTTGTTGGTGATACCACTTCAAGTTGAGTTTCTTATCGCTATAGAAAATATGGTAGCACTTGAGGGTGTAGCACACATGTGACTAGAAACCCACATGATTTAATTCGCGACCATCTGCAACAATGTGCAGCAAATACAGTAATTCAAATTCAACAGTATCACGGTAGTTCCTAACATTAGATTACGACCAACTTGAATTGTCTGTGTTTACCTCTTAAATATACAACTCTATATAGACCAAACATCGCATCCTACAGCGCGATAACAGAACCTATAGTGTTTCCATCACAGCAAGTCGTATTCAAGCAACGTAACAATGCCAAATAATGGTCGACAACAAGGCTACTCACCATATGGACTTACCCCTATCGAGATATCGCATTTATGCGACTTTGATCGTAGAACAGACCAAGCTTTGCTCGACGAGTTAAACGAAAAGTACCATGGCGTAGCAGGTGTGGCAAAACATCTCAAAACAGATATCAACACTGGTATACAACTCAAGTCCAAGTTTCATGGGCTACATAAACCATCCGGTAGAACTAAAGATACTGTTTCGCCAGACGTGTTTGGATCTCCCGAACTTTTCGTATTTGACGACTCTGTTAGACGAACAGTGTTTGGAGAAAACATTATTCCTCCGCCAAAATCAGAAACTATTTTAGAGATTGTGTGGGGAACTATTGTTGAAGACCCAATTTTGAAAATTCTTATTGTGGGTGCTGTGGTAGTACTATCTCTTGGTTCAGCCACATGCCCTTCAAATGGATGGGTAGAAGGTCTAGCCATTGTTATCGCCGTTCTCATTGTTCTCTGTGTCACTGCTGGAAATGACTGGTCCAAGGACCGCAAGTTCAAGAAACTACTACTTTTACAAACTGATAAACGATGTCGCGTCATACGCGGTGGCATTCGAAGCGAGATTTCGTCATGGGATATTTTGGTCGGCGATGTAATTGAACTAGTTGTTGGAGATGAAATTCCCGCCGACGGTATTTTTATTTCTGGAAATCGTCTAGTCATTGATGAGTCGCCATTAACTGGAGAATCCATGCACTGCAAAAAAGATGCAACTAGTCCATTCCTGTTTTCTGGCTGTCATGGTAATGTAGTATCGTTATAAAGTCCTTTATAAAACTGTTCATTGAGGTTATTCAAATATAATCCATGTTAATACAATCCTGTGCTCTAATTCACGCGCATGGATGGATTGCTATATATAAATCTTCTAAACTATTTGAATGACTGATACCTTATAGTGAGCGAAGGCATCGGACTCATGCTGGTTCTTTCAATCGGTGTTCGTTCTAGTGGAGGAAAAATTCAATCATTACTAAACGAAGCCCAAAACGAAGAAACACCACTTCAATTAAAGCTAAAAATAGTGGCCATTTTTATTGGAAAGATTGGTGTAGCAGCTGGAATCGTCACCTTCCTTGGCCTAGCAATCCGATGGGCAATTTTTTTAGCCAACAACACTCCCGTAGCACTTGGATCCTGCTCAAACAACAGCGGGTTTGATTCATCTACAATTGCACGCATTCAGTCCATTGCCGAGGACTTTGTTGTCGCCATCACGGTTATTGTCGTTGCTGTTCCTGAAGGTCTTCCATTGGCAGTGACGCTGGCTTTATCACTCTCTATGTTTAAAATGATGCGAGACAAGTGCTTTGTACGACACTTGGATGCATCGGAAACCATGGGGCAGGCAACCACAATTTGCACGGACAAGACGGGAACTTTGACATACAACCGCATGAGTGTTGTGCGCATTCTGGTTGGTGATCAGATTTATAGGGGCGAAGGATCGGGCGACAAAGGTGCCATTCCATTCTCCTCCAAAACACTACATGCACCGCTCAGAGCATTGCTCTGTGAGGGCATATGTTTAAACTCGACCTGCTTTATTAAAAATGACGACATGCTAGATGATGCTACAGTGCAGCCACAGTTTGTTGGGTCGCCAACTGAAGGTGCACTTTTGATGTTGTCGCGAAAACTTGGTATCCAATATAAACAAATTAGAGGCCAAGTGCCTTTGGTAGAAGAAGGTGTCTGGTCATTTAATGCTGAAAGAAAACGTATGTCGACGCTGATTCATCCTCCCAACTCCAACACATACAGGCTTTACACAAAAGGTGCCTCGGAAATTATTTTGTCGCTCTGTACAAGTATTTTCGATACAACACTCTTGACCCCTGTACCCATGAAATCCAGCGATGTGGCTCGCATTGAAAAAACCATTAAACAGTGGGCTACCGAAGGACTTCGAACATTTGCCCTGGCATACAAGGATGTAGCTGACTCTAACCTTTTGAAACAGCAAGATGATCCTGACACAGACTTGGTATTTATTGCATTGGTGGCAATTAAAGATCCCATTCGAAAGGAAATCCCACTTGCTGTGGCCAATTGCCAGAAAGCTGGCTTGGTTGTTCGGATGGTTACCGGTGATAATATTCTTACGGCCACCAAAATTGCCAAGGAATGCAATATTTTTTATGGAAATGGCATTGCGCTTGAAGGACCAGTGTTTCGAAACATGTCCGAGGAGGAGCGTATTGGTGTACTTCCCAGACTACAGGTACGTCAAGAAATCACGGTTCAAATGACAATATTTTAGATTCAATTTGGAAATATTAACTCGACATTATTACTCGGTAATTTTACACAAAATCACATCTGTGATTTTAATCAACGTTTAGGTATTGGCTAGATGCTCACCTAATGACAAATTTGAATTGGTATCGCTTCTTCGTCGGCAAGGTGAAGTCGTTGCTGTGACTGGAGATGGAACAAACGATGCACCAGCACTCAAAGAAGCAGACGTTGGGTTTTCTATGGGTGTCTCTGGCACGCAGATTGCACTGAATGCATCCGATATTGTTCTCCTTGATGACAACTTTGCATCCATAGTACAGGCTATAAGATGGGGCAGAAATGTTCTTGATACCATTCGTAAATTTTTGCAGTTCCAACTTGGCGTGAATTTGGCAGCCATTATTGTAACATTTGTTGGTGCGATTACTGTTGGACAATCACCTCTCAGTACTGTGCAGTTGTTGTGGGTTAATTTGATTATGGACTCATTTGGTGCCCTTGCTCTGGCTTCAGACGAGCCAGACGATGACATTCTCAATAAGCCACCCCAAAGTAGAAAGCACAGTATTATTTCGGTATCTATGATTGAGTATATTTTTGTTCAAACAATATACCAAGTGGTATGCCTGTTGGTTCTTCTTTTCATGATTGACGCGTGGGCTCCTGCAAGTTCTGTAGTCCATCCACCAGAGGATTTGGCTGGATATCCATCCAAACGAGCACGCACCATTCTTTTTACGACATTCATCTGCATGCAAATCACCAACCTCATCTGTGCACGGCAACTCAACAATGAGCTCAATATTTTTGCGGGATTTTTTCGAAATCGTATCTTTCTAGGCATTCTTGCCATAATTTTGATTATTCAGATTGCTGCAGTGACGGTCGGATATTCACTGTTTAATGCCACCCATTTAGACTTGAACGAGTGGCTCATATGTATCATCATATCGCTCGTGAACCTGCCTATCGTGTTTATAGCCCGTCTCGTGTCGAAAATGTACCATTCGTTTGATCATGGCAACTATCGCCGTGTTGGACTGGATGCGCAAACCAATGAACCAAAAAAGATCATTGATATGGATGAGGATATACCTCCTAAACATACGGCAGTTACTATTACTCCAAATCGGATTCAAAAAACAGCCGAAGACTTTGATTCAATGACAAGTAAGAGCCAACCTGTACAGGTTGGCTTGGATTCAGAACAGAATGTGGTGGCTGAACCCGTGAAGGACATGACACATACAAGAGCCATGTCAAATGATATACATGAAAACAATGAAAGTGACTTGGTGCACACGTCGAGTAGGGTTGAAAAAGTACACACCATTCAAATTGATGCGCCGTTGGTTTCCAAGGCTAAATTTATGGCAAGTGTAGAGTCGGTTCATTCTCAGTGGTCTAGAGAGTCGGAAACAAAACAATGACTTTGAGCAAAAAGCAAAAGCATAATCAACCTTGATTGCCATCTTGTTTGATCAATGATGAATATACACGCTTCTAAATGTCTATAACCTATACCACCTTTTATTTACAGCCGTATTCACATAAAATGGAACACTAAATAAAAATCGAGTGGATGCTTAAAGTAGCATTCACATCACAGTTCCAGTAAATCTCACATCTTGACACTTGTTTAATCTTAAACTCTTTACAAAACAAACGTGGAGTGCCCAGTATGGAAACAGAAATTGATAATGCCAATTTTTAATAAAAACGCAACAAATATGTAACTATTGTTTATTTCGGAAAAAATAGACAATCACTGCAAGATAAATACAAAAAAGCGTTCCATTCTACGTGAATGTAGCTATAATTGATTTTTAAATGGTTTCCAACACCTTGACTCGTCCTTGAGAGTTGGCGGCAACCAGAATATTTGGCGTCTTGCGCTTCCAACACATGGAGCTGACAAACAATGAAGGGTCTGCGTGTGGATTAGGTGCTCCCTATAAACAAGTGATTCAAGTACAGATGGTGAGATATAGCAAATCAAGATATTTTCAAATCATACAAAAGCAGCTTACCGTAACAGAATCAATCATGGAGCCAAAGTGGTGTGTCAAAACGGGCTTTGAAAGTTTTGAAAAGTAGGTATACACTTCGTTAGTCTCACTCCCACATGCAATAAACTCGCCATCACAGTTGACGGACAGTCCAACAAAGTTTTTCTCGTTTGTATGACCGCTATATGATCGTGCAAACACTGATTGAGATCGACCCCTGATGTCTGTGGAACTACCCGCCATAGATTCCTTTAGTGACCACAATCGCAAGCTGCAATCAGTAGACGCAGACACCATCTCATTATCATTCATAAATTTGACATAGGAAACGGCTTTGCGATGCCCCTTGAATACGTGCAACGGAGTGCTTGAATTACGCAGATCGTAGTAGTGTACATGATGATCAGCAGATCCAAAGGCAAGGTGATGACTGAAACTAGGATGGAATTTGACAGAGCATATGTTTGCTTTAGACTCAATCGTAAGTACTGACCGCTTTTGATTGGCCTGCCAGAGTTTCACTCGGGTATCGTCGCTTCCACTTGCAATACGCATGGGGTCGGTTGTGCTGAAATCTACCGACCACGTTCGCTTCTCATGTTCGTCTAGTGCTAACAAGGCAACACCCATCGAAGCATCCCATAGTGTTACAACACCTTCATAGTCCGAGGACAAAAGATATGGTTTGATGTAAGCATTATAGGACAAGCAGCTGATCTTGGATCGACTAGACATTTCACGAACAGGATATCTAGGAATGTTTTCAGGCCGTGCAGAGCAATTTGAATCATCCATTCCATTATTGGGTTGTTCGTCTGCTGCAACTTGATCCAATGCTGCATTACCATGCCCTTCATTGTAAGAAGTTTCTCCGCCACTGCCTACATTTGTCAATGCATCCATATCTAGTCTTTGTCGATCGCTGCGCGGTCGTTTCAATGTTCTCCCATGTCGCGATGACCGATTAATAAACCCGCCTGTATATCCTGCCAGCTGTCTAGGATCAATCACAACTGATGCGTACTCGAAAATTTTAATTTTCTTGCTTACACCAGCAGCAGCAAAAAACTCATCGTCCTTGTCAAAGTCAATCGAAGACACAATTGACAGCTGGCTTGTCACTACAATTTCGCCATATCGAGCTGTTGCCAAAGTTTTAAATCGAGTATATTTTGAAAATTTGGCTAGTGATGATGAGAACCTAGCAAGGTCTGGTGGTAGATCATGGCCTGCTGTGGATGGTCGTGCTGAAAAATGCAGTGTTGTGGCATGTATTAGTACACGACTATACACACTGCATTCATGAACGAGAATCAACACAGCTCGCTGATAGTATAGTTCGCAGCAAATGCAAAGTTTAAAGGTATTTTTGTAGCAAGACAATATCACTTACCGTCAAGTCGCCAATCAAAATAAACAGCCTGCAGATCTTCCATATGTACCTTCAACCGTGGAATACGCTGCGCAAACATTTCGCTGTTTGATAATCTTAAAAGATTCAATTTTGAAACCTCTGTAGATATAGTTGGAGGTGGAGTTTCAGAGTTTCTTGATGGAGTAGAATTGCAAGGTGGTGGACTGTCAATATGCTGCAAAGTAAAAACAATTCACTTGAATTAGCCACACATTAATTTTAAATGTATCAAAGGAAACATGTTCTTACTGAATGGTTTCGTTTCCTGTTCCATTGTGCTTGTATTATTCTATCCTGAGCATGAGAAGATCCAGCTACAGAATCTAGAGCCTCTTCTCTGATTGATATACGAGGTTCAGTCAATATATTTACATGTGAGGCGTTTAAATTTGATTCGGCCTCGGTGTATCCATTATTATCAGACTGTATAGTCTCCGTTAATAGCGGCAAATTTGGTTGGTTTTGTTCCCTGGAATGATTTAAAACCAGCATGCTCATAGCTGCACTACCTAATTCTGTCCTATTATCGGCCGCTGTAGTTCCTATTAAATGCAGACTGGGAGTATCTATGTTATCTACTCCCAAATTAGATTCACCTCGAGATTGTTGTACCGGATTGGTGTGATGCAAGTTGCATGGACCATCAGGAACCTGCGCATTGTTTCCACCTTTTGGACTTCTTATGTCTGCTTTTTTGACACGTACACCCTGCTGATTTCGTTGTCGGGATACGGGCAACTCAAGATCCAACAACTCTGCATCGCCTTCTTCTTTTTCCGGTGCCACCAGCCTGCTCACAATCTGCATATCTTCATTCAACTGTCGAAGTTGTGTCGTGAGTTCTGCCAAAGTCTAATGTTTAAATGTGATGGTAAAAAACGGCAAACAGTATATGATGACACCGAGTCATTCTGTTAAAGACTGGTGTGATCAACTTTACAAACACATCCTTGATTTCTACACCATCAACTTACGTTTTGCTTTTCCTCAATCGTTTTACGCAAAAAATCGCCAAGTAATTCAAGACCAGATAGCCGATCCATTACCTCGAGTTTTCTTTTTTGCTCAAGAAGGTTTGAGACCATGACATCAATTTCTATACGTTGTAAAATAAGAGTTAGTGTAGAATAACCAGGATGCCATACGAGTATAGCAGGAAAGACTCTGGTCCAAATGACTGGGTAATCAGGAAAATGGTATTTACCATATGTATTTAGTTTTGGTGATCTGGACCCTGTGGACGAGGAGATACCTCGCCTATGCTGCGAGTCTGAGATAATACGATTGACTAAACGTGGCAGTTGTGATTGTCAGCCAACCATTCAAAGTGCAGGTTTGAACTGGTTTACAAATACACTTGACTAGAATGTAAAAAATAAGATATAAAGACCTACGAGTAAAGTTTGGATATACTTGGGAGCTATCTACTGCTGCAGAGCAGATAGGACATTGAGGCTTGATAGAAAGATGCTGTTGAATGCATACAAAACTATTCATGTTTGCAGTGCCAAACGAGCATTATGTGGTTGAAATAAGATATAGTTAATGACGGACTATCCAAGTTGTTACCAAAACACCCTAGACTGAAGAATTACCAGAAACTATGTCCGCAAGATGTCATGTATGCTTCACGAATAACATCCAGACATATACGACTGAACACACAATCCAGTCAATAGTGTTTTTCGATTGTAAAATTACATGGCAATCCAGTGTGTACATCAGATTGAATCCCATAGGATTCAGGATCAATCGTGCCAATAGAATGAATAGTCAGCACTCAGTATTCAAGAAATGCAGTGCATGGCATATGTCACTGGTAATAACTGCAAAGAGCATAACCAGCTTGATGAATGCATCAGATTTACCAAGCAGTGCCAGCACCAAAGTCATCGCCAGCCTCGCTTGTGGGTAATGGTGAACACACTGCACGAAGGTCCGGTTGTAAAGCAGCCAACAATCCATCCGTGGTAGAGTTGGCATTGACGCTGTTGGTTCTTGCTGCAGAAGAAGCAATGACATTGGAAGAGCCCACTGTAGTGTTGCCTTCACTTATGGGAGGATGGCATGGGCTGCTCGGCATGTGGTTGTCTGGTAAAGATTGGTTTTGATTTCCAATAACAATTTATCGATCGAGCAACCGTTTCAAATCGGAAACTATTCATTTGAAACTCTAATCATACATTCATATCCACTGGAATATTACCAGCTTAACTCATTTCATTCCAATATCCAACTCATATCTCGTGTGAATCTGAAAATAAACTCAATCCCTTGATTCCCATATGTGTTGATTATATCAAATTGTTTGTAATGTATGCTATATCATTGTATGCTCTTCAAGCTAAAAAACAAACTCAGCAGTCAAGTTAATGCGAAAACCAATTCCTGACCCACAGTGTGGTCGATGAAACTGCATTCATAGCCGTCACCGTCATACTACGTGGCGATGTATTGGCCTGAGGTGGAGTAGTATCACTCCCATTATACACTGTATTTCCTAGTGTCTTGGTATCCGTATGACTCGATGTGGGCGATATGAGTGATATATGCGATGCAGGAATATTAGCAGCTCCTGACCTAATCCGGTCGTCTAGTGCCATGACAGATACAGCTTTCTCAGCCTCGACCTCGTTGAACCATTGCTGAAAGGGACCCATTCCTCCATATGTTTGTAAAAGCTCGCGTCTTTGAGGCGTATCGTAGTTGGCAACATGCGATTCAGTAGAAAGTAACGGCAGTTGAGTTCGAGTGTTTATTGTCAATTCGGACTTGTCATTTGTACGATCTTTAAAGGCAAGTAGAGTTGCACTGTCTGGTAAAATGGCTGGAGAAAGTAACGGTGTTGCTGGAATATCTTCAATATTTAGCGTGACATCAGAAGTAGATTTTGACAGTGCTGTGTTGGTATTCTCGACGTCAAGCTTCAATGCAGATTCTGTTTCAGCCTCATCTCGATCAACCGCATCACCTTGAACAGCATCTTTTGTTTCCAAAACAGAGATTGTTTCTTTAAACGTACTGGCAGAATGATTGTTGGTGGTGGATTCAACAGTCATATCTACAGGTATGGTATTTATCTGTTGAATGGCAGCGGGTGTTTGCTCATCCAAACAGGCATGTTCTGTTTCGATTGAAAATGGTTTTTTGGAGAGCCCATCAGCTATACTACCATCATTCACGTTCTGCTCCTTCTGAAAGAATGCAGTGTCCAACGGAGTCGAGTTTTCCAAATCAAACGTACTTCTGTCAGCGACAAAAGTAGATCGCTTTTGCATGGCTTGGATACGCAAGTCTTCTTTCAAAACACCAGAGAGCTCATATAATGCCATGTAAAATCTTCTAATATCCTTCCATTGGGCTTCGCGTGGGTCCATCATTCTTACCGTCTCATTCAAGGATTGAAGCAGTCCCATTGAAGAAAAGAACGATTTTGATCGAGAAATGACTGGCTGTTGTTGAGCTTGATTGTACGATAACATAGAGCCAGTCGCTGAAAAATGAGCTGCAGAGCTGGCTACACCAGATACCGTTGAAATTGGAGACTCTGGCTCATTAGCATCGTGGCTGTTGTTGACCACCAAGTCAGGCTCTGAGTTTATTTCAGCTGCAGCCATCATTGACGCAACACTGTCTGTAGGCAGAGCATTGATCCACTCAGCGTCATCAAGGACAACATTGTGAAAAATCTGAAGCCAATCAGGAATGACAAACACATCATGACTAGACCGCAACGCAGACAGCTTTAAAAGTCCCTGCTCAACATGTGCCATGTATTGAAGGAAACGGGGTGCGACTTTTCGACAAGTGAATATCATGTGTGCAACGACAGGAAATGTGGAAGTAGGACGAATGGGAATACCCAAATCGAATACAGCATTCAGCGAGTCTCGAGTAGCCATCTCGGCTTCTTCATTTAAATCAGGAGGTCTTTGGCGCAGCATCCATTGAAACAGCATGCGACCTGAATCAGTAGTAGCATTTGGACGCTGGCGTAAAGGGCCAATACTATTTCTGTTGGAATTTTCTGACAGAGCAGATGCCGGTTTTAGATTGGGTTTAGATACGACAATTGAATCATCTTCGCCAGAAGTAAAGACATTCACTGTACCACCAACAAGCAAATCCGTAATGCACGCCTCAACAAAAGTATGATTCAGCCCATAGCGGGTAACCAAAACGGGCCAAATAGCATCACTCATACCACCAAAGTTGACACCAAACGTAGTAGACATTGGAAGAATATATCGTCGTTTGATGCGCATCTCACGAACATCGTATGGATGTGCTAGAAATGCACGGGCCACATTATGCTCGGGAATATTAAACTCGGAGATGAGAAAATCAGCAATACGCACTGCATTACGATGGTTACTACGAAATAGTTCATAAAATGCATCCTCTACAAAAGCAAGAATGTGATCTTTTGGAAACACTTCAGTCAGAAAACTACGAATAGGGCCAAACCTTTCAGTCATGACTTTGGCGTCAATCAGTAGCGGAACAACTGCAGAAAATGAAAGAGTAAACCCAATGTCCAAAAGACGGTCCAGTTGGTGTTTTTCCCATTTGGTATCTCTCAATACACGCATCATGATTGCATCGTTGGCTATCTCAAAAGAAGTTCCACAGCGAGATGCAATATAGTAGGTCATATTTGCATCTGCAATTGCAAGTCGGCACAAACTCTCCCAAAGAACATCTGTATCACTTTTGTTGCGAAAGATGTTGATATTGAGAGCAGGAACATAAAGATGCTCCTGAACAATAATCTTGATGCGATTCATGTCGATTGGCTCACGACCACACTCTAGAATAAATTCGTCAGAGTCATCCATCCATTCCATCTTTTGATCTATATCTAAATAAAAACAGTCACGAAATAGCTTCAAAATGAGTCAAAATAGCAACGGGATACTGTGTTGGATATACTCGAACAAATGTTTGAATCAGTAAAAGCAATCAACATACCCATTGGATCAATGCCACTAATCAAAAGCCTATCGCCATAACGCCTATACCCATGGGCGACAAAAAACTCTGATGTACCGGCAGGAAGTGGAATGGTTCCATCAATACTATTGCGATACGCTTGTTCAATAAAGAATTTGGGTAAAAGTGCACCATACTGGGAAAGCGTCTCGGCAAGCTCAAACGACAAGATGTTGGGATTCATTGTGTAAATACGATGAAAAACGGATTCCGCCCCATAACTATTATAATCAACACATCAGAGCAATTGGCGTTCAATATGATTTTCAGATCGTGAATGAAGCATATCGACAATAACGACTACAAAATCAAGACTCACGTTGAAAGTAAAATATGACCTCTGATTACAGGTTCCATGCAGATGTGATGGAAAGCCTGGGAACAGCTCGATAGAGTTTTTATAGTTTCAGGACTATCAACTAGATACAAAAACACCTGCTGCCACAGTGCACTAGTGAGCCTGTTGCTCAAATCAGTAGCGGCATCATTATAGGGCAGGTTTTCATACAATCCATTGTGGGCTGCTGTATTTGAATTTGGAGGAGTCGGCAGCTCTTGCAGGAAAGCTAATGAAGCTGCTTTGGCTATAGAGATTGGAGAATAAAATGCTGGTAAATGGTAGAATGCCTTGTCTGTAACTGAATTAACAGGCAAATCAGCACTGGGCTCATCTTTGGGAGAAGATAAAGGCGACTTTTCAATAGATTCTATTGTCATCATGGACACATCTGCTTGAACATTACTGGCGTCGGCTGTTTTGTCTGTAGTGACTGACATGATGGGCGCTTGTTTATGTTGGCTGTAATCAATTAGTCGAGCCAATTTCGAGCTGCCAATTTTACTAATAAAATGGTTAGACTAATAAACAAGTCCGCTCTACAGGATAACTATAACTCGAGAGTAGATGTCCTTGCTAACTTGCAAAGTGTAAATGGAATAAGCGATTGACAGTGTATTACAATATCTAACATCACAACCCTGAAACCATCCTATTCTATTCAATGCAGGACGGGTTCACTATAAACCCATATATGAAAGGGTCAGGGAGTCCCGCACATCATTTACAGCCATACTCATGCAAATGAAACTAAAATACATAAACAGTTAATCTCATCAAATGATTCAATTTACTGAATACTGTTCTTTAAACTGTCGACTATTCTTTTGTCATGTTTACATAAAAACTGAATCCATGTTCACATCTGTTTCAGTGCATCTCACTTGTTCCATCTTCAACTCTTTTTTGATCCAAATCAAACATTGTGTGATTGGCATCAAAACAATTGTTGCATTCCCAAGACATGCAATCATTGTTCTGTTGAACTAGAACGCGAGCGTATCAGAGATTAGCATACATGAGTGTGTACAGAGTTGGATTGAAAACAGTTGAATTAAATAGATGGATTGTAATGGATGAGTTGAGTGATCGTACAATGTATGGCTACCAAATGAGGACAATGTCAGTTCAAAACTATAGTTTGTGCTACATGATGGATGTTTATTAAAGCGGTCGATTTGTAGTAGGATTACAAATATTCAACCACAGATTATTCCAAAAAGAAAATCACTAACATAAATATGGTGCATTTTAAATGAATACGGCTTCAAATTAAAGGACGGTTTTGCTACCATCAATTGTTTTTCTTCGTGAAACTTTATCCTTGTTAGGCAATCGTGATTCCTGTCCCTGATAATCAAAGCCTACATTATCTTTTCGATTTTCTTGTGTGCTGGGAAAATCCACTCGCCAAAATCCTGGAGGTGTTTTGGGTCGTGCACTCCAAAACCTGTGTCGAGACGAATTTTGAATTCGATCGCAAACTGGTTGTTGTGGAGTATTCTTGGCCCCGAGTTCTGCTGGCGCATGCAAATCAGCTGTTAGCCGATAATACTAAATAGTATATACAAGACTTTAATTAATTACAATGACAAATGGTTTGGGTGCGGAAGGTGTGATATTATATCTACAGACCAAGCCTGGAGTTTACTTACACCTTCGCAGCATGGACACGCCTCGCCATGCATTTGTTTGCGACGCTCTTTATCTCGCACCACTTCCTCATATGCAAACGAAGGTTTCGATAAAGCACTATTGTTTTCATGGCAAATGTTTATGGATCGAGAACCCAAAACTGTTACAGGAGTACACATTTTGGACTTTGAATCTGCTTTGGGTTTAGCAATCATTTGGTCCTTGTTTTCATCCGATTCGTTTTTGATACTGCCATGAGAATCTTCTAATACCGAATGTTGCTGCTTGTGGTGTTGTCGTGACTCGGTCATGTTTTCATTTTGAAAGGAATGATTTGATTCATTGAACTTGTGAAATAGAACGATTGGAGATCCTGGCGAAGAAAACAGTTGTTGCTGAGCTATACAGCTAAACCGTGCATCTTTTTTGGATGGCGTTTCAAAAAATTCAAGCATGTTACTTGCTTCAAAGTTTTGAAGAATGTTGGACGAGTAACATTCATCTACAATAATACTACTGGGCGGAGAAGTATGATCAAATTCGTTGGGCTGCTGAATACTGCATGACTTTGGCGAGTTAGGCGTCAAGTCCGATGAATCTACAATAGCCAGTTCGGTATCTGAATGCAAACGCTTTTTTGGAGTCAAGTCAAATGAAACCAGATGATCTATAAATAGCTAAATAAGCAACTCGAGAAAAACTATCATTTAAGCATTGCCTTCAATAGCCTCGTACCAATAAATTGTGAACCTGCATCGTTTATATTAATGGCGTTTTGAGAGATTGCAATTTTTATAGGCTCAGCAACGGTGTCATCTGTATATTGCGGATTGTCATGTTCAGAATACACTGCAATAGCGTCCTTTTCATCATTTATAATCGGCTGTTTGAAGGTCCCAACACGCTCTTGAGAAACCAGAGCCAGCTGCTCATTGAAACTTTTCCGGTTTTGAAGCATCTGTCGAAATATTCTGGGTTTAGAGAATGAGCACTCCTGGTTATCTTTAAACTAGTAGACAAGATGGATTATAATCATATTTTTGAAATTTAGATTGCTTACCTTGTGTTTTCAGCAGTAAGGTGTGCTATTAGATCATCTTTGGAAGTGCACGATTCATTTGCTGATACTGATAGTGGGTTCTCGTTGTGTACGATTCTAAAGGCCGTAGAGGTTCCAAATTAACATATTTTAGTTTATCGAATTTCATCAACATATACCAGTCAGACAAAAAAGTTGATCAGTATTCATTGCCATGATCCCAAGATAAACTATTAGAAATGACTTTATATTCTGATTAGACATGTATCCAGTACCCATGTTGTGCATTGTTTGCAGGCGATTGGTGGTCTATTTGATTCGGACATTGTCTCGGACTGTGTCCAGATGCCAAAATAGCTTGCTGATGACTGTTTCTTTCCGACTCAATCATGGCCAATGCATCGTTGAGTTTATTTCTTAACAAGTCATTTTCAGCCTCTACCACAGCCAACCGATCCATCAGCTTTGTCTGTATTTCTATTGGGTTTTGTTTTTAGAATGAATTGATTAGGTTGATTCTGTACAGCTTGTCGATTGATGTAAAATAAACAGCAACAATAATAAAGCAATGGACCAACTTTGCAGTTCTTGATGATGGCAATCTGCAAGACCAGCCAACAGCTGTTCAAACAATGTAGTCATTAGATTTGGATGCAACGTTGTGAGCGTAGATGGAGGGCTTGCAGCGTATTCATGTAAAATAGAAACTAAATAAAAGAGTCAAAATGCATGATAACTGGCCAATATCGAATGATTTCCACCAAATTATTGATCATTGTTTTTGGAATTTCTTTAGCTGACTGGTTTCTGGGTAATTGCATGGAAACAACTGTTGCATTCCTGGAGCATACATTGTTTTCTTGAACTAGAACGCGAACATATGTGATTGCAAGATACACGAGTTTGATGGACAACATCAGAACAGTCAAACCTAATAGTTGGATTGTAATGCATGAATCTAGCGATTGTACAATATATGATTATACCAAAAAGAAGATACATGAATAGTTTGTAAACATTATATGATGGAGTGTGTTGATTGAATTGAAAATGCCAGTGAATTAGTAGAAAACAAGGAATATTCAGTCATTGTATATTCTAAAGAGGCAGTGACTGCAAGTAATACAAGTGTTCCATTTCACGTGAGTGACGGCCTAACACCATTCCACCGTCACGTATAAGCCCTGCGCGTTGAAGTATTTGTTGATTCGTAGGTTGGGACTAAGATTAACAACATCATATTGGTTCTAACATTTATTGATGCATTCAATCTAATTTAAAATCACTATGTAGAATTGATTTTGAAGCCAACCCAGTCTTTCAATCTCGAGTGTCGAGGACTTTTGTTGAAGCATGGCATCAAGTGTATCTGTATATTCCATCACTGACATTTATTCTGGAAACAAGGGTCACCAAAACCTCGTAAATCAAAACACATTACGCTCTCAATGTACATCTGCACAGATCAACAATGCAGAGTATCCTTGTAAAGACTTGATCAAATCCACAAGTGATGGCTGTGCAACCCTAGTCAATATGGACACTTCTGAAATCAATATCGGTTCTGGAAATACTTGCCCTAATAGTCTCCATGATGGTCGAGTTTCAACACCAAAGCAGGACACACCAGAAGCTTCTCATACAGACTTTTCCATGTATACATCGCGGTTTCCAGAGTTCGAAGGGCTATTAAGGATGATGGACAAGCGTGTCAAAGAGGCTTTCAAGGATGGAGGTAGCATTGACATATCTGTAACGGCATTGTCTGCCCGACATAGACTTCGACATGTTCCATCCATAAGGAAACCACCTGTTTTATCCAGTGACATGAATGTATGTTTCTTGTATATTTGATTTAAATAATTTCATACTAGTAATTAGGGTTATTCATTTATACTTTATTACTGTCGCAGGTCCTCAATAAAATTAAATCGGAAATAAATGCAGAAACTGTGCTGGTAGGTAGTTATTGATCCTGTCCAGGATTCGTCATGATTTAATCTCGTGTTTTATTGACACTCGAACGATATAAGCATTGCTGACTATTCCGAGTTTAAATCTATTATATGATTTTAAATTGACAGCTCCAAGAAGATAGAGCAATCAACGAACGTTTAAAGCGTGCTCTACAGATTATTGAGCAAGAAAATAGAAAACTCAAGGATCGGGTGGATACACAGAAATGGCGGTTAAAGGCAAAATCTGTCTATTGCTAAAATAAAATAAATCACTTCATATAAATTTATTTCATCTCGCTATTCCCATTACTTTTGTGATAGTTGCGAGGGACTCAAAACTGGCCAGTAAATGAACACCAATAGTTTGACGAGTGACAGTTTACTGACTCACTTATCTAGTGATCCATTGTGCGTGAATACAGCAGTGAATTAAACCAGTGCATTGAGCGTGGTGGAAGGTTCAGCTTGAATGGGCACGGGAAACAGATGCTCCAGATAAGTTTGTTTGGAGGCTAGAAATGTATCAACCAAAAAGGAGTCAAAGTTGAATTCGACATCAAGAGGTACTTGCGGAACAGGTGGTCCAGCACGGTTTTGTAAATTATATGATTCGGGTTGAAATAGTTCGCTAGTGTTCAGCGGCTCTTGATCACTGGTCAAAACGACACCATGCAATGCAAACATATGACGAGACAAATCATACTGTCGTTTAAACCGAAATATGCAACCTTCAAACTGACAGGGTATACTACGATCTTGAATATATGACATGCCAGTCAACAACTCCAAATCATCCAAAGATCTTTTACGTTTTTTGCTCAAAGTATCTAGTTCAGTCTCATGTTTTTTTAAATGGTTGTTGAGGGTACGCTTGTGGGCAAATGCTTTGTCACAGTTTGAGACATTACATGCAAATCTCCTGATATTTTTATGGGCTACCTGGATATGCAAGTCTCTGCTCTTACGCTATCAATAGTTAAAAAAGATAGAGATACATAGTAGTAAATATCATGAGCTGGCATCATGTCCAATAAATAGCGCAAGAGCACTTACACTATAAAACACCTTATCACATCCCTCATGCCATGAGCATGAGAATAATTCATGGTCAAGATCGTGAATCTTGATGTGATTTCGAAGCAGCGTGGCTGTCTGGAACGACTTATTACAAGTGGGGCATACAGGAGTATGTGCCTTACGATTATGTGCCTGGAGAGCAGACCATTTTGGAAATGCCAAACCGCACTCCTCAAACCCACAAATATATTTTGAATCTGCTTCTGATGCATGAGTCAGCGAATGCAACTTGAGCTTGCTTGGAGTAGGAAAGCTCTTGTCACATTCAGCACAGGGGTAAGCCAGCTTTCCAGTATGTACCGACATGTGGGTTCGAAGCTGAGTATGTTTTGAAAAGGCAGCATCGCACTCCTGTTGAGGACACTTGAATGGTCGCTCAGCGCAATGTATAATACTAATGTGCCGGTTAAGATGATATTTGGTAGCAAATCTATTGGTACAGTCTGGATAAGCGCATAACCATGGCTTACGATCGGAATCAGACGGTGCATGTATCTGTGCATGTACTGCCAAATGCTCTTTACGGCGAAAGGACTTGTCACACTTGTCACATGAATATGGACGCTAAAGCGAATATAGCGTGCAAAAGAAATCGAATGAGCCAGCAAGTTGGCATCAATTGTAATGGCATTTAGTATACAACATCTCGAAATATAATCAAAAACAGATTGATACAAACCTCTGTAGAGTGAGAAATCATGTGTCGGTTTAGCTTTCCTATTTTTTGAAAGACACTACCGCAGCCCTCGAACATGCAAGTGTACAAGCCTTTTTCAAAGCTGTAGCAGTGATCTAACGGTTTATGAAACGAAGCATCCGTGACGATGCATGTTTCTGGACAAGTGCGATTACTCGTTGAATTACTCGTTGAATTACTCACCGAGTTGCTCGTTGAGTTGCTCATTCCAATTAAAATAAAAACACTGAAAAGTAAACGATTAATGAGTGAAAGTCACATGATTTGCATTCGCATTGAAAGTCAATTTCATGCAATTTTTGTCCAGACTCAAATCAAGACAACAGCCGTCATACCAGCGCAACAATCCAGTCGACAGTTATTCTCTTTATAAAACAACTTTAATACTGTATAAATGGATCGTTTTGCATGTTACGCCTGTTCCTGTCTTAACATCACTGTCTTTATAGTGACAGAATCTGTCGAAGCAATGTCTCGACAGATGCCTGCCATGATGGCCAGTATAGATATACCGCTGACTGGAAACTATGTTAAGCTGAGAGAGTTTCAGCCTATCTGTGCTGTAAGTCTAACGACTTGCATGAATGTCTGTTTATACTATTCCGTGCACATTTCTGAGGCTTGTTTTGTGTGGATCATTTCTGGTTTATCGTGGTCTCGACCCAAAAACTCGTTTGGGATTTATGACCAAATATTCACATCTAGTTGACTACTTCAATCTCTATTATTGATCACAGCTATCTATTAATGCTGTACTGACATGATCACTCTGATTTTGCGTTGTTTTGCTTGACAATTTACAGGTCTATCCCTTGTTCCGATCCACCATTGCTGGTTTGGACCGAATCGTTAGAGTGACATGTCTTAATTGCCAGACTCTTGTTCTTTTTTTCTCTGTAGTTCAAGAAGAGGATCAACTTGTCAGACTGCAGCACCAACGACGTCAATCTGCTTCACAGTTATGGCTAGAGCCGTTGCTCCCCGAAGACAACATTGTGATTTTGGGTGATGGCATGATTGTAAGTACCTGTTTGAACCGGTTTTTGGATCATCTACTATGATCAGTTTTTACTTAAATTTGGATTGTTTTAAATTGGAGCCTATATCTAGACTAATCAATTCAATCATTGTTTCCTCATTTTATCTCCATTATTATAGCCTGATCACGAGATTGAAAAGGCTAAACTAGATCCTTTTTACTCCCATGGATTTCATATTATTATCGACAGCTCTAGATTTTCATCTCGTGCTGCTCTTGATTGCTTAGAGAAGCTTTCGCTTGATGCTTGTTCAGATCCCAGAGTTTCCAGGCAGCTAGATTCAGCGTCAAATGCATATACCAATGAATGTCTAGCTGATGGTGAGGCACGCATCTCAGCATTTCGTGATACAGTCTATGCAGAATTGGAGGAACAGAAGCGCCAAACTTTAAATCAAAAGAATATTTTGCTTCGCCAATATACGGTTTCAAAGGCGTTACTGATGGACAGTGGCCTTTCCTTTTCACCTGTATTTGCGCAATCATCGCTTCAAGATTCAATAAGTGCGTTGCAATCAATAGACAGCCCTCATTCCCAAGAGACTATGCCAAAGTCTGATGTAGTTGAAGGCAAAATAGGATCTCCAATTGACCCCAAAGCATCATCGTTTAGCACTTCATCAGCCATATCAGATGGTCTAAATGCATCATCTCAAAGCCAGACACAAGCCCGTTCTCCTGATACAGAATCGACTTTTAAAACAAAAGCATCTGATCTTGTGTCTGACCCTAATGCAGTTTCTGGGTCATGGCGGCCCCCTCTTCCAGATTCTTCTGGTTTTCCTGGGACATCAATACAAACAGATCAAGTACTGGCTATTGAAAATGATGATCAAGACGAAGATCTTTTTGAGATGGAAGGCGTCGCAGCACGACCTGTCACAAAATACACACTCCCTGCTGATAGAAAAGTCAATATCATTCATTCTAGTAAGATTGGTTTTTGTACATTTTAAACAAGACTGATTGTATAAGATATCTAAAAGTCTAATACGAGCTAATCTGAAATGTTTAACCAACTTTTTTGCCACATTCAATTATGCATCACACTCTTTGGGGTTACCAATACTACACATTGTAGATTATCGATGGAGGCATCGCCAGCAAGGACCATCGAATATGTCCATATCACTCCCAATTAAAACACCAAACTATGTACAACTTTCTCAGCAAGATCTGGATTTAATATCTGAAGAAAAAGCAGTCGCAGAGCTAGCGCATCTTGAAAACAAAGGAGTTGTTGATGGTGTTGCAAGGGATAGCAGTTCAATTCACCAGTCAAACTCAGAACACACATCAACTCAGCAGGAATCTAATGAAGAGAGTGATTGCGATGAATCAGAAGTAGCACCAGCCTTTGAACCACCGCATATTTTGTCTGCGCGGACCTATGCTGCAGATTCTTTTCTAAGCTCAAGACCTTTTACCCGCAAGTTCTCTGCCTTGTGATGAATACATATTATTTTTAACAATGTAACATGAAAAGCATCACAGATGCGAGTTTAAATGGATGGTACTTGATAGCAGCTTTATTGTTGAATCATAAAGTGTGGGGTGTTTATTGAAAGCACAAATGTGTTAGGAACAAACCTCAATCTTGAGTGTATCACCACTGACAACATCATAATACGCCAACTCTTTGAGATCGTCTTTGAGAATCTCAGTACGACCATCTACAGCCGAAACCCATGTCACCATCACATTTGCATGATCAGTATGTAGGGTATTGATCTTGAATAATCGGATCAGCAGCGGTTTGATGGCTCTGACGGTGATTGTAGCAGGGAATTTCTTTTCAATTATACGACCTGATTCACAATGATGTAGAATGAGTTTCAACAGTCTATCCTTGAGAGCATTGGACAATAGTGCGGTAGGAGCGAGAGTTGGAGTGCCGTGTACCTTGCAAAGCGCAGTATATCGAGGATGAATCGTGTCAAACAGACTAGGATCAGATGACAGAGCCAGGGCTTTGGCAGCCTCGGAAAGGTAAAATAGCTCACCATTGAGTCGGTCGCGATCAGAAACTGTTGATCCATTAAGGAGAGTAACGCGTTCTAGTCTGCCAACAGCAATCCAAAACAAATCTGAGCGGGTGTATGATACCAGATTGCCATTGGGTTTAATAGTTTGAGCATGTGACTGTTGTTCCTCTTGGGTTGCAATGGTAGTAATGGGATTGCGTTTGATTCGCACATCCACCAAAGCCGGATAAGAATTGAGCGCATGGATTGATGACCAAGAGTCGATCAGATTGTTGTTGAGAGAAATAGCAGTCAAATGAGCAAACAATGGCTCAGAGGTAGTAAGGACATTGGGTTCAATGACTTGAAACTTATTGTCGGATAGATTCAGAGTCTTTAGACTTGCAAGCTTTCCTAGACGCTGAACATCCGACCATTTTGAGAGAGAATTGTTTTCTAGATTTAAAACAGTAAGATGATCAAGACCTTGGACAAAGCCAGATGCAGTAGTTTGAAGTGACAAAAGTATATTTGAACCAAGATAGAGTTCATTCATGTTGGGAAACCAAGACACGATCCGCTCCAGCTGCTCAAAACATATCAAAGTAGACATGAGAGTCATTTGAGTGATCGAGGCAAAGACGCATGTCAAATCGACAGTGTCGGATGCAGACACAGATGCAAACCGATTGCCAGAAAGTCGTAATGACTTGAGTTTGGGCATCTGGGCCACAATCTCGGCCACAGCAGACCAGCTGGACAGCAAGTTTCTGGACAGATCCAAATCCACTACAGACGCACAGGACTGACGAACAGCATCGAGTTCCTGTTGAGTGGAACCACAACAGGAGATACCCAAACCAGCAAGTCCAAGCTCATGAATCAGTCCCAGTTTACTCAGTCTGTCTTTGATCTTGTCCCATCCCACAGTTTCAACAACAATAGAGTGATCTCCACCAAATGAAATTGTCCCATCGACAGGCTGGTCAGAATGGTATTTGCGAGTCAATGCTAGAAGGAGAGATTGTCCCTTTTGGATATCAGTCTTGGATGACAGAATAAACGATCCTGAGTTGAGCAGTGGTGCTGATGCATCAGCAGACTGCGTAGTAGTAAAGTAGGTTCGACCATTAAAAGAGCCAGTATGCTTCCCTCTAGCAGGATCATCCCATTCCACCCCAAGCCAAAGACCGGGTTTGCCATCCACACATCCAACATACAAAACAGTGGCCGGCTCATCTGCAACAAGAATACGATCTCCAACGGAATAGAGACTGTCACTCGTTGCAGCAGTGCTAGTGTATGAATCTGCTAAAAGCATATTGCTTTGTAGATTCAAGAATATTAACAAAAGCTATTTTAAAAGTCAATCCCATTGGAACTTGATGGAATACTCTGGATCTACTCACCAAGATCGGGCTGTTTTGTCTAGAGAGCCCGATGTTGGCTGACTGATGCGAATGGCTTGTTATTTCAACTTTCCTTGGAATCAATATTCAACCTTTGTCAAATGGAAGACGATGTTAGCGATGTAAGTGACGATGAAGTCAAACCTGGTCTCTCTGAGTCTGTCGATGTCAAGAGTCTTGCTGGTGATTCTGACGATGAGTTTAGTCTGGACCACCAAGATAATGCTGTCTGGCTAGTCAAAGTCCCCAACTTTCTAGCTGAAAAGTGGATGCAGATTGGTTTCACTCATGCTGGAAAGGACCTTGGCCAAGTCAGGATTGATAAAGAGTAAGCCCTCATACCAGCTCTTTAGATGAAACAACCTGCTACAGCTCATCCCAGTCACTATCCAGTCTACTTGCTTTTGATTCTAACCCAACCTTTGCTTTTAAAGATCCACCATGCAAGGAAACAATCCTAAAGTCACCCTTCATATCCCCGATGAGCCTTGGTCTGCAGATCTTCCAAAAAACTATAATCTCAAGTTCACCAACTTGGCACCTAAAAACGAATATGTATTTACTGAAACAAGTCAGGGCCGAGCAGTGGGCATTGCTGGAATTGTTCAACATGAAGCCACGGTCAGTCCAATGGTCACTGATGCCACGCATAGTGCTCACTACCAGCGCATCATGAAAAAGAGAACCACAACTGCTGCAACCCCAAGTCGCGTCGTCAAAATGATTGACGAGAACAAGACTGAGCATCGTAGACTCATGGGGTCTGCTTCGTCTGATACTTGGAACGCTGGTCTCGAACATATCAAGGTAGTGTTGCACAATGGTTGGGTTTTGCTACTAGATTTCATTTTCCACGCACTCAACTGCTTGAACTCGATCGTTTGTTGCCATTGTAACCTACTGGTCATGCTAATGTTTTTGAATTACTGCTACAATCGTCGACTTGTATAGCAAAAAAAGTCTTCCAAATCTTTAGACAAGCGTGAACGTATGACTCGGAGTGATCTACTCAACGTACTATTTCCCCTGTTTAGTGGGTATCCATATTGGAATTTCAAAGGCTTGGTTGAGCAAACAAAACAACCTCACGCTTGGCTAAAAGAAATTTTGGCTGAAGTATGTATTTTGAACAAGCGTGGTCCTTACACTGGTATGTATCAGCTTAAACCCGAGTTTGTCCTGGGAGGCCAAAAACCGTCCAATCGACCAGAAAAAAGCACATTGGGCTCCTTTCCATCTTCAACCTTTTGAAGTTGGATCCAAACCCTTTACTTTCAAAAAATCAATAGCATCGATACTATTATTTTAAAATATCATTCTATTTGGAAAGTTCAATTGGAACCAACAAGGTCTGCGGATGTATTGTATTGATCCCATAATGCCAAGAGCATAGCAGGTGTTTAATTTCAATCAAATAAATTCAAATAGTCTTCATATCAAAATAGTTTATTGCGTTGCCAACAATCCACTCGGCCAGTTTTTAAAAAGTGTGTAGCTAAGCAGACTGCATCGTGGAAAGAAGCTCATCTCGATGCTGGGTTTTAAAACGATATGCATCTTGTAGGTCTTGCTCCATCATTGCCAACTTTTCCAATTCTTTCCTACTACGATACACTCGAGCATCAAACGCTTGTCCTTCTAAAGCCTGTACAGCACGGAATCCCTGTAACGACAGCAAGGAAGATTCCAGACTAGTAAATACATTGGATAGATCCTTTTGGAGTACTTTGGAGCGTGACATGTACCCACCAAGAGTAACACCAAGTCGTTTCTCCAATTTTTGAGCCTTGATTGCATGCTGTTTCATGGTTTCGCGGTAGGCATCTAGCTGGGCTTTCAATAGGGTTCGGTGATCTGATGATGAAAGACTGCTACTGTTAACATAGGTAGACTTGCTAGGATCATAGACAGAAAGAGAACTCAAAGAGTCGTGTATGGCTGCAAACTCGTCTGGATTTGGATAGCCCGTTGCAGTGTCGGGATGAGAGTCTGATACATGCTTGGATTCTAAACTCTGTCGTATCATCTCAATTTCTTCCTGAACAAGTTTATTGGCTTTGGTCAGCAGATCCAAGGAAATCTTTTCAAACTTGGGTAATACGCCTGATTTTTGCAGAGGTGGCTGATTTTGAGATGGATACAAGGTGATATCACGCTGAAGCAGTAGTGCTTTTTCTTGTCGAATCAAATCATCACATGAATCAGGTTCTACAATCCCATCATTTTCAGAGTAAAGCTGCTCAAGAAGCCTCAGTGACACAACAGGTCGAGGAAGATCACGCTGTACAACCATAGAACGTAGTTGTCGCTTTATGTCTGCATCTTGCTTGCGTTGCTCCATTGCGCGGTTTAGCACATCCTCGGTATCTTCCTCCATATCCATACCACTAGCATCCGCTGTATTAAAGTCTACATCGTCGGAATCAGAATCAGATACTACAATTTCAAAATCGTTTTTGGGTTTGGGAAGACTTGCAAAATGCTCAGAAAGCTGCTTACGAAGCATTTCCTGTTGCTGGCGAAAAGCTTGGGGAGTTTCACCACCACCCATTCCACTGAATTCTGATCGCGGGGTATTGATTCCCATTTGATCGCGAAGCGGTGTGTGTCCAAAAAGACCACCCACAGTAGCATTGGAACGAGGTGTACCACCAACACTATAGGCATCGGATTGACCAGCCGCACCACCTTCCTGATTATGGCGGGGAGTGAGGTTAGCAGCAAGTGGATTGGGCGTGGCTAAAATACTACGCTTGGGTGTAGCACCAGAAAAATCAACATTGCCCTCTAAATCTACTGTTCCTCCAAGAAGCGGGGTCTGTGACTCTGTCATTGCGCGCAAATTACGAGCCTGAAGCATGAGTGAGTCTTGGCTTCCAGCAGCTGCTCGTGGAGTACGTAATGGAGTTGGAGCACGGAAGGTAGAATAATCGCTCAATAGCGATGAGCTGCCATCTTCGCCAGATTGTACAATGGCACGCACATTCTCTCCAGCAACACCCATTTTAACAATTTCTTCAAGTTCAATCTCGGATACTTGAGGCGCAGGAAGAAATAGCTTGCCACGAGGAGTCATTTCCAAAGCCTTCAAGGCTCGTAAAGCTTGAGGAGGAACATATTCGCCTTGCTCTTTCTTGGTTTTTTGACGCTTAAAATCCTTTTTGCGTTCTACCTCTTCAATCTCCATACGACGTTTGCCTTCGAGTTTGGACAACAGCTCGTTGGTAAGATTGGTTTTTTCAACCTTTTCCCGTGCAATTTCATCATTGATGTCCCAAAATCCAGCAGGTTGAGGCTTATAAAAGGGAATATCGGCATTGTAGTTCATGCCATTGAGTTTTTTAAATACTTTGGTTTCGATTCCAGCCGCTTTGAGCTCTCTACGCTTCTGTAATGCCGTTAAGCGGCGAGCTTCTTCTAGCTGCTTCTCACGAGCTTTGCGTTTTGCCTTTTTTCCCTGAGTGTTGGCAAGACGTGCACGAGCTTCTGAAAGCATTTCCTTTTCTATTATATTATTTACATTAAAAAAATCAACATACAGTGATGATGGGTCAAGGCAAAATACGATCAAGCAATAGAAATCAAAATTACAAGTACCATCTTCGTCCATATCCACTGGATCTGGTCGTGCAGGCTTGGTTTCAGGCTCAGGATCAATTTCTCCAGGACGAAGCTTTCGCACATCATCACTGTTTGGACCACCCTCCTGTACAATTAAATAGATATTTCATCAACTGGGTCAAACACAGATCTCATGGTTGGTTAGTGATAAATGGCCAATTACCTCATCTCCAGCCTCGGCTTCATCAAGAAGCTTATGATATCTCTCCAAACACTGAGCTGGAGTTCGACCAACAATCGGAGCAATAGTTCTCCATTGTGTGGGCATAAGCTTGGCAAGATGAAGCAGTTTTTCATCTTCTTCTTTGGACCATTCCGTTTTTTTGATGGACGGATCTAGCCAATCGAACCTGAAATGGATTACAAATATCAATGACTGTTTTCGAAATTCAATTTAAAAACATGTATAGATCTGGCTATAAGGGTTAGATGGGATCTGCCTACCATCGGGCCTTGCACTGTTTTGGTGTTTTGCGAGTCAAAAGGGATGAAATTCGAGCCCATTGGTTTTTGCCATATTTCATGACAGCAGCCTAAGGATATAAAACAGTGACAATGTCAGACATTTGGAGCATTCTTACCCAGCAATGTAAATGATTGGAATAGATAGAAACAAAGCTCGGATCATGAGAATGAATCACTTGCCTTGAGGATTTCATCCTCAGTGTTTTTCCAGACACCACCCTTAATCAGGATACGCATTATGTATCAATGAGTTTAGTCAAGGATGCAGCAGTAATGTCTGAATAAAAGCTAGGAAACTACAATGCTGATATTGACGCTGATTTACTTTTCAAGTTTGCAGTTTTTATTTTTGGCCAAAACACAGCAATTGATTTTGGCCAAAATCAATTGCTGTTTTAAAACTTCATTGACAGCTGAAGCTATATGAATAACGAGTGATATTCTGAAACGCAACAGACTCGATCTGTAGCTGACAAGAGTCGATATTTTTATAATTTACAAACGCATCTTTATTTGCAAACACAAGCTAGATCGACAGCCAAACTTGGCTTGAGTAAACGAGTTCAACTTTTAATTCGATTTGCAAAGTAGAATTGCACCAATAGATAAAACTTGCATTGTAAGATTGACTTGTTCATGTTGCAGTTCTTGGCAGTCCAACGTCTAAACTGGTCTTGTTTCGCGTGTGCAAAAACAGTGTTTTATCTGCAAAGGCAACGTTGCTGGTTCAAACCAACGCACTTTTGACCTGGGCAACACTAGATGTACGGATGATTTCTATCTGTAGTTACTTTGTAATGCACATGTATATCAGGAGTTTCATTTTGATGTACATTCATACTCTTTGTTGTATTCCCCCTGGCTATTCTTTTTGATAGCATTTACTGGACTTGTGCTGTCGGCCATCTTTAATATTTCTGATACTTGGAGTATATTTGGCTCAGAATTTATGTTTTCATGAAATATACACTATCTCTACTACTGGAACTTTTATCTAGATTACTAGTGCTTTGCAGCATATAGTACTTGGACTAGTGATTTCTCCTGCCTGATTTGCATGCACTATGGAATTGATTGTGGCAAATCTAATACAAAGATACTAGACGAAATTCCAGCAGATCATATCACAGGTTCATGAGTCTTAATTAGGGTATACTATATCCAAGATGTTCCTGAGCTTGCTGGGGGCTCTACATGTGTTGAATAGCATGTCTATTGTACTTTGAATCTATTGTTTCAAAGAATTATCTATAAATCGAGACACTAACTATTGCCCATGTATATGCTCAACCAGAACTTGCAAGGCTTGTTTTTAAAATCAATCTCAACAAATCATAGTACTATCAAAAGATATTTCATCAAGCACATTAATATGCACGCCGGTTCACAAAGTGGTAGGATCAAACTTGACTATTTTACATCCGCATTCACGTAAAATGGACCACTTTCCTATTTATCCTGCAGTCATTATTCTACTTTGGAATAAGCAATGGTTGACTATATGGTGTGCTTTCCTATTAGAAATTGGCTTGAATAGACAATCAGTCGCTCCAAACAACATCCATCATGTAGCACAAACTATAGTTTTGAACTGACACTGCCCTCATTTGGTAGTCATACATTGTACGATCACTCAACTCATCCATTACAATCCATCTATTTAATTCAACTGTTTTCAATCCAACTCTGTACACACTCATGTATGCTAATCTCTGATACGCTCGCGTTCTAGTTCAACAGAACAATGATTGCATGTCTTGGGAATGCAACAATTGTTTTGATGCCAATCACACAATGTTTGATTTGGATCAAAAAAGAGTTGAAGATGGAACAAGTGAGATGCACTGAAACAGAGATGTGAACATGGATTCAGTTTTTATGTAAACATGACAAAAGAATAGTCGACAGTTTAAAGAACAGTATTCAGTAAATTGAATCATTTGATGAGATTAACTGTTTACTATGTATTTTGGTATCCTTATTTAATGTTTTGTTTTATGTGAACACGGCTGTATTATCTCTACTCATCTCTTGTTACGTTACTAATTAGATATTCACTTGACCCACTACATTGTTCTGTTTATTTTCAATAGATTCACAAAATGAGGATTCTGGCACGAGTGGGTTTTCAGAAATATCCTCATCAGAGGTATCGTGGATATCCTGGTACTGTTCGCTTCCAGGTACATTGGAACTCCATTATTACTACCCATTATCTCTAGTCTTGTGACTTTCTATACATTTTAAACTAAAAGGTTTAGAGTTTGATGTATAGACAGTTGTGAATTTAACTTGCTACATTTTTATTAATCTTTAGAGCACGAATTTTTTCTCGAGATTCCCGAAGAATATCTAGAAGATGAATTTAATCTTGCTGGGTTGAGCTCAAGCGTTCCATTGTACAATGAAGCGCTGGATTTAATTTTAGATCTGGAACTAGAATGCTCAGATACAGATGATTCAAATAGCGCAAAGGTACCACAGCAGCGACAACAATACAATGCGCATTTGAGAATGGTGGAATCATCAGCACAAATTTTATATGGACTAATACATGCGCGTTTTCTTCTCACAAAACCTGCTTTGGTCAACATGGCAGAACGGTTCAGAATGAAGGATTTTGGCCGATGCCCTAGAGTTGGATGTGGTAAATGTGGTGTAGTTCCGTGTGGTCTTTCGGATATCCCAGGGGTTGCTACACTTAAAATGTACTGTCCTCGATGTGGCGACTTGTATAGTCCAAAAAAGGTAACGTACTAGGAATATGGGGTGCTATGGTTTAGCCATTGGATGTATTTTGATTTGAATGTTTAGCGGATTTAACTGACACTACTAGTTTGATTTCAGCCGAGATTTCAGTCACTTGATGGTTCAAGTTTTGGCACATCGTTTCCATCATTCCTATTTTTAACCATGCCACATTTAGTACCACCTGTTCGAATGGGTGTCGAGACGGAGCAGGGGTATATTGCACAAATGAATACAAATGAGCACGAGCGTGCAGCATTGATACGAGCACGAGAGCATCCAGTTTTATCGTCTGATGAGAACAGCGAGATGTCAGAGTCGTCAGAATCAGAATCAGAAGACGAACAGGAGGAAAACGATCGATCCGAGAAAGATATTATGGAAAACGATAGTTTTGCGATGCAACGTTTGCCAGACTATTGGGTTTATACTCCGAAAATCTTTGGATTTAGGATCTCCGAGTTGTCGAGCACTGGACCTCGTTTGGGATGGTTACGATGGCGCTCAGGATTGCCAATTCCTGGTAAGCGACATCACAATGAAATGGACAATAATTTAGCGACCCATCAACGACCTGCCCATGCAGGGAAACTCGTGGCACCATCCTCTGGAGTTGCCTGCACAGCTGGACAAGCCAACTACAATGGTGGTAGTGCAGTTCATCCGCAAAACGTAAATGCTTTGGAATTGGGGCAGTTGAAAATACCAATGGATACGAATGGATCATCTTGGACTGTAAAGTCGCACACGGAGTCCAAAGAAGCTTGAACAGTTTTTTACCGCCGTATTCACGTAAAATGGAACACTAAATAGGGGTACCAAAATACATAATAAATAGCCAGTCTCATGGAATGGTTTCCACTTAAATTACTGACAGAACTGTATTCGGTAAAGTTGGCTAGTATTTCTCGTAGGGATATTGTCATTCAACTAGAGCATGAATGTATCTGTAAGCTTTAGGACACAAGAGTTTGTACGAATCTGAGAATGGTTGAATCCAATATTTGGGTTCAAATTTGGTGATTGTATAATATATGACCAAGAACAGTGTTCAAACTGTTTATTGAAGAATTGAGACCATCAAAATTGGGGCAGTGCAGTCAATTTGGAATAGGAAAGCATAGCAGGACTGTTTATTCTGGATCAGTGCAAGACAGGAGAGTTGTTTAGTGAATACTGCGGTAAATTAGTTTATTCAGAACCCTCCGGTATGTCATCAGATTCGAAGGGCCTGAATTCCAAGTATTCATCATGTGATTCACAGTAGGCGGAGGGAAAGCAGTAAAGAGTGTCATGTGTGAGCAGCAGTATTTAGTTGGAAAACTGAATGATCAGCACATGCCGAGTATTGTACATGTATGATGAATGGTCTGGGAACTCACAACTAGTATTAGTAAAACACTCCACCCTTGATGGTGTTTTACTAATAGATTGTCTACTGGTTTGAATGACAGAAGCATCGATCGTGTTTCCAATACCGCGACCAGCTTACAGGTTACCACTGCAGTTCTCGATACCATCCAAGTAGAATCTACTTTATAGTTTTCGACACCATCCAAGTAGAATCTACTTTACAACATTTTATTTCAACTCCAGTTTGAGAATGTTCAACGTGCAGTAAATTAGTGCAAATTGCTTCACGAGACTGCTGTATTTTGGTACCCTTTTAGTGTTCCGCTTTACGTGAAGACGGCTGTGATGTGCATGATTTTAACTTTTTAGCCTCGACTCGCATCAACCCTTGACTTGCATTCTAATCGCATCTGCTTTATACTCTCAAGTCTCTTGATATTCCACAAGACTCTTACTGTAGTGGTTAAACATTAGTGTCAGTATTCTACTTGCTGATCTTGACTGCCCCTTGCACTTGCACTTTTAAGCTGTCTGGAGTGTTTGGCTTCAACTTGCATATTAATGTCTGGATTAAACCTACTCAATCCTTTCTTATGTTCATGCTTTTTAAAGCCATCTTCTGCAATATTCATGCTACATTATAATCTTACTAGAATCAGATTGTTGCTGATTTCTTCTAGTTCACAGCCCTGACTTGGATTTACAGCTGTATTCACATAAACAGAACTTTCCTATTTATCTTGCTGTTACTATTCTGCTTTGAACTAGACAATGTGTTTGCCTTTCTACTATAATTGGGTTTCATTGCTTTTTCAATCGACACTCTTAATTCTTGCTCCAAACAACATCCATCATGTAACACAAACTATAGTTTTGATCTGATATTGTCCTCATTTGGTAGTCATACATTGTACGATCACTCAACTCATCCATTACAATCCATCTATTTGATTCAACTGTTTTCAGTCCAACTCTGTACACACTCATGTATGCTAATCTCTGATACGCTCGCGTTCTAGTTCAACAGAACAATGATTGCATGTCTTGGGAATGCAACAGTTGTTTTGATGCCAATCACACAATGTTTGATTTGGATCAAAAAAGAGTTGAAGATGGAACAAGTGAGATGCACTAAAACAGAGATGTGAACATGGATTCAGTTTTTATGTAAACATGACAAAAGAATAGTCGACAGTTTAAAGAACAGTATTCAGTAAATTGAATCATTTGATGAGATTAACTGTTTACTATGTATTTTGGTATCCTTATTTAATGTTTTGTTTTACGTGAACACGGCTGTAATACTTGCATTTGCTGCTTTGCATTATTGATATCAGTCCATGTCAAGCATCCATTGGATGTCATTCAAAGAGCAGTGTTGGACTATACACACCTATTGTTATGTGTATAACTAAAAGTTACCTATGCTGAAATATTAGACTTGCTTGTCTAATTGCTTTTCAAACCTCTATTGTCATTCTCTGACACGCAATCCTCATTGTATCCTTGGCATGTATTCAACAATATATAGTCTGTACTTGCTGTGTGTATTACCCGACCATCTTGGCTACTTTTATTCGTGCAGTTTCCACTTGGACATAAATAGAACCAGTGACTAACCTGTTTTATATTTGTTTTTGCATTTTATTTACCTTATTCAACAGTCTAATTTGTTCTCAAACCATCCAATTTTGTGTCTTGACTAAGCGTCGCGACACTTGTTTGCCATCAGATCAGTATAAAATCAGGTTCATTTGAGGCTTGTATACCAAATATTCAGTACACTTTTAAACTATTCTGAATCTTGCCTGATAATGTCTGGCTCACTCAGAAATCAGGAAAACAACGTGCAGCATATGATTGAAAACACTTCTTTGGATGCAAAACTGGAGGATGTTGTCATTACTCACTCTGGATCTATAGTATATCCAGCACGGCTGGTTCGATCAATCTCCAATAGTCTGGAAGGAAATTTGCCTAGAGCAACTTCTACAGATGATAGTGCCAGAAAAACAAATATTTCTTTTACGGCTGCTACAAATTCCATGAAACTGCCATTAACTACTCCATGGAATGATGAGGGGTATGGATCATGGGAAGAACCTTCTTTGATGATTGTACACGCTTCCAACGATCCATTTCCAGGCAATTCAGATATCACAGACACCTCCCATCTTCCACGCACTTCTCATGCTCTTGAGCTCCCTCCACTCCAGATGAAAATATCTCCCATTATTTCATCTGATACTTTTCCCATTCTTCCTAATATGCAAAGTGTAGATACTCTGCATTATTCACCTCAGTTTTCGTATCTTTTTGACAAAAGTGATTGTGACGCTGTAAAGGGAAAGCCATCCAACACTGTCTTGGGCATGCAACCTTCTTTTCAACAAACTATTGATAAGCCCTATCCTGATGGCACAGATGGGCACTTTTTGTCTCTTGTTTCCACATCCTATGAAAAGCATCACAGTCTTGACACTTACCATACCATTGGAAGCTCTGATGAACCTGTGATTACCAGCACTTCTTTGCCATCAAAACCAACTAGAGACGCGGTTCAAGTGCAGTCTACTCGTTCTTTTGCCAAATTCTCGCATCTTTTACCTGAACTGTTGGTGCTAGTACATAAATACATTTACGCTCTTTGCGGATCACCATCAACTACACAGCGCACTCTCTATGCTTGCAGTCGGGTCAACAAACATTGGTATATGCATAGCATTGCTTGCCTTTGGGAGCACCCATATCTACCTACGGAATCATCCATTATCAGATTTGCTCATTCCTGCATCCCGCCTGTTTTGATCAAATTTAATACGGATGCTCCAGACTCAAACAACACACCCACTACTTCATGCATAAGCAACACCAGTAATGGGTTTCTTGTGCGAAAACTGGACTTTGGACGTGTTCGTTTACACGATCCCTTTCATTCGTTCATTTTTAATACTGTGGCAAAATATTGCACTGAGCTTCGCGCTGTTCGACTCTGGTGCGAATCTCTTGATATATTCACTTTGCAGCATATAGTCACCTGCTCGATTCATCTGGATACTCTTGTGGTTACTGGAAATCTTGGTCGGTGGATTGACGTATGTGATTTCAATCTTAAAGGGTTTGTCGATGTGGTGTCAAAACTTAGTGTTTTGCAGGTTGACGTGGGATTTGATGGTGATTTTGGTCGAAATAGACTTGTTCGTCTTATTTCATCAAATGTCAGCTCTTCAATTCGTCATCTTCGTTTGGCCGGCGCTGATGACGATGAACGTATTATGGCTATTTGTAACAAATGCCCTAACCTGCAAGTCCTTTTATGTGCCTGGAGTAATATTACCGAACAATGCATCAGTCACATGGCTACATCTATTCCAGATTTGCGTGTTCTCGATCTTCGTGGATGTCAGAAAGCAGTCACATCTGCTGGGATGCATCAGTTACTATCTCATTGCCATCATTTGAAAGGCATTGATCTGAGTTTTACAAGTGGTGGCGATGATGTGTTGGCATCCCTTATTGACTGCACCGACTCCATGAGTACCATTATTTTGGCTGGATATGCGTGTTCCGAGGCAATGCTGGTGCGACTCATTAAGCACATGGGCACTCATTTGCGAGTGCTGTCCATTGCTTGGTTTGGCGGGAAGTTTACCGATACTGCCATGGCTGCACTGGCCGCATCCAGTCCGTTTCTTGAAAAACTGGACATTCGTGGATGCAGACATATCAGTGTGACGGCTATTCAGTTCTTGGTAGAAAAATGTAAACGACTGACAATACTCAAATTGGAAAGTTCCGTCTCGGCCGTTCAAAATGCCGATCTACTAGCTGCAAACCACATCGTGTCTTCGACTACACCAATCTCTGTAAGTACATCCATAAGTGGAGTTATTTCGACACGCCAAAATACACTTCCAATCCCAACTGCAAGTCGCCGTCGATTTGGCCACAGAACACAAAGGCTGTCAGCCGAGGAACATGAGCGTCGCAGTCTACTGAAATTACTTCGCAAAAGATTTCCTTCAGATGAGCTTGTTCGTCTCGAGGAAACCATAATGTGATTTATCTATTCTCGTTTTTTGCTTCATGCGCAAATACCTGTTCATACCAACCACCTGCTTTATATATCTTTCATCTTGCAAATCATCTTTAAATGGAGTTGATTCACTTGTATATATATGCATCTGCCTTTGTATAGCGCCTAGCAATCTGGGATCTCGTTCGCTACACATTGTCTTTTGATCTACGATATATAAAGTTTACCTTTATATCTTTTTAATTCTCATCGTTATTTTCAACAATCATTGCGTTAGCAATTAAAACATTTTTTGTTGAAAAGGTGTGCGTTGATCTCAATATCCACAATCTTTTTAGCCCAACTATTCATTGTCAATCACTTTCAATTTACAGTCGTATTCACGTAGATGGAACTTGCATTTATCTTGTAGTGATTGCTTTAGAATAAATAATAGTTGAATATTTGTTATTCTTCTAACAAAAATCGACTTGAATAGAGCTCTTGAGTTTTTGGTGTTTGGGATTATTCGACGCACAAAGTCATCTTTTACAGGATTCAAGGATGGACAATACAGAGTTGTGTAATGTAGTTGCAATCTGCATTGGTTGTTGAATGTCTGGTAAATTATGTCTAGTCAAAGTTGCTTTGTGAAATGGAGCGTTGTTTAGAATAATATGCGTGTTTGGAAATGTTGCTGTCGTTGTTTGGAAAATCTTGGAATGCTATAGTCTTGACAGCTTTCTCGATCAGTCTTCAAAAGGTCCATGAGCGTGCTCGCAACATCTCGTTGTTCAAGTATCAAGAATTACAAAAAACGATTGGGATATCTTACGTGAATATGGCTGTCAATGAGCTTAGATTGTTTTCAATTCTCACTCGACTGTACATTTCAAACACAATCAAATCATACCCTATCAGTGAAAGAATATAAAACTATTCATTTACAAGTCGACACATTGATGAATTAATTTTTTAGACATTTGAAATCTTGAATTTCTGTCAACTCGATAGATCTAATCGATATTCAGTTGGAGTTTGAGCCATTCATATGAATAGAATGAAACAGCAAACATAGGTGTAACTTTGATATACCCAATACTCAAGCCAATCCAAAAACCTCTAAATCCTTTACGACGAAAAATGTCTTTGACTGTGTTGAAAGTAGATGTATGTTCATGTCCAAGAGCAGATTTTCCCGACACTTGCATATGGCGTCGAACGACTTCAAACGGATAAGAAAAGGTCTGAGCAATGACTCCAGATATGCCACCAATGGTAAGATTCGTCAGAGCGTTTAAAATTGGCTTGATAGGAGTATGTAGATCAGACGACTTTGCCGAGGTAAAAGATATATTAGTAAGAGGATGAGAGGTGGGGTTAATAGATTGCTGCTGTTGGTAGGCAGATACTTCATTCCAATTGGACAGAGTGTACTGCTGATAATGCATGAGCATATACGACTTGAGTGTTTCATAGGTTAAAAACGAAACTCCTGCATAGGGTATCATGCCATAAATAGTGGGTATAAAGCCCCGATAGAAATTAAACAGGTTCGTAAAAGGCAAGATCCATTTGGGTGCATTAGGGAAGAAAATGCTCGGCTCGATGTACATTGCTCTAGCGGTCTCAAACAGGCCAGATGGGGGTCGGTTTAATCTTACATCAAATGCCATCCGAACACGCAAAATATCTAGTGGGTATGAGCAAAACACGGACAAGCAGCCTAGATGATCATTTTATAAGAAAATAAGAATCCTCGCTTCAAATTAGTATATATACATGATAGATCCTAAATGTCAAAGTTGGCAGCAATGCAAAATATCGTGTATTATATTACCAGCAATTGATCCCGCCAGAAATTTTTTTATGGGAGTTTCATGTTTCTTGGTAGGCATTAGCCACCCCTTAAGTTGCTCATATGACATGAACTTGATAGCAGCGTATGGGAAAATACGAAGCAGTGTTGCTGAGTGACCCTGAAAAAGGCCAAACGTGCCTTGTGTACGTCGAATGGTAGATAATGCTCGAAATGTTCCAAAGAACGAACCTATATTAATAAGATCATATTTTAAAAACATGGATAACAAGTGTTAGATTAAGTATTGGGTATCCATCATTATGGAGCAATCCGTAATGCTCAGCCAAAAAGTCAATTCTCAAACAACCGGAACCACCAAGTGTAAAAGCATAAGGTGAGATTGAATATTTGGACAAGTCGCACTACAAAATCGTAAATACCGCATTCAATTGAACCACATTATGGATATAATATTTGTATAGCAACCCAACCACAGCAGCATTTTCAATAGCGCAGTGTAAAGTGAATCAAGGCAATGAGCTTTACCAGCGAATTTCTCATATGCTGGATTACTGGTTTGAAAGAGGATCTTTACTCGATCCAAAGGAGCAATAACTGTCTTTGCAGCACATCCAGCCAGACCACCTGCAAGAAGAGTTTTTGATATGTATTCTATAGATTGCTTGTCTTTACGGCTTTTGGCATCGATAAATGGAGTGTGTTGCTTACGAACATCCAATTGTGAAGTCGAGTTTTTATTTTCTGATGGCTCATTTGATGCAGACATGGGCAGACAATATATATGAAAAAGTTTAGATACTGGATTTGATGCAATCCAGAAATGTGTAGTATGTCAAGCTGCACTGGATAACTAGCACCAAAAACGATGGCTGAAAGTAGGTGCAAAATCGACTGTTTGAACAGATTTTTACAGCCGTGTTCACGTAAAACAAAACATTAAATAAGGGTGCCAAACTGCATAAACAGCCAATCTCATCAAATGATTCAATTTACTGAATACTGTTCTTTAAACTGTCGACTATTCTTTTGTCATGTTTACATAAAAACTGAATCCATGTTCACATCTCTGTTTCAGTACATCTCACTTGTTCCATCTTCAACTCTTTTTTGATCCAAATCAAACATTGTGTGATTGGCATCAAAACAACTGTTGCATTCCCAAGACATGCAATCATTGTTCTGTTGAACTAGAACGCGAGCGTATCAGAGATTAGCATACATGAGTGTGTACAGAGTTGGATTGAAAACAGTTGAATCAAATAGATGGATTGTAATGGATGAGTTGAGTGATCGTACAATGTATGACTACCAAATGAGGGCAGTGTCAGGTCAAAACTATAGTTTGTGTTACATGATGGATGTTTATTAAAGCGGTCGATTTGTAGTAGGACTACAAATATTCAACCACAGATTATTCCCAAAACAATCAAATTACTCAACAACAGTATTGTTTTATTGCATTTTATAATTGTGTGGCCAAAGAAATGGCATAATCTATGTTGTCTGTTTTTAAAAGACCAGTGTTAAAATTCCGACATTGTTCCCTCTGAATAGTCTATACACTCATCATATAATGTGGGCTTTATATGACCAGACTGTGAACTTTGTAAATAACCACGAACAGGATGTGGTAAAGTAGGTCTTAGATCTGGTGGGCTGCTTGGACTGGTCAAGTAAGAATACATTGAATTGTGCAGTACAGGGCCATACGCAGCCGACGAGCCATCCGACAGCTGAGACGTATTTGTCGAGGGAATCGCGTAATCTGTGTTTCTTTGGTATGGCTTCAATTGTGGTAAAGGCTCGGTAAGCGGAGTTGTATATAGATCAGGTGAGAGATGTGACGATGCAATTGAAGAGGGTCTAAAGGGTGATTTTTCAAGACGACTTGGCAAGGCATTACTATCACTGTACGCAGGGTTGGAAGGAAGAGATGGGTTGGTATAGAATGCATCATTTGTATAAGATGTTTTTGATTGCAAAGGTGCATTAGATAGATGCTGTAGCGCAACCGGTGATGCTGCCGATCGTGGTGTTTGAAAAGAAGCGAGAGTTTTGCTTCTACCAATTGCCAAAAAGTTTTTCGACTTGTTGCGATACCGCCTTGTTGACTCGTACAGTTGAGTAGGTGGATGGATCGACTTGGGTTGGCGTTTTAATGGATTATCTCGATTTGCGCGGCCAGTTTTATTTCTACGAATATAAACTATAGCAACTGTAGCACATGCACAAATAAATAAAACGCACCCAATAACAATCCCAGAAACGACTGTAATACTAAGCGATGATGCGTTGGAGGCTAAGCCATCAGGTTTGCCCAAGTTGGTAGCATTTCCATCATAAATCATAGGAGGATTGGAAGGATCTATAGGCTCGGTAGTATTAATTTCACTGTATGGCCAAATGTTTGAGGGGTTTGAACGCATATACTCGCTTGTATCTTTAAGCGGAGTTGCAGAAGTGGTAATAATATCTGCATGTTTTCCTGTAACACAACTAAGTCGATTGGGGGGAGCTGGTTTGCTAATTCTACCTACGTTGAAACAGCCAGAATCACACCCGGAAGAAGTGCAAAAGTTGTATGTGAATGTCTGTTGCCCAATGGGAGTGAAGACTGTCTTTATCCAATATGTTGCGTTTGCCTGTGTACAACCTATGCAAGTCAACCCAACATTAGTCCTATCGAGATCTTGCACAAGAAATTCGAGTCATCAGAAAAAAGTACAAATCAAGCTCAAATTACTTTCAAACAGATAGTGCACTAGCCCAGCTGACGGTGAACCTTGACATCCTGCAAAACCTGGTTTATCTAAAGAGATATCTGCAGATGCATAAAGAGCCGAGGCAAACGAGGCGACGCCTGATTTCGTATTGGTGGCATCCAGAGCTGTTCTGTATAATTCATCAGTTAGAAAATAAAAACTAAAATATTGATTTGGACTACTTACGGTGACAAGGTTTTTGACATTGTAAGAGTATGAAAATAGGTCCCACATTCAGGTGATGGAGTTGTGGCAATATCATGTATCTCTGACACTGATATGCAGGTAGAAGGCAAGCAATTGCTGCTGGCACATTGCATATATGAGATTGATCCAGTTGTGGTAAACTGATTGAAAGCTGTCAGATTAGGAGTAATCACAAGGCAGGTTGGATCAGCACCAATGATGTTGGCAGGAAGTATATTCTCGGCCATCATTGAGGTTGCTGGAAATATATAGCTCCCGTTATTGCATCGTGGTACAGTGACAGTTTGGATCCATTGTCCATGTGTTAAACTGAATGTCATGGAGGCTATCAAGATTCTGATTGCCACCAGTATAGCCTCGCTATGGAAACAGCTCATTGCTAATTTTCAGTATATAGCAGTAGATTGTGATGGATGTACAAGCACAGTGAGTGTTTAAATGGAAATCTACTGCACAGTTGCTGATTAATCAAAATGACTGATTCAAATCTATAGTTTGATATACAACAGGATATTGATTACATGGCAGCTTGAGGCGTTTTTATTGGTAATTGTTCAAGCAATCCAACGAGTTTGTCGGCCTCCGTCGCGTGATTGAATTAATTGAAATGGTTTATACGGTGCTGATGTGTGGCTTGGAAATGTGACTAATTAGTTGAAATAGCACAACCCTTTGATCTTTGCAAAGTTTCAAGATAATGCCCATGTAAGACAGCAATGATATTGGATTCAACCCCAGTTATATTCAATTGATATGCATCAAAGGGAAATAGTCAGTGTCATTTATATACACAACTGTATCACGTAAAATGAAACATTGATAGACGGTCAGTCTCCAAATTTACTAGTTAATAGTATTTTCTAAACTTTGAGTCACTAGTCTTTTTCCGCTGTGCTTATTTTTGTATAAACAATTAAACGAATGCCTACACTACATTTCTAGTAAATTACAATCCTTGATCTTATTCAACTCTGCTTCTATACAAACCAAACATTACAAGTAAATATTAGATAATTGGCACGGAAACAACCGTTGCATTACCAGATTGCTTCCCTGCACTAGAGCGCGAGTATATCCGAGGTTTTAGAATACAATAGAGCTTGATTGACAAAAGCTGAATCCAATATCTGGATTTCAATAAATGAATCGGGTGATTGTACAATGTATGGATATATCAAGAGGACAAGTGGATAGTTTGATTGTACATATGATGGACGTTGTGTTGATTGAATTGAGAATGTTTATTGGAGAAGCAATCAATTTGCAATAGGAAAGCACAACCAATATTCAACCGCTACTTATCCAAAATAGAATAGAGGCAATTGCTGTAAGATAAATACAAAGGTGGTCCATTTTACGTAAATACGGCAGTAAATACGGAGCAATTGAATTGTCCCGTAATTCGACGCCTCAACTTCGGTATGGCTTTTATTTTTAGCTGCGAGTTTTGTGGCTGCAATAGGGTTTTATATTTTTGAGCAGGTAATCCAGTTTTCAAAACTTGCATCTGGACTACTTGATAGCCCGACTTCAGTGGATACTGCGTTCATTTTCAATACCAACTACTACGGCTTGAAAACTATGAAAAATACACTTTGGAATGAACGACTGTTTCCAATAGCAATACTTGTCCATTTATTGCTCATGTTCAGCAGCGTTGCTGCTCAATGGATCCAGACTGTAACAGTAAATCAGTGTAAAAATGAAGCGTTTCGATTTACAGCAGATTCACTAGAAATGGATGTAATTATGCCTGCAACCGCAATCGGTGCACCGCCTAATTGTATTCAAATTACACCTACCGTTAACATGTATTATCAGTTTACCCCTACTGGAACTGTTAAAATATATCAATGCAGTGCAGCAACATGCGCTAGTACAAGCTGTACTATTCTCACCGAGCTACAGGATATCGCCAAAATGCCTACACCTGATTGTGGCAATTATTTTCATACACTTTCCATGAGCAAGCCATTTACACCGTAAGCACATGTCTTGCACTATCTGACCACTAACATAATATTCCTAAATTGCTGACATATTTCTCTTTCTATCTTGGACTTGATCTCTTTAGGGATGTTCTCGCGGCAGTCATGGTCAGACCTGGTGTTGGCACTTTGGCTTCCGCTTACTACACCTCTATGGATATGACTAAACAAGGAGCTTCCACAGCTGGATGCCAAGGAACGTATACTTCTGGTGCCATTCACTACATATTTGAAGGTACATTATCAAATACCAATTTTTGCTGGATTTTGATTGAACCCTTTTCAATTACGTTCATCTAACAGCACGCGATATACATTGATATTGTCTAGATTGTGTTCGCGGAAACGCTACTCATTGGATAAAAACTCAGTTCACCCCATCGGGTCAGCAAACGTTTGCCAACAGGTTTTGCGCATCCAACACATGTACAGCAAACTGCGCATCACTGGATAGCTACAGCAAGCCGGCTCCGCTAAACCAACCTTCGTGTGCTGTTGGAAATTCGGTAGATACCATGAATTACCCTGCCGTACCTACCAAAGCCAATAGCGAGTATCAATCCAAACATCCAATCGACGTTTGGCCATACACTCCATCCATTGTTAATACTACCGTTCCAACAGTGAGTGCCGACTCTCCAAAACCGAGCCAAAGCCAATCTATCGAGCCCACATTTCCTAGTTCGCCAAATAGCAATGTCAATGAGCCCACCAATAAGACTGCACTAGGTTCTGGCAGCTCATCATATGATGGTGGTAAACTAATTGATGCGGGAGCTGCTGCTGTAATCGCAACGGGTGTATTTCTGGCTATGTCTGGGATTGCATTTGGTGCCATTTATATTCTAATCAAAAACAAAGTTAAAGAACGGCAAAGACATTACCAAAATCAATGCATGCCCTTGGATATAGAAATGACTCGAGGCAACCACTCCAAGACTCTATTTAATAAAGGTGCCCAAAATAATAAGCGATTTTCCGACGCTTCATTTCAAGCTGCACTCCTTGAGCCTTCCACTCTGAATAGAGTGGGTAGTATCTCTACGCCTACTCATCCCATGCACCCCTTTGCACCATTGTATCCAGGTCCATCGTCCACTTTAAGTGATCAGCGTCTTGAAAAACTCAATCACTCAATTCCAGCACCTGCCAATCAATCCGAGCACATATATAGCTACGCTGCTCATGCTAGCAGAAACGGCTCAAATCTGTCATATACCGATTTCAGCTCTCAAACTTCGAATGGAGACGCAGATTCGGTTCCTGTTAGACTCAAGCGATCAGATAAACGGCCCAAGTTGCTACGTGAGGCTTTTTCTGGTTCATCTACTCCGCCACCACAAGCTCCTTTCCTTACAGAGCCAGTTTTAGACTTGAAAAACTCTTTAGCCCAAACCTCAATCGACGATCCACACAATTCTCGACCATCAAATGACGCATCCTACCATTCAGAACCTTCACGAACGCATGTGGCAACTACATCTGAAATGAAACCCGCTTCACACTCTGAGAATACTATCGACTACTATAGTACAGAGCCTGCCTTTATAACACAAGAAATGCACTTTGACAGCTCAAAACAACGTCATTTTTCAATGCAGTTTTCCGAGACTTCTGATAACCAATAGATTTTAAGACTGTTTAACTTGAACAGTGTATACTAAAATAAAATCTACGATTGTAATCTTTTTTTAATTTTGTTAAATGACCTGAATTGAACTGTTTGCTAGAACGAGTCGAGTTCCAATTTGCTGTAGCTGGAGTTTCGACGCGTCGCCAACTTTCCTCATCGCAATCAAGTTAAAAATAGATTATGGACAGAGATGCATACATACATTCCAATAAAGCCAAAGTAGATTCAGTAATTGTAAGATAAAAATAAATGATATAGCCAGCTATCGATATTCAACCTTTTTTGCTCTAGTGTATTTACTAGTTTCTAATACCAGCTAATTTTTAATGATTTACATAGACACGAGATAAGGATAAATCGAATCGTACTGATACTTTGGCAAAATCTAGCAAAACAGATATATCTCAAACTTCAAACCAAAAAGATTCTGATACCAACTTTAAAGATAAATATAATTCTGATAAACCACCAATCAAACTGGGCTGTGAATATGGTATTGATAAAATCGAATCGGAATCAGCCATCGTGTCCATATATCCTTGTGCTGTGGATACACTGCAGCAACAAACTAGTGCTACTGCATTCCCAATAATGGGGTTTGACACGGTCCAGTCTAAAACTATACAAGACACTCCATATTCAAAACGTAGTACTGATCGCTCTTTCCAATCAAGTACTACTGGGATGCAATCAATTATTAAAGATAATCAAACAGATAGCGATGACAACGAATTAGAAGCATGCACTAAATCATTATCTTACTCGTATCCTAAATCCAAATCGACTTTTTCGCCTACAGAATCAGGTAATGCATGCAATGACAGGTCCAATGATGCAGTCGAGCAACTACATCATACACTTGAAAACATATCCAAGCCATTGAAATCTTGCCAAACAGTACATACATTAAGCCTAACTTCATCCATGAATCAATCCAACAAAGTACCTGCTATACCAACTTTAAATTCTCTTGCGCTTCATAAACATCAAATGTATAAGCGTAGTGCATCCATTGGCACGAGTTTTTCAAAGTCGTACCTAGCAAGTAAAGAGTTGCTATCACAAAGCTTTTCCGAATCAAGGCTGTCCTGCATTAACCAAACAAACTCCAAATCATTGAATCAAAAAAAACCAAGTCGCCAAGAAATTTTGCCAACTTCTGCTCAAAGTGAATTACCATTATCAGGTATAGTTAAAAAAGAAGAGGATATGTGTAAAGAATCAAAAACCTCTAATAGCTTAAATTTACCCATAGATATGGATGCTGCTAAATCTACCCCATCGACTAGTTCTAAACGTATATGGCCAGCAATTTCGTCTATATTGAACCATACTAAAGAAAAGCGATCACAAGAAAGTGTGGACTCCTCATCTATCGCGGGAAAACCACCATCAAATAATCATACCAAAGTAGACCACTCGACAAAAATAAAGCCATCATCAAGCCAATCCTTTCCATATAGTGGAGGACGAAGCCATCAAACCTCTAATATAGACCGACCTACTTCAAATTTTGCTGATCACAAGCAACCCATTCGTCTCCAACGCCAATTCACTCAAGAAGAAACCAAAAAGCGAGAACGACGTGCCATCATGTTGTTTGAATACATTGCACAATGCAAACATGATGAAAGGGAAGAAAAAAAGAAAATTATGGATCAATATGTTTGTTTGCAACGAGTCAAAATTGCAGCCGAGTCAGAAAGACTGGAAACAAAAAGAATCACTCGAGAGAAACGAAAATCCGAACAAATGCATCAGATGATTCGTCAGAAACGTGATTGTCTCGAGGCAATCCATCAGCAAGCCTATAAACACTTGTCACAAAATCGTCCTACACCAACATTGACCAAAGTGCCAAACGCGACTGAATGCTTTGCATTCAATAGATATGATTGTTCTGCTAAAGAGGTTACATGTGTATCGAATGTCAATGTTTCAGCACCATATGAAGACCCAAGTATTGTGTCCGAGTCTGTAAAAGATCCCGAGCATACTATAGATGGACAAAAGGCATACCATCCAACACGTTACTCGTCTACGGTATCAATGATGAGTTCCAAATCCATTCTTAATAGCAACGGGTCATTTCAAAATCAGCAAAAAAGTTATTCCAAAATTATTGTATCAGGCCAGGATCAACACGAAAACACTGAAATGAGAGCCATAATGGGAAATAAGCTTGAAAATAGAAACCTTGGGCATGAATGCATTTCTAGTCAAGCTTTGGAATCAACTTCCAACATTTCACAAAGTACTCATGCAAATAGACCAAACCGTTTAATTTTGCACGAAAAGCACCAGAAATTGTCTAATGCACCAACTAATTCCAAATTGCACTCCAACTCATCCAAGATTGAATTCAACCCAAACACTCCATCCAAATTGGCTGTTTGCAATTCTTCACATTTAGACTCGAGCAAAAAGCTTACCCATCATGGCCCGCGGCTATTCAAAAGTAAATTTTATCATAAACAAGCATTAGATGTCAAAGCTCTTCGAAATCAGCAATATCAGTTTCATCATCCAAAGTATATAGCACAGATACAACATCCAACTAGCAAAGTAAAAGGTAGTTTGATCATGAAAATGCAACTATTTATTCAAAAAGCATGCATATAAAAACTTTGAAACATTCGTATCAAATAGGTTGATCATTTTATCAATTCAAATCTATTATTGATTCAAAAATAACAAAACAGTTTAAATGAAATTTCTAGGATCACTATCGAACATGGCCAATTTAAATCAAACATCACAACTCATGAACGAAGCAAAACCGTTCGCGACCGAACAAGATTTTCTCGAGTTTAAGAAAAAATATAGTCAATCTTATACTTTAGATATTCCACCACCAGCCCCTTTATCAACCGCCATTGTGTCCAACACTAAATCGCATCATAGACTTGCTCAAAAGCAGATCATGAAAGACAATGCAGTACGACAACGAAATATGATAATGAAATCAGCGTTTGGAATGTCTAGTGATTATGAGCCAACACCAATCGCTTTGCAACATCACGAAAACGGAATTTCGCATGGAAAGTTAGGCTTTGAGACACCAGAGCCATCAAAACCCAACGAATCTGTTGCTAATCTTAAAAATAACGGAGCTGAACAGCTGAATGATTCGAGGTTGTCACGATCAAATCAATCAAGTCAGTATAGTCCGTCGCATAGATCATCCATGCTGCACACAGGAGGTATGCTTTCTGATATAAATGTAAACCTTGATAGCTTAAACTCGCTCGGAAAAGACCGCTCCATAAATCAATTCATGCCAGAAGAATTCCAACCAAATGTATCCAACGATAGCTCATCTCCATATTCATCGCAGCATAATAAAACTCCAAAAGGCTGGGCAATCCTTAAACAAAGCATCAAGTTTGCTGATAGGAAACCTGATTTTTTACCGGATTCTCATTTCTCGACATCTTCACGTTCTTTGTCAAATGTATCCGCTTCTGCACTGTCTTGTTTTACACCAGAACGAAGAGCATCTTTTGTGCATAGTGGCTCCAATTCACCAATGAATCTTGAAAAATTCAGAAACAGTGGTGATGCAAATGGAAAATATACATATATTCTCAAAAGCTCATCATATACCAGTATGGACGATGAAGCACGCGAATTAATAAGAGAGCAAGAACGTGTCGAGCGGCACATTGAAGACCTTACAATGGCTGGATTAGCTGGTGGAAGAAGGGGTAGTATTTACAAACAATCTTGTATAGCTCTTACTTCCGATCGAAAAGGTTCTGGTACAAACTCTATGGTATGGCGTAGCAAGTCGGCTGGATTGAATGTAACCACAGTTGAAGAAAATCAAAGCAGTCAATCTGAAGATATAGTTGAATCAATAGAGCCCAATGTTAAAGATGTTGAATCTAGCAGTCTTTTAGCTGATAACCTGCAGGAAACTTTTATAGAAAATACGGAGCCTACATCACCAGATGAGCCAAAATCACCCGAGTGTATGAAGGCCAATATCCAAGATTTAAACATCGAACACGATTGTATAACACCATTGCCAGTAGACCATGACAGCCTAAACACTCTACTACACAGTTCCATACCTAAAAACAAGATATCCACATTGAAGATCTACAATTCTTCAAGCAGAGTCACTAGCGGACAACCCAATAGTATTGGTGATCATGAAAACGAACCCTCTGTGTCATCAGAGCCATTCATGGATAGTATTTCCATATATAGTACAGCCTATGCCAAAAATGATGGCGAGTTTACTCTTTCCAAACCTAATCTGATACATGAAGCAATTCAAGAAATAGGATCGCATCAAGCTTTCTGTGCACCACTTGTCGGAATTTTAAAAAAAAATACCGATACTGGTCTAGCTGAACCAGACAAATTAGAGGCCTCAATTCAATGCGTTTCCACTACACAATCGTCAAACAGTGATGTCTTTCAAATATCTGAAAATAGAGCATTGGCCGCCAACAGTTTACATCCACTTGCATGCCCAAAAATGACATGGTCGCATTTGGGAATGTCAGCAGTGGCAGAGTTTGGAAAAACACTTCTCCCAACAAAGTATGTGCACGAATTCAAGATCCATACAACCAGCACGAATATTTTAGGCGATATTGATCAACCAAATGCTCTAGAACAACAGAGACGGGTTAAACCGAATTCATTATTTGCCGCCAAGGCTGCAGAAAACGATGCATACATGTCATGTCTAAAAAAGGTGGCTTCAGTAAACCTCAACTTTGATAAAAAGCAAAAAAGTTGTTTCGACCCATTACTATGCAAAAGTGATATACTTGCTGATCAAACATCGGCCAACAAAAAACCACGAGCAATACGGCCTTGGGATGGAGTCAGGATGAAAATAAGCGACATGCCTTTGGACATTGGCTTTGATTCGGCCACCAATGAAAATGGCAAGGTTAAAGAAAAACCTAGTCTTGTTCTCCAAAATGTGCGATTCTGGAATCCCAAGATTGAGTAGTGTTTTGTTTGCGCCAGAATTTAATGTAAAGCAATACAACTTGGCCAGTGATGCAGTTCTTTGGTATTACAGAGCAATCAATCCATCAATAGTAGTAAATTAAATACGAGCTAGTGAAAAAGATTAAAGCGACTATAGTATTTTTTAGTCTACCAGTTTTTATAAAAAATATAGCAAAAGCAGGCAAAAATTGCGCTAGATAAGCACAATCTCGAATATAAAAATAAACCCCACCAGGAAATAACAAAAGGCTAAACAGGTAACAGTGAAATGATGTTAAGTTGCATCTTTGTTGAATAAAATAAGGAAAAGATAGGCCTGGATTAAATGATCAGAGTCGATTGTATGTGTTTGCAAGTGTGTAAAAAGAAAGAATAAGAGATAAACAAGAGGGTGTTGAGTAGAGTTGAAAGAAATGATAAAATAGCTGATGCAACAAAGCGATGCAGGGCAGACAGTAGTCAGACAAATAATCTGCTAGGTCACAAGTGTGTTTGTGCATTGTATTGATCTATCCAACGGCGCTTCTTGCACATGGTCATTGCATTTGCTACAGAGGATACATGCAGCAAGTGACTAACACCATCCCGCTCTCCGCTACTATGTGGTGGTGATGCATGTGTAGCTGTGCTTGTATCAGACTCAAACTCCAATACAGATCTATCTGGAGAAGGAAGAGCCATTGGAGAGGCTTCAATATGCATACTTGATCGATGGATTAAATTCTGTAAAGGAGGTGTGACGGCAGAAAGAAGTGGGGGTGTGCGCTGATGGGATCTAGAGTCCGATTCTGTTGGAGTTGTAAAGTATACCGACGCATATGCAGGATTTTTCGAGTCTGGTGTGGACCGGCTATTCACAGATGATGACTGCGATTGGACAGACTTTAGAGACATCTTCTTCTCCTGTCTTACCTACAAGTATTTAAAAAGGGTTAGCGTTTGCTATCGAGCTAAAGGTATCATGAGAATAGACTGACGACCAAGATCGTTGTATATCCAATCTTAACTCTACCTTTTTTGCAGGTTTGTCAGTCATGGCTTGGCGGACAGAGCCGCCCGCAACATGTTTCTTTGACTTGCTAGCTGCAGCTGATGTGGAAGTGGCCTTCCGTGCTGCAGTTCCGTTGACAGTAGAAGAGTCTGCAGAGTTATATGGTGACTGCGGTTTTTGCTGTTTCAGAGTCGGAGAAACCTGATGTTTAGCAAGAGATAGTGGTGCAGACCCAAGCCATGTGAAAAAAGACGGTACAGTGCCCGAATGCCAATAGTCAGTTGCTAGTAATACGGCCTTGTCCTTGCGGAATTCAGCAGCACTTGAGCCAGCAAGATATGAAGTATAAGGGGGTGAGGCGGGACCAAAAGGCAGAGTGTCCGTTTCAGAAACAACAGAACTATGCAGAATCAAGGAGCAAAAGCATGCAATAAATAAAAGTTTGTCAGATACACAACAAGCGTCGAGTATGGGGTTGCTTTGATGAAAACAAAGTGTACCAACCATCTTGCATTATCCAACCATTTGCTACTTACAAAGAGCCGTCTTCAAAGTAGCAGACCAGCAACTGACCCTCTCCTGGTAGCTCAACATCAGGACCCATAGTTTGTTTAAATAGACTGTATTCAGAATGAGGGACCACCTGGAAATAGTAAAGAATCATTATATTGGTTAGTATAGGTTATTCATCAGAGTAATGGCAGTCGGGATAGTTGGCGCAAGTTTGTATAATAAAGCTACTCATGCAAACTCGATAGCTCATTGAACAAGACTCCTGTGAGCTTATACTAGTGCAGTCATGACTGCATTTTATAAAAATGTCCTTGGAATCCTTGACTGCATTTGTAGGATATTAACAGCAGTCATAAGTCTTTTGTACTCTACAGACTTCAGTCCTGATATCAAAAAACAGCATCCAGCAAGACTATACATCCATATTTTGAAATATAGTGATATAACCATTCCAGAGTAAAAGTCACAAATGACATAGTTGCTATTCTTGGCAACAGTGACGTGAGCAAGCTTACCATTGCAGGCCACCAATAAGGAGTATCTGAATCATCTGGGTCGACAAATACCAGTGCATGTCGTTGATTGTAAGAGTCGATAGTAGTATTCAAACCAGTTACAGCAGCATTGGATGAGCAAGAGTCGCTTCTAGGAATGGCCGGTTTGAATGAAGCCATTTTGACATCGTTAGTGTGAATTGCTGAATGCATAGAATGAAGAGAACCAGATGTCATAGCGACCATACTAGCGTTGAGCATAACCTGGCCAGTAAAGTCGGTTATAAAAGTAATGCAGCCGTATTCACGTAAAGTGGAACACTAAGTAAGGGTGCCAAAATACAAAATAAATAGCCAGTCTCATAAAATGATTGGTGCCAATTCTTGCTAAATTTACTAAACATTCAACTCTTTAGTTGATTGGTCTTTGTAGAGCTTTATTAGAAACAGTCGAGCTAATTTCTGGATTGAAATCCATGAATCTGATGGTTGTGCAATGTATGAACATATTAAAGATAATCTCTGCCAAAACTATATATTATATGACGGACGTTGTATCTGGAAGAATGACAATGTTTATTCGAGTCGGTTTGTAGTAGGAAAACATCGAATATTTGGCCATTGTTTACTCCAAAGCAAAATACACTGCAAGATAAATACAAGAGTTCTATTCTGAGAATACGACGGTAAATAAAACAGCTGAAGTAACTAGTATTTTGAAGTCGTGAACTGTCTTGATAGTACAACTCACCATTTCTGGCAGGGTAATAGCATACAAGGGAAATCATTCCATAAAGAAAATACCATCCAATACAGAGTTACAGGACAGGTAGTGTATACAAGGTACAACAATACCAGTTTTCTTGACCGATACTCAGTGGTAACCTGATAAAAAGGTGTCAAGTCATGGCTTTCCAATGACAACACTGTACGAGTGTAGATTTTAAAAGACTTTGTGGATGGTCTTCAATTTGATTAGTGAGTGATATCTTGAATTGATTCGTTTCTTTTTCCGAGAAAACAGTACATGAATACTGAAGCAACAAAAAGGCAGCAGCACAACTTTTGGATGAATATTATCAAATCAACACTCAAGCCATACCAACCCAGAGAGCCAAGTCGCAGTGGCAGGATGAAAACAAATGGGGTCTCCTGGACATCATTCAGAAGCAAGAAATCTCGTTTATTCTCAGCTTGCCACTGCGATTTAGTTCTTTAAACTGGTAGGACTGGAGTGTTAATTTGGTAGCCTTCGTTTAAAAGTTGTGATGCCGCCTTTGTTGTTTTTGAGGAAAGAAAAAAGAAACGAATCAATTCAAGATATCACTCACTAATCAAATTGAAGACCATCCACAAAGTCTTTTAAAATCTACACTCGTACAGTGTTGTCTGTCATTGGAAAGCCATGACTTGACACCTTTTTATCAGGTTACCACTGAGTATCGGTCAAGAAAACTGGTATTGTTGTACCTTGTATATTACCAGGGCATATCTAACACTACTCTCCACTCTAATGCAATAGATGCAGAATCTGTCAACTCATCATTTATACGGATTGTGATGACTATAGTGCAGCTTTTGAAATTGAAAAGATGTCAGTAACAAACCTGGTGACATTGGCTGAAACTGGATCAAACATTGCTGTTCCAATAGATGCATGATATCTTTCCAAGGGTGTGTTTGGAGTAGTAGCACTTGGGTTGCCAATCGATTGATGCAGCCAATATAACTGATTTACTTTGTATATGCATCTGTGATAATTCAGTGTATGATATATCCAGTACAACTTGATCAACTATTCGATCTTTATGAGCTCACTGGCGTCGTAATGATCATTTACATTCGATTTTCACCAGTTTATAGCACTTGTCAGATCCATTCGAGTTCAAACAACTGAGCATGTATGGACTTTTTGACCATGTCGTGGACGATCCTACTGCAAACGTATTGATCAAGCCGAGGTAGTCATACATGTGATTTACAGTCGTAGTCACGTAGAATAGAACACTATATCTTGCAGCGATTGCCTATTTTGCTTTAGAACAATGTTCAATTATTGGATGTACTTTTCTACTACAAATGGATTGCATTGCTTCAACTAACAATGTCAGCTGTTTGTCAGTGTCAGTTGTTTTGTGGAATGGAGTGCTATTTAGAATAACATGCATGTTTGAAAAGTCTTGGAATATTACAGCCTTTACAACTTCCTTGATCAGTATCCAAAACAAGATATACATTGATGGCGATGATTACAGATGATTTTTGATTTATTTCATCTCGCTATTCTCATTACTTTTGTGATAATTGCGAGGGACTCAAAACTGGCCAGTAAATGAACACCAATAGTTTGATGAGTGACAGTTTACTGACTCACTTATCTAGTGATCCATTGTGCGTGAATACAGCGGTGAATTAAACCAGTGTATTGAGCGTGGTGGAAGGTTCAGTTTGAATGGGCACGGGAAACAGATGCTCAATACACTATCTTGTCAAAATTTGCTATAACAAAAAGACTGGCGAGTTTCAAAACAGAGTAATTAGCTCTTGTATATTTTATTCAACTCATTGTAGAATCAAAAGATAGCTACGCTTGAGAAGGTTTGGCATCAACAACCGAGACAATTGGCTCGAGAGACGTTATCTGGCAATTTGATATAAAAATGTCAATTCTTGAATACAGTTGATAAAACAGCGTCAAATGGAAACAACATATTTTTTCAGCCATGCAGTATTCGGTATTTACCCTTGCTTCATAGGTTGTTAGTCCACGCTCTATTTTTTCTAGTCGCTCATCCAATGACCCAATCTTTTGTCGTGCATGTTGCTCTAGTTTCAAGAAAAACATATTGCAAATTTGTGTCAATAGTGCATATCATTTGTGTTTAACACCTGTCAGTAAATAAACTCTAGAGTGCTTTATTGCATCTCATTGAAACTATGTTAGCTATATGCCTACCAAACTTTTGTAAAAACTCGGTCATTTCAAGTATGCCATGAGAGACTCGACGTATAAAGTCGCGACTCTCCCAATCAGCCTTGACAACCTGAAGAATATCTTGCATTGTAAATACAGGCAGTTTAATTGGGTCAAATTCAAGTTTCGACTGAAATATAAACAGCCAAAATCTCAATAAAGTCGGCAATAGTTTCTTGAAAAGGACAAAGTTTGGTAACCGTCTTTGAAGCTGTTGAAATTTTGGGCAAAACATTCAAATTTTAGTCCCTTGCGTAAAATTTGACTACGCACCACTTGACCAGATCCTGAACAACTTTGCGCCATGGCATCTAATGTTACTGTCAGTATGGATGGATCTCCTATCAAAAAAACCATAATTAAAACCACTCCGTCCATGTCTCTCAAGTCAATTGTGGTGCAGTCTTGTGAAAAGCTCGGGCTTAAGAACCCCGACTTGTACATGCTCAAGTGAGTTCACCTTTGTTGGACAATTACCAATTGAAGCCCGTTTGTCTTGAGCCAATATCTTTTTATTCAATGCATGGGCTTTTTGAATAAAAAGATATTGGTTCTATGCTGTGGCATTTGTATCAAATATGCACCAGGGCTCAAGATATGGCGTGGATTCTGAGTTGCCAATGAAGCCTACTTGTAGTGTCTTATTAAACCCTATGGTATTATAAACTTTTGCACGACCAGAAATAAACGAGATACATTAGATTTATCACTGTCTGTTCGCTTCGCTAACCTTGCTCCAGGAGCAAAACTTACATTACACCAGCGCAGTTCGACTGATCGAGGTAAGCGTATTAGAACATGCCGGCTTGAACAGAATGATCGTTTTAAATTTGATGGAATACTGTTGCCATTTTTAATAGCATCTTTTTAATATTTATACTTGTTATATTTCCGGATTGTAATCGGATCAACTTAGCTTCTGGGTCTACGTTGGTTGATGTTGCGTTACAGTTTGAAAACGGATGTCGGATGATTGACAAGTTTGAGACATCTACCCGACTTTGGGATATTCTGCTGCATTTTGAAAAACGTCCAGATGGGTATAATCTTGCTGGCGACTTTATAATTTATTCAATTCCTTAGCGTTTATATAGCATTGGAACTGATTTTTTATTGAATGGTTTGGATTTTAGCATAGGAAACATCACCAGGCAAACAAGCATAACCATTCCAGTTAAGCAGGGGGGAAATTCACCTGGAAATGCTAAAATGCCTGAAACTCCAGTTTATATGTTGCCAATCTGTGTGTTTATGAACCAAGAAGTAAGCCAAAAACAATCATATTGCTCTCATGCAAGGTGGTGTCATCAAGCAAACTAGATTGACCAATTATATTTTGTTGTGGGCACTGATCTAGTACAATACAATTGCCAAACTTAAAACAACGAGTTTGAGTAATGCTGGATTAGAGAGTGGAAACGGAGTCATTCGTGTAATGTACCGACATATGCCTGAACCAATCGATGCGTATATGGCAGAGATCGAGGCAAAAGTAACGCCTACAGTTGTGGAAGAGGTTGAGCCAACAAAGACCATGTCTGCACCTATTGCCAAGCCTGTTGATGTTGCATCTCAACCACTTGCTCCTGTGACTGAATATTCCAAAACTGCAGTATGTTTACAAAAGCCTTTATCTGAACCACCTTTGGCCTCTGCCACAAATTCAAACCCGACCATAGCTCAGCCAACTCTTGTTCAATCCAAACATACTTTTCAGCCGCCTCAATCGCCACTTATTTCAACAAACTCTATCAAGGAAAGGCCCATCATTGAGCGAGATGTTCATATTTACTTGCCATATCCTGGCAATTTAGCACCTCTAAAAAGTGAGTTTAATCTAGTATTTTCAACAGAAAAAGATACTTGAGCCTTTATATCGCACTATTTTAACCAGGCTTTTTGTTGAAAAACACTGTATCTTGATCATGATATCCAATCTAGTTGAATTACCCAGCTCATTTTTTAGCCTCACACCAGCTGAGGTGAAAGCCATGATCTCCATTCAGCAGGCACGAAATAGACAAATTTCAGAGGCACCTCTGATGACCAGATCGATGCGAGAACGTGAAGAGGAAATTAAGCGTCAAAAGCATCCAAAGACGATGATCCGTGTTCGATTTTCTGACCAAACAACACTTCAAGCAACATTTTGGTCAGGCGATCTCAGTATGTATTAGGGGAAATTGAACCCGCTGTCATTGCTTGTGCTGGATGTTTAACCCTATATGTGTATGATATATGTTCAATAGTCTCTAGTGTATACGATACGGTCCAGACTCATCTATGCGAGCCAGAGAGACCATTTAAACTCTCCATAACCCCTCCGCAGAGGGTTTTGGCTAGAAATGAAACATTTTGGCAATCCCATCTTGCGCCTGCATCTATTGTGTATTTTTCATGGGCAGATGATCGAGCACCGGTTCCAGGTATGTATGCCGATTGCCAAGTGGAGCTGCAGCATGTTATTTAAATGTACTAAACTTGAGCAACTGACTATTTCATACTATACTAGGCCAAGTGGTGCTAAATCAAGCGACACTTGCATTGGCTAAGCCGTTTCCAATTCCAAGTGCGTGCTTTGAACTGAATGTGAGCGATAACTCTATGCAGGGTGCAATTTTAGCCAGTGAAGAAAATGACACGACTGTGGCAAGTCAAAGCAATGAGCTGATTGCTCAAGAAGCAGAAAGGGAGAGGGAGCGTGTTCGTAACGGCCTATTTGGAGGAAACCGTGACAATCCTGTCAATAAGGATGCGAATGCAGATGGAACTGATTCACAGCTTCGGTCATCTACAGGAAAAGTTCCAAAGTGGTTTCGGCGGATGTAATATGCATGAGACCAATGTGATGATAAATGAATTATAAAATTGATTTCTAATACAAACCATTACTACAAGTATGTATCTGCTGTCGAATAGACTGGTTAGTACAAATTTGTAGCTGCATTCACGCAATAGAATTTGTATTCATCTTGCAGTACTGCTTGATAAAATAATGGGTAAATAATCATGCCTCTACTACAAATCGATTGCCTCTTGAATCGACATTCCAATTCTTTTTTTCAATCATTGTACAATGCACACAAGTATAGTTTTGAACTAAAATGATTTTTTTCAAGCCCGCTTTTTCTCCTTTTTTGGCATACTCATGCATTATACGATCACCAGATTCGCACTTTGATCCAGATATTGGACTTTTGTCAACCAAACTCCCGTATTCAAAAACCAGGTAGGTTTTAGTTCAAAAAAACAATGATTGCATGAATACAACCATCTATGCCAATCACCAGGAGAATGGCCAGAGTTCAACAAACAATATTGGCTGGTAGATTTAGCGGAATCGTCCCACGAGACTAGCTGTTTGTCATGGATTTCGACACCCTTATTTAGTGTTACGTGAATACGGCTGTAACGGTAAGCAATGGTCTAGACTAAAAGATTGAAATCAGTCAAAGCAGTTGTGCCGTCATAGCAAGCGTACAATAAATTCAAAAATCCATGACCAAGACTTGACTTTATTGCAATTGCTGGAAGTCATGAACTCTAATCATGATCACCATCATGATAGCTCTACACCTAACCAGAATACCTATTCGCCATATCAAGGCCAGTCTAGCAACTACAACAACATCACTCTTCATGGCCATAAACTAACGTTTGCATCCACCCAGTCCACTTCTGCATCACTTTATATCCTACAGAGTGATTCTCATCAAGCTCATAATACTACAGAGACTGCCTATTTGAAGCTTTCTGAACTGGATGCTTTATTTGACTTGCCTCATGGTCATGTTCAGACATGTATTCGATCGTCACTTCACCCGTCTTATTCACCCCTGTACGAAGCAGGTTCAGGCGATATTCTGCTACAGCCCTATGCATTTGAACAACTGGCACCACTCATTAATGGCCATGGTGCAGTGTTCTCTTGTCTTGCTGGTATTACGCCAGAATCAGTTCTTGCTGGCCAGACTACCTCTGCGTTGGCTTCACGAATACATCAATACAATACTCAGATTATCAATCAATCTGCTAAACCATATACAACACTGCTGAGTGTGCCCGTGTCCCAGTCACCAGTGTCGATTGTCATTGTGGATCCATCTCGACCTGTACACCAGCAGCCACTACCTCTGTCTTCATCTGGGGTGGCTCCTATGGCAATGTCGCCTTCTCGTAAGCGTACTGTTGATGAGGCTTTGGTGGGCATGGCTTCAGGAGGTATTGCCCATGCCATGGATGGCCGAAACAATGTCTCGGATTCAAGGATGAGTATGGATGCTGACCACCACTGCTATCCTTCTGGTGGAACCAATGGAGGTGGAGATGCTGAACTACAAAGTCGTCGGCCAGAGGACGAGATGCTGACTCCGATTGATGGATCTCCCATAGACCCAGTCACTTCCAACGATCTTACCACCAGTGAAAGCGGAGGTAGACTTCAACAATCCTCACGTACCCGCAAGCGGTTGTCAATTGACACAACCCTGCATGAGCGGAATGAGGGCGATGCCAATATCACCGAGGCCATGCGGATCAAGCAACAGCAGCAGGCTATTATCGATGCTCGAAAAAGTAGGTAGCCTTTTGTATGGATGCATGTAGTGGTTTTAATTAGGTATAACCCACCTGCCTATTTAACCTACTGCCGCCTAGAATTCTTGGGTCGATCTAACTCGTTGGTGTGTTGAATTCATGTGAATATTTTATTAGAAAACCAGCCATCAACATCTCGTGCAAATGGCAGGGGCCGTCAATCTGGCTTAACATCCATTCGATCTGATGTGTCGTCTTGGGCTTCGCTGTCCTCGTCTGTAGACCATTTGATTTCTCCATATGGCGAATTCCCTAATCGAGAGCTGCCACTTCCACGCGGTTTCAATGAACATCCCCGAACAGCTCATCCTCTCTCTACTGGCACATCTCGACACTTTCCTCCAGTGGCATCACATACAAAACCACCTGCGAATAGTAGTATATCTGTGCCATCTTCATTAGCGATACCTAGTTTTAATCCAGCAACAGCCCCAGTCACAAGTACTGTATCTGCCTCACATCCATCCCAGTATGCATCTCAGCAACAATCAACGCCTTTAACAAACAAACCTCATCTTCATTCAGGGCCTTTGTCCACATTACCTCTGTCCATATCACGATCAGCTTTTACTAGTATTTTTGAGTCTGTGTATGATCAACATGAAAACCAAGCACGGTTACAAGCGACGCTTAAAGAACAGATTCGCAAATCAGCTACTCTGTTGCAAACGTTGCAAACCTCTGGTCAGATGATTGAGGGTCTTGTTCGTGGGCATTTTAGAGAGATGCAGTGCAAGTATGGTGAAAAGTTTGGAGCTGCATTGACGGACCTCAATCGTCGATTGGCTGCTGTTGAGGAAAAGGTGGGATTGGGGTCTATAAATGGATCTGATGCGTTTACTGCTGGTGGTGCATTGAAGTCTGCTCGCCCATACGCTGGAGGATCCAATGGCACATCGGGAGATAATGAGCATGCACTTATTTTGTCTGCTATTTTAACCAGATTAGATACACTCGAGAAACGCACTCTTGATTAAGATTTTAAAAATGCATTTTGCTTTTGTTGGATTGAGAAAGCGGAATGTAAATGAAGGTTTATTTTTGGATCAAAATCAAGAGTTTTATTTTTGGAGGCAGCAATTCATTGATGTTCTAGAGAACTGCGACAAGTTTTTATTCCATTGGTTATTTTATCATTATATCTACAGCTGTATGTGTATAAAATAAACGAGTTGAACAGAGAACAGTCATACCCAATATTTAGATTGAAATGGATGTATTAATTGAATTGAGCATGTGTAAACTGTCATTGAACCAGTAAATTAGTATTTTTTACATGTAAATATTCATAAATCAGAAACACTTGATTTGGGAGGTGAAATCTGAACACAAGCCGAGATGTATGCAACTGTTAATTTGATTTGAAGCAAATCAAAACCAATGATTGACAAGTGGATTACAGTGAATTGAATCCAACTGTTATAGCAGAATTTGTATTTATAAAATCATTAGTCTTGCGTTGCAGACTGGAAAATCAACCCGAGAGTCAATGGACAAAGTTTAAAGAATTAAACTTTAGCGAGTCGAACATGATTTAACAAATGGTTAGATTGAATTCATTCTCTAGGGAATCTGACAAGATTCGATCAGTAGAAAAGCATTGACCAACAGTCTATGAATGCCAGTATGTAATGGATACAACAGTCCATGTGATTAGAAAGTGGAAACAAAACAATAGAAATTGCTTGTTATCGACCTTTAGTTGCAAACCTATTATTGGGACTATTGACTACTCAGACAGTCATGAATCCTGCTAGAAAGCGACAGCTACCTACCTTGCTCAGCGAAGCTACAGGCACTCCACGTCGCTCTAAACGGATCGCATCTCAGACTGGATTCAGAGAAGTTTCACCCAGCACTACAGTTGCTGACAAGGACTCGCTGTTTGCTGACGACGACCATGACCAGCTATTGACTATAGGGACTGGAAAGCACTTCCTGTCAAAACCACATCTCATACATCGTAGGCCTGCTGCTGCATTATTGCCCAACGAAGTGTTATCATTGATATTTCGATGCCTTGCCAGCTCATGGATATTCAGACCTATTCCAAAGTCACCTCTGTCAGCTCGCATCGAGCTTCTGCAATGTGCACTGGTTTGCAGGAATTGGTCGTCTGTTGCCCTGCAGACCATGCATCAGGCTCACTACATCTCCAAGGTTATTCCTCGCATTGAGATGCCTCAACTGACACAGGCTCTTGCTAACCATACCAGCGAATGGAGTTATGTTTGCATGATGGCTCTGGTGTGTCTTCATCGCCCAGAATGGAACATGGGTGCTCCTCGCTTGTTTTATATCGATCGATCTCGGCTACTGCAAACTATATTTCCTGGCCAACATTATACCCAAACCAGCAGAAGCTCTTTATCTTCATTCAGCTCATCTGCAGAGGCTCTGGCTTCTTCTGTTAATACCACTAAATTACTCGACAGTCAAGACCTCCCAGAACACGATGAAGCAAGGCTTGTCAAACTATTTGCTCTGCGTCATCCTAACCCTGCAGATCCTGCCTGGTCTACCATTGTTGCTTGCTCAATGGACGTGCAGGATACATTTATTGAGTTGGCCACTGGAAAACCTTGTAATTCATTTGAAACCACCACTATTGACAGTGATGACGTTGTCGATACTCAGTTGGCTCAAGTCAATGCTCAGCCTGATGCGTGCTTTCATCGGTCAGCAATTGAAGACTCTCATCAGCATACTATGGCTTTGAATTCATTCAAGCTTGACGAATATTTTAAAGTAACTCGCAAACCTAATGTAAATGGCTTAGATCGACTATTGGCATCACAGGTATCTGCAACCATTGCCGACATTAGTATGTTGGCTCCACCCTTCAATATTCACACTCCTGGACCTGTCGTTCCTGGTTCCCCCAGTACTGGATCTCATTCTGCTCATCATTCGTCCATTGTACCATATTCCTCCCATCCAGACAAGTCCGTGTTGGCCAATACACATTTTAAAAAGTCACATACGTTTCCGACCGACGCTGTGGAAAATGTGACTCTTACCGAGTTTTCAGGCAAACTTATCCCCAACCAATACCACATCCCTATGATGATGCGCTACTCTGAGCGCATGGATATTGGCTGCTTCTTTGTATTCATCAATCTGGGTGCAAACCGTGGCTCTATTTTGCTTCGTGCTAAACCTGTTGGCTTACTTTCCGATGCAACACCATTTGGAAATGGTAGTCTAGTACTTTGGGATGATCGCGCATATGGGTGTTGCTCAAGATGTCGACGACGCCTTTTACGTGTGCAAGTCTGCGCTGATTGCCGTATCGCTCAGTTTTGTTCTAGAGCATGCCAAAAGCACGATTGGGACAGTGGACATCGCACTATTTGTCGCACTTTAGGCTTACAATATGCCATCTCTCCTGCTGACTTGATCATGGATCCTAGAAATGAGCCCCAGATCTGATACTTTTTGATCACTCCATTGCTCAAGTCTTCAAATCTTGGCAACAAATATGAACAACTAGATTCTCAATTCTACTCTCCTTGTACACGTCTTTAATATACTGCAATACCTTTTTATAGTCATGAGATTGTAGGTCTGTGTATTCAAGACATGTTTATATACTGCCAGATCACAATGAATTTAAAATTATAATAAGTCTTTTTGTCGTATTTCAACTTGAGCCATACTATTAATTTGAATATTGATGATATGCATTCTGACAAAAAGAGTTGCTTGATCAATATCTGTAAAGTAGAACAGCTGGATCATCAATACGCAGATTGTTCAAATATTGCAATAAATGTCAAATTGTGAGTATTCATTTCAGATTGAACCGACGCATATGCTTATATCCGATAAAAATTAAAACACTCTTCAGTTCATCTAATAATGTCCAAAAAGATTTTGCGATTGGCTGTAAAATCTATCTAGAAAATCACCAATTCAGAATTTTTTTCCTTTGAATAAATTAACCAAAATATTGGTCGAGTTGTTCCTGCAAAAAACAAACTGCTACTGCAAATCACTTTACACATAGGCATACATTCCCACTCAGTCAATACATGCCAATTGATTCCAAAAGCATGGTTCAAAAGTCTTTGAAACACATGGAAAAAGTCGGTGCTCTATCCGCCGAAACAAAAAAAGGCAGTTTAGATGCACATACAGAGTCCAAACCCTCGGCATCAGAAGCAGTACAATCGGCATTCGACTCACTAATGCATTCAGCTGCCATACATACTATCACTAAGGAACAGTCAACACCATTTTTGGAATCTCCGTTTGTTCAGATTCAAGCCCAAGTCAGAATTTGCATATCACCATCATTTATTACTACACCGCTGGAAGGTGTCAAAAACTATCTCAATACTTTTATTATGCGGTAAGTACAAGATGGTCAATATTCATTGAAATGTAGATTGAATCTATATTTTTAGTTGGCTAACCAACTATCCGTAATAACTCTTATTCGTTCATTGATTACTGATCCATGTTTTTTTTCGAAAACAGTTATATTGCTGAGCTAGATGGAGTTGTATTGGCCTATGAGAATGTAAAACTTGTTACTAAAAACGGTCATATTATGAACGAAAGCCCATTTATATTCTTCAACGCTCAAGCCAAATTCACATTGTTTTCTCCCAAAGTTGGATCGATACTTTGTATGTACATTTAATTTTGAAACTATTGAATGGATCTATTTACAACTAGTGCTTTCAATATCAATTGAATGATGTATAAAGCACACGGCTGTTTGAATCTTAATGTTTTGTTTTTGAATATTGATTTTTAAATTGGCTGTTTGCTGAACACTTTATTGTAGATGGTGTTGTCAACAAAGTTTCGCCAGATCACATCGGCTTGCTTGTGTACGGTGTATTCAATACATCCATTCCTTCAAGCCATATTTGCAACAAAAAGTTTAGCTGGGACGCTGAAGGTTATGCATGGAAATTTGAATCTGCGATTGATCACTCCACAATGTTCATTGCTACCAACTCGATCATCAAATTTTCCGTAGACAGGTATGTTTCTTTAAAGTACACCACATTTTGCCTTGCATTGAATGTTTAAATCTGTAGAGTAAATTGACTAAATTTTATTACTCACATGGTTGTTATGACTAGTCTAATTACTGCCAATAAAATGCTTGCCATCTCTGGATCTTTGACTAGTCATCCGACGGATACCGGCGTGATTGATTCGACTGGCCTGCCTATGCCTACTGTACTTCAACCCGTCGAATTTGGAAATGACATGACTGGTGTCGAAACTGTTCAACCTACGCACTTTGTATTCAATGATGAAGTGGATGAGCCGGTTGAAGAATGTATCAAAGACCATGATACACCTACTCACCATGAAATAGACACTAAGGAACAAAGTATCGATATATCAGTTCAGCCTGCCAAACCCAAAACAATCAAATCTTCAAGCTCAAAAAGAAAGCGTGACAATAAGCTAGAATCTACGTTGTCGACCACACCGAAAAAAAAGAGCAAGAATACGAATGTAGCTCACACTTCTGATGATAAACTGCTTAATTCTGCTGCTGGATAAGCATACCGTGATGGCCACTACATTTAAACCAGTGTAAAAAACAAGTAGAACGAGGCCAGTGACACAATAGTATATTTGGTTTTGTTTTACAAACAATTTGATACGACTCATTTTTCAAATAAACTAAATTTTAAGCTATTAATCTATCAAAATGCAAGATCTATTCTGTTGGAATATAATCTATAGAGCGTTGGCAAACTTTGAATCTGTCCAGTCAGCCGCCCACTAGGGAATAAACACAATCGATGCTTATATGGTGGTAGATGGACACCGTGTACAAATCTAATATAAGCCAACAAAAAACAGTTCGTTTCTAGCCAACACACCACTCAAGCAAATAATGATTTGGATGCTGTCAACTTGGTTTAATTGATTTCAAGTAACTGTACTCATAATTAAGCAAGCTCAGGAATACCATAGTAAAGCTTCAAAGAGTCTGGATTGGATAAAGAGCTGCTGGGAACAACCGTCTCACCAGAAAGAATGCGCTTGACAGCAACCTCGACCTTTTTCCCAGTCAAAGTATACTAGATAGCATCCAAATTAAAGATATAGTGAATCTACATAATAGTCAAATTAAATATAAAGCTAAACTGTACTTACAGGAATCTCTTTGATTGGAAGAATGAATGCAGGAACATGACGAGGAGAAAGCAAGGTACGAATCTGAGCTTTAATCCTGGTGACCAAGTCCTCATTAAATTCTTTTCCAGGCGCCATTAAGCAAAAAAGAACAACACGCTCGTCGTCACCTCGCTTTTGTCCAACAGCCAAACTGTCGGCAACCTCGGGATACGATTCCACTTGATAAAAAATCAAAATAAGATACTAGACAAACCAATTTGTACAAAACGCCAAAATAACAGTCTTACTAATATTGTACAAATCGGCGCTTCCAAACCTATAGTACAGTCAAGTGGAGTAATACATCATGCAATTTGGCAATTAAAATCACATGCAATATATCCTGCCAACAAACCTTTGGCTTGAATAGATCAAACAAATCAAATGCTTACCGTACACCGTTAGGGTTAAGAGTACCGTCACTGTCGAATGAAAAATTAAGAATACAAGCACAGGTGTAAATAAACATAGGCAGCTCAACCATCAAAAAAGTACAAATACCTGCGGCCCAGCATAACGACTCCTCCAGTAACAGAGTTGACAATCAAAAAATCACCATGATACCAAACACCTAAATTAAGCATGGTAGCATTAGTCTGGCGCAAGCAATGCATTCCATATATATGATTCAATAACCAACGACTGAACCCCGTACCTGGAAGTTTGTTAAAATAGGCATTTCTGTATTTTTGACCATCCTCGTCATTCCAAAAGAAAGCGGGCATAGCAGGGAATGGTTCTAGTAAAAGTTACATTCAACCAATCAATTGAAATAAATGCGTTTATAAATTTATAACAAAAAAGCTGTCTAGGTTTTTAGCGAGATCTACTTACTAGTGCATACAAGATCTCCAGGTTCATCGAACACTGCTTTGCAGTTTTCGTCCCAAGCCTCAATAGCCATGCCTAGGCAACGACATTGTATTTCGCTGCGGTATACTGGTCCGGCACAGTTGTGACCAGCAAACAGAGAAACAATATCGGTTCCGCCAGTGATGGATCCAAGAAGAACATTCTTGCTGATGGACGAATAAACAAATTCGTAACCTTCTGGAGAAAGTGGAGAGCCTGTAGAGTAAATTGAATGCAGAGTAGAAAGACTATGCTTTTCGGCTGTGAAATAACCAAAACACAATACTGTTAAACTAGCTGCAGCGCGTAATGAAATGTGTGCACAAATGAATATTGATACAAGTACCTGGCTTGAAACCATTCTCTTGCAAACTCTGAATGTACTTGGCTGAAGTACCAAAAATGGTGATGCTGTTTAAATTCAAAAACAAAAATGTTAAATTAAGAAATCCCAATAATAGAAATAGAAGCTCAAAAACAACACACCCCAGCTTGTCTATCAAATCCCACAAATGAGCAGGAGAAGGCTTAAATGGGCTTCCGTCATACAAAACAATAGTAGCGCCAGCTGAAATAGCATATCAATTAGTAACAGTGTGCAAGTAAAAATAACAGTCAACCCATGGCACACCTGCAAGTCCGCTATACAGTTTACAATCTCAAAAATATTAGTTTATAATACTAAAGCATACAATCCAGGCCAAAAACATTTTGCCATAATCTCAATTTAAAGATATCAACACACCTAATAAGCCAATTCCACATCATCCATCCAGTCTAGATTGTCAAGTGGAAGCGTGAGTCAAACATAAAATTAGTCTCAAGCACGGGAATCGTTTAAATAAATCATCAAACTTGCCGTAGTGTAATAAAAGAAAATATCCTTGGGCCCCATTGATCCGTGAATAACATGCTCTTTAAGATGCTGAATCAAAGTACCCTATGTATTTAGTTGAAAATGGATCAGATTATGTGCAAATGACACGAGTGCGTAGGGAACGCAAGAATCTAATTGATTGTTCAAGACATACCCCATGAGAATGAACAATGCATTTTGGTTTTCCTAAAATACAATATCAAACATTCAATAAGAACTGTCATAAAAAGTAGAATTTAATGGAAATGAATACGCACCAGTAGTTCCAGAGCTAAACAAGATAACCAATGGATGATGAGAAGGAAGCTGCTCAAACTGATGCTTGGTAGTGGTCGCGCTTGATAAAAAGGTTTCCAACGACACTCTACAATGTAATGAATGAGCCAAGCCTTGTTAATATCATAATATGCAAAAGTAAGAACCACCCATTGGCTGAAACAATCAAAACCATACCCATTCCGAACGGTACTAAGATTGGTGGGATGGGATGGAACAAAAGGAATCACTACAACTTTTTCGACAGACAAAAGACCCTCTGCCGCCTCGCGCAGTTTTCCTATGTGGTCGTGCACTTTACCGTTGTAGTACACAGCATTGGCAGATATAAGGATTTTGGGCTGGATTTGTAAAAAGCGATCAAGAACTCCCTACGTATAGATCAAAGAATATCAATAAAAAGCAACATGGTCGATCTGATTCAAAATAACATTAATATACGCAGACTCAAGCTAGAGCTTTAGATACATACAACAACTCCAAAATCAGGCGATGCAGATGACCAAACTGCACCGATACTTGCAGAAGCAAGCATAAATGTAGCCTATAATAATACGCATTAGTAAGTCGCTCAAACTATAACAAGCATCTACATTAAATCACCACATACCGCCTCAGTACAGTTAGGAACATATGCGGCAACACGATCTCCAGCACCAACACCATGACTGCGAAGAGCGCTAGCATATCGAGCGACATCCGCGTTGAGTTTTTCAAATGAAGTGATGTTACCAACACCTTGCTCACCTAACTCGTTGTATATTGATGTCAATGATAGTAACAAACTAGTCTGGAAAAGGGGTGAATAGGTATAAACGAATCCGAACCTGCAGCAATAATGGCAGCTCCAGTGTCCGTACGACGCAAAGCATTCTCGGCATAATTAAACCGGGCGCCCTAATATTGTGTAGAAAAATTAAAAAGAGATTCTAGTCAACCACCAGAGCAACAAGCCATCCATACTACATTTGGACAAATGGTGGATAAAGATGCCAGCAGCAATCATGGATTTGCCTACCTTGAACCATTTTGGAATTTTGTCCATGGTGACTGATTTATCATATACCTAAAATGCAGATCAACCGCTATTGGTTAATACACCAGTTACTTGGTATCAGAATGGTGGACAGATTAACTGTACCTCGGTATATGGAGTAGATGATTTGATTTCGCAAAACTCCCAAATATCTGACCAAAAGTCATCAAGCTGCCCAACAGAATACTTGCGCAGTTCTTCATACGACTCTGAATGTAAGATTCATAGCCAAACGGTCAGCACTCAATCGCAGACTTTGAACCATAGATCATCCATGCACACTCAACTCAAACCAAGGCCATGTTTCTTGTTCACAAAGTCCCGGAATTTGATCATATTGGACTTTTCTGGGTGGGGAGGAGTCCAGAGCAGATGATTATTGGCTGACATGCTGAATAATTCCAGTAAAGTGTTTGACTAGTTGGCAAGACTGCTTTAAACTACAGCTAATGACAGAATGGGAAAACTCGGTCAAACAGCGCCAATCCGCACTTGACATCACGAGATCAGCTGCAAAGCTTCCAAGCTTTTGGCAATCTCATCACAGTTCAAGTGCACATCAGATGGAATGTTCAAAGTATTTCCTGTTCAACTCGCTTTTATTGAATTACATTTCACCACACTCGCTAACAATTACTGGCATCTAAATTCATACATCCAAAACTCAGTTGGCATGATTGAGCTTTAAAAAGCAATACGGATCGTGTCTGCATACAGTAAAACCTACTCTTGGTTTGTTATTAGCACCCGTTGGTACGTTTTCAATCTTGCGAAGTACTAAAAGTCCATCAATCACTCTACCAAACACAACATGCTTTCCATCGAGAAAATCGCATTTTGCGCAAGTTATGAAAAACTGGTAATAGTAACACATGTAAGTGACCAGCATGTGTCCAAAACCACATTTAAATCTCTAAATGGTACCTGTGATCCATTTGTATTTGGTCCGCTGTTTGCCATTGAAAGCAATCCAGCTGAGCTGTGTTTAAGCTGAAAATTTTCGTCCGGGAATTTGTCGCCGTAGATACTCGTGGCTCCAGTGCCGTCACCCTAGTACAACCCAGCAAGCCAGACATTTCAATTTAAAAATCATGGGTATGCATGGTTTAAGTTGAAGTGATTAGTCAAGTATAATCCTGCCTTTTAAATGAATCAAACCCCACGATCATTACCTTGAGAAAATCTCCTCCTTGAATCATAAAATCTTGAAAATATGCAAGATTAACTCAATCCCAGTACAACAAGTATCCATTGACACACTTAAAACTAATTGAACAAACCCTTGATTACACTAAAAATGGAATTAGTGAACACTGCAATTCAAGACTTTATTCAAACGATCTCCATGCTAAATAGCTACAGCTTGGAATGTACGACTTACCGATGGAACTGGCAATTTTTGAATCCTTGAGGGATATCTTTGATTCTATTCGAGTCGTCTATCATTCAGCCAACAATCACAGTACACCAACACGAATACTCGAGTAAACACATACCTATACTCTCCAGTGCATAACTGCCGGAAATTCTCTGCAGTCTTTGGAACGACATCTTTGAAAAGCTCCATTGTGATTCGTCCAGCTAGTACATTAAACCCAGTTTTACATCAACAAGGTACTAGATTGGTTATTTAAAAATATTACACTGCATAAAAAGCATATTCTGACAAAACTACCTGGCTGGCCACCTGCATCATACAGCAATTGTAAATATATTCCATAATTGGTTTAATACAACATTATAGTGTGGAAAGTTTTTAGTATACTAGTCGTGAAAACAGGATATGAATAGATCTGCGATTGGAATCAAAAGTTGTTGAATTCAAGTCTGGCACTATTATGAATAGTCGTGCAGCTGAGCTCGAGACTTCCATAAGCCTACCATTTCAAGACTCAACTTACCAATGGAAATATTCATAAACACCTACCAAATATTCATATCAACAAAAACTCAATCAGAAAATAGACTGTACAACTATTCAACTCTACAACAGCAAGCTAAACAGACACCATCCGACTTATGGATCAATTAAGCCAGTAAAATTTAGCAATCTAATGGGTAGCAGCCAGTGTAGGGAATCCATGAATCTCTATCGAATTACAATTCCCATGCCAATCAACAGAACCAAAAGGCTTACAATCGGATTCTCTTCTTCTCCCATCTTCAATACTTGGATTCAAACTAGCCTTGAAAGTCAAGCCAACTTTAATCAAAACTTTTCAATTGGAGTTTCCGGCTAAAATCATGTATTTTTGCCCAAATCACTTGGAGGTTTGGGCAATCCTAGAATCAACCATTTGCACATTTGCCATCATCTGTTTAGTCAAAATCAGCTGGTAATGGATTGAAAAGGGTAACAGATACAAGAAGGATCAATTACTGATCAATTATTTGATGATGGATAAAGAAACACCATGTGCTGTAAGTCTCGATTCAAACCCATTATATCAGACACAATTTTTTAAAGTTTGCATGGTATCAAGAATTGTATTTTTACACAATAAATCAAGGTCCATGATTTGGTTATGGATAAATCCAACCTAACAAAGCATATTAGAAAGTAGCCTTTTGATTTACGCTTAAACATCAATTTGGGGTTTCCCATTTTATTGGTTTGATGAAATGGCAGTATCAGATTTATCATTTTGCATAGCACCTTTATGGAGGCTTGGATCCTTGTGATCAGCAGCGCTAATAGAAGTTTTTGAAAGAATGGGGAGCTCAGGGCTTTCAGGTGTCAAATCTTCAAGAACGTGTGCCTTGATTGCCAAGGCAGGAGAGGATTGCTGGCTATCAACCTCAAGAAGTTGATAGCCCTCCTCCGTGTCTTCCCCCTTTACTTCTAGGGATAAACCAGAAGCCGTTGCAGTGTTTGGAATCTAAAATGTTGAATCAACTTACAAATCAGAGCGCGAAAACTGGAGTTTATGGATTCAGGACATGATGGCAAACTCGAATGAATGCAAAACTTACCCAATCTTTACGCTTTTGTGAGTACCAAGCAGAAAATGTTCCGAGAAGCTGATTTGCAGAGGCTATATGTTCATCCGATAGGAAGCATTGTTTTTGAGACAAGCAGAGCAGTCAGACTTGACGGCTGATGAATACATTTCAAATGTATTTATTTCATGAAATAAAGGCATATTGAGCTGCACTATACCTTGTATATTTTGTTGTTGCGCAGGATCCGACATGATAGTAACCGCATCCGTGACTGATGAAGTCACAGTTCCTGAAGCTGTTGAAATGGCCTTTGCCAGATTGTTTTGCACAGGAGAAATTGTTCGAGAAAATTCAGATAGCTTTGCAGAAAAATGAGTTGATATTTCACCAAGGGCAGAATATCCATGGAATGGGTGACCAGGACTAGCCCATTAAACCGTGTTAGTAAACTAATACCAAAAAATCACAGCTCAATAATATAATAAAACAATGACGGTACTTGATCATTTGAAGCGCGTCCTTGTCTACAACACTCATCCATGTATGGTAGCTATCTGAAGCTTCCCATGCTTTGATGAATGGCATGTGATACTCTGAAACATAGTCAAGTTTTTCTGTATATCGATGGCACGAATATTGTTAATTTACCGAGTAACTACACTTGGCAGCGCAATATTGAATACTTACTTGCTCCAGGTTCCAAGGTCGATGGCAATGTATCATGATTATACTTTACTGAAGCAAGCATTTGTGTAAGGTAAACTTCAAACCTTGACCTGATATCTTCGTCACTTCCCTCAAACTCAATTTGCTGATTCATAGTCATGTCATCTAGATCATCCATGTTAAAAAAATTGGAGCCTTTTAAAACCCATAACAATAAAATGAGTTGAAAATATTACCTTCGGCAGTCCATGTTGCAAGCAATGGTTTTAATAGCTCTGGTAACATGCATATTTCATGTAAATCGGGGTGTCAAAACAATACATCAACAGATCAGACCAGCAACTAGGTGCAATACTATACTTGCCATCCATAAATTTGCGATCGGCAGCAGTTAAGCTGACTAGCTGCGCCATTTGTGGATTGGGGAATTCAAGATTTCCGCTGTCGGCCTGTTAATAAAATCAGTCGACACAAGAGTATAAGCTACTCTAAATGACACCCAGGCGCATTACAATCAATACCAAACTTTACTCACATAAGCCACTGCGTCCAGACTGCATCCGCGATGGTGAGTGAATATCGAATTGCTTGTCCCGACAAGAAAAGATTTGGTTTCTGGCGACATGATTAAATCAATCTGTTGAAGTGGAATGTAAGGCTGAAAGAAGGAGTTCTAAAATTCAAGAATTCAGTATGGTAAAATTACATTACACAAATTAATCATGATACTACACAAACTTGGACTATATCAACACACTTTGCCAAATATTTTGAGTGGATGTCCAAGCTGAATCATTTTTGCTTTGTGTGCCTCAGAATGATACTGCCTGAGAAGATCCATGGATCTTGTAGAAGACAAAAGAGTAGATCTTCTATGTGGCCTTATTTTAATATCAACGTTGTCTAATTCTGGAGAGCCTACATCCTCCAAATGCCTCAAAAGCTCTATATTAATATACAAACAAGTGTTACCACAGTAAATCAATGACCGACCAGCATAAAAACATAAAATGATGAATATCCTAACCTGGAAAAAGTGAAATCAATCCATACTGGTATGCCGACAATCGCTCCACTTTTTGTCCAAAAACCAAAATCTAAAATTGCAAAACAGGCTAGATTAAAAAGACATCAATTACAACTACAACCATTTTCAAAGGTGCAGCATGTGTATCTACCCTTTTTCTCAACAACAGTAATTTTACAAGCTGCAAAGTTTTATGTCGAAATTTAAATAAAAGCTCTCGCAAAGAAATTCCAGAATACAGAGTGTTGTCTGCAAAGGGCATTTTGACAGAAGTGTCCAAATTTTCGTATAATGTCTTGATAATTTATAATTGATGCATAGCACAAAATAAATCAGTTGGTATATTTGTAAAGTAAAAACATCCGGCATGCTTATTGATTGCATTGATATAGTTAGATACTTACGTCCAGAATTTCGATTTTTGTAAAATCTCGCTGTGCGAAAAAAGCCTGTGTTACAAGTCCCAACTTGCTGCGTATGGAACCAAGGATTGGCTGGGTAGCAATTATAACAACGGCCTTTTGAACTTTGGTTCGTGTAACATCAGCCGTTTTATTGACTAAATCCTATTCAATATGCAAGGTTAAAATGCAGAACGTGGGTTCACTTTGTATTAAGATCGAGGAGTTGCGCAAATATTACATTCAAATTATTGATTCAAACAAAACTACCTCGGCATTAATTTGACGAAAGCAAGCCAAGCCAAACAAGGTTGACTGAGGGTATTTTTTCCAGGCAGGAACCGGAGGGAGGTGAAAATCTATCAAGCTTCTAGGTTAGATACTGGTTGGTAAAATTGGGTATGCAAATTGTTGAACCCATTAAATTATGTTTCAGCTTACAAATAAACTCTTCTTCGGAAGCATGTGCACCATCTGGTAGACACATAAAGGGCTAAAATAGGGTTGATTAACATTAGCATGTGTCCAAATTCAGTACAGAGTTATTATGCAAATAAAAAAATCGCGAGTATAAATGATTTACAGCAGTATTCACGCAAGACACCAAGGATGTCAAAATACATGATAAATAGTCAGTCTCATGCAATGATGGGTGCCAGTTTTCAGCATACTTGCTGAACAGCATTGTGTCTTTTGAATTCTTTAGCTTACTGGTTTTTGTAGTCATTTTTGTATAAAAACTGAATGGATGGCTACAACTCTGTTCCAGCCAATCCCATTTATCCAATCTTCAACTCCCCAAATAGAATATTAAATATTGGATGATTGACATGTATAGTTGCATTCTTGAGACGTGCAACATTTGGTTTTTTGAACTAAAACGCAACGTATCTGCGAGTTTTAGGGTGAAACGAGTTTGGACAAAGTTTGACAATATCAAAACATTCCAACCAATATCTAGATTGCAATGGATAAATATGATTTCAAACTTGGTGGTTGTACAGTGTATGACTATGCAAAAAAGGAAAAGGGGATGATTGCAGTTCAAACTATAGTTTGTATAATATGATGGGCGCTGTGTAAAAGAGTTGAGAGTGCCAATTAAAATCAATATCTAATAGCAAGACACAACAAATATTTAAGCATTGTCTATTCCAAAGCAAAATAATGAGTCTGCAAGATGAATACAGAAAAGGGATTCGTTGTACGTGGATACGACAGTAATTCAAAAGCCATTAAAGTTGTGAATCCAAACTCACCATAAACGACCATTCTTCGGGCAATTCTATGGCGATTTTTGTGTCAGTCGAATCAGTGACCCTCCTCAAGTGAGCCACATTTGGGAATGGCGGATGGACATACTCTACTATAGGGCCATTCCTTTAATGTACGCAATTTAGTGAATGAAGTTTGAAAATGAATATTATTGGCACATTACTGTATAGAGAACGATCATACCTATGATGAAACGCCACGCACATAACTATAGTCATATTGGAAATAATATATCAATAGCAAGGTTTAAAGTATGATATCAGTCCAGAAGGATTCAATGATCAGAACAGAGCCAATCCAAATAGTATAATCTAGTGAAACCGCGGCTTTTGGGTGAGAACATGTCAAGACAACAGGCCTTACCATGCAGAATGACCCTTTGGCCATCTAAATTGTCCGAGGGCAGTGAAGTAGATATGGAGTTGGTACGAGAGCGATGAATGGAAGAGCATTCATCGATTACATTTCCAAATTCATGCTCACTTGCGACAGCCTTATCGATAGAAGTCAAAAAGTCGGTAGCTGGTTGAGATGGAATCTTGTCAGATAAAGGCTCGACATGGAGCAGTGCGATGTGGGATGACTCCGTAGCAGGAGAGATGGGCTCGGTGGGTTCCATGATACTGAATCTACCCAATAGCAGCAGTTTGCAACTATTCTATGCGATAAGCACTGAAGCAAGCCACAGACTCGATAATAAGCAGGTTGAGCCGAGGTCAAAAGTTGTAAAACTTCAACTTGAAAGACCGCCCAAAGAAAACCAGCACATTGCCAGGATGGACAGCAACGAGACCGACACTCCATTGACGATTCTTGCCAGGCTGTCTTCGGGTCAAAAGGTTCCAGTCACTATTCTGGATCCTGCAAACACTACTGTGCTAGACCTCAAGGAACTGGTTGCTGCTGCCATCTCTACTTCGCCCGGCTCCATTCGTCTGGTGCTGCGAGGCCGTATTCTTAAAGGCGATGAACTGCCAATCTCCAACTATGCTGTTGCTGACAAGGATGTGGTTCATGTTGCTCGCACTGACCCCAGTACCGCCAATTCAGTTGCTCCGCAACCAAGAGCTACTACTGCCAGTCTGGCCGGATCTGGCTTGTCTGAAACTCAAACTGCTTTCCACTATCGTACTACCCAACCACAATCTTCAACTACATCCAATACCACTCCATCCCCCGGAATTACTGGCTCTGCACTGGCTGCTGGACTGTCCTCTCAATCAGCTGCAAATGGCTTCGGAGGTGATGAGATGGCTTCCCTCATGAGCAATCCCATGATTCAAACTATATTCGAAAATCCCGAATTCCTTCAGCTTATGCTACAATCCGACCCTCGGATGCGTGCGATGATGGAGGTGAAATGGTTGCTCTTAGAATATGCTATCCATATTGAAAAACTAGATATCGTTCATATCAGGCTATAAATCCGCTTTCCTCTTGGAATGTGTCAAATTGTACCCTGTGTATTTAGCTATATTGCTTACTGACTCGACTGTCTTGCCTCTACAGGAAAATCCCGAGATACGTGCTGCCTTGTCTGATCCTTCTGTTTTGCGTGAAATTAGTCGTGGCATGCAAAATCCCAGATTGGTAAGCTATAGCTTTATCCCTGCCAGGTGGCTTTTGGTTACCAGGTAGGCTAATCTGATTAATTTTGGTATGTTAAAAGATGCAAGAAATGATGCGCAATCAAGGTATGTTTTAAATGCTGTACCCAGATTCTCGAAAATGTGCATATTCTATTTTACTACTGGTTTTGTCAAGACCTGATCATGGCAATCTCATATTACCCAACATTGCAATGCATTACATGTTTTAGATCGGGCACTGTCTAATATCGAGGCTATTCCTGGCGGTTTCAACCATTTAAGCTCCATGTATCGCCAAATGAATGGTCCTTTGAATGCTGGCCGCACTCCAGACCCTAGTACCGGTAAGTACTTGTGTGCCAGCTAAATACTAGCCATTTGATCTAGGCGGATTTTTGAATAACTTATGAAACGTATCCACATCCTTTTATGATAACAAGATGAAGCCAACAGACAGATGGCAAATCTTTTGGGGGCGACATCTCCTTCAAATGCATCTGGTCCCAATTCGCAAGCTCTTCCAAATCCTTGGGATATTCGTCCAGGAAATGTAGGCACTCAGCGTCCTGTATCTCGTAAGTGATTTTGGAGCTATTTTTGATCAGTTTTCGTATACTGTATGGTTTTCCAACTCTAGTGCTTAAAGATACATGGAATTGCCAAACATATGGTTTAACATATGATTGTATTGAAAATCTGACATATTTTGTAAACCAGTACCCACATCTACTACATTGACAAATATGCTTGGCACATTTGGAGCACCTAGCTCTGTAAATCGTAACGCAGCATCTACAAATACAGAAGCTCGACACTTTCCATTTATGCCCTTTCCGTCTTTACCTGGTAATTTAGGAAATAGTTCTACTCGGACACCTGGCTCTGACACTATACAACCTCATCTACAAATGCTTCAACAAATGGCTCAAATGAACCAAAGCCCTCGCGCTTCATTCCCAAACCAATTTGATGTAATGCCACCAGCTCTTTCCAACTCCAACTCACCCATGAACCCATTTCTCGAGCTATTCGGTGCGCCATCGCTTTCGCCTTCACAGCTTGCTCAGCCATCAGGAGATCCAGCAGCAGCACAACCAGCTATTGAGGAACAATATAGAGAACAACTCGCTAGTCTAAGAGATATGGGGTTTGTGGTGAGTTTGGAAATACTTGTATCATGATATAATTGATAGACTGCGAGCTGTATACTTTAATTTACGATGGGTTTTGCATTGCTAACTCGGTATTATTTTCAACCTGATCGTGGACCACACTAGGATGAAGAAAAGAATAAGCGCGCAATTTTGGCAGCAGTAAGCTAATACTAATGTCTGGTGTATCATGCATCAATGACCTGTAAAACGCGGCAATGATGCTTGCTAACTTGATAATAATATTGAATTATGATAGGGTGGCAATACAGACGCAGCGGTCTCGTATCTATTGGATATGTGAAATTTCTTAATAAAAATTGCTTACTCTATTTCAAATCCAAGACTAAAGCTTGCAGTAGAAGAATGAAAAGATGAATCTCGATTGATTTCAGCTACCGCCTTGTTCATTTTATCAAAAATCCTAGCCAAAATCAACCTATGCAGTTTGAGAAAATCGCATGGCAGATCTGTCAAACAGCGACTCTTTGAGTAACTGCTCTTGCACCAGCGGATGGTGAGGGGCTACATCCTTGAGTTGACTTTAAACACAAGACAAAAGCCATTGATGAGTCTATCAGTTGCCCTAAAGGTTACTGGATGCAATTTAAATCATAGCAAATGCTTACCTCATAAACTGATTCAAGACGGAAGTTGGCTTTTGCAAGGCTGTGGCAATAATGACCATGTTGGCAAGAGTATCAGGGTCATTTGGGTTCTAGTTGCGTAAAAGTAATGTTAAATTTAACAATAGGAAATATCACAGTATAGCTTAAAAATAGATGCCAATAACGACCAAAATAGACATATTTTAAATACAAAAGACCAATGAATAGCTGTACCTTGTTGAGTGCCTCGAGCAAGATTGCGTCTGCCTCTTCAAACTTTCGTGCCTGGATCATGGCTACTGCTTTAGAAGTCAGTAGTCTGCACGTACTGGTTCCAGTATTGGCCATCTCCTCAAAGATATAGTATGCTTCTTGATATTTCTCGGGCCCGCCCTAAAGATTCGTATATTGGTATGACATCAATCTAATCAACACACAGCAGATGAAATATGGGTAGATACAATAGCGACAGACAAGTAGAGATACATGGTGAAAGTCTTGCAAATAGACATACCACGGCAATATTAACCCAAGATTCAATCAGTTGAGCAAGAGTGGCATCATCTGCCCAAGATTTAAATAAATCCAGCTCCTTTTTTGCGAGATCTGGTCTGTCCATCTTAAGGTAAACCTGTACCGCCAACGCAATGCTACATCACCATTATATACTTAGTGTTGTCTCTTAACATTGTCTTAAGCCAACACCGAATAAAGATCTTAATCCATGCTAGCAGTAATGATAAACAACATAATCTGTAACCCACCATTCAAGGTGTTTTGGTGCACGAACTAGCAGCTTTAAAGCCTCTTCAGTTTGACCTTCGTGGTAAAATACAGTACCAAGAAGCACATATACCACAGGAGAGACATCAAATGGAATCATTTCAGCCAAAGCGACTGCATCGGCAACAGCTTCCTGCTGCTGGAGTTGATCCGTCATGCTTGCTAAATATCTTGCCAAGATACGAACTGCACGCAGTTCCATGGATGTTTCCTGTGCAGACAATTCTGAAAGCACTAAATTGAAACGGCCATGACAGATATATGCTCTATGCAGCAACACTCTACGGTCAAGCTTTCCCGTCTCCGTGCGGGGAGTAGTGGCAGGATTTGTGGCCTCATTGATGACAGTCTGGAATGAACCCAAATAAAACTGGTTCTTTAAAGCAAGCACCTCATCTAATCAAAGGAAACTCGGCAAGGTTAGCTCAAGCAAGGGACTATCCAATACATGAAGCTGATGTCAGGGTTAGGAAACCAAAGGCCACCGCTAACCAATCTTGTCGGGTTGAAAGAATAAATAGTTTGTCGTATGAATTATATACAGGTAGCATATATAAAAGGTCCAACTCACCAACACTTGCGTCTGCCATTCCTGAATTGATTGACAGTCGTATTCACGTAAAATGGAACACTTGTTATCTTGCAGCAACTTGCTTTTTGTAAAAATGGTAAATATTCGCTGTTTTTCCATTACAAATCGACTCTAATTGGTCTTTTCAACTTTTTAATAAACACAATATTCATCATGTAGTACAAACTATAGTTTTGAACTGAAATGATTTTTTGGTAGTCACACATTGTGCAATCACCAGATTCATCCAATCCAATCCATTCCATACATTAGGTTTGACTAATTTCGATTCAACTTTGTACAGACTCTTGTATTTTAACCTTGCAGATACGCTCACAATATGGTTTAAGAAAACAAGGATCGTGCACTTTAGTCATACGACTGTTTTGATGCCAATTACACAATATTCAGTCTGTACTAGTAGTAGAAAACAAAGACTGGAGACCAACAAGTATCAAAAATGTACCGAGACTAATACAAACATTCACTCGACTTTAATGCAAAATAAACATGAAAAGACCAGTAAACACAATATCCAACAAATCGAGTAGAAATCGTTCCATGAAACTGGCTGTTTATGTATTTTGATATCCTTGTTTTAATGTTCCATTTTGCGTGAATACGGTTGTGAATCACTGATACTGCTGCACATATGACCAATGCAGTCAACTGAAACTCTAAGACTGTAGATTGCTACAGCTGTGTCCAGATATATCCTCAATTAGCAATCTTTTTGTGACATCCTCGACTTTGGTTTGTTCATGATCCTGTAAACTTGAATCCAAGTCTGAAGCTTTAGTCGGATTAATATATACGTATTTATCTTCCGGGATCTCAGACGATGGAAGTATATCAAGTACACCAAGATCCAGATTCTATCAGAAAGAATATAAGGTGAGCATTCTATTACAATTAAAGTTATCTAGAAAATATCATCAAGTATACCATTTCAATAAGTTTCTCTTCTTTTGGTTTGATATACTCAATATTCACATCATCCCTGGATAGATCACCTCGCTCCAGTTGTGAGAATAGCTTTTCATTCGATGACTGCATGGCAGGTAGGAAACTTGACAATCTGCTCATCACTGAAATCGCATTCAAGTCAATATTAGGTATTTCAAACAAGAAAAATCGACAAAAACTACTAACAATCTGTAGATATGTTGGAACGGAAAGTAGCTGGGCGAACTTTGAGGAGGTTCGGCTGAATTGGAAGAGTCCCTACAATAATTGGATGATATGACAATTGATTAGATGGCTATATAGTGAGTTTATTTTGAAACATGAAATAGTAGTCAATTGTCAAATGAAAATATATACCTACTGGAGTCACTTCATGAACATCCAACAATTCTCGTTTCAATGTATCATCAGTGTGAGTGGAGGTCTTTATATTTATATGCTGCTGTTGAGAAGCCTCTGTATGCATATCCTGGTCTGAATTGGAAGAGCAGGGTAATGCTGTTGATTCTGAAGCCATTAGAATCGGAATGAATGCTTAGTGATGCTGACAATGGAAAGATTTTAAAAATGATGTTCAAAAGCCGTGAATTGACATTTTCAATTACAGTTATATTCATGTAAAACAAATCATCTTTTTTGGTAGTCACACATTGTGCAATCACCAGATTCATCCATTCCAATCCAATCCACTCCATACATTAGGTTTGACTAATTTCGATCCAACTTTGTAGACTCTTGTATTTTAACCTTGCAGATACGCTCACAATATGGTTTAAGAAAACAAGGATCGTGCACTTTAGTCATACGACTGTTTTGATGCCAATTACACAATATTCAGTCTGTACTAGTAGTAGAAAACAAAGACTGGAGACTAACAAGTATCAAAAATGTACCGAGACTAATACAAACATTCACTCGACTTTAATGCAAAATAAACATGAAAAGACCAGTAAACACAATATCCAGCAAATCGAGTAGAAATCGTTCCATGAAACTGGTTGTTTATGTATTTTGATATCCTTGTTTTAATGTTCCATTTTGCGTGAATACGGTTGTGAACAAACCAACTCGTTTGCCCAAGTTTTCATTTTTTCCGACAAGGTTTTGCTCAACTTTGTTGTTGCACATAATGGTTCGAGCAGTAAAAGGGGTTCTGCTGGAATGGTAGGCATATACTTTCTTTAATACATACTTTCAGCTTACCTTTTCAACAGACAACGTTAAGCCCCGCTGAGTTTTAAACTCAGCATATACTTGAGATTCATTCAAGCAGTATGTCTTGACTAACTAGACCATACTTTATCTGTTTACCAGCGATCAGGCAGTGAAGCAAATAATCAAGGAGCTTGACAGCCAGCTTCATTTTATTATTGAAGATCTTGATGATACCCATTTATTTATTGGTATGATCTTTCGTTTCAACATGCAGATATTCAGATACTATTTATTGTTTTAGAATAGCGCTATCAACTTGGATCTGCTAGCATACTTATTTTTTCTATTTAAACTATTAGAAGCAGCCAAAGTAGAGCTGGTTCAAGATCGCCTTGAAGATATTCTAGAGGTATTTTCATCTGAAGCCCAAAATTGATGCATAGTATAACGAGTTTATTAATAAATTTGCCACTAATGCAGGAAAACACATATCGTACAATCGATATGTGATACATTCAACAACATTGTGTCGCTAATTATTCGATTACAAGCTCCGATAGGACTTGTCAGGGGTGGTTGGTAAAGTGGGTTGGTCCATTGATTGTAATACAGCACGAGGTTCCTGAACTGACTGCATGCCTATTTTTTCCTTTAAAGAAAGCTTGACTCGGTGCTTTTCAATTACAAGAAATGAAATATTCTGAAGCATGCTATATACTGCTGATGCTAACCAATATAGCGTTATGGCCTTACATACCAAATATATTGCACATTTCAAAATGCCAGCATTCAGATTAGTACATTTTATGGGATACAAACATATTTAGATTCAGAAAATAATTGAAATATCAAGGCAGAACTGCACTATGCTCTTACCATTGGTACATAGGCAGAAATAGGAATCATTAGTATTGCAAATGATCGCATAAACATCCGAAAGGCAATCTGACCAGAAGTTCTTTGGGTATTGGGGTTTGAGCGCAGTGTACTATTCAACTAGACAGTATTATCCAAACCCAAATGTTAGCCATCGCTAGCAGATCATCAGCATCATCTGAGGATATGCTGGAAAGATTCATGGCTGATATCAAACATTATCAGTCCATCATCTTTCAGACCAATTGTCAACCCTATAAAGGCTCATTATCAATGTTTCCAACCTCAATATTAATCAAATGCATAGTACCAATTATAATTGGTGTGATCATGGTTGGATCTGCCACAGTCAAATCGTCAAACCATAGCGTGCCTTCGACATCCATTCCGGCAGCAAATGAGCTTGGCGTTCCAAGCCATATCACTGGAAATGCGGCAAGCCATCGAAGCGCGAATGACATTGAGATGAACAAGGGAATTTGAACCCATGGCAAAATAAATGTATATAATGGGTTACATCGATACTCCTTGTAAAGCTGTGATGTTTTTTGTTTGTACTATTGGTTTTTAAGTTGTAAAATATGAGAGTTTCAAAATGACACGAGTTGGCAGTTAAAGCAGATAGTGATGAAAGTATGGATTAGATATCCATTATGTCTGAATAACTACAATCAAACCGTTTTACCAGATATGACAAAGAGACTTGCCATTTTTTTGTAGTTCTTATCTTGCTGCAAATTACCTGTACGATGGCCATGTTTAAGCTGAAGTCCTAGCGTGCTTTCCCAAGCCATCAACACAGGTTGTAGCTTTCGTAATCGATCTGTTCTTTGCTTGTTTTGAATAGCTAGTGGTAGTGTGCACATTGTTCGTAGAAATATAGTTGTTCCAACAATGACCAGCCACCAAGGAGTACCACTATACAGCTCGAAAGCAATCAATGGTGTTGCATGAATCGTATCCATCAAATTAACCAAAAGAGATACTGGCGACAGTGATAAATCTGACGATTCGATCGATGTAGTGCTGGAAAACTGTTGTTCAGCATCAGCCATATGAGTGTCTGGTAGTTGTATAGTTGAAGCCATTTTTGTATCTGATGAATAAAAGCGTTTTTTATAGAGTCTACAAGATCCAAAAGGCATGGCTTGTCGAGGTTTGGATAGCATTGCATCCAGTACAAGTGGTCGCCACAGTGAATGCATATACCTAGTAGATATATAGATGGTTGTTGGATACTTGATAGGTTTGAAGAGACTGGTGTTGCAATGGGACCAGTGTTGTAACATTGACCGTCTTGGTAATGCCATAGCTAGACTTGTGTAGATTGAATAATGAAAATAATACTATGGGTGCTATAAAGGTTGCGGGTATTGACTGACTGCCAAATCATTAAATAGCTAGCTACTGATTCACAGCCGTATTCACGCAAAATGGAACATTAAAACAAGGATATCAAAATACATAAACAACCAGTTTCATGGAACGATTTCTACTCGATTTGCTGGATATTGTGTTTACTGGTCTTTTCATGTTTATTTTGCATTAAAGTCGAGTGAATGTTTGTATTAGTCTCGGTACATTTTTGATACTTGTTGGTCTCCAGTCTTTGTTTTCTACTACTAGTACAGACTGAATATTGTGTAATTGGCATCAAAACAGTCGTATGACTAAAGTGCACGATCCTTGTTTTCTTAAACCAGATTGTGAGCGTATCTGCAAGGTTAAAATACAAGAGTCTGTACAAAGTTGAATCGAAATTAGTCAAACCTAATGTATGGAATGGATTGGAATGGATGAATCTGGTGATTGCACAATGTGTGACTACCAAAAAAGATGATTTGTTTTACATGAATATAACTGTAATTGAAAATATCAAATTAAACAGTTTCTCTAAAGTGCATGTTATTGAAATTGCATTGGATAAGAGCTCGCAGATCGATCGGAACTACACTCTTACCTCTAGCGTTTCTATCCACAATGCAGAATATTTTGGTCGACAAGATCCGCAAGCAGGAAATAGCAGATAACATCGCTGATATTACCAATAGAATTCAATCTATTCCATGCAAACACTCTTGGCAAAAGCAGGTACGACATTACAATGTCTTTCCATCTACTGGGCTGACTCTAGACTGAGTCTTTTGTCATTACAAGATTCGATTGGTAGCAGTATCCAAAACTAAGCCTGCATCAGATATTGCTGCAGCATATGAGCTCGGCCATCGTCATTTTGGTGAAAATGTAAGGATTGCATTCTATGCCATTGAGATGTAGTGAATATGCAAGTCTGGATTGACTAATTTGAAATGGCTGGCATGACCAAACCAGTATGTAGGTTTCTGGAGATATTTTGTGGTCTTGATATATTTAGTATTTCAACCTTGATATGCTGAATAATGTAACCACACTCTAATTCAGGTGCAAGAATTGGTTGAAAAGGCTTCCATTGTAAGTGTTTTAATGGCATCGCTTACAATCAATAAGCGAGCTATATTATAATCAATTAAACGAAATGTTGTTCATCTCACTAGCTTCCCAGTGATATTCACTGGCACTTTATTGGATCTATTCAGTCCAATAAATGTAAAGCTCTAGCCGATGTGCCGAATCTATGGACGATTGAAACAATCGACAGTTCAAAGAAAGCATTGACCATGAACAAGGCATGTCAGAAACTCGCAAGTCCACTGCGTGTCTTTTTACAAATCAACACTAGTGGCGAAGCAAGTGAGTTATTACCTACTTTAATATTTAGGTTGTCGCAACATCAAAATGAGGTGTTTGAAAAGTATATCTGGCCATGATCTGTTATTGACGAATCAATTGGTGAATTTAAACCTAGCAAAAAGTGGTATTTTACCCTCAAACTGCGTCATGACAGCAAAGGAAATTCTAGATGAATGCGATAAATTGGAGTTGATAGGATTGATGTGCATTGGTGCTCCACACAATGCAAAGAATGATCGCAATCCGGACTTTGATTTACTGGTCGAATGTAAACAACAAATTGAAGCTGCCTTTGGAATGTCAGGTTTAGAGCTTAGCATGGGTATGTCTGATGACTTTGAATCAGCAATTGAGTATGGGTCTACAAACATTAGGGTAGGAAGTAGCATTTTTGGTAGTCGCTCATATACAAAATGATCATATTCTTTGTATTCAAATACATTACTTTATTGATTATATGGAATCCCGTGTACTGTACAAGTTTGTTCAACTTTAAAACACATCCAAGAGATGATGAACTGGAAAAGCCATACTTTTTGAATTGCTGTGATAGCAAGAGAAAATTTAAGCTTTTGAAAGTTTATACTTGCAAACACTTTGATCAAGAGGTAAAAGAAATATTATATCAAATAGAAAATCAGTGCTGAGCTTATAAATTGAATTTAACCAAGGTTTAAAGTTGCATTTAAACAAGATTACTTTATTGACGAAGCAAAGCCTCGGAAAGCGCATCACACACTTTTTGGGAAACTGTCTCATTTGTTGCACGAACGGTTAGTCGAAACATCTGGATATTTCACATTAAATGATGCAAGTTAATAATAGCAATGCCAGAAAATAGATTGTGGTAAAGCAGTGATGATTTGTATACCTGGTGCTGAAGGCTTGGTTCAACTCGGACTAGCACGCCCACTTTTCCTAAATGAGTTGAGCTGAAAACTCCCGCCAAAACACAGTTATTTGGATTGGGATCAACATTTTCCAAAGAAGCAAACTGAAATCCAACAAGAGCAGCCTTTGATGCACGAATATCAATAACTCCATTGGCAGAAAATACTTTTTGAGCTTCTCGTGGAGCTCCGCCAATCTGACGCCATCGTAAGAAAAAATCGTCCCCATCAAGCACAATAGGAGAAATAAACTTGGTGAGAACCACTGGCATTTTGAGGTTTCGGCTTACAGAATGGCCACCAATATTAAATGTGATTGTTAGCATTAACTGTACCACTGGTATATCAATACACTCAGCATTGTACATTTGATGCAGTTGTGTTGCAGATGGAATGCTTGAAGAGATTGGCTGTATCAGATCCATTTTGATTTGATCTGTAGAACTCAGCACAGTTTGAAAATTTGTCAGGGGCAAAACCGAAGACTTGTTTCCAAAGAAGATAGCAATACGGCCAATATTTCCCTCATACTCTGCTTTAATTCCAACTTGAATAACTGTATCCTCATAAAGCACACCGCTTTGTGTAAGCAGCAGCGCATTAAACTTTTCGGTTATATCGTTACTGTCAGCAAGTTCAGGTGCAGAAATTGTTGGTTCATCAACTCCGATTAGATCGTGCACATCAGTATTAGAAGGGATTTTAGCTAATGCAGCAATGGGATCTATGATCTTGGCCTGCGGCGTAGATTTTTCAAGCGTCTGTGCTTCAGACGGCTTGTTTAGCTTTGCATTATCACGATGAGTTTGCAAATCTGCCTGTGCATCCTTTCCACCAATTGTCCAAATTCGCACATCTTCGGTGTCGTGTAGCTTTCGATGAAGCTGGCAGAGAAGGGATGACTCTCGATCAGGGAAACGAGGCATTTCATCGCACACTGCTTGAAGGATTTTATCCTCGGGCAGTGTGACGATTGCCAGATACTCACAAGCTCGCTGCTGAAGCTCGACATCAAGTACATGAGACAGATTTGTAAAAACTTGTATAATCTGTGGTTTGATTTCTGGAAATAGATTTGCAAATTTAAGATATGACGACATTAGCAAACTACGGCACGCTGGAGAGCACATTGAAAAATTGTTGTGTAGAGCAAGAAACTGATCCAATGGCGAACAACCAGGCGATTCTACAATAACATGACCAAATTCACCAAGTAGATATCCCCCGAGTTTGATCATCTTGTCGTGGCAGTTGGGCTGCTTGAGAGCTTGCAAAGTTGTATATGTGGCATACTCTCGAAGATCTTCGTTGTTGGTGGTAATATGGACAACACGATGCCAAATAGCATCGCCAATATGATCTCCAGAAGTAGTCATTAAACTCATGATTACATCAATATACCACGTGTACTCTGTAGCAAACTTTTCAGCAAGAATTGCAATTTTTAAAACCATTTCCTCACGGATCTCATAATCAGCAGAGTTTAAATATGTTAAAAGATCTGTGACAATGTCACGAGCTGAATCAACATCACACATGCTGAACAATAGATCCAAAGCACGCCGGCGAACACTGATATCTTTGTCCTTTAAAGAGTCAATCACAGTTATTCGATGGTTGCGTAAACTAGATAATGGGTCTCCCAAAGCAGCAATATGAGACATTGTTTCAAGAGCCAAGTATCGCAGATTGGTTTCTTTGGATACAATAAACTCTCCAAGAATCACAACCGCCTGACTGATCAAACTATGTCTGCTTTCAAGATGAATTGCCAGATTCACGGCTTCGAACAAAACAGCGTTTTGAGCATTAAGCTGTTGCGGGTTTTTTGGCCGCTCGGGATTAGATAGGATTTTAGATAAGATGGTAAGGAGCTCATCCAATACTGTCTGTGATTGCGCTAGAGCAATTAAAAATGTGAAATATTGGCGGTAAGCATGATGTTTTGCATGCAATAGACTCAAGCTACACTTACGAACAGGATAATACTGGAGAAGGCGCAAAAATTTCACAAGAAGCCAAGGAGCCGGTATCTTGTAGTAAGCATACTCTGAAGGATAATCCCCCCTCACAATAATCTAAACCATACATCATTCAATAAAGGTTAGTATTGGTAAACCAAGAGCTAAACGAGGCACTTTATGCACAAACTATACTAAACCTTGTAAAGTATAGAAACAACTCGAGTAACACATCCGCTGTATGCGTCTGGATACTGCTGGGCCAAGGCAACCACTAAATTGGTAGCAGACAGAGCAACGGACTAAAATCAGATTTTTAAAATAATGAAAAGCAAATAAGCTTAATGGCAATTAAAAAATGATATAAAAATCTCAATATTTACCAGGCTTTCACTACTCATAATTGGTAAAATAATGTCAGCCCACTCTGCACCAGGAACTAAATCAGGAAATTTTCGATATAATCGCAATAGTGTCAGCCCCGATTTTTTCTTGACAAAAGGTGAACGAGAGCTACAAAAACACTCGAGAGCATTCACTATAAGTTAAAGTAGACAAAATAGTTTTCAAATATCAACCCATTTTTTTAAAAGCAATTCTACTCACGAAACTGTGTACAGTTTAAAAATATCATTAATAAGCGACTCGGACATTTCACGACCTCCAATATTAGCTATGGCATGAAGAGCCATGCAGTTGAACACCTCATTGTGACTCTCGAGATCTCGTCGGATTGAATTCACCACAAGTCGAGTAAGTTCATGAGTCTCGTTGAGCATAAGCGTTGCTGCAAGATATCCCTGCAGTTCCAGCAAAAAACTACTGTTAATAATCGGCCACAATTTTCAAAAAAGCAACTCGTGTAATAAGCTCTAGTAAATTTAACCATTTACAATCTGTTTCTCTGAATATTTTGTGGAGCCAAGTAGATTCACTGCTTCGACATGGCCAAAATCAATCTCCCATCCAAGAATATACATATACAAAAGTTTGCAGACATATTTCTTTTTCTGGTATCCACTAAGACTAGAATCTACAACGGTAAATAAGGTTGAATAAAAACACAATTAATCCTAAATCTATACTGGCCAAATTGAATATCAAAACTCGATGCATATACCCTTGAACTTTAACCGGATATTTGCAAGTTCTTTGTTGATACGCTTTTCCTCAAGATCTCTGGCCCGACCTAATACAATAAGATAAACAAATAGACATGCAATACGTATGAAAACTGTAGTAACTGTATAATCTGATCAATGCATACTGTGTAATGGCAAGCCATCAAGAAATAGTGTATTCGTACATGTTCGGAGCTCAGTGATAAACTTGACTAGCCCATTCATCGTATTCCCATTCTGGAAGAATTTACTCTTTACGTCTTAAAACATCAAAAGTATTACAAACAAAAGTCAGATATGAAACTATCGCCGTCCAGTGTTATTGCCAAGATTAAAACCGACTACTCTATCAGAAAAGTGTCACTTAGTCATACCATTGGCACCTATTGCTTTGGTGGGTGTGTTTGGCTAATAATAAACTCTGAATTTAAATGTATTTCTGTAAGTCACGTACTCCTGTTTGTTTGTGTTTCTGTTAGAACTATCTACCGCTGTACCTTGACTTGTGACAACCAAAAGCAATTGTAGATGTAGTCACCAGCTGTAAGAGCCAAAACAGTTTGGCAAGTATCCAATTTCCAAAAAAGTAAACCATATCACGTGATGAATTACACTTGCTTTAGATCAGCATCAATGGATAATCGAGACTACCAATTTAATCAGTATTAGCCATTTCGAAAGCTTTTGAATCTGTATTTGCTGTGGTATTAAATTATATTTCAGTATAAAAATAGTCAACCATCAAAAACACGTTTGCTTTTGATTAGCTTTAAAACAATACATATCACTATATTTGTATTATCCAGTACACTTATTGCTAACCAGTGTGTTATTGCTTCTGTTGTATTGTCGTATTATAGTGTTAGCACATTGAAATACAAACAAGCATTTTTAAATCTGAATCACATCAACACTAAATAGATTTTTACATTGTCTTTCCTGAGCATCTTTATACTTTTGGTATTTAAAATCAGAAAACCGGTTTCTGGGGATTACAAAATACAGCGACGGATTGGTAGGATTTCCAACAATATTTAACACTTTGTGAATTCCTGCTTATTTATAAAGATGCTTTCTTGCCCCTATCATTTAAAATAAAAGCTTGGGGTTTAACAGCCAACGAACCCATAGTTGTTGATTCGGGGACGATAATAATACCCATCAGCTGATTGAACTTGTGAATCATTTCCAAATACAAGTTGTAGATCAGGCAATTAAAGGATTTACGTAGACAAGAGTAGTATGTATAGAGCACCGAATGATACCAGTTTTTTGGCGAGAGTCCGCTGAAATTTGATGAGATTTCATCTACCAGAGTGTTGACAGAAATTTGGTAATTAGAATTGAGATTAAATTTCAAGCAAATAAGATATTTATTATGACATACTACTTTTCAATCTTGGCCTTTTTGTTTTGAATCGGAACCTTTGGCTCAAAGCAGCTTCTGAGTCGAGTCAGCGAGTCAGCAGTCATTGTGTCGGTCAAATCCTCGCTGGACACACGGGGAGAGACAGACTTGATGGCAGTCATAAACCAAGTGAACCAGCGAAGGATTCAGAGAGAGA